AGATTTACGTGCATTGTCGGTTGCAATACTAGGCGGCTAAACCCAGCCCTAACAGACGGCTAACAGCCGGTGCCAAGAAATGGGGTTGTCGAGGGGGAGGGTGGCCCTATTGGTTGATAGCCACCGGGCGCAATAAATATGCGCACGCGCACGCGCGTACGCGCGTGTGTGTGTGTGGCTCGTTACCGACCGGAATGACGGGCAGGTACGGCGCAAGAGTAAGACTGCTCGTCAGATGTTCTCGACTAACATCGTTGCTATCATATATCCGTCACATGTTAGGTACTGAATAACCTCGCTGCCTCAAACTCAGCAGGGTGAGTGCTGAGTAATCCTGCTATAGCGTTCCAGGCCTTGGCCGTGTCTTGCGAAAAGATTAGCGCCGGTGGCATTCTGGATGCAGTGACGCCGAGGCTTTACGCTGATTATCTGTTTATTACCGCCGCGATCAGGGTAGTCACAACACTCTTCGGCTCTTGATTCAGTGTTGCTCAGTGAGATTCATTCCTGGCCTGGGTGCTTGGGTGCTGCCCAGGAGGAATATGCATGGAGCGTACGTGCTAGATCCTGCAGGTCCTTATGATAACCGATAATGAATTGCTAAGGATGAAAGCCGTGACCTGTCTAACACCTCACGAGACGAGTCGATTAAGGGATATTGAAGTGGATTTTTCGGTCCCTGGTGGCCCGTAAAGTAGGTAGCCTCTCCGGCTAGGGATGCCGCGGCTTGTACGCCACATCAAGACAGCAAGGGGAGAAGAATGAAAGCGAGGGCATAAGACGAATTTCAACCATGATCATGGATGAGAAGGAGAAGAACTCACAAGAGGCGTCGAGAGCTTCGCGGCCCAGACGCTCGCACATGGCATGCAAACAAAGCTTCCCTTCTACTATCGGTCGGGGGGTTGGGTGGACTCAGTGGCGAGGCGTGCGACGAGCAACAGTCCGCCTTGGAATGAGGTCTCATTTTCGAGTTTCACTTATGCAAGCAACCGGCTTTGATGACCTCACGACTACCACACGGAGAATGCCGAGGAATTCGATAACCACTAAGGCTGAAGCTGACTTGCATTCCAATGAGAGCTATAGGGGGGTTGCGTGCAAAGGTTTCAAGGAGAAAAAGCATGTGATTCCTTTCTCGCCTTTAATACTTATCCTCAACTCAGCGTCACGAGTGACATCAGTCAGACCATGTCCACCATCTCCTCCCCTCTCTGAACTTCTCGATGTGAGCTGAAATGGCGGCAGCACCTGGTATAAGGAGGGTGATCGTCCTATACGATGGCACATGGTGCGGCCGCACAACCAACACCAGGAGCAATATCCACCTCCTCGCGACAATGATCGGGGTCAATATGGCAGCGCCACAGCCTTCATACTCCTCGCCACCGGGCTCGCCGCAAGATATACGGGCCAGTTACTTCGACGGAGTCGGCTCGAACGGCAAGTTTACGAACTACCTGTGGAATGGCGCCTTTGCAACGCAGGCGAGAGACGAATGCACCGAGGTTTACAGGTTCATTGTCCAGAATTTCACTTGGGACCACATGTTCACACTGAGGTATGGATGTTCGGCATCAGCCGAGGAGCCTACATTGTCAGATCCGTTGCCGGTTTGATCAACAATTGCTGCATCATCATTATGCAAAATCCAGCGAACATTGCTCTCATCGATCAGGCCTACAGCCTGTATCGGAACCCACACCCAATCCACCACCCATCATCGCCCGAGATGGTCGATTTCAGATCGAGAGTCAGTCACGCAGTACGGACACCAATAAAGTTCATGGGCATTTTCGACACTGTCGGGAGTCGTGGCATTCCAAGGCTGAACTACGACACTGAAACAGGATTCGAGTGGCCCGAGTTTTACAACAACGTGGTGTCGACTGGGGTAGAGAAGGTCTACCATGCCCTGGCGATCCACGATAGGTTTTGGATATTTGAACCATGCCTAGCATCAAGGGACCCGAGGCATACTCCATCAGAGAAAGTTTGAGAGTTGCATTTGGGCTTGCGTCTCTTGAAGAACCTCCAATCGTTGCCCATTCCACGGAAGATCGGGCTGTGTGAAGTATCTTCCTACTAACCAGAAAAGTTTTGGCGCAACATTATAAACTGCACGCCCCTGCCATAGTAACGTAATCCACAAGTGACCCGCCAATACAAGTGACCCGCCAACTTTCCTGTCCCTCTCGTACAAGCTATCTTCTTTCCTCTTTTTCTCCACCAATAATTATGCCACAGCAATTAAACGAAGCCGACATTATTCTAGCGCTAAATGCGCTTCGATCAGACCCAAAATTAAGCGTACTTAAGGCTGCACAGATCTACAATATACCTCGTACGACGCTCCGGGACCGATACCGTGGCGCACAGCGAAAACAAGACGTACGACCACCCTGCCAGAAATTAACTTCGTACGAAGAGGATAGCATCGTACGATACGTACTCGACCTAGATTCGCGTTCGTTTCCACCGCGCCTTAGTGGTGTTCGAGAAATGGCGGATCGACTCCTCCGCGTACGCGACGCGCCACGCGTCGGAACGAACTGGGCCTCGAACTTCGTACGACGACGACCTGAGATCCGTACGCGTTTTAATCGAAGAATCGACTACCAGAGGGTCCTCTGCGAAGACCCGGACGCGTATCGCGCGTGGTTTGAGCTCGTACGAAACATAATCGCGTGGACCGACGCGTGGCGCAGCCCGCTTATCGAGCAGTCGATTCGCCATTTCTCCAACCTCACTTAGCCGAGGAGGATATGCTCGCGCATCCAAGTCGAGAATATAGTCGACAATCGTCTGCTCCTCTAGCTCTGTTAATTTCATCGAATTTGGTAGGCTATCGCGTCGAGAAGGCGTCCCCGTATAGCGGCGGGTAAGCGTTGTTCGAGAGACGTTGTAGATTGCAGCTGCGCGGCGTATAGAAAGGGAAGGATCACGGTCCATAGCTTGAAGAGCGAGATTCAATTGGTTATCTTTAGAAGGGGTCTCCATGGCTGGTTGTTGAGTAAGATGTGTTAGAAGATGGAATTCTAGTGAAGTGATGGAGGTGGCCCACTCGCTATGCTGGCCCACTCGCTATGCATTTACGTTATGCATCGTCCATAAAAGCTCCACCTCCCTCCATTTCTGGCTTTCGTTAACCTTGCCGACGCCCAGCGACCCAATAACTTACAACAGTACAGTGCTACAATATTGACTGGTAGAGGTTCTCCTACCCAAATCACGGGCAATGCCTTTTCCGGTATACGAGCTTTTAGCGCCACGGACACCAAAGGTTACATTATAGAGGCACTTACTAGCAAAATCACATGCAAAGCATTTTGAAAATGCCAATGACTTCTGAAGTAATTCTCCCATGCAATCATCATAGCGGCCCGTACCCTGTGGTTTAAGCTGCTACTGTTTGTATTGGTCCTCGTACATTAGGTAACAACGGCCGTAGCGTGCTGCAACAATAGCCCCGAACCTTAATATTATGCCGAGAGATGCATGTTCGAGGCAAACGGTGAATACGGCCTCATTTCCTGAACGACACGAGTAACGTAATCCACAAGTGACCCGCCAATACAAGTGACCCGCCAACTTTGAAGGCACTCGTACGACAATATATAAGTCAAATCAACCACAACGCCTTAAATCAATTGAAACTATTCAGAATCCTCTTCTTCAGAGGCAGATACAACTTTCTGACACGTACGAGCATTATGGCCGGGCTCGCCGCAGACGCCACATCGTCGCGCGCGTGTTTCGGGCCTCCTCGTACGACCACTATTCTGACTCGTTTCCGCCCTTAACTGCTCCGTCGCGTCGATTTGAGCCTTCAAATCTTTTGCCTGGTCAATCGTTAGGGACCCTCCTTTCTGGAGCTGTTTTCTTTTCGTACGACGACGGCGGCTAAGGCGGTCGTTTGCATCTCGAAGTTCGGCGAGGTCATGGCGCATAAGGGTCTGCTCGTGCACCATCATTGTGATTCCTTTTCTCAGCTGCCGTAGGCTCTCAATAATGGACGACGGAGAGCTATTCTGGTGTCGTACGATGCGATTTTGAATATACTCCGTCTGCGATTCGGCCTCAATTGGGTTGTTCGGCGTCTTTGAAACCCATGGGGGTGGTAGTCCAGCAGAGGAACCTGGCGGTGTCGGCGTATGAAACTTCATATCTAGCTGCGAAATCACATAATTCGGGTCGTACGGTACTAGGCCAGTTGCTCTAAAGCCTGCCTGGATGTTTGACTTTGTCATCGCAGCGTCGTACGCCTTATAAAAGGCTGGGAGGAAGTCCTCCTTCGAAACATGGGTTACGTGCGCCCGCATAAGACCTTCGATTTCTTTACCGTACGCCCGTTTTAGAGGTCCAAAACACCCAACATCGAGAGGCTGGAGCTTATGCGACGAATGAGCAGGCATACAGAGCGTTACAATGTTCTGTTCCTTGCAGTAGAGCTCGAAGTCGACGGAATGGTGGCTCTCGTGGCCGTCGAGGATGAGGAGGCGGTGGGTACCCTTCGTACGACTCTTCGTATGGAAATCGAAGTGTTTTACCCATTCTAGACCTCTCTCGTTCGTCGTCCAGCCATTGTCTGAAAGCGCGATTACCCAGTCGGCCGGTAGAGGGCTATTCGCAGTCCAGGAGTCGAGGTGGACCTTCCCCGCGAAGATGATATATGGTGGGATCGAATAGCCGTACGACGCGATGCCCTGGATTACTGTAACCCATTCCTGATTACCTTGTTGTACGGCTCTTGGCTTGCCGCGTCGATCGGAGGTCGTAACGACAGTTTCGGCGGAGATCTTACCCATCGCGAAGCCCGTTTCGTCGAAGTTGTAGATATCGTCATCGTGGATCCCGACATATGAGACGACGCCCGTGACCAGCTACGTATTTGTTAGCGGGAGGTACGGCGGTAGTCTGCTCCTACAGAAGGGTTAGGGAGTCCTACACTGGAAAAAGCCATGAATGTGATAGCCATGCGGACTGGCTGCTCCTGCTTCTTATACCACATGGTATTCAGGATGGTGACAGCTGGGAAATAGAGGCGCTTCGAAGACACCCATGAGAAAACGAAGCGCCATGAGGCCTGCCGCGTTCTGAGCTGCGCCAAGACACATCACGAGAATACCCCAAACAACGACAGCAGCTCCGACCGTCTTGCCCACCGGGAACTTCTGCAGAACGACGCTGCCGGGGTATTCCGCGATAAGCCAACCGAAATAGAAGATCGAGCCGACTGGTGAAAGAAAGGAGTCAGTCTGGGTATTCCGCTCCGTGCAACATGTCCCGATGGTTGTCGTGGTTATGGCTGTGACTCACCCCAACTGTATTGCTGGCCGACCAGATGCGTGTCCGTCGTCATGCCGTATAGTGCGGCGTTGGAGATGAGGATTTTCTACTGCATTGTCAGCACGGCCGCCTCTGCCGTGATCAGCCACAGGCTGTTGTTTCACGGATGGGGAAGGCCATACATCAACCGCAGCAATGGTAATGGTGCCGATGATGAGCGGCATGAGGCGCCAGTCGATCTTGCGGAGCACAGCTCCAGCCTCTGATGGCTCGTAGTCTGCCCACTCGCTGTGCACGCGGAGGTAGGCAGCCGCTGGCTCCTCCTCGAGGACGATGGGGGCCTTTTCGGCGACATCCACTGCTGCAAGATCGCCCAAGCGCGGGTCCACCTCGATGTGGCTCTCGCCTTGGCCATCGCGTCTCCAGCCGTCGCGTTCATGGTCAGAGTGCCAAAGCAGAACTTTATGGTACAAGCAGCGGAGAGTGCAAGAGTGCCGAAAGGTATTGGAGGAATGAATGCAGGCCGGACCCCAATGAACGACTGATAACAGGGGACATTGCGAGAATTCTGGCCGAGATATATACCTGGCGGCGTGCTCAGAGGGCATGGAAACGTCGACTACGGGGGGAGTCCACGCTAAGGGCACGCCAAGAGTATTCTCGACCTTGGACTCTCCATTGAGCACCGCCCTCACACACAGATACGTCGTCGTCGGCTGGTGGTGCCCGATAACGATGTAGCTGGTCTCTACGAAGTGCGCCCACCTTCCCCACATCTGCTATCGGCTCCTAGCCATGCCCACGCATCATATCACGCCTCCACCAGCGCGGACTTATCAGCGGACTTTTGTGCGACGCGGTCGTCTGTACCCCATTGATGCCGCCACGGCTCGGGGGACGGAGTCAAGCTCAGTTGGATTCGATGTAGGTCTCGGAGAGGCAAGTACTGGAGACCCACAGCCAGCGCTCTCCCTCCGCCGAGTGTGCCGACGATCTGTGTGCGCTTCGCACTTTCTCATCCTCAAATGAGGTCTTCTTGCAAGGCCCACATTCCGGTCCGTACTCTCATTATATATCCACATTAATACGAAGAATCTCGATCCGGGGCCGGTAGTTGAAGGACGCTTCTTGGGGTTTCAAACGCAACCGCTTCGCAAGAGCGGCAAAGTCCTCCGGATATAGCAGGAGCGGGCACTTGTAAATTGCTGCCAGGGCAGGCTCGAAAAAGATTCGATCACATCTGGCCATTAAAAGGAGGGAGCGCCGGGTCTCGTCGCATTCCTTATACGATGCATTCGGATCCCGCAAAGGTGCAGCCACATACTCGAATATGCGCAGCCAAACATGGTAAGGTAGGTCATTGCCAGGGTAAGTGAATGTCGGCTGTTTCAGCTTGACCGAGTCTTTGAAGTTCGCCTTTGACCGTCGAGATCCTTGTGCTGTGGACGCTTTGTCCGTCCCTCGCATGCGCTTCCGAGCAGTCCGAGACGCAGCCCTCGAAGGGCGTTTTCTATTGACGGTTGGCTGCTGTACCGGAACTGGCTCAACGTCATCTGAGAAGCTTTGATCTGTGTCTGGAGAGGCGAGGAGCGCTGCGGCTGCGCGAGTGTGTCGAGCTGGCTTCTTGATTTTGGCGGCACGAGGAGGTATAGATCGCAAGCCGCGACTCGGCCCGGTATTAGGCATGGTTGTTGCGAGCAGTGAGGTCCATTAGGAGTAGCTTGGCTTGCTAGTCGAAGAGGCAATGGCTAGACTGGACTGGAATCTGCAAAGCTGGAGCATGAGAGGTCGGGGACCATGGCAATAGGCTGTCGAATATTGAAGCGCGCGAGAGGTGGAAGAGATATGATCGAGGATCACGAATCGCGGGGGTGCAGTCGTCGTGAGGCGGTCGTGTGAGAATTGTGTTGAATAGGGCGTAGCATTCGTTCAAGTTGGAAGTGGAACAATAGGATTGAAGCACTGACGACTGCACAAAGCAAGTGCAGATCCGCCTGCAGGCAGGCAGGCAGCCGCTGGCCCACAGTGCCCGCGTTACGCACCCCGCTGTGGCTCCCTGCAGACGAGCTCCAGGGGGGAATGGAGGCTGCGGTGGGGCATGTCACGCCATCCCGTCTTCGCATGGGCAAGCTTTATCATGCACTCCACCACGATTCTTGCGATGTTGCAGTTCTGTACCACTGGCAGTTACTGGCCTCGCCGGCTTGTTAAATAGAAGGTGACGAAGCATACACAGGTGCATATTTATCAAGGAGAATCATACCGGGGGTAACGCTAAGGGTTGAGTTGTCTCCTCTAAGGCGCAGACTGGCTCTATCGCCAGCTCATCTGGAGTTGAGCTAGGCTCGTACTGAAAGATCTGGTGAAGAAATCAACCACAGACTCGCTTGCGACTCCGGGCTTTGCGGTCGCTGAGCCCAGACGATGCCATTGATTGTTCACGAGCTCGTAATAGTAAGCCAAAGAAACTGCAAGTCGTCATTTACTTCGCCGGCAGATGTGACGCCCTTGCTGTAACCTTGGAGTGACTGCAATATTGGAACTGGTGCCGTTGATCTACGCCATGCAGCTCTATGAATCGCCGCCCTGAAAGCATTGAGTTCAAGGATATCACCGTGTAGTCTATCGTGACACTGCGCCAGGTGTAATTGGAACGACAGGCGTATCTTCAACAGTGTGTATGGGATCACAGGCACTGTGCGCTTGATCCCAGACAGGCACGCCCCCTGGCCGTAGCGCCGTTGCACGGTACGCGTCGCTTCTTTCATCGCCAGCCAGCTCCCACGCGCTTCACTTTCCGGCCCGAGATCATCTTCACTCTGCGCCTCATCCTCGTTCAGTGTTCTCGCACCGTTCCCGTCGCTCTCTTACACTCACGTGTCTCGGGCAACACGTCCACATCGCCACGCAAACGAGCGCGTTTGTGTGTTGCGCATTGTCCCCCATTATTCTTGTTTCCTTTAGTCATCCTTCATGCACATCAACTCCAATTAAGCAACACGTCGCCACGCCTGACTCTCATCTGGCTGCGTCGGCACAAGCGGATAATCCTGTCTTTCGCGCCGCCACGAGGCGTCTTCTCTCCAGTGCCGTGCGGGAACTTGGCACCTGGCACTGTATAGTTGAAGCATGCGTGCTTGAACCGCCGTCCTGTCCACGTGCGCGCCGTGTGCAGCGGGGGACGGTTGCCGTCACTCATGGTCTGCATAAGTGATCACAGCTATCAGTCATAATCAAGGAGTCGCGCCGTCGTGGCAGGCTGCTCTCATGGTCGGTCCACCTCAGACATGGCAGCTACGACACCATTCAAGCGCGACTTCCCATTCCTCCACCGGGCATGGAAGACCGCCGTCGGCCATCTGTCGCCGTATGCTCCGGAGGGCATCTTCACAACAAACGGTGAACATGGCGTCACCGGCAATGGCGACGACGCCGGGCATCGGCCAGCAAAGCGGCGCCGCCTCTCGCAGAGCTCGGCAGACCGAGGTCTCGGTGACTTGGTTGGCAAAATTCTGCCAGATGAGCCCTGCCACTTTGAGAAGGCTTTGCGTATTGAGGTGCTTAAAATCACTCAAAGGGGCGGGCCGGTCCTCACTCCGGACTCATCCACCAAGGACGCCAGCGCTGGATCTCCAGTCAAGAAGGACAAGGTGACCACTTCTGTTAGATGTCGCTGCAAGTTGATCATCTGTCGCGCGCCACGTCCAGAAGAGCTTCGGATCCTCTACTGTGACAGCCAAATCTGCAACGTCAAGGTGCCGTCAGATGCTGACGGGGGTCGCCGGATGGCTCGGATCTACCTCACCAAGCCTTTCCATATTCCCGCGGAGAAGATCTATGTTCTTCGAGAGGACGACGATCTCTTCACCTTGGAAGACTCTTACTTTATCTCTGTCGAGTTGGAGTCAGCTGGCGACCCGAACTGGCCTCCGCAAGCTCTCCTTGCCAAGGAGCAGCGAGATGACGCAAAGGACGCAGGAAAGCGCTGGGTTCTATCGGCCCAGACAACATACCAATTTGACAAGCACCGGACAACAGCGCCCGTGAAGCTCAGGAGAAAGGTCGGCTTCGAGGCCGATGCTGGTTTGGATTTGGACATCGATCTGAGATGGCCAACCAACCATGCAGGCGCGCCTCTGCGCGCAAGGCCAGTCGAATCGCCTTCAGAGGTGAAGGCGGCAGCAAGCGGTGCTCTAGAAACGCTCACGAGTGGCCAACTCAACCAGAGCGCTGAGACTGAGAACATCATACGTGCAGGGGATGGTCACGAACCACCACCGGATGAAGATTTTGACGAGACTGGAGAAGCAGTCACGCCAACACGAGCTCTTAGACAGAAGAAGAAGCAGATTTACAACCTCAAAGCCTTGAGCGACAAAGCCCGCGGGAAGGGCCTGAAGGAACGGAAACAGCAAGTCAAGGCCACAGAGAGTGGCCTCGAGGCGGGACGCGTGACCTGGGTGCTTCCACAACTCGGTCAAGTCACGACGGCTGACTTCGGTTGCATTCGATGTTATGCCACGCATCCATCTCAGGCATTGCTTCTGCAGCACACAGAGGATCATCCGGAATTCAAGTTCAGGCTCGACTTGAGTGGGAAGCACGGCATGAGGATCTTGATATCACAACATGGCCAACCCACACCAGAGCCAGAAGATGCGGAAAGTGAGCCGGCACGGGAGATGACTCCGCGGAAACAGCCCAAGCCTCGTGTATCGCATCAGAAGCAGGTAAGTTCCTGGGCCCCGATCAGTGCACTTGTCCTACAACAACTAATGGATACAGCAGCGCTTGCTTCCTGTGAAGCCAAAGGACCCGAGGCAGCTGATCCCGGACAACAAGCAGCCGCTCTACAACCGCGTGACGAAGGCAACGCTCGCACCTGGGGCCTTGATAGAACCACCACCCGTGGACGACTCCTGGCTGATGCAAAAACACCGGGATGTTATTCTTGACTACAGCGACGTGCATGCAGAGGAGAAGGAGTACATCTGCGAGTGGGATGCGTTTGTCCTGAAGCAGCGTATAACATCCGAGCCTCACCTTCAGAATGTCTACCTCAGCTTCATCGAGGAGAAGGCGTCCTGGCTCACTTCACGGCAAAGTCGCATGATAGAGTTCGCCAAGCATCTCACTTATCTGAAGGCCCGAAACTCACTGACACAGGAGACGATCATTAAAGCATTTGCAATGTTGCGAGACGCAAAGGCGGACGCGGAGGAGGTTTCATCTGAGGAGCCAAAACCGGCGTCACCAAGGGTTGAAGGCAGGAGGTCTGCGTCAGGTTGTGGCGTGTGTGGTCAGCCAGTCCGTGGTCCTTCGACGCTGATATGTGATAATGAGGTACGTTTCTATATTGAGGTGTGGTGTGCAGCTTGGCTGACTGATATCGCAGGATTGCGATCGACCCTTTTACCACGAGGACTGTATCCGCTCGGAGGCGAAAATGCCTGTAAGCAGTCGCCGATGGCGGTGTAATGGATGCCACGAGGACGCAATGGTGGTCGATTGAGAGTGCGCACCAAACGCCACATTTCATCTACTATGGGGCAGGACAAGGCCAGCGAGGGCGACGAATATGATGCTAGATACACCACCCACAGGAGGGCTGGCTACGCATCAACGAGATCAAGGCCGTGGAAGCTAACATCCTGGCACGCCTACGGGCTGAATGGAGAGGCAGGTGTGGCATGAGATGGAGCCTAGTCACTTGATGCTTGGAAGGGCAAGCTCAAGTTTGAATACAGATTTATGTCGTAAAGGGGAGAAGCTCTCCTACACACCATTAGAGCGTTGGCACCGAGAATAGGGGCGGAGCACATGCAGACACGTGCTCTCTGGGATGACTTGGTGCGAACTATTTTCGAAGACACTTTCGGCGGTGCTAAGCCGGGGCTCTTTTACTGTCGAAAGTCAATGCAATATACCATCATACAGTCGTCCACGGGTCTTCTGCGCGAGAGTCTGAATGCCGGCGCCTCTTCATGTTTATGGAGAGTAGGCTACATGGAGAGAGAATGGGATATGATTTGGTGAGGCGAAAATCTTGCATGTGGCGGATATGCATTCAATAGTCACATCTGGGATGATTGCCCGAAATCCTCGTGTAACGTTTATGATTTGCTAGAACGACAGCCCTTGTGCTATATACCTTGACCAACTACCTGAAAGGCGTCAGGCCATTCTATCACAGCACTAAGGCGGCAAACGCAAGAACAGCCAACAGCGCCAGCACGTACCCTTTGACCTGGCAGTTGAGGGGATACATTTCGCCCTTCTTCCACTTCGCGATGGCGGTCTTTATTCTGTGCTTGAGACAATCCAGCCAGGGCGGCGAGGCGGTGCGCGAGGTGCCTGACCATAGTACTGGGGAGGTCATGGTTGCCGATGGAGCCGTTGGAACCACAGAAGGATAAGAAGGGGACGGATTCCGCAAGCGACTTCCATGCTGGGCATGGGCCTGAACTGTATCATGAGAAAACTGCACGTCTGGAGAGGCGTGACAGATTGTGCCTCCGTTTCTATTGTTGGAGGAGAGCACGGCGCTAGTTCCTGCGGCCTTCAGTCTCCAGTCCCTCTCTGTATTTGGACTTCCTGTTGTTGTCCTTGTTGTCCTCGTCGTCGGGGTCGGGGTCAGATCTGGACCTGGCTGCTCGTCTGTACTTCTCCCGTGCTGCGTAGACCAGGCTGACGCCCAGGCAGTAGACGGACAAGGGGAGGACCACGGGCCAGCTGATGATGGACCTTGGTCTGACAGCTGGCACAGAAGGCTCGTATTGTTAGCTTTGTGCCCAGAGTGGTGGCTTCTTGCGGTCGTCATTCTTTTCCCTCAAAGCAGTGGACTGAGCATGGGCCTGAGCGGGACTGACTTGGCTTCTGCACTTACATGAGGATGGGCATTGTTTACCGGCGGTTTCGCAACCATGAAAAGTCGCGCGCTCTTCCAACTTATCGCCGAGAAAGGTCCACTTGTCCTCGGGGGCACTGCGCGCGACATTGGTGTGAACCGGCTCCAATGTCGACTCGGTTGCCGACGGGGACGCGATATTGGGTGGCTGCCAGCCTGGGCCGTGGACGGGAGGGAAGACGGGAGGGATTTCTGTGCCCGTGGGAACGGGATGTTCGTCGGTCATGGTGGGGACGGCGAGCTGGCGAGCTTCGTGGACCAAGGTTGTGATGGGGAATGCTAGGACATGAGCCGGAGGGTTCCAGGGAGGGATCGTATAGACGACATCCTCAGAGCCTGACATCGACCGGAGTGTGACGGTCAAGTTAGACTCCTCTTGTATAAAGTCCGTCGGTCGTGGGATGGGGGGAACCGCGATGGGCAGCATGTGGCTAGGCGCGGCGACCTCGGACGTTGCCGTTGTGTGCAAGGACGACATGATGCCGCCGGAAGGCACAGCGGCCGTGAGAGGAAGGCTGGGCACCGGCACTATGCCAGAGGCAGTGGTGGCAAGAGTTGTGTTGACGGACATGTCGCAGTGCGAGTGAAGTTGTGACTCGAGCTATTGTTGTCTTGTTTGGTTGGGAGCGGTATCCTAGGCCGATTCGGTGCCAAGTAGGCTGGGAGTCTTGGTATCCGAGGTTATGATGCCTAGAATTGTGTCTCAAGAGATGGCATCGAAGGGTGTCAGGCATAGTTCTTTATGTACATTTCCGTCAGAAGGGCTTTCTCCGCAGGTCAAGCCAGCCAAGCGAGGGCCATGGTTTTGTCTTGTGACGCCTCCAAATACCTATCTCCGTTGCCATCACTGTCCTTCTACCACCGACTGCTTTTGAAATATCTCCATGGCAAGTGGGATACCCCTTTGGCATGCAGGCACACATGGATTAGATCCTCACGTGGTGCAAATGGTACAAACCAGGAAGCAGGTTAAATGTAGCCTCGCTTTGCCATTCATGTCCCAGTACGACTTGGGGAAGCTTTATGTAGGCTGTCCTTCGAGCGTTTCGCATTGACTCATGCTTCCTGCTGGGTATGATGACTCCTCAAAGCCTAGTGCATCACATCGTGCCTCATTCCTTACCATCACCCATTTCTTCATCATCGTCCTCTTCATCATCATCCGCAGCTGCTTCACCGTTCGCATCATCATCATCGTCCTCCTCTTCCGAGCTCGTCCCCGAGCCATCGCTGTCACCGTCACTGCCCGGATCGTAGTCTTCCTCGTCTTCATCCTCATCATCTTGGAGCTGCTGCTCCGCCTCTTTCTGTGCCCGCTCCAGCTCTGTCAGGCCGTCGTCCTCGCCAGCAGCCTCCTCGCCGTTCGCGCCATTTGCGCCTTCCTCTCCCTTCTTGCCCTTGGAGTTCTCAATCAGCTCTCTCTTGGCCTTCCGCTGGTCCGCCATGTTGCGGTCTTGCAGACCGTGGCGTGCAACATAGTCTCCGTTGATACCGCCATAGTCTTCCTGGTCTAGCATGGAAAACTCAATCTCCTCCGTCTCCTCCTCGCCGTCTACTTTCTCGCCCGTGAATATCTCCACAACCATGTTGAATGTCCGCTGTAGGACACTGGTGTAGCTTACGGACGCAATGCGGTCCAGCGGAATAAACATGAGCGGCTTCTTGAAGCCCCAAAGAATGCCGTTCTCCAGGAAGAACAGGTAGCCGTCCTTGGATCCTCGGAACGCCTTGACGTGCACGGCTTGCTCTTTCGGCCGGTGTGGCTGCTTTATCATGCTGTGGAACTTGGCCGGGTCCGCCGCGACAATTTGCACATTGTGTCCCGCTGCTTGTAGGCATTTGTTGATTGCCCAATGGAGGAGCGTGGTGAATGTGTCTGACACAGAGGCCGCTGCTGCCGCGTTCGGGCCGCCTATGGCTCCTGGTTTGGGGGCACCCGCAGGGATCGTGAACATCAGCGGGTCTTCGGGCGCAGGGCTATTTTTCGTAGAAAAGTACGAGTTTCGTGGGAAAAGGATGTAGTTGTGTTGTATCTGGGCCTTTTCCGGCACTGGCAGGTAGAACGCATATTCTGCAGATCAAGACTGTGGTCAGCGCATGCTTTCGTCTCCCCTGCTGCGTGATCACCCAAATAGTGAGACTGTACCTATGTTCTTCCATGCAAATATAGCCCCTGTCACGGGTATCGTGGTGCCTGTCGCCCTGGCATAGATGTGCTGCTTTGTGAAACACAAGTCAAGCTTCTTGCGCTGCGGTATGGATACTGAGATATCCTTGACCTCAAGCAGTGTGCTTTCCGCGGCCACATCTTGCGCTGAAGGGACCTCCAAGGCGCTGCCATTTTTCGTCGGCTCAATGTCGACGCGCCGTCGCTTGAGCGAGGGCTCTGAGCCTGTTGTGGACGACGCAGAGGTTGTCTGGCCGTGTATGAAGCTGGCGACGTCGTCGAAGAGCTGAATCCGCACATCGGAATCGGCAGCGTGCCGGATACCCTCGAGGATGTCAGGACGAGACCGGAAGACCTGAGTCAGCTGCTCCAGGTCGAGCTTTGCGGCCATGGCTGGCGTACTTGGCGACCGAAAGGGTCGCGGAGAAAGTGGTTGTTCGAACTATGCGCCGGTTCTGATCCAGGCAATCGCTTTTCGGGGGGCGAATTGGGCTTAGCCCGAGGATTGTTGGTGGCCAGGAAGCAGTGGCAAGTCCCAGCCTATAATGCCTCGACAAGTGTAGGTGGTGATGCGCTGTTGAAGATGGCGAGTTTGTGTACCTGGGTACAGCGTAGGGAATCCTAGGCGACATGATAAGAGCATTGCCACTCTTGTTTATGTTCGGATTTGGGACCAGCGGGTGTGTTGGAATTGTTGGTTCGGCCTAAAATATGCCTCACCTCGACCTGCGGGCGGGAATGTCCAGAGACTAAATAGAGGCCGTGTGTCAATACAGCTTCGCCTGCCGCAAGCTAAAGGCATTATACTAGCGCAACATTAGCGCAAATGGTGTTCACATGCAGGCAACGGTACTCACGCAATGCTCCTTCCTGTGACCGTGGTTACATTGTGTGCCGACCATGAGGTTTTAAGAGTGCCATACTTCTAACTAAGTAGCGTAGCGAGGAAGTTTATCGGGTAGCTTGAGCAACGCTGCAGTGCCCTCTTAACGTAAGGGCATGGGTTCAAGCTGCTTCCTGCCTAATGCTCGTAGCGCCGACGCCGATGACAAAAGAATATGAGCAATTCACACTCGGCTTGCAAACGTGTCATATGCCGCAGCTAGAAGCCCTATTGAGATGTAATTCGCCATGGCCACCCCACCGCCATTGGCCGTAATGAGGTTCTGCACCGCCATCTCGAATTGGCCAGGGTGTTCCACGTCCAGCCTGTGTCCGCATATACAGAGGCATCCCTGGTTGCGCGCTTCTTCTTCTTAGACGTGGTGTTCTGTGCTCCCGCCCCGCCCTTGCGCTTCCTTGGTACTCGTTGCCCTTGGGGAGATTGTGGTTGGCGTCAGTGAGGGGTAATCTCCTATTCGGCGCCCGGTGGTGCGGTGATGCGCGGGTGAGCCTTTTCCGGAGCCTCTTGGCAAGAGTCGCCAAGGCTAAGCCGCCTTCTTCTTCTCGCATGTTGGTCTTCCTCTGGGTTGGGTGATTATTGCGTGAAGGTCTATCAGTCTCCGCTGCCGTGCGCGAGAATGCCGTCACTTATAGCAAATAAATTTCTCGGGTGTATGTGAACGACGTGTCTTTCCGTGGGAGAACTGCCGGATGCGCGGTTCTGAGTGCAGACGCGGGTTCGCACCACACGTTCATACCTGGCGCAGCCAGTTGCGCCCTATTGTCTTGCCATGTTGCTTATGGCTTTGTCGCTGCGCCATTCTCTTGACAATCACGTGTGTGGCCATTACCTCTGACTCATTGCTTGGTGCGTTTGTGCCTGGTTACATAAGCACGGTAATGCTGGCAGGCCACGCCCTCGGTGTCGTATCCACTCCTGCAACCCACCCCCGGCTATTGGGTCTACCAGCGTCGTTTTAGCTTCGCTCGTGCAGTCGGCGCATTTTGCCGTGATTGGCCAGGCGTGACTTGGAGTTCTGGCTACTGCCGTGGACAAGGTGATCACGTGCCATGTAGACGACATTCAAGCTCCCAGACATACTTGGAATGCTTCGGTGATACTTTGGATGTCTAGCTCACACCGGTTGCTCCTGTTATAGTGCTGGGTATCTCGAAGGGCTGGCCTGGCTTCCTGGTAGTTCGTGTATAGCGATTTCATTCCGGATCCTGCCCATTATCTTGTCGGATTGAACATTAGTATTTGGGCAACACGCAGGGCTGTGTCGTCAGCATTCTTCCGAAGACTTGCGGGATGGTGATTTGGGCCCGGTATGTCGTGGCTGGCCAACCTTTCAGCAGCCGCAACCCTGTTTACTTAGAGCAATATAGTACTGCCGATCCGGTGGATTACTATTCTATCAAATTGAATACTAATAGATCATAGGACGCGATAGTGCTTCTTTGCTCTGTATTATGAAGGTGCATACCGCCATCATCCCGCTTGGTTCGCATGGAGGGGAGTGTAGATAGCGACACGTATGGAGGACAACTTCTCCAAGGGTGGTGTTTATTATCTCAATCTCGCAATTTGCATGTTCACGGGGCGGTGCCCGACAGGCCCATTCGCCTGATGAGAGGTTTCCACCATGGTACTGAAGTGCTGAGACTCGCTATTTTGTCTAATGCGCCGTAACTACGTGCCATAGAGCCGAGCGAGGTGATTTCTTTGTCGCTGTACACGATTTGACATGTTTGTTCCCCAGGCTCAGCACTCCATCTCTGCTCATCAATGCGTGACGGTCAGGGACGCTTGGCTGCCTTGTAAGGCTGCCCCTACCCGTCCCTGCCCGTCGTCTATCATACCCTTCTAGCTGTTGAGAACCTTCCGACAGGAGGGACGCCTACTGTCTTATTCCACCCCGGATTTGAGTCGGTTTTTCAGGGTTCAACAAGCCCCACATATGTAATGCCGATCGTGCATCCCTCGACGTCCCTCTTATTCCCATGTAGGACATGCCATGTCCTACGAACGGTCTGTGCACGCAGCAAATCCATCTCATTCCAGCCCCTTTTCCAAGCGGATTTAAGTCCACTCTTAACCCTAAATTTTCCCAGATTCCTCCCTAGATCGTATACCTCAGCTACGCCTTTGGTAGATTCCTTTTGAAATCAGGCCATTGCCAATCATAGTACAGCTAAGGCAGCCTCACGGATGATTCGACCCGGGCTCCCTCCCACCCCGGCGGCGTATGCACGACACAGGCGGACTTCCTCATACACAGGATATGGCGTTCGCCGAGTCCTAACAGATTGAATCCGCTGGGCTCAACGCCAAACCCATCATCTCCGTCAGGCAGCTCATCGCCCCCAAGCAGCTCAGATCCCTCAGGCAGCATGACCAGGACCCATTCCAATCGTGGCAGCCTGCGATCGTCAAGCATCCCGTCCAGCGCATTTAAATACATCTGTGCGTTTTCAAAGTCCGGCATGGTGATCCAGAACCAGCGCAAGCTAACCGGCAAGTAATCACAAAGGTCCGGCTGCTCGGTTATATCCTGGCCGAGCAGTGCAGCAAGGGGCATACGCAGCGGCTCGAGGCGCGTCCAGTTGTCCCTCAAAGACCCGATCGCGCCTCTGTCGTGTCCTTCGAAGTCGGCATCGGAGACGTTCTCCTGCTCGAACTCGAAACGGCGCAGGTTCCTGGCGTAGTTGTGGAGTACAGTACCGTACTCCGTGAAATCGAACGGTTCGCGCTTCCCTTCGTGCTCACATGCCTCCAGAACCAGGGTGTGGAGATTAGGATAAGCCACAAGCATCTCCCGCACTCCATCGGGTTTAGTAGGGTAGTTATCGTAGAGTCTGAGGCTCTTCGTGTTTGGATGGGAACCTGGGAAGGTATATTTCGTGGGTGGCCAACCAGGTACTGCTTGGTTGGTTTGAATCCCAGTCCTCTCAAGCCGAGAGTTGTTGTGGTCATCGTCGCCCCTATCGGCCTCGTCCTCTTCATCTGCCTCGTTGGCCTCTGAGCTTGTATCCGCGCCTGTGCCGCCCCAGTCCATTCCGGAAAGGTCCAATGTCTGAAGCCCGGGATACAGCACCAGCGGCCGGATGTTCGCTGAGTCGAAATAGACATGGCCGGGGCCAAGGGTTTCAACGAACAAGTACAGAGAACGCAGCTCCGAGAGCGGCACTGGCATTCTCGACATCATATCTCCGCCTGATCCCCCTTCGTGTCGAATGGGGTGACGGTCTCCGCACAACTCAAACAGTCGCGCAAGCATGTCAGGCGTCTCCTGCGGGAACATACCAACGTTCAACTTCTCGACATGAGGCGTCAGAAAAAGTGTCAATGTGAGGCAGGCCGTGTCCAGAAAGTAATAGGGCATGTCCTTGTCGTCCCTATCGGGGTCCAACTCGGGAGGAATCAGGTGTTCCAGCAACGCATCAAGCGCCGGCCAGCAATACTTGTGCCTCACAAGTCCACGGAACTGATCGTGGAGAAGGCTCTTTACGGCTCCGCGCTCATCCCAGAATAAGCCGCCACTATGCCCGTCGATGACGCGTACGTGATCGCCTAGCTCGGGCCGGTTGCACAGTGTCTCGAGGACCTTGCGCGTCGGGAGGTGGAGATGGCAATACAGTAGAGGCTCCGCGATGCGGCGGAACAAACGAGAGACGCGGCTCGCACAAGACAGGCTTCTGATGCTGAGCTGCATGTCGGTCGGAACGAGGTTGCTGAGAATGATCAAGATGATCTCGTCAGGGAGGTGGGGTGGCATTGTGAGTTCGTGAGCTGTGTACGTGCTCGAGATCACGGAAAGATTCAATCTGCGGAGAACAGAACACCATTTATACATTATCCTCATACCCGAGGAACTTGAGCATCGTCTTAAAGCAACCGTGCAATGCAGCCGTCAAATGGGGCTCGTCAAACCAGCGAGAGCTCTACCACAAAGCCACAATATGGGGAGCCAACTACATCGCTAAGCGGTAACTCGATCCCTGAGACTGCGAACGGTTCCCATTGGCTAAACGTGCAAGCATTGCATGAGTGTGAGTGGAGTGTAGGGGGACAGCCAAGTAAAACGATAAGCGGGAACTAAGTGGGTCGATGTCTGACCTGCTACAGTACTGTCTTGCTCCACGCTTCAAGAGCAGCTCCGTCATGCGTCCTTTCATCGACTCAATCACCCAGATCAGGGCAGTCTTCCCCCAGCGACCCGCCACGTTGATATCAGCACCTCGGTCTAACAGGAGCCGCACCAGCTTCGTGCCGTTGTTCCAGGCAGCCCAGTGCAGTATTCTTCGACCGTGATAGTCCTCCGCGTTGATATTGGCCGCTTTGGTAGCGAGATAAGTAGCACTGTCATTCAGCCAGTATTTTCCCGCGAGAAGCAGAGGCGTCCACCGATGAACCTTTGCTTCATTGTCGGCACCGTTCTCGAGCAGCAGCTTCACCAATTCCAAACCTCCCTCGCTGCAGGCTGCATAATGCAGCGCCGTCCATCCGTTGCGGTCGGGCTTGTTGACAATCGCACCGTTTTGCAAAAGCAGCTGCATGATGTCCGTATGACACAAGCTTGCGGGCACGGTCAAGTTGAGCCTCCGACATCGCCCTCGGCGTCGATATCCGTACCAACTCCAAGAGCGCGAGCACCATTTCGGCCTTTCCGGTACTGGCAGCGTACTGTAGACAGCTGACCACGGTGCTCCCAGCCGACTTCTCCTGGGCTTTCTCGTCACACATAGCCTGTACCGCGCCGTCTTGTAGCAGCTCTGTCATCTGCGCAACAATCTTAGGCCCGTCCTCCGTCCTGTCCACCAACAAGCCCACCATCGTGTCATGCTTTCGGAGGACCGCAGCGTGAAGTGGCGGCCACCCGTCCACGTCCTCGGCGTCCACTCGGGCAGCTTTCGCCAGCAACAGCTGCACAATTCCTTCCAGCCCCTCCAGCGACGCGACATGGAGGGGCGTGAAGCTATTCTTGTCTGCCGCATTGACGTCGGCGCCGGCCCCGATGAGCACTTTGGCAACCTCCTCCTGCCCTTCTTGCACCGCCCAATGGAGCGCCGTTCTGCCCTCATTGTTCTTGGCGTTGACGCGAGCCCCCTTCTCCAGGAGCAGCCGTGTCATTGGCACGTGCGCAATGGCCCAGTGAAGAGGAGCGTTTTGGTACGCGTCTAGACCGTTGACATCGGCGCCCCTCTGGAAGAAGCCCCGCACTGCCTCTACGTAGCCCAGGGGCACCGAGAATGTCAGCGGAGTGCTACCTTCGTTGTCCCTTCCGTCAATCTCGGATTTCTCGCTGCTGCCGTCATCCAGAAGCATCTGGATGATATCAACGCATCCGGCCCCTGCGGCGAGGATGAGGGCTCGGTTACGATGCGCGCGCTTCGGGCCAAAAGTGTGGCTGAGAAGGGGGCCAGCTCGGCGTATCCACCTATGGTAGCCCAGTGGAGAGCTGTCCATCCAGAGGAATCCTCTTCAGTGCAGTGAATGGTGTTGGGTGAGTGTCTCTGGTGATAGGACAAAGTTGCCCCTTTCGATGCCTGAGCCGCGACCTCGAGCAGCCGCTCGATAGGAGAGAGACTCTGCGAGAGGAAGGCCCTGAACCTGTCTGACCTGGATCCGCTGTGTCGGCGTCCTAGAAACATTCTCTCGTTCTTATTAACTTTGTTCAGGATGTCGTCGATGGTGCTGACGCTGTTCAACGTCGCCAGCCGAACGCCTGCGGTCATCTCATACCGATCGATAGCGCCTTTCCAGATTTTCGACGTCTCAATTACTCCAGCCGTTATAACAGGGCCGACGAGCCCCGGGGTGCCGGCCATCTTCGTAGACCGAGATCGGTTCGTCATGTGTGGTAGGCCGCTTATCCATAGTGTTCGGTGTTGATTTTGTCCAACAGAGAAACTCCTGGCAGACCCCAAGCGCGTACGCCGCCAGTCAAGACTGGCCCCGCATCCCCCGACCTCCTGAACGGAAGCGTACGCGCCCAGTGATGTGTCCGGGTCACCGCGACGGAAAGCATGGCCGACCCGTTTGCAGGTAAACCTTTCACGTCCTCACCAGCCACCCAGGCTGATTTTCGAATTACCTCGAGACTCACCCAAACAAGCGCCGAGTGACTCGAGTCGAGCGAGAGGAGCTAATCGGATGCCTCACCAATCACCACGCCCCGTCGAAACTATGTGCGGAAGACTTTCACTTGGGATCAAGATGGCCAGATACTTGTGGCGGTTTCGAAGAACGGTGGTGAGAAGCGGACAGTCATCACCGAGGATTGCATCATCGAGGTAGTAGAACTCGTGCATACCTCAAACGGCCATGCAGGATGGGACGCCACATGGAGGGATGTTAATCACTCCTACTACGGCATCATGCGAGCCGACGTGATCTTCCTGCTTAAACTGCGACATTTGCGTATCGAATCCTCGCAAGCGTCCAAAGGGGTCTAACTTGACAAAAGCTAGCCTAGACCGCGCTGGTATAGAGGCTTATGAGCGCTAGAATGGCAACGACCTGCTGAGTCTGGTACATCATGAGGACAGCTTTATGATCGAGGTCTTGCATATGGCGATGCCGTAGGGGCGAACGGGTGGCGAAGAAGATAGTCGGGGGATTTTGATGGGGATTGCGCTGCAGGAGCGGATCTGAACTCGGCGAGGATATTTTGGCTTCTGCGTTCTCTGAGATATCAAATCGAAATATTGGACCCGTTTGTGTCCTCATTGTGCTGCTCCATCTCTTCTCGCGCGCCCTCCATCTGCTCTTTGAGCCACTTGGCATGACTGGAGTGCTCCAAGGGGGTTGTTCCGAATTCTTGGATTTCCACCCTCTTCAACCCTTGCAAAGTGCAAAGGCACTGGATGCCTGCATCATCCTTGAAGGCATTGAATCCTATCTCCTGTATCAGGTCACTGTCAAATTGAAGAGACAAGTGCCGCAGTCGTTTGCACTGTTTCAACAACTGGATACAAGTCGACGTGCTGCGGGAGGGAAGCCTCCTGGGAAGCTGTTCGAGCCCCTGGTCTGAAGATATAACCCAATTATTGGTAGGCTCCAAAATGCTTTCCCAAACTAAGTGCAGCGCTTCGATGTTCTCGCGTCCGATTTGACTAGCTGTAATGAGGAACTTGATAGCGCTTGATAGCGCTTTCGAGGTTATGTAGGCAAAATGTGGTGCGGCGATAGGCGAAGGGCAGCGCTTCTCTGCGTATCTGCTTGTTGACCCGAAGAACCGATGACGCTTTTCTCAATGGGTAGTAGAAGCCGCTGGGGTCCCCTATACCGTGAGGGAAGTCATTGTGTTCGAAATATTCGTCGTCTACCATTGTCCATTCCACTCGAGGCAGCGCGAAGTTGTAGATGGTTTGGCGAATCTCCAAGGGGAAATGGTTCGGAAAGCCAGGGGCAGGGTCAGGGCCAGAGTTTCGAGTTGCGGTCATTAGCTTATGGAGCTAGGGAAAATATGCATCGTCAGCTTGGGGTCAAGTTGCAGCGGTATTGTACGATCACGAACGCGGAGAGGACACTGACCTTCGCCATAGACAGCACGTGCGACGCCTCGGACTCGGAAAAGAGAAAGGCAAGGTCCAGTCCGAACCCGTAGTGAATATCAACAGGAAATCTGTAGGAACCAGGACCGCGATCATGGCCCTTGTCCCCGCGAATTTCGGTCCACTCTCAGCTGTGGATTTCCCCTAAATACTGTCTGCCTACGGTCGACGCCTTGATTGCTTCCAAGCCGAAGGGCAGGTGGCCTTGCCTAAGATAGATGGCCGAGGGAAGTTTTTCACCTACACGTGAAAGGGAGGCTATGAGGGCGAATGAGTCGAGGAACTTTTTTTTGAAGCTGTTCAGGATTCCATAAATCATCATGAGCGTGCCTGTCGAGACTATGTGTTGTGGGTTTTCCTCGAACCGGGTTGATCAGCGAAAGTATTGTCGTGACCATTACAAAGAGCTTGTGGAATTCCTATGAAAGGGTGGTAAGGTTGGTCCCCGTCACGCTTTGAACCATTGTCCACGTTATCATACCATGCTATGTTCATGAATAGAACCTGTCTACATGGTTCTAAGATAAATCACAGAAGTGGTTCATGCTGACGGAGCTGGGACTTGTGGCCCACCGGTCTTACCCGAGCACGAGCCGATAATTCTGTACTTCCCAAAACCGAACAGTTCCCATTCAAGCCAGCTCCCCAAGTTGTGCATTGATCGCTCGGCTGCATGCAATCGACTCGCGAAGTGTATGCATGGGTGGTCGGTAGCAGTGCGTGAGGGGGGATCTTTGACCTCAGTGCAACGCATCGGCCCTAACGATGTCAGATCGGCGAGTGACGGAAGAATTACCCTCGGCACTACGAGCTAACAGATGAAATGGTGTGCCGGCAGGCTGCCGATGAGTGTGTTCTGTCTTGCTCCTGACTGCGCGTTGCATCACTGAGCAGAGGACTCCCAATGCCCAATGTTGAGTGACAAAATTGACAACGAGGCCGGCAGTGGCTCACAGAGATATGCCCCAATTCATCTAGTTCTGTCTCGGGCTAACCTATGTTGGAATGCAACCTGAGGTGCAGGATTGGAGTTACTGGGCGAGCAGCATCGGCTTGGTCAATTCATGTTGCGGTACGACTGCTGGGGACGGTGGCATAATCCTGTGAAGTGGCCAGGTCACGGGTGCGCTTGTCTAATGATCGTGTGATTTACTCGTGCCCGTTGAAGGCTACGGAATTAAGAAGCACAGAGCAGCGGACGCCGTAATAAAGTTGGTCGCAGCCCGCTTTGGGCCGAGATGGCGGGGTTGGGCAGCGCACAAGCCCGGCCACGCCAGCCAATTGGTGTGGTCAAAGCTGCCGTTGCCACTGTTGGCATGGCAACCATTTCAACGACTCCAATTTCCACAGCTGCTCACACATGAGTCGATAACTACACCACAATCGCAACCACAAACCTTCAATCTTCGTCATGTCGGGATTCGCAATCGCGGCCTGGATCTCCGAGACCACAAGAACAAGACCGAGAGAAAGTAGCGACAGCCTGGATTCCTGCGACGACAGTACCAACAGCGACACCCGAAGCGCGAAGCGACGCAAAGGCAACGGAACACTGCGAGTGGACGGGAAGGTCGATGTGAAGAGCACATTACCGAGTCCGACCTCTTCAATGGCGGGGGACGAAGCAAGGACCCCGCGCAAGAGATCTGCAGTCGAATCACTCGGCAGTGGCGAGGATGAGGAGGAGCCAACACCTCGTGGCAAAGTATCATCCGCAGCCCCAGTTCCAGCTCCGACACAGCTACCCCCATCGTTATGGGCGACGGCCCTCAGTCTGCAACAAACGGATTATCCTGCTGCTGGGGCTGGGGCTGCCACACCGAGCTCCTCGTCGGCATCAAGACCAAGCAAACGGTCAAGGAGTCCTGCTAAGAGCACGGCCGACCTGCGCTCCGTCAACATCGAGGTGCGCGACTTCTACAAGCACAGCGCGCCACGCCACGCAAGCGTCGACGCGCTGTTGGCAGATCTCGATAAGGTCGCGGCTGGGGTTAAGGTCGTCCCCGCCATTATTGCGAATGCTGCAGCCAGAGAGGGGGGCAACCCCATGCACAGCTTTCACCAGCACCAGGTGAACAAAGACAAGTACTGTCTTTCAGACGAGCTCGCGATCGACGAGTTTCGTCAGCTGCATCGGATCCTAGCTTCCGCGGCCAGCTGCAGAGAAGAGGCCCAGTCCGAGGCCGCATGGAACGCGCTCGTGCACAGCCCGCTCCTGCACCATGCCGTCGAGTCATCCCAGTGTCCCCAAGTCACGCCTTTCATCGCAACAACCGCCGGCATCATCCCGGCCCTACTTCCGCGCAACATCTACACCGGACACGCCGTGGGCGGCCGGCTCGTCGACTTTTGTATCGCCATCGACGTCGATCGCGACGCCGTCACCGATTTGCTCGCGACGCAAAGTGAGGCCCTCTGTTCACTCAATCAGACCATGTATACGCCATTACGCCAGCGTCCGATCGCCATCGTCGCCGAAACCAAGACTGAAACGGCACCAGAAACGGGCGAGAACCAGCTGGTGATCTGGACCAAGGCCTGGTTGAACCGGCTGCGCATCTTTGGCAATGCGAATCTGACCGACGTGCCGCCGCTGCCGCTGTTGCGTATCAAGGGTCACGAATGGTATCTGCTGCTTGCTTGGGAAGAGGCGCCGTCACCGCGGACCGACGACGACGACGAGAACGAATCTGCACAGCTTGGGGCACGCAAGGAACCCAAGCTTGTTCTCCTGGGAGACCTGCACATCGGGAGCACCCGCTCGATCCTGACCGTCTACCAACTAGTCAACGCGTTAAGGCATCTCACGCGCTGGGCAGATGGGCCGTTTCGAGAGTGGTATCAGCATAGCGTGCTTGGTCGGAACAGCCAAGCACCTGGCTGATTGATTGTGTCGAGCACGCGAAGGATCAAAGCAGATGCACAAAATGGCCAGAGGTTGTCGGCCCCTTCATTGTGTTCCCATGGACACGACGCAAGAGAGATCCGGAACGCCAACTTATACAGGTATTCCGACAACGTCATGTTCCTGGACCCCGATCTTAGGCCGAGCACTTTACTCGCCCGAGACGAGATACTCAGTACTAGGTCGTGATCGAGCAAGATCTAGATTCGAGAACAGCAACAAGAAGGGAAGTCGATGGGCAGGAATTGGCGTATATTCAGGCCTAGGTCCGCGTCGTGGTGTCATGTCAGGGGGAGGAATACTGGCTTGTATGGAGAGACGAGAACTTGTTTATATAAAGGGAAAGCGACACTGTCTATGATGAGCCGTAGCTCGGCAAGCTGTTTCGGCGTGCTGCGCTTCGGGCTTGGCTCCAGCTTCATCATGGTGGTAGCCGGAATACCGTCTTTGAATGGGAGATCATGCTGTTCGCCGCTTTGACAAGTCTCTCGCAAACGCAGACAAAGCAACCGGTTGGTAGTCGCGACAAATGTGCAGGAATCACTTAAAAATCATCCCAAATTCAAAACATGTATGGCGGAAGTCTATATTGCAAATCGACTGATCTGATGAGCAGTGATCACTTTGACCCCATGTGCATCGGATTGCTATGATGACAGCTGGTGGTGGTCTTACATGATCGTTGCCTGTTGCCCATTGCTGAAGTGCTTGCTATTACCCGCGTCCTTTGTACAAGTCAGGACGCATCATCGTCGTAGTCGCACGCGCTTAGCACCGCAATGCTCCTTCAGAGTCGTGAATCAGATGTGGGGATGACCTAGAAGCCGAAGAGCTGCTCAAGATGCAGGGCAAAAATTCTCGTTGGGCAGCTTCCATGAATGCTGATGAGAACAAGCTATATGTACCTTCCCGAACTCCCCTCTTAGACACACATATGGTCCGTTCCTCCGCCCGATATGCCCGACACCCATAACCACCACCACCCGTTGGCATTGGCATCACAGTCGCCGAGCTGTCCGGGACTATCATCTTCGAAGGCACAAGGCCGGGCACTCGCCTACGTTCTCAGCACGGAGCCGGGGCGGTTTCATCGTAGACGTTGGAGACGTCCGCCCAGCTGCATGGGACAGCCTCTTCGTCGCTTTCATCCCGCGTACCGTCCTGGGAGCCATCCACCCCGTCTAAAGACTCAGACCGGACCACAGACACGCGCATGTCGAGGTCGACCACCACCGGCCGCAGCCGCCTTCGCAGCCCCGTCAAGAAAATCTCCGACATGAGCCTCCTCGACAAGCCTTGCGTCGCCATGTCCTGGAGCGAGGCGTCCAGGGCGGACGTCCTCGATGTAGATACTGTCTTGAGGCGCGACCTCGAGGAGATCAGCCAGAGCGACCGGCCCGTGGTGCCGCGAGCAATCGAAGAGGACCTTCGCTCCGTGCTGGGCGACGACTTCTACATCCCCGCGCGGGTGTTTGGCGACCTCGGGCACGACCTGAAAAAGGCAGCCCGCGAGTTTGATACGATCCGGGACATTGTCAAAGAGGCAGACCGCTGCGTCACACGGCGGTGCTGCGAGGCGCAGTGGAACGCCGAGGTTCACTCGCGGTACAAGTCGAACTACTGCAGCGCCAGATACGAGAGATGGAGAGTTCCTACTCAGCCCTCATCAGTCAACATATTGTTGATCAGCCGTGCAGGAACGAGGCGAGACAGTTGGAGGAGAATCCAGCCCCCAAGCGGGAGGTGACTCGCAAGGTCACAATCGAGAGGCTCGAGGCGGGTTACAGGGAGCAGAAAGGCATCATCAGACAGCTGCGAGCTGACCTGCTCGGGCTGCAGCACAGACAAACAGCAGCGGGTGGGCGGGGCGAGTAGTCTGGAAGAACGAGTCGCGATGCTGACCGTGAAAGGCTGCGACGGCGTGAGGATCAGCTTGCTGACATCCAGCGGCAGCTGGATCTTCTGAACGCCAGGGCTCAGGAGACGGACCAGAGGCCCTCCGGGCCAAGCCATTGCATCTTTGTCGACCCGCAGAGCATCTTCTCCGAGATCAACAACGTCCTAGCGTCGATACAGAGCCTACAACGTGCCAGCCGAGCCGTGCGCCGGAGCCGCCTTTGTCCCCGGAGGCAAGGCGCAAGAACGAAACATTCGAGAGGTGCAAGGAAATACTCCGGGCCGAGATTGACGAGAGGCGATTTGCATTCGTGTCCGACTACTTGCGGGCCCTCATCTTCAATACAGACTTGCAAGACAGACAAGTCAGCGCGGGCGAGCAGGCGAAGCTACTCGAAGTCTTGCCGAAATGTAACCACCGCTATCCGATCAGGCGCAAAGATGGCAGAGATGCCAACCACGTCTGCTGTATCAGGACCAATGCCAGAAGCCGTCTCACTAGAAATGCTCCCCGCTGAGCAGTCACGACGGTAGTTTGGCGGTTTCGAGGTGAGACATGCAAATGAAATGCTGGTAACACGTCGCTTCAGGCACGGGGGAGTCGACGAAACAGCGCCCCTTGATTGCCGTCGCGGGGCCAGCTGCACACCCGCCCGTCGTTGGGCCAGCGTCCGATCTGAGATGGCAAATTACCAAGCCTTCTGCGGTAATATCTGTTGTCAGGGGCGCATGAGGCCCCTTGTTACTGTGCACCAATTTATGCGCCTGTAAAGGTGGTCAGTTGATGTAGCACGGCAGTCCATCGATTTGGAAAATCATACATGGAGACTGCCTCTTTTGAAGGGCTACCGCATATGAAACGTAGCTGCGAGCTTGTGAGCAGACTCCTTGGCGACACTGAGAGGGTCTATGCACAAAGAGCTTTTGCCTACAGTCCGCCAATTCACTGAGCCTGGTCGGTGAGACTGTGAAAGTTGACATCAGGTGCCGCAATTTGAAGAATCAGAGACAGAGCGCATTGTGCCGGAGCTGCAGTGGCGGCGGTGTCCGTAGAAGGCTCGGCGCCCAGGCATGTGGCATTTGTGGAGTCTCCGCTGTCATTGCAAGCCTTGCATGAAATCATGATACCTCGATCGGCCTGCTCCCTAATCTGATCGGTGGCACGGGTAGGATGTGCCCTAAGGACTCTTAGGCACCGCGTTGCAGCAGGATTTAGTCTTCTGCCTGTGTGGACCTGCCGTGACTTATTATCTCTGGAAACTTTGTCTTGTCTGCTTGCGACAAGAATGAATTGATTGTTGTGCAGAAGGCGTAATTCTGATTATATGAAGGTGGAGTCGACATTGGATCATGTTTGAACTCGATCTCGTTGTCAAGGCTGCCTTTCAAGTTCCGAGGCCGAGCGAACTTTTTCTCTTGCTCGGAGTGGGTCCCAATGCCGATGCTGTTTATCACAGAATAGCATACGTACAAATTCCAGGAAAAGTCATTGATCCATTCTGGATTCCCTGTACAGTTGTTGTAGTTGACGGCGCATTTAAGGTTTGGGTCGATGGTATGTCCTCAAGCGCCGTGGGGCTATAGTACAAAGCAGAACCACACCATCAGTACTTCTGATGCATGAGTCTTTACGCAAGTACAGGCGGACCACAGATTTTGCTTCAGGTGCATTTTAGCTGCTCGCATGACGATCAATCCGTGCTGCCCCGACTGTTCCCGACGTTTCAAGCTCCGAGAAGCACAACGCACATAAGAAATTCAGTCACTCGGACAAGCGGCCATACGGGTGTCCTTGTGGCCGGTCATTCAAAAGGAGTGGATGTTCGAAGGCTCCAGTGTTTCCGCCATCGTGCCGTTCGTCGTCTTTTTTGTGTCGCTAAAATTATTTCTCTTCGCCTGGTGACGTCTTCCGTCAGGACTGCCATTCTACATCACAACGAGAATGCTCTGCGGCTTTCGTTTATATACTTAAGACTAATAACGACAACTAGTGATGCCTTGGGCCTCTCTTCGCCTTGTCGCTCGGCTGATTAGAGCTTAAGTGGCGTATATTCTAATATTAGCCAAGCGGAGTCCCCTACTCCCGCCCACGACAAGCTAGAACTATTACTTAAATAACATTTGGCTGCATATGTCTGAATCACACCAGTAGTAGGTTTGACCTGGCTGACATTCTGGAGGCACCAGGACTTACGGAACTTATCCGTGGTGGGTTCGTGTTTGGCTAGGGATCGTTGGCTTCTCAAAAAGTCGGCAATTGTGGGCCGAGCTCCTCCACAATGTGTATAGGGTCGAGTACGTCCGTGCGATATGGTCTCTCTGGATGTACACATTCCCGTTTTACCAGAACGTATGTCGGGGTCAAGATTCTATTCCTCAAATTCTAGGCAACCAGTCAAGAACATTCTTGCTGAGCTTGTTTCTCTCCCTGCAAACTCTCTCCTCCCATGTGCACTCAATGTAAGTGCAGCCAAGTGAGATAGCTCCCCGTGATAGTGACATTTTCGACGTTGACTGTGACGTAAACCTCGTTCTCATTTCTGGCCCCTGAAACACAAACAACACAGAAGAGATAGGCGTCGTCGATCTTGCAGAGGTTATGGAGCCACGGAAAGCTACTGCATAATACTGACTCCAAAGCTATTCTGTCTAGATCATTTAGCAAAAATGATGACTGCGGATTGGGTTCGATTTGATCGCAATTCAGTTTGGACTTATGCGTAATTGATGTGCTGTCATTCGTGTTCTTTTGTGGAGGCATGCCGCCCGCGTGCGGCTGCCAGAAGTCTCCGGAGACGGTTGTCTCCGGGCGCATCACAACGAAAGGCTCCTCGGCATTGAATCCCTGGCAGAATCTCGTCAGCACTTGTACAGAACAAGATGCATTCCGCGCAGGCACCAAGATCTGGGCCCCAGGCCCCGCCCTTTTTTCTCCACTTTCTGCGATGGAACCGCACAGATGATGGCGCCTCAAGATTACAGGATGGTAGAGGTGACTCGGCGGTTGTACTGAGCGAAAGCCATTTCATAGACCCATGCGGACAGGATGATCAGAAGCACGAGGACAATAAGCGGCTGGAACCCGCAAACGGAAGTATATGAGTGAACTCTTCCGCCAAAGTCAGTCACGGAAATCAGCTCCTGATCATCGTCCTTGTAAGCATTCTCAAACTTCCTACCACATCACTGCTCCGCTACGTCAGGCCAGAACCTGCTTCTCAATCAAATACGACAATGAAGGCTGTTACCGTTCTCGCATTCATTTCCTCCTCTGTCCTCGCGGCCCCAGCGGCCGAAGATGCTTTCTCCCTCGAAGCTCGTGCCATTCCGTCTGTTGGTCTCGGCCAGCAGATCCAGGCCGACACACAGATCAACGACTGGGTAGTCTGGGAGCACGGCAAAACCGCATGTCCGAATACCCGTGCCATTGCCCACCTCGTCTACAGCCCCTGCGGCATCAAGTTCACGGCTCCAGGCAGCTCCGAGCGCGTCCAATTCTGCTCCTGCATTGGCGGGACAGGTGCGCCGACAGCCCTCTGCGATGCGAACGGAAAAAAGATCCGCGACTGCAAGACCAAGAACGACAAGATCAACTGCCACAACGGCGTCCACGACATTGTCCAGCACCGCTACTGCTGAGTAGCGTATACACCGGGGTTAAAGAGGCTTATAGGGCGGCGGTAACCACATTCACACCCTACCATCGAGAAAGGGGACATGGGATCTATAGTATATATGTTGCAAAGCCATTCCAGAGAGCTCTAGAGTAGGAAATACTTGGCCCCGACTCCACACCTCGAAGTCGTAGGGTTGACAAACACCCTAACCGTGTTGATGGCGCTAAGGTTTGGGGACGGCCTGTGAACCGAGGTTAGCAGATTTTGTATTAAGCCTGAATGACGAATCATATAACGTAAATGCATAGCGAGTGGGCCAGCATAGCGAGTGGGCCACCCCCACCACATCTCGAGAATCAAAACCTCGTCAGCAAAACCAAAACGTCTTGAATTGATATAAACTAATCGCTATCTTCGAGTTCAGACCCTAGAGTAACTATTTGGCAAGTTCTCGCATTATGGCCAGTCATCCCGCAGGTACCACAGCGGCGCTGCGTTGGCGTAGTGCCGCCTGCATGACCTCGATTTTCTTGCGTTTCCTGTGTTATTTGAGTGTTCACCTCTCTCTGGGCTATAAGGTCCTGTCCCTCGCCTAGAGTCATGCTCTGGCCTTTCCGGAGACGTGTTTTCTTAGCTCTCCGGCGCTTACTAAGTACTGCATTCTCGTCTTCAAGCATCTTCATCCTTGCCTCCATTAGGGCGAACCGGTGCATGATCCCCTTTGCTCCCTTCGTGAACTGCTCAACTGCTTCAATAATTGACGTTGGAGAGCTTCCCTGCTGACGAGAGATCCGACGTTTGATGAAATTAGACTGTGAACGGGCTTCCATAGCGGTGGTGGGCGTTCGGGAAGTCCATGGCTCCGGTGACGTCCGAGGCGTCCTCGAGGGTGTTGGCGTCTTGAACTTCACATCGAGCTTGGATAAAACGGCTTCAGGGTCATAGGGTACAAGTCCCGCCCCTCTGAAGCCTCCCTGGATGTTTTTTTCCGTCATTGTCTGCTGGAATGCCGCTAAAAACGAGGGGAGGAAGTCCTCCTTGCTGATATGCGTTGTACCCGCCTTCATCTTAAGCTCAATTTGCCGACCGTATGCTTTCTTCAGCGGACCAAAACAGCCAACATCGAGAGGCTGGAGTATATGAGACGAGTGAGGAGGCATACAGAGCGTAATAATGTTGTTGTCCTTACAGTAGGGCTCGAATTCGACCGAGTGGTGACTTTCGTGGCCGTCGAGGACGAGGAGGCGATAACCGCCTTTTGTTCGCGACTTTGTGTGCTGATCGAAATGTCGAATCCAATCTAGACCAATTTCGTTTGTAGTCCAGCCGTTTGCGGATGTTACGATTCTCCAGTCGCGAGGAATCGCGTTATCTTGGTACCAGGTCGAGAGGTGATATTTGCCGGCAAATACTACGAACGGCGGGACGTAGAATCCAGTCGCGCTAACGCCCTGGATTACCGTAACCCATTCCCGATTACCTGGTTGCTTCATCTTAACGTTCGACCGTATTTGCGCGTTTGTAACGACCATCCCGGTCGCGATAACGCCCATCTGAAAGCCTGTCTCGTCGAAGTTGTAGATATCGGAGTCCGCTACGCCGTTTTTCGCGACTACGTTCCGCACAAGCCGAAACCACGCGTTTATCGCGTCGGGATCCTCGCATTGGGCTCTCTTGTAGTCGTACTTGCGAAAGAAACGCGTCTGGAGCTGTGGTTGTCGCTTAACGAAGTTTGACGCCCATCGTGGACCGACGCGTGGCGCAGCCCGCTTATCGAGCAGTCGATTCGCCATTTCTCCAACCTCACTTAGCCGAGGAGGATATGCTCGCGCATCCAAGTCGAGAATATAGTCGACAATCGTCTGCTCCTCTAGCTCTGTTAATTTCATCGAATTTGGTAGGCTATCGCGTCGAGAAGGCGTCCCCTTATAGCGGCGGGTAAGCGTTGTTCGAGAGACGTTGTAGATTGCAGCTGCGCGGCGTATAGAAAGGGAAGGATCACGGTCCATAGCTTGAAGAGCGAGATTCAATTGGTTATCTTTAGAAGGGGTCTCCATGGCTGGTTGTTGAGTAAGATGTGTTAGAAGATGGAATTCTAGTGAAGTGATGGAGGTGGCCCACTCGCTATGCTGGCCCACTCGCTATGCATTTACGTTATGCTTTTTTCAGGAACTCGACTTGTCTGTCTAGCCTTGGGAACGGCGAAAATGGTTCATTAGATTGGGGCAACTCAAGTGGGGTGCGCATGGTCATACATGCGTAGTGCCGGCCACGCGAAAGTGCCCAGCGTTCTGCTTTCATTACTACAGCACATACTGGCGTCAATTTGGTGTATGATATCCCCCATAGTTGACTACTCCGCGTGCCACCTCCTTCTTTTGCGAGAAGCGCTGGCATGCGGGCATTGTCTTTTCTCTCGTTACAAAGCCGTTGTTTCCGCTAGATTATGAAGAACATCATATTTACAGCCACGGGCAATGGGTATCGTGGCCCCTGACAAAAGCTTCGAAAGCTCGTTACTCCAGACACATGCTAAATCTCAATGTGCATGCGAACTTGGACTTCTGCGGTAACCGCGCGTAGTGGTGAGTCATTCCATACGAAGCCAACCTACGAGGGCTTGCTGAATGTACCTGGTAGGGTACTAAGCACAACGTGGTAGAAGGTCTCTTGTCATGAAGAAAAGCAAGCACCACACATTTGGGGGACAGAAGATGCTGGTCGTGCTGGCATCGTTTGGCGCCCGAATTCCTGCATCTGTATGTTTCCAGTGGCTTGCACGACCTTTGCCAAAATTGAGGTACATGTGTCATTATCATTGCCCCAACAATTTCATCATTTCTTTCCATTGTCTTCCTGCATTGCGTCATCCCTTGTAGTGATTTCTCCCTCAGCCTGGCCGACAGTAATTTGCCGGGAAGTTGCCCCTGACACCCCCAATCTCGCCCTGCCACCAGTCCTGGTCCGTCGCTGTCTTCTTGACAATCTTGATCCGGTCGCCCTCCTGGAACGACAGGTCGCCGGAACCCTGGCTGGCGTAGTCGTACAGAGCTACCACGTATTCCGCTGGGGGCGGCGACGGCGGCGCTGCCCTTGGTTTCGCAGGTGGCGGCGGTGGCGGTTTCTTCTTTGCAGCAGCAGCAGCTGCTGTCGCTATTGATGATGACGGTGGGCTTAGCGGGCTGGTGATGCTGCTGCTGCCGTTGTGGCTTGTGCTGGAGTGGCTTGAGGGGGTGCGGCCGAAGTAGTCCCCTCCATATGAATTTGTGCGGGCCGCGGCTGGGGACAGTGTGTCTGCTGAGGACAATGCGGATGAAGGAGATGTCCCCACTGCAGCGGCCTGGCCCAGGTGGGAGGCTGTTGTAAAGTCAGTGGCCATACCCGCGGAAAAGCTTGGCTTGCTGGTGATATCCGGCCTGGGGCTGATTGCCGTCGTTGAGGGGATGCGGTTGGGCCGTGTGGTGCTGTTGCTCGGGATGAGGCCTAGTGATGATGCTCTGCGCCCACTGTTGTTGTCGTCTTCTGAAGAGGGATTGTAGGCTGGCGCCACTGGCCGCCTATTTGTGGGTGTGAGTGCTGTCGAGTCTGTCCCGCCTGGTCTTGCTGTCATGCGAGCCCTCCTGCCCGCCACAACGCAGCCCAGGGCCTCGATCTGCGTTTTGATGGGATCGTGATCTGACGTCCACATCTCCACATTTTCCATGCCCGGAGGCGGGAGGGGGGAATGGAAGTCCTCACAGTAGGTGTGAAGAGTGGTGTAGTATAAACCCAGGAGCCTGTTCTGTATGACAACAAGAGTCGCCAGCATAGGCGGAAGCATGTTGAAAGCTGCAGCAATCATGGGCGGCAGGATTTCCTTGAGGAGTGAGTCGACTTCGTGGAAGGCCTGGTGCTCACGTCAGTCTCACGATGGCCGGGTCGCTGAGAGCAATAATCATTTTGCGCAGGATACTGACGTCTGACCTTGGCCCAAGCTCCGCCTCGGCTTTTGCGAGACTCTTGTCGTCCTTTGGCGTACGAGATGGCTTGCGTTGTAGTTTTGTCACGTCTGTCTGCACATTCTCGTAGTCGAGGCGCAGCTTCTCCCGTTTCTTGATGGTCTTGCGCACAGGCGATATGTAGTCCCTGGCCGCCGACACGGGCTTGACGACCTTGTCGTCCACAACCTCGATTTCCTCAAGCAAATCAGTCTTCAGCTCGTCGTACGCCTCCCTAAGCCGGAGTGTGCGCTCGAGCAGCAGCTCTGGTGTTGCGTTGTGCGGCTTCGCCGTCTCGTCGGCAGCACCCACGATAGGATCATACAGGCTCTCAAGCTCTGTCACAATGCCCAGCTGGGCGTGTGCCAGTGAAATCCATGCTGCTCGCCACGAGCCTACTTGCTCCACAAGCTAAAGATTGAAAAGCATCGAACCATTAGTGAGGCTAATATGTGGTTGGCGAGAGACCGAGGAGTGAGTCGTACCCTAGTGAGTAGCTGCTCAGCATCGTCATAGTCCTTGAGCAGCACGGCTGTTTTTGCATTGTCGCCAGGATCCTTCTGTATCATGCGCCCAATCGAGCGCTGCATCGACTGCATCTTGGGAGGATTGAAGGGAAACACAAGACGATTTTGACGCTTTGAACTCAATTGAGATGCTGTCTCGCTCTACGAGAGAACAGAACCGCCGAGAGGGCCAAAACAGCAGAAATTATTCAATCGGTGCTGGCTGCAGGTCGTCAAAGAAATCATGTTTCGAGTAGGTGTTGCCCCACGCACGGTTGCTTATGAGCTGGGATCTGGGACAGAGACCACGCAATCACGAAGACGCATTAGCCGGCAGGGGACTGCTAGCTCGACGGGGCGGGTTGCAAGGTTGGTGCTTGTCAGAATCGCGCGTGGCGGTGCCTGGCCTGGATGTGTGGTTGTGAGGGGGCGGAAGCTTTGGAGAGGCGGGTGCGGAGGAGGACAGCCGACTGCCTGGGCGTACTACGCAGTATGGTGGCTGTTGAGCGATGCAGGGATCGATGACTCCCAGCAGCGAGTCCACAGGATCGGCTTGCCTGCTTTGCTGCCTGCGCGGTGGCCGGCGAGCGAGCCAAGAAGTTCATGGCATCACACAAGCCGGGCGTGATTTCCCACAGCACCTCACCATGACTTAGGTACGCTACTTATACGTATTGAGAGCATGCGCAAGATACGCAACTAGCCGAAGATTGCTTGCTTGGCATCCGTCCGGAAGCTATTTCAAGCAGTTAGGGAGCGCTAAAATGCTCCTTCGCAGCCCAGAAGGTCCCACATGTGGCCTCTTGAACATCTACGTAGCAGCAGCTAACAACTTCCTGCTTGGATGGCTTCAGAAGTCGACCCTTGCACGATGTCTGCTTGAACCTTTCGACAGCTTGCTGGTACACAGCCTCCATCGCTCCGAGTCTATTGCAGGCCAGCTTCTGTACACTTCGATAGCTCTTTGCTCAGCACAGGTGCTTCGTCCAGGGTGGCTGCACGTGTCTTCGCGTCATTCCCCACCTTCTGGAAACCCTCTCTAAACGCGTGCTGTCCAGCGCCACTTCACGCGCCTCAGACGCCGTCCGTGGATGCTTGGGACCTCATGCCCCTCGTCGCCAGCCGCGAGTGGAATCGAAGCCGGGCTCGAGTAAGGCTGATGTGAAAAGCTGCAGCAAAGTCAGAGAGGTCGTGGTGCCGGCTGGACCACCGCCATGCAAAGCTCAGCAACGTCGCCGCCCACGGCATCCGGGGCCAGTTCAGCACCCGTCCATGAGTTCATCTGCCTGTTCACACACGATCTCCGCCGCAAGCAGAAAGATGGCAGGATGGCCGCCTCAAATACCACACGCACAACAGTCGCGTCATGGTTCATGACGAGCAGGGCAATACCGTGGGAGATACACATTGGCGCAAGGACCATGGCCTCGAAATCGGGGAGGTGCTTACTCTCGACCGTGGCGGCATCATCGTGGAAGTCGGAGACCTGGTAGTCACCCGAAATCAGGATCTCTCCGAGCTCGTCGACAAACGAATAAAAGAAAAGGTTGACCGTCTAGCTGCAGCGGCCGCCCGAAGACCAAATATCCCCCGACCGCCGGCCGTGGGCTTGCCTACACCAACAAGGTCGCTGTACCCTCAGACAAGTGCAAAACCTCTACAACAGGTTGTTGGAACCCCAACAGGTCACCACGGGCGCGCGGACCTGCACCACGCCTTTGTGACCCATCTCGGCCGCTCACGATAGCGTAGTCCGCCTATGCGTGTCCACTTCCTCAGGCACTCTATCAACCGGCCTGAGGATCGCCGACATCACGGTCTCACGGCCGAAGTGACCGGCCACTGCCAGGAGTTGAGGCGTCGAGGCCATGGTGCCCACGTGAAGTCAGAACAGATCCAGTGGATCTGGATCGAGGTCTAGAATCACTTCGAATTGGGGTCGCACAATGCAGTGGCCAGCTCCACAAACTCGTCGTCGGCCTTCGTGTCGTCATCCCACGTTCTCGAGTAGCTAAATCAAAACCGGACAACTGGTCCTTGAGTGCTTCCTTAAGGTACTGGTAGAGCTCCTTTAAGAATGTGAGCACACAGTCCTCTGCCTCAGACTGCTCCGAAACAGATCGTTCCCACAAGCTTACCAGAGAAGGTCGGAAGCTTCTTGACCAAATGTAAGCCATACTGGCCGCCATTAGAGCCAATTGTGTGTCAACGTACCCGACCACTCAGTGGGGATACAGTCAGGCATGTAGTGGTCGCCATTCATTGCCGTACTGGCCGCCATCAGACCCAGTATTCGCCTGCGGGTCTTGATGGGGACTGACGACGGGTGGAGATTTTGGTGGCCAGCCGGCAACATTGCGGCAGAATTTGGTACGTAACCCGTTCGGCTGCCTGGGGCCTACAAGAAGGGTGAGGAGTGTCGGTCCTTGGTCCTAGAAGTAGAGATAGAACCGTTGGGATGGGCGATAGCTCCGGTCTCTCTTAATCACAACCAAGGGGCTAGAGTCACTGATGTAGCCGCCCATTCCCTGCAAGTGGGTAAACTGTTCCGGTTCAACGCACATGGGGGTCGCTGGCGCTGATCGTCCTGTCTGGGTAGTCGTTCGCAACCATCCAGCCAGAGCACCGTGGGTGTTATCGGAGTCTCACCGTATGCTGGTCAACCGCTGTACAGATAACTCACTGACTGCCTCCTTCCGCCAAAGCCCAGCGTATCTTGATCGCCTCGAGCGGCAATTCCAAGCATCTTAGTGATGGCTGATGTACCGAAAAGAGAAGCTCTAGGCGGCCCCGCGTGATGCCAAGCATTAGTGGCCTGCAAGTGGGATACGGGCATGAAAGTGGTGACATGACTCCAGAAAGGCATGGCCGCGCGGAGGCCCCGGATGGCGCGTGATCCTGCAAGAGGATGGCTGGGGTGGAGGCCGCCGGTCAGAAGGCAGGTCCTTGACCGATACGTTCTCGGGCATAGCCGCGATTCCACACGGAATGGCCGCCTCGTAGCGCCTGACAAGGTCGTCCCAACTGGGAGTCAATCCCATTACCTAGGGTATCATTCATTGAAGACAGGCAACACGCTTCCGCGGCTCAGCAAGGGGGCCACAATCAAGCCATCGTTCATCAGGCTGCTCGCGATCCTCTTCAGCATCACTTATGGTGATGGATCCACAATAACACTACTCACACAATGCTGAGTCACCACCTGCCAGGCATCTTCGCGGCTAACGCTTGTAACAATCGCTCCCTTGTTATAAGCAACATTCGTAGAAATGCACAGCACCAGGGAACACGTCGGTACTTACAAGACCACTTGTACATGGAGGTGAAGCACCCTCGGTTGATGATGAAGGGATGATTGGCTCGGATGCAATGAAGATGATGCATGCCCAGGCCCACTTGACGCTTGGACCATGCACCTACCTGTCACAGCATGGCTCTGTCTTTGCCCCTCCCTCCTCAATCATTACGCGAAAAGGTGACGGCGCGCGTAATAATTCGCTCTCGTCCCTTGTTCTCCAGACTTGATTAGGTCCTAACTTTTAGTCACGAGCGGTCGGACATACGGCTGGGACGCATCGAACCCGGGCAAAAGGCTCGCCCTTAATGCACCGAGCTACTTTAACAGCCGACTACTCCGTACCAATTGCTCCTCGGTTTCTTACCACCCCCGCACCCTTCTTCTTCCCCGGGCAAGGTGAGTGGTTTTAACTTTTACTTGTGAGAAACAAGCTGCTGGCTACAGGTATTTTTTTTATGAGGGATATTGAATACTAGCAATGCTGTTATGACGCAGTTTAGCGTGTTGCATAGCGTGCCGTTTTGGCGATTCTCGTGGCTATATTATGTGCTTTTTAGGGGGGCCCGCCACTGAGCCACTCTAATGGGGGCTGCCTTTCGCCATTTTTCAAGTTCATCAGCGCAGAACAACAGATATTTAGAAAAATATTATATCAAAATGAAGCACGAATCAAGGAGATTACAATGACATTATTTGCATGCTATCAAGCATAGTATCTGCGGAGTTTATAGCGGTGTCATCTTGAATGCGTTTTGGTGTGGGTTCCAACGCCGACAACGGGAAAAGCGGGGTCGGCGACCCACCGCCCATACTAAAACTGCCACTTGGTGCGAGTGACGGCCGGTGACGTCATGGCTACGTACAGCTCGACCACCCTTCCACCAGATGACCAGATGACGGGGGATAGAACGACCCACAGTCGGAAAACTCGCCCAAGTTATCAGACACGGCTGTTGAACAATACTTGGTGTCTTGGCATTATTTCTTCATTGGCAACTCAACCTTTCTTTAAGAGAGCTCTTCCCGCGTAGTAGCTATCTCGCGAGCCATGCTGACCAGCCCCGCCGTCGGCGGCCTTCTCGCCCGACAATCTACCCGCTTGGTCGGCGGCCGGCGACTTGGAACGAGTCCCAGGATGGGACTGACAGAGTCGTTTAGCCGTGAGTATTTTCTCTACTGTATCCTCGCTCAAAGCCAGCAATCACAATGGATGGCTCGACGCGGTTTGTCCCTTGGCACCCATGACGCCTAGTTACACACTTACATGCACGTCCAAGATGTTACAACAACTAAGATGCACAGTTCTAACCACAAAGGCCTGGCAGAAGACCCCGAACGCAACTACGAGAAGCACAAACAAGACTCGCTCGAGAAGCAGAGGCAGGGCAAGGGCCACTGGAAGGCCGAGCTGGCGTCCGACAGCGAGGCGGCTGTCAAGGCCGACCGGGCTGCCAAGCCGGAGAGCCCAGCTGATCTGCAGGAACGAACGAAGTGGGCTGCCGAGGAGATCAGCAGGCATGGGACGAGCATGCGCGATGGCCTCTGAAAGAAGGGGTATCTGGTGATTGTTGGACGCTCGGGCGGTTCGTCGATGGAGATGGCGTGTCCAATTTGCTTACGCGCCTAGGTGGGAGTAACTCTAACCATTGCTCAGCAGAGAGGCATGATTGGGAGTAAAGCGGACCCATGTACCGAGTTAAAACGGGACAAGAAGGCTGTATTATTATGACCCTAAGTCTAGAAGGGATGGCTGAATCAAGGCATTCGTCCTCGCTAACGCGATAACGCGATAGACCTTATCGTCCATGTAGACAGAAGTAGACTCCAGCTGGGGCACTGTCCCTGTTCTGGATGTCGGCATGCTGCTCTCCCACCCCTTCTCGTCTCCATCAGTTGCACAACGCCAACTTGGCCTCCTTCCATAGGCCTTAATTCCGGTACGTCGACGTCAGGTTGACCACGCTAGTCAGCGTGTCGGGATGTTCCTCTCTCAGCACTTTTGTTCTTAGCTCGACAGTTTCTAGCTGGAGCCTCTCTGCATCCTTCCATTGACTTGGTAGTGAAACTATCCGGCGGCATGGTGGATAAAAGATGTCTTCGCCCCCACGTGCTGGACCACGTCTCACCTCAGACGCTGGAAGCCTGTGCGCACAAACCTTGTCCCCTTCACCATAGGCCAGCAGCCTTACGCCCAGCTGGAGAATCTCTCTCCAGGCGGCTCCGGCTCGAGCCTTCCAGACTGGAAAGGCCTCCGCTCTTGTGTAAGTGTCAACTCCAGCCCCTGTGTTCCTATGCGGGTTCTCCTCGATACCAGCGTGACTGAAAGCTACTTGCACATGCCACACAGCGACTACATGGACGGTTCCACTAGGGTGGACTGGGACTTTTTAACGACGTACAGAGACTTGCAAAACCGCCGCTGCGATTCACATCTCAAAAAGAATACATGCACGATGTATATGCGCTAGGGTCTCACGCCAAACCGTATTCAGCCATTGCACAGTGCCAATTCTCACCACTTGGTCATTTGCTTGCGCTAACCGCATAGGGGCTATACTGTTGTCCCATTTGGATGCGAGGCTTGCCTGACCCGGCCACCGGGCATACTTATTCTTAGTTCAGTCCTGACGGCACTGTACAGGTGACAAATGCAGACAAGACCATGAAAGTCAAACATCGCGGGGGCCAAATGACCGCCATTTTATCAAGCCTGGTTGCCAAAATGTAAGCAATTTAAAATCGGACTTTTCTAAGACTAACTACCGTTGATCCGGCTCTAAATTCTTCTCCGGATCTTCCCAAATCTACATGTGCCAAATCCTTCTACTATGAATGACCTCCCCACCCGAGACCCTCCTATGCGAAGACATGAAAATTATAGATCATATAGGCCATGCTCGAAGATGAAGTCGTTAGCTACTCGGCGACGCGACAATACTACCAAGCAGACTCGTAATCACGCGACGAGACAACGTCAGAGAGGCATTCGTGGCACCACCGTTGTGAAATACGATCAGCGCACCAGACACAAACAAGATCTGGTCTTGGTAGTCGGGAGGGATGGCGATAAGATCGTGGCCGTCGAGCTGGATCCAGGGGCCTCGAGCAAAGAGACAAGGATTGGAGACGTTCGCTGTAGATGAGATAGTCGCGGAGAGCGAATGGGGCAGCAGAATCACTCCACGATCAGTCTTGAGATGGATGTCACAGGAAGAGAAGGCGATTGAGCGTAGATTCGGGTCGATTGGAGGCATGTAGAGCTCTGGCCTTGGAGTGTCTGTGGCCGCTTCTACGGCCGTATCCCAGACCCGGACGGTCCCGTCGCGCGACGCCGACGCCACGAGCCCGCCGTCATGCGAGAACGCCACGTCCATGACCCAATCAGTATGGTCCATCAGCGTCGACCGCAGCGTGTCAGTGGCTGCATCCCAGAGCCGGACGGTCTCGTCGTGCGACGCCGACGCCACGAGCCCGCCGTCATGCGAGAACGCCACGGCTTTGACCCGGTTGCCATCCTTCAATGTCTGTAAATGCACGCTCCAATCCTGCATTACGGTCGGTAAAGGTCGATCGATCCACGCCGGAACATGACCTATATAGAGATGCCTAACAATGCTCTTTCCTGGACTGAAAACTAGTGCCGCGCTGTAGATCTGAAGCGGAGCCGCTTCAATCGTCGAGCCGTGGGAAAGCATAAACCGCCTTGCATGATACACTATCTGAGAGAGTCGACTGCCGTGTTAAACCTGTGAGGGCGGGCTGGCTGATTGAGCGTTACCCTCGTTCCGGATCGCCTTTCGCTTCATTTCGATCGGAGCTTACGGAAGAACCCGTCCGTATTCTTCGGATATTGCCATGACTTATGGATTTCGTTACTTTGTATTTGCGCAGGGCTTGCTCGGTTGATCCGGGAGTCTAATAGCCGGACCAAAGCCACGCTTTCAGAAAGTCGACCGATCCAAGCCAATACCTCGAGCCAGAAGAGGGAGTACGTCTCGAAAAGATCGAGAATTGCCTGCATGCCATGGCTCAGATCCGCTTCACTCTTCAGCGTATGATCGATCCAGTATCGGCTAGCATACTGGACAGAGAACGGAATAGCCTGATTTATGTCCACTGCCGACATTTCATCAACTTTCCTCCCGGGATATTTAGCACCGCTGATGTTCTCACGTAGACAGCTCTTTAGCAGTTGAAGGCTTCTCTTGACCAGCCGAAAGTGAGCATCTTGAGCGTCGATCCAAATCATGTCCATAGTACATCTGTTCGCGTCAAGCACATAACAGTTGAGCCCATCACCCAGCTCTATGTAGATAACAGCGTCTGGTCGAGCAATGACTGTGATTAGTTAGCCATGGATAGCTCAGACAGCCCCAGTGGCTATCACAATAAGTCTCAATCCTGGAGGACTGGAGTGCGATATACACGTCACAATGCATATCTAAGCGTATAGTCTCTGGCTATTTGGTAGAAGCGAGCCCTGTCCCGCTGCGCCATCATAGCTGCCGTGAAATGGGTGTTTGTGAACTCGGGTGCAGAGGCAGGCTGGTCAAGAATATCCCGAACCATCCACATCACTACGCGATGTGAGCAAGAATATACACAATGATACGCTTCCCGCGGGCCGGTTCTTACCTTTCGAAAGGGTGATTGCCGGGCTCCAGCCTCCGGAAGTGAATCCACTCCTGTCCTGCAGATTGTACATGGACAGTGTGTTACCGTCGTTGACGAACGGGTGGAAGATCCTAGTTCTGAAGGTCACTCTTGGTGGTTTGAAGGGGTAGTCCTCCGGTATTCGGATGTCCACCAGAAATACTCCGCCTTCATAAACTGTGTTCTCCTAGGGCCCTTGTCAGTATTGTGTCTGGTTGTGCATCCTTCGTTTGTTCACTCACAAGTCCGAACACGACACCTTCAAGAGAGGACTGAAGCCGTCGTTAGCCCAAAGAATCGGTTAGTATGTGAGCAGTGATATTACCAGGCTGCCACCAATCGGCACAAATACAGAATAGCGGCACAGGCCTTCGCTACTAAACGGGCGCTCTGAGAGGTGGCTCAACATTTCAGCGATTTCTTTCTTCATTCGTTTCTGGGGACCCCCAGAAATGGTTTGGCTGGTAGCCTCGATTTCGCGATTCAGCCTATCCTTGACTGTCGTTGACGGAACGTGCAACCGCTGACTACCACCTCCCTCCAGGATCTCAATCATTTCATCATGGCCACAGGAGAAAGCAATATCGAGAGCGGTGTACATCGAGTCGGTATCCAAAAGCGGCTCTAACCCAAGCAGTTGTTGTTGACATTTCCTGATCCCAGCCTGCAGCGGTGTGAAGCACGTAGCATTCGCGCTGGCGCCAGCTTGAAGGAGTAATGACGCCACCCTGCTGTGGCCTTTAACTGCCGCGACATGCAGCGGTGTCTGCCCGTCCGCATTGACGCTGTTGATGTGTAGTCGCAGATCGATGCACGCTGTAGGCAATACAGGGTCGCGCCCAAGGTTCTCATTGTCAGGAAAGTCGTTTTCCACTTGAAACCGCGAGCTGAATTCCGACCTAGGAGCAAGCAAAGGATGTGGATGTGTCCTGCCGAAGCGGCAAGATGGAGCAAAGTGTCCCCGTGCCTATTCTGTGAGGCTATCGCGGCGCTGCGGCGATGCAACAACAACATCGAGGTGCCTTTACCTTCTCTAGCTGCCACGTGGATTGTGCGATTGCCCCCAAAGTCGCAGGCTTCCATGTTCGCTCCGTGGTCCAGCAAGCACTCGATCATGGCATCATGGCCATGCTCAGCAACGATCAGGAGTGGCGTCCTACCGAGGGACGCCTCCGCGTTGCAGTCTGCACGAGCACTGAGTAGCAAATGCGCGACAGGGACATTGCCGGCGTTCGCAGCCGTGTGGAGCGCAGTCCACTGACTCTCCGCTGTTCGAAAAGAAGGGTCGGCTCGGTTCTGCAGTAGGAATTCGACCATGGCCTCCTTTGCGGCACTGACTGCATCGTGCAGTGGGGTCCGGCCGCTTTGAGCTGCAATGTCCACCGCCACCCCTTGCTGGATCAGCACTTGGGCAACAGAGATGTGGCCTCGCGTGGCAGCTTCGTGCAGAGCCGAACGATCGTCAAGAGAGAATCGCGTGGCCTGAGCGCCATGGTGCAGGAGCAGACGGACCACATCTGCGTTGCCTTGTTGTGAGCTCACGATCAAGGCAGTTGAGTCGTCCGACGCCAGCTGGTTCACATTGCACCCATTGCTTAGCAGACGTGTGCAGATTGTCACGAGCCCAAATCTCGCCGCCAACCAAATACCAGGCGCATATCTAGGCCGGACCTGGCTGTATGCCTCAAACTTGTGTTCGGGCAGAAACATTGCTTGAATGGACGTATTGACGTTGCCGGTACGACCTAGAAAATGCAGTATTTGGCCCTGGACGTCCTGCTCGGCTTCCGCATTGCCTCGAGCGTGATGGCCCCAGTTCTGCGAACTGTATTGGAGCAGCGGGTGTGCCTCGAGTCGAGCGTCCATATTCGCGTCGGAAGTACAATAGCCCGTTTCGAGCATGGAGAAACCAAGATATGTGAGGCAGACTCGAGTGAGGTAGATCTGAGGGTTTCGATCCTGGAAACGGAAACCACGACCCGTGAGATACTCATGGAAGGTGTGGTGGAGGAAGCGCACGAGTTGGCTTTCCTGGTCAACGGCTACGATGCCTGCACAGGTTGAAAGCGCATAAGCCATATTCGGTAAGGCTTCGGGGTCGGCGTCCGTTTGGCTCAGATCCACGGCAAGAGCAGCGCGAACCTCTTCCAATCGCAGCGGCCGCGTCGCACATAAAATCCACGTCAGGAGTTGCTGCACTCGAGACCTCCTGGTGGAGTCCTGAGATCCGATCCTCTCCATAAGCTGATCAAACACTCTCCAAAGGTCCCCTGAAAGACTATCTATGGCGTTGCGGATCCCTCGAATGCTGTCTTGCCTTGCGAGGCTGTCGACGTGTAGTCTGGCGAGCAGAAAGCTTTTGAAGAACACCGTTAGCCTTAACCACTCTCTCCGCCAGGTCTGGCAATACTTACATCCCGCCTGCCCCAGCAGATACCGCCTTATGAATGGCATGCCGTAGTGTTGGTTCTCCAGCAAGCAAATTGTGGAGCAGTGGTTCCCTAGCGATCCTGCTATTCACAAATTCCTCTATGTCTGTGTTACTTGCTCTCAGCTGAAGATCCTGGAAATTATCAACGTAGGTGAAAGTCCCCTTTGCGTTCCGAGACGTAACCAGTATGTTTAAATTGGATTGAAGTCCGTGCAGGACTTGCAACAGCTGAGCCCCGACAGCGGCCAAGCTCTCATCGATGGCATCGATGACGACAAATACCTGCTCGTAGAGACTGAGTGCATCTGCAAGAGCATCCGTTGCTTCCCGCACGCTGGGTCGTGTGCCCTTGGGCTCGTGCTCCGCATACAACCCTTGGACGAATTGGCTGATGGGAGAGTTGTAAGCTAGTTGCATCCAGATTGCCGCCAGGATGTTCTCGGTTGTCTGATCGCTCTGCTCCTTGTAATTGAAGTAAACCGAAGCAACTCCTATGGATGGGTTTCCTTTGGACCTCTCATGCAGGTATTGGACAACGACAGATCTATGACTGTTAGAGAGTTTATTGCAGAATTCGAGGCCACAAACAGCTCACGCTTGTATTGTCTTTCCGACACCAGCTATTCCCCATCAATACATGATCTTGGTTAGCTTGTGTTACCTCATCCAATTCAATAACATTTGGAGAGCAATACATACGGCTTCCCCGGCACCATAGGCTCGCTCCTGACGTTGCCAGCCACGACAGGAACTCGGACGAACCGAAGAGCTCGTTGCCTGTGTTATCGAAACGCCTACTGAAGATATCATTCTGTGTGACAAAGAAATTGAGCGGCGATAGCCACTTGACAATATCTACCTGCACCCTGACGGGGGCTGGCTTGCCTCCAGCGCTCGGCATGACGTCGGCAGGAGGGATAACGCCAAGGACCTCCTTGGCAAAGGCTGCGGCCGCGGCAGCTGCGTGTGGCTGCCAGGTGTCGTTCTTGTGTGAGTCGGCATAGTCGCTGATGCCGCGGATGACAAGGCATGGCATCGAGGTGGCAAGCCCAGCCGCCTCCATCTCGAAGCAGAGGACGCCGCCCAGAGCCAGACTGATGCTGTCGCGGGTCGCCGCGTCTTTAATGACCTGGTTCCCGGACGCAATTGCGCCGTAGTGCACGACCATGCCGCCGTTTGTTGGTGCTCGGTCGGCCCGCTGCTCGAGCCTGCTATTGTCGCAGTCCCGACATGTCGGCCCGCCCACATGCCAAAGCCGACGTTCTCAGTTGTAGCGACGGCGAGCCCACCACACTAGGCAATGACAGCGGCGCCCGGCGGAGGGATTTCTTGCACCTCCTCTCAAACGTGTCCCACGGTTCAATCTTGGTCACGACAACAGATAAGGACACTGCACTGGCCCTCGGCATCAAATCCAGCGACATTATGCCCGTGAGAGCAATGAGCGCAGGCCCGGCTGTGAAACTGCTTCTGAAGAAACTCGGCGACCATGACCAGCATAGCAAGCAGGATTATATGGAGTTGGTAAAAACACTAGAGTACAATCCGCTCGCAATCGTGCAAGCGGCAGCGTACATACGCCGACGCACCCTACCCATCTCAGTCAACGCCTACCTGCAAGAACTGAAACGGAACAAAACGTCTATAGGAGCTCTTTTCCAAGAAGAAAGTCATCAGTTCCGACGAGACTGCAGTGCCTCAGACTACATCAAAGCCTGTTGGAGGCCCGTCCTCGAGTTCTTGGAGCCGAGCTGTAAGGCCTTAACGTCAGCAGCTGCTCTGCTCTCTTTCATGGCATTCTTCGATCGCGATCACATTCCGAAATCCCTTGCTGAGTCTCGAAGAGGCGAGGCCGACGAGAGCGCCGTGACCAAGTCTGGCCAGGGCTACCAGAGCGACCTCCAAACGGACGAGCCACCGCCACTTGGAGATGGAGGCAATCAATACTCCACCGACGACTCTGAGAGGGACGTGCAGGATCTGCTTGACGCGGGCCTTATCGCTAAGAGAGGCCCCGGCGTGTTCTCGATGCCTCACCTCGTGCAATTGGCAGTAAGACACTGGCTGAAGGACAACAGACATTTTGAATACTTAGAATCGCAGTTCATATGCTGGATGGGTCGGAATTTCCCAACGGGGCGCTATGAGAACTGGGACACGTGCAGACGCCTCTACCCACATGTCCAAGAGGTGGCCCGGCAGCGCCCTATGGACCCAGAATTGCTTGGAAAGCAGGCACAGGTGCTTTGCCATGCCAGCCTGTACCAGCTAGAAATGGGCTATCCCGACCAAGCTATAGAGTTCGCCGACCGGTCTCTTGACGCGCTGAAGGTGCACAAACCGGAAGACCGTCTGGTCTTGGAGAGCAAACATTATCTCGGCAGAGCCCAGCGCAATCTGGGTCATTACCAGGCGGCTGATGACACATTCTCCGATCTACTGAGAACCTGCAGTCAGTATCTCGGCCCCGATGATCCTATGTTCCTAAACATTCGCGAGGATAAGGCGACGAACTTGGAGTCTCTGGGGAGTCTGGAGAGTCTGAACGAGGCAGCAAAGCAGATGGAAGAGGTCAAGGAAGATCGAGACAAATATGGCGGGCCTGCAAATGCCCACCCCGCTGATATCATCGGCTGTGATGCGAATCGGGCCACACTCCTCCGACTACGTAACGATCTGGAGATTGCTGAGCAGGTATATCTGAGCGTCCTGCAACAAGCCAGGGAGACTTCTCTCGACCAAAATCATCCAGACATCCTAGCAATTGAGTGCGAGCTGGCCACTGTATATCGAGATCAAGGAAGATTACAGACAGCAGAAGGGCAGTTTTCAAAACTGCTTTCAGTGTGCACCGAAATACTCGGCGGAGATCACCCTCTCACCCTTAATTGTAAGGCAAACCTGGTAACAACATACTTACACTTGAAGGAGTGCGCACAGGCGGAAGAGCTGGGCGTCGAAGTGGTTAACCTTCGCCAATCCAGACTCGGCAAAGAACACGCTGACACCCTCAGGAGTGAGTTAAACCTCGCTAGTGCATACTATTTGCAGAACATGTGGGAAGATGCAAGAAAATTACAGGTGCACGTGGTGGAAACGTCCAAGCAGAAGTCTAAAATCAGTGATCTCATCGGGGATAGCATGGAGGATCTGGCCATCACGGAGAACTATATGGGCCATAAGACTAGCGCCATCCTCCTCTTACAGGACTCTATCACAGTCCGCTCCATGCAACCGGGCTCGAGGAAAGAAGACACAATTTGGGCTCGGAACGTTTTGTCTGAGTGGCACCGTCAGCTACTGGAATCAGGTCGCCAGCGGGCACAGAGGAAAAGAGCAGGTCATCCAAGAGGCAGGTCCAGGCGGATCAGGTTGAAAAAAGAGAATGATCCTTCTGTACCATAGACAGCCATTCCTGGACAATAGAGGGCGGTTTTCTATCTGACAGTCAATCCTTTATTTGTTAGTAGGGCGTGGCAAGATGCCACCATAACTACTTTTTACAGGTGTCGGCCACCTGTTTTAGGGAACAAAACCCGGTTCGACGGAGTATTTAAGAGTGCCAGCTTAGGAATAGGAGACTCTTGGCGTTATGATCAGTAAACTTAATATCATGCTTCGGACGGCATGTAAGACCACCACGCTGGCGCCTGAGCCTATACTTCTCGGCCGACTTCGGCTTTGCAAGTATCTGCAATAGCACAGGCGACGGCAACCTGGCTTGGCCTTCCTTGTACGATGAACCAGCTACAGCGCGGAGAGATGCACTCATACACAACGTCCGAGAAACAGATAGTATCATGAACCAAGACAGATGCCTATGCTCACCCACTCGTCTCCTCCATACACAGTTTCTGTCGCCGAGGAGTAACTGGGTACATCACTTTCCGACACCTCCTTCCCAGAATCAATAGATACCACGCGGACGGAACATTCTCCTGCCTATTACCACACGCTAAAACTCATTATCATCAAGCAGGCAACTACTGCCTCGGGATTTCCGGACCCCGTCAAGCCATCCTCGGAACAGACCTAAGAGCTTTCTTCCATCACCGATCTATCATATCGCGCGCCAAGTCGAGTCTGTCCGGAACGTCGTTTCCCGCCTTACCCGCCTTCAGGCCTGTCCTTCCCTTTCAACATCAACTTGATCATGGGCATCCAGCTGTGACAGGATCTCTTCGGAGCAAGAGGTCATCATCCGCCGCGGCAAGTTTGACATTGACATGAAAAGGGTGGAGGACCAATGAGATATGGAGCCTCGATAAGGCTTACCCATGTAGATAGGCGAATGGTCCTACGTCAGGTCAGGCTTCCGCCATCACCAACACCCCCGGGCGACAGGCGCTTCAGACATATTATGTCACTCGGGCCAAGTGCTGAGGGTGGCCGCCTCATGGGCCCTCCCTACCGGCGGCACTGGGGATATTGGCAGCAGCATATCGAGTGAAGCAGCCGGGAAGATATGTTCAACAGCGAAGGCGCTTGCAGCAGGAAGCATTCGCTGTGCAGCTGAAGCGGATCAAGCTCAGAGACAAAAAGCTTGTCTCCGCGGAACCAAAGGCTAGTAGCGACCGGCGCTTGGGCGATGATGATGCGCAGCACATTGTTCTCGAAGACTTCTCCGTCGTCGATTGCATTTCATTGATAGAGGTTGCGGGCCACATGGAAGAGTAGCGATATCACCTGATGATACCCTGTCTACTATGGTATTGCACTGAAGCGCAGCGCAGGTCAGGCATGCGTCACAAATGACACTCCTTCACTTCTTCGGGAGGATCGGTTTCCTCGCGCATCAGAACGAGCGGGGACTATGGGAACGATTGCATGCAGTGTCTCTAATCTTTCTGCCGGGCGATGACGACGGGACCCCTCGAGACCAAGGGCTACAGAAGTCGGGCACTTACTCCTCTATCAGCATGGCAGAGTCTCGACTACTTCGATTAATCAGCGTGCTCTGGTTGTCCGCGGTCACACCACGGGAGCTTCTGAAAACTTGGAACGTGACAGAGTCGACGAAGGCCTCTACATTTCTCGGGAATACCATTATAGAACAGAGATTATTCTCTCCCGAAACCCCTCATCCACCAACTGGCCGTGCGCTGCACAAGTTCTTGACCGGCAGAAGACTACAATCCGGAGAGCGTGTCATGCTGGATGAGTTACTCCAAGCTATTGCTTGCCAATGTCAGAAGCCCCTGCTTGCTATGAACCGTGACTTTCGTCAATGCTTGTTCCAGCAACTCATCAACCTCGACCTGGCACGGTGAACTGTCCCGAGATGACAGGGACATTCATCATTGAATATAACTAATGACTAGTGTGGTATTGCCTGAGTTGCCCCTCACTTGTAGTCGAGATGGGAGTCGTCTGAGGTTTTCCAGGTCGACAGGGGATGCCAAGCATGATGATTGTTCTGTTATACGTGGTCAAGGCTGGTTGTTTCTGTCACTGGCCTTCCACGGGTTCAGAAAGTGGCACAGTCACAGCAGTCAAATAGAGGTCGTACATCAAAGATACAGTAATATCGACGTGTTGACACTGTCAATTCGTTGGATTACACGGCTGTCGGCGATTAATTTGATGTTGATGTTCAATCATGCCAAATTGTCTCAAGATTCTTCTTCGCAACATCAAAAAGAGCCGTACGCCTGTCAGCATCAGATGGCTTCTCTGTCTTGTGGCTATCACCATAATCGGATTCCTCTATCTCGGCCCTCGGCCTCGTCCACTTCCAAGAGAAGCGACCGGTGCTATTGAGGAGAATCAAGAGTGACATCTCCTTTTGGCTAGCAGACCATCGATGCAATGTTCCATTCTCTCCAAAACCTCCTGTTCAGTGTGCAAATCAGCTGCTCCCATCGATCGATATCTTGAGGCGTTTTAGCAAGCGTTTGATAATTAAGGCTTGCGAGTCCTACGAGTGAGCCCTACCTCCACGTCCTTCATATCTTCAGCCGCGAAGCCAAGCAATCCTAGGGGCTGCCGCTGTCTATAAAGATGGTAGACGCCAGTCCCACGCCTTGACGTTTGAATATGCGGCCGTCGAGTCGCTATTAAGCCGTCAGAAACGGGCCTGCCCAGCTTAAGTAACATCGGGACATCTACATCCTGATCTGCGCATGGGACACACCTGCGGCATTGCTCGACTTAGAGCTTAGCATGGGTGGAGATCAGGTTTTGCGATATAAAAGGGTAACCACTCGCTGTCTGGCACCCTGTATTTGAAAAAAGTACCAATGATGGATTCCGCGGCCTGGGGTACCGCGACCATACTTGATGCTCCTGCCCCCACGAGGACATCACCATCAATGAATGCAGGAGATCCGCGTCCTTCATTACTAGCTTCTGCTGTTACGTGCGTGCTGAGATCATAGACCTGCCGTGAGGTTGATCGATCAGGGACCGACTCGTTCCACTCTATGGGTTGGGTGTGATCACGGGATTGATTAAGACTTCCAGCGCTGTCGCGTTCCTGTTAGACGGCTTGTGTAGTCTTGGTCGCGTATTCCCTTCGTGACTCTCGGACAGGTCATGCACGTGGGGTAAAACAACGACGTGCAGATTAGATAAGCAGTAATCGATAAGGGTCCATATCAGGAAACAGGCACCGATTGATGGTTCCCAATGTTAGGTGCGAAGCAACTGACAGCCAGTCAGGGATCGAGCGACCACCAGGACATTTCTATGAAAACCTGGCATGGAGGAAAGGTGCAATTTGCTATGGAGGTTCCTAAGCCAGATAGTCGTGACTTTTCATCAGACTCAATCTAGGGTTCTAATCGTACACTTGACCCAGTCACTGAATTGCACCGGAGCGGTATCTTCTGTGAAAGCCACGACACCCGATCGAGAGAGTACTACATGTACGGAGGTAATATTCCTTAGGGCGTTGTACCTATCACATCTTCAACCCGTAACCACCCGGTTAATTTGGTTGACTCAGGACGCCGGATTGGGACGCTACGTGGACGACCTCCAGCGACTGTGCGGGTGGCTTCACTACTTACCGAATCAGGAAGGAAGGACAACTTATGCCCCGTGCTTGAACGAAGAGAAAGCTGAGGGGTTAGTCGCACTGCCACAGCTTGCCCGGCGACGCCACTTTGGGTGCGATGAATAAAATTGCCTTCCTAGGTCTAAGTGTGGCTCGACGACCTCAGAAAACTTAAACCGTAGCCTTAGCTTCGTTCTACTAGAGAGTTGGGAATGTGAACCCCAGAGGGGGGCAGCTGCGAGATGTGTGAGGTAGGGTCGACGGACGGCGAAGGGCAACTCATTTTTGTCGGTGATCATTCCTTCCTTGTTAGGCATAGGCCCCACTTCTGACAGAACCCCGCCTGGGAATCTGAAACGCCAATAAGGCATACGACCTCGTCCTCGACTGCGCTCCGACCTGGTCCCGTGACTTGCATGACGTTATAGCTGATGTTCTTCTTGTCGGTCCTTGCTCGGATGATTTCGGCGTCCCCTGCAAGCATTATCTGGCGGAACCAAGCCTCAAGCCGCACCGGTAGTGTAGCTGTCAGTAAGATGACCGGACAGCCGTACCGGTAGATACACTTCAGCTCCGTAAGCCGCTTTCGATAGCTAGCGTCCATAATAATCGTATGGCACTCGTCGACAAAGAACCGCTTGAGCAGACTCCGGCTTCGCAGCCAGTCCGTATAAGTCGAGAACTCTGTGCTATTGACCTGATCTGCACTGACGAAGACGAGCCGTGACACCCGCGGCTTCTCCTCTCGCCCGGTTGCCTGTGCTGGCTGCCACTGCTGACAGTCTAGCCCGAGACCAGCTGCACGTCTGACCAGATCGCTAATTAGTGCCACAAATGGTACTATGACGATGCTGATGCCTGCGTTCACGCCGCTCATGTATGCTGTCAACGAAGGGCATACAAAGGCGGTGCGGCTACTAATAGAAAGAGGTGCTGATATCAACTTTCGTGGTAACGTGGGAACACCATTAGCTTGTGCCTCTGAAAACGGATTCGCAGATCTTGTGCAGCTACTGCTTCACAAGGGCGCCGAGGTAGATTACCCGGATCGGGCCGGCCGGACGCCACTCTCATGGGCGTCTAGCAATCCGCACGACGAGGTAGTGCTGCTACTGCTCAACAACGGCGCTGAGGTTGATCGTGCAGATGAGACCGGTCGGACACCGATCTCATGGGCTGCAGGCATGGGATGCGAGCGGAATGTGATGCTGCTGCTCGATAGAGACGCCAGAATTGACGAAAGAGACTCCTTTGGTCGGACACCGCTCGCATGGGCTGTCTACAACAGGGCCGAAGCCGACGTGCGGCTGCTGCTAGACAGTGGCGCAGAGCCCGACAGTAAAGACATTCATGGTCGGACGCCGATATCATTAGCTGCCGAAAAGGGATACATCAGCATTATAGATCTGCTGCTAGCGAGAGGCGTTCAGGTGGATAGCCGAGATATTGATGGAAGACTCCATTGTCATGGGCGACATCTTGGGGGCGTGACGACGTTATGCAGAAACTGCTAGATAGCGGCGCCGACATTGATAACCGCGACGAGGATGGTCGTACGCTAATAGACTTGGCCAGGATAAGTAGAAAAAGCAGCACAGCTTCGCATTGCGGCTTAGCTCCGTGCGGCAAGTATAAGCCCGATTGATTGAATATAGTAGGAAAGCTATGGAAACGAATAAAGAATTGATAATAACCAGCAAGACGAGATGTTGAAAGTACGTCTTTATCCGGGCCGCTGTCGCTTCGCGGGGCGTCCAGGTAAGCCCACCTCACTTCCTTCTGTCCCAAGAGTCTCTAACAGCTCGGGGTATTGCTGCCAACATCGAGGCTGTGTACACGAATGGCCAATAGCTTCGCCCCATTGTTCTTGAACGTTAGTAGAGTTCCCCTCGGAAAAGCTTGACGCATTCCACAATCGTGTGACTTCATTAATGAAAAATCGCCCATCGGTTGCGACTTCTGAGATGCCAATGTCGAGACGTACGCCATCCTTAAGTGAGGCAAGACCAGGTTCAAAATCGGCAAGCCTAAAAAGAATGGCAAACCACAGAGAGGCGAACTGCTTCAGTTCATGATACTTGCGCTTTTGAGCGTGCTCATCCCCAACTCCTTCCCCAAATATTTCGTGACTGAATGGACTCTGATTCATATCCGAGAATTGAACCTTGCCGGCAGAAGTGGTTGGTCTGGTGATGGTGATACTAATGATCTTACCTGGGGGAATGAGACCGTCTATAGCCTCTTGAGATAGATCACGCACCATACAGACCCGAAGTTCGCCAAATTTGACTAATGAGTCGACATACTCTTGGTGGAAGAGATGGTTCCTGGGCTGAATATCGGCATCCCATTTGTTCCCAGGGATTCGGCACTTCAGTCCCTTGCGATTGCTGACTTTAACAAGCTTGACTCCCTCTCCACTGCTGCTATGTGTCGGCTTGATAACCATGCGGCCACCATGAGAGGGTGGCAGGTTACACGTCGCCGATAGCCCACCATCGCACGTTATGGGTCGGTATGCGAGCCAGCTCATTCCTTGGCCGTCGAATTTTGCGGCCCACTCGTCGAGGATTCTAAGATCGCCAACTTTGCTTGCCTGGAATGTTGCCTCCTCCGTGGTAGGATATGCTTTAATAAAAGCATTGTTGTCCATAAACAGTTTCATATATTCGCAATATTCATCGAAAGAGGGCCCTTCCGGCACCAGGATGGTCGTTGACATGCATCCGAGAAGAACGAGCTTCTTCCTCTCAGATGTGGCATCGGCAAGCTGCTCGCGAAGGTCTCGGAACAAGTCTGCACTCCATGTTAAAGTCGCCGACATCGTAAGGCATGGGTTCTTGATGGTTGCCGAGATCGCCATGATCAACGGCTCATAGACCCATACGGTCTCGTCATCGTCATGTTCTTGGTGTTTGAAATGCGGCTCGACATTTACTAGATCGAGAGCAGACGACTTTAGCCTCTTCCCCTCCTGAGACATCGGAACACCTAATGGTATAGCGGAGTCAGATCGACCCTCCTCAACCAGGGGGCCAAATGGGACTCCGAGCCAGATCATATCGACTGGAAGGGGTTTTGGCTCCGGACGAGCGGTAAGCTGGTGGTTGTGGCTGATCGTGGTTGAATATTGTATGCGGACCACCTCAAGCGAATCTAAGAGCGGAGGAAACTTGTCGACCACTCGTTGTGCGCTCCACGCAACGGGACATTGTTTATATCCGCAGACATAGAATCGGGTCCTCTCCCTCTTCTCCTTCGTTCTGGCCTTGTATCCATGTCGGCTGACAAACACTGACACGATGCGTTCTAAATCTTCGAATGAAGGAAATGTCCAACCGCATGGTGGGGCGCCGTCACTTTTATAGTCGATCTTAGCCCGGCCCAGGGCAAAATACTTCATAGCCTCCATAGGCAGTGATACACGGAGAATGAAGACGCAAAGATGATTGAGAGACGTCGCTTTGGCCAAAAGGGGGTTCGCGAAATGCGGGGCGCTGGGGAAGCTTTCCACGAGCGTGGAAGCTTTTCCACGGGCGTGGAAATTTCTGCACAGGCGTGGAAGCTTTTCCACAGGCGTGGAAGCTTTTCCACGGGCGTGGAAATTTTTCCACAGCCGTGCCTAAAGTCGCGTGAGTAGCGGTCCCAACCACCCCAACACCGCATTTAAGATTACTGTACTACAAACAAACCGCTCCAGCTGGGCGAGACGAAGGGTGGAGTCAGATGCTGGGGTCTAGCCGACAGAACGTAAACAAACAATTGGCTTGGCGTCCGTTCGCTTTCTAACGGGATCAACGGGGACCTGGGCCAGATACGTAATAGCACCGCGAAAAATGGCAGACAGGTTCGAAAAACCTTAGAAATAAAGACGTGCCATCATGATCATCATCCTTCCGATTGGGCTTGGCATAATCGTGCACGATGCGTGCTGCGCGATGGCCTATCAAAGACCTGACGAATGTTAAGCCGCGTTGCCCCACCCCACTTGCCACTTTAGGGAGGAGGAGCTGGCAGGACATGGTGGATGTTGTACACATGCGACAGAGCCGCCCCCGCCCCAGTGCTGAAACAGGACTCCACCACAACAGCGGTGAGCTCCCTCGGTATTCGGTCACGGGGCATCCCACAAGCTCAGCACGTCGGACTGGCTGGGCTTGTGGGCCGTCGTCTTCGGCCCAAAAGAAAAAAAACAAAACAATTATCTACGGCTTGTTCGGGGTGGGACATCGGCCACAGCGCACCAGGCGGAACGCCGCTCCGCGTCCCTGCTGCAGGAGAGGACGTGGTTCGACGCGGACTTAAACTTGCATGAACAGAGGGGCAACAATATGTAGGAAGTTGTATTACATACCAAGTGGGAAGGGCGCCTGGTAGCGGCTTACTCCTTGCCGCCAGATGGTAGGGGAGGCAATTAGCTACGCTTCGTCTCGCTAGATCAGGTCACACATATTGCTGGCTGAGACAAGCAAGGTTCGGGCAAATTCTTGACAGGAAGTGTAACTAAACGAGAGATACATTGACCAGCTTTATGTACATACAAATGTCGATTCGCCTACGAATGGCCCGCACCTACACTGCCAGACACTATGTCTCACCTTCCCAGACCGCGGCGAGGAGGTTCCGTAGGGCAAGAAATCTATGGGTACCCTTGACATTGTTTTACGAACGTCCTTCCCATACACATAAGACATTCATGTAGAGAGTATGAGCCGGGAATCACCGCACCCCGCAACTCACTTGCGACATTACAGAAGGTCCGCTATCCACTTGATTTCTTCGTAATGGTGACCAGGAAGGGAATCGAGCGGCTCCGCCCAGGGGATTCCGAACCGAGGCCGCCACGTTGCAGAGACTGCCGCAGCCACCATCTGGCTCGCAGAGCAAGAGAAGAAAGACGGCTCCACCAGTGCAGCCCGGAGGACACGCAAGACTTCGAAGCGTATGTATTGCTCCAAGGGGGTGCGCGAATCGGGAGGATACACAAAGTCGAGGAAGTGGATTGGGGTTGAGCCGTTGACGCAGTGGCCAATGCGGTGCAGGATGCTCGCCCGTGTGCTGAGAATGCTGTCCATGGAGAGCTGGCGATCTGTATCCATGACTGCGGTCTCCAGCATCGCCTCAACGATGGCTCTGTGGACTGCAGTGAGGCCGAGTGCCATGTCAAGACATGCGCTGCCGACCTTCGCGTAGAGCACCTCCCTGGTCGGCTCAAAAATGGCCCATTTTTCAGGTTTGAGGATGGCACGGAGAGCAATGTTGACTGCGGCGAAGACGACTTTGTGCTCGAAGCGGAAGCGCTCGTCGAGCGACAAGATGTAGTGGATAACGCCTTCACAGAGCTCTTGCAAGAGATCCTTGGTATCTGTATCCCAGTCCTCCTAGGCTGCCGGGACGCAGAGCTGGTTCTCGTGCATCGCTGCGTTGATCATGAGACCTGCGGACGCGCCGATTAGACCTTGCGCTTTTGCTTGGTGTCAATCATTCAGGAGACGGGTGTGACGGCTGCAATCGTCGGAGCCGGCCTCAGGGCCAAGTTGGGAAAACAACTCGTCCATGTGTACGTTCTTCTGGCGGGTCTTCCTTGCCACTTGGTGAGATGGCGACTGCCTCTGCCCAGAGACTTTGTAGACGAAGCATGTTTGGCTTGGTCTCTGTCCACTAAGAAAGAAGAGGTGCTGGCGGAGTCAGCAGACGAATGCAGACTCAACGATTCAGAATCGCCCTGTCTGGTGTATTGGCAGGTGCTGGAGGCGGTCTCGAATGGTACGCTTACCTCGGTGCTGGCTTGTGCACCCGTGAAGCAGATCGGGGTTGATGTTGATGATGGAGAAAAGAGCGATGGCCTGGTGATGGCTGCCGGGGAAGTGCGGTCTTGAGCACCTAGTGACAAGGTGCATTGACGGCGGATGCCTGACAGCCAGCGACGCTGGGTGCCTGGCAGCCCCTCAAAGTGGGCCCGCTTCAACCCCTCTGCACCACATAACCCCACCTGGTCACCTGTGGACGCTCGCACTCTCCTGGAGATATGTTCCTTCGGGGCCCGGGGTGGTCTGCTTGGCCGCACGGACTCACCGAACATGGATGGAGGGAGGTCTGTCTGCCTTCACTGGACGCAAGTATGATGGCAAGCAGGAGTCGAGTATTCCCTGCCTGCAAATAACATTTCAGAGCAGCGGGTAGGTGGCCTTTGCATGTCAGGACACTTCCAGGGTCATTGCCACCGCGCAAGCTCAAAAGAGGGCAAGCATGAGGGCGCACAATCAGACCTTCACCAGGGGGCCCCAGGACCAGTCCTAGGCCAAGCCCTCAGAGCAGACGGGCAGTTTCATTATGGCCACCTGAAGCCGACAATGAACCGTAATTTTCAATACGAGGCTGCATTCCTCTGAGCCGATGATATGATGACTTTCCTGGGAGTTCTTTTTGCACGCACTCTTTGCATTCTCAAACAAAGCATCGACAGTCTGGGCAGCGCCAACCAAGTGCTGTGCATGGCTCATGACCCAGACCGCGATTGCACCCTGGCGACCGACCCGCCGGGCGACACTGCCTCGACCAACTTACATGTTGGGCCGGTAAGCAAGAACCGAAGGAAGCCATGGGCCGCCGCGGTCGCTGCGCTGTGGCGGGCTCGTGGCGACAGCCCAGTCCGGCATCCGAGGGAGGTTTCGTTTGTTCCAACGTGCCGCCTTACGACCGCTGTGCGACCCATGCCCTGTGACTCCGATGCGCAGTCACGCAAAGCCCATTCGCGTAGCTACTGCAGCGTGTTTGCTATATCGCACCATGATGCTCGGCCGCCTAGGACTCGGCTCGCTTTTTAAGCCCGTTGCAGCACCGGTCTGCCCGAGCTCCGGGTCGCTGAATGTAAAAGTTTGGAGGGTGCCGTCGCTGACAATGTGCGCCGGGCCAAAGCAGCTGTGCCATCTTTAATGGTTGCCATGCAACGCGCTCGCCAGCAGCCGAATGAATGTCCCCGCCCCGTACTCGATTAGAAACCAAAGCGATCATCACTGGTCACACGTTCATTGCATGGCCCTCTCGAGAGGTCATCGTCGGGGTTCTTACAGAGCACGAGCCTCAGGGCGGTGCGGCCGCCCAGCTCCTTTTCACCAAGTTCGGGGGATTGTGTCGAGCCTAGCAGGCAGACTCGGCGCACGCACAAGGGGGCTGCACACATACGCGCCGACTGCTGCACGGCTGCCTATCTCTTGATAGATTTCTGCTGGTAAAACTCGAGGTTGCCTTCCCCGTCTTGATTCCCGTCTTGATTCTAGGACTCAGTTCCCGGTGTACATCGTCCTCGTGCCATACCGTGTCAAGGCATGCATAACGAGTCCCAAAGGACTCAGCTCTGCGGTCATCAGAAGGAGGAACAGCGAGGAGGACGAGTAGTCTGTCAATGTCGGCATAGTGATTCATGCTTCCACGCTTTGCCTTCTTGCCTGCTGATCGCCATATTTCTGTGACTGCCAGATAGTTTTCGAGGTACATGTTCTTCCTCTGAGGCCTTGTAACCGAACAAAATCCTACCCGACATGATATTCTGCCATTTCCGGAGCAGGATATGACCCTGGCGTTGAGTCATCTCCTCCAAACCAGCTCGACAACTTCGTCAGGCACTCCACGGTCTTCACTCCTTTCCACACATACAGCTGTCTCATGAGATCTGCCCTGACTTCCGTGTATTTGAGGTAGTACGTTTTGTGATCACTGTCGGGCACCCTGTCGCGCAGCGGCCCCATGCTGTACTCGTACTTCGGGTCCTCGCCTGCATAGACGTTGCCCCATGTTCGCTCTATCTTGTTCAGATCGAGCGAATCCACACCCTTTCGGTACACGGTGATCGAGTAGCCATTACTAAGGACAGTATCGTTGCCAAAGATGAATCGTTGAAGGAAGCAGTTCCTGTGGCACAAGCTCGCCTAGTCAGCATACACGTTGCTGGGACCCCGGTGCTTCACGAGAATGAATTACCCGCAAAAGTTCGTCGCCTGCGCCATGGAAACTACAGGTTCGCTGTACCAGCTTTTCCAGTGGTGCAAGTTCAAAGGCTCAACGCCAGATTCGAAGAAGCCGCGCAGGTCGCCTAGCAAATCGTGTTGATATCTTTATCGAGCAGGTTAGTCTCTTGTCACAAGACATCAATGCTGGGGTGGAAGGACTTACAGATTTGGCAGCACGGTCAGGCGCGCCCTACTGTGGCGGTAGACACAGTCACGGATGATGATGTCTCCCAACTGAGGCGGGGACTCCTCGATGCACTGGAGGAGCTGGTCCAGGTTGCCGATCTTCCTGGCCAGATGTGCAGAGAGATATACGCCAGCACCGCCATAAGCCATGAGGCCGAATCGTGTGAGGGATCCCCAGTCCTCCGTCAGCCCGCCAACATAAAGGTCTTTGTTTTCGTGATCAAGAGAGCTGAGTGCCGTAGATAAAGGCTCCAGGTGCGGAAAGAAGGTGTCGTCGTCAAGTAGAGCGAACCACTTTGTCTCTGGCCCGCTTTCGGCGAGCATCTTGCTGAGAACTGCAAAATGTGATTGAGACATAGAATGGTTGCTGGCGATGGGCGGTGCGAAGATGACGTTGATCTTGAGGCTGTGAAACTGTGCAAGCACGTCGGCGACTTCGTCCTCATGCCCGATGTAGTCGTCAATCACCACGACGAGGAGTGTGCCCCGGTCAGAGGCCCAATGAGCAATCGCGTCGACGCTCTGACTTAGACGAACCAAAGACGTGGCCATACCGAATGCCAGGTGTTTATATTTGGCTGATCGTGGGTATGCATTTTCGAATGGTAGGAGAATTGCATCGCACTGCTCTATCTGCAGAGACCCGGGTTGATCTAGCCTTGCCTCGATGGGCTCTACGATGAGCCGCCGGGCAACCTTTGTGACATTACTTCTGTCGACAGGTGCATCGAGGGAAACCTGGACACAGCTTTGTGTGTATTTGAAGGTTGGCGAGAGCCTGATATGTCCGCCCTTACCGGCTTGACGCACGAATCCGAGGGTTGCAAGATCTGTCCTTCCTACGTCCGATTCGCTCGCTGAAAGGAGTGTAAGCCCGCCTGTTCCACGGTACATCACCCACAGGCGACCCAAAATCAGTAACGAGACGACAATGCCCCCGATGCGTATGATGTGCATTTCTTGTATTCTTGGTGGGGTAAGACTTATTGAGTTCAATCGTGTTTAGCGAAAAGGAGTCAAACTGTAGTGCAATGGCAGGCCCATGGTAGATGAGTTACCAGCTAGTGCATTTGCTTGGTTAGATGCTGAAATCAAGCATCACGTGCCGACAGCAAGTAGCAAACATCATGGTTTATCGCTGAGTAAGGAGCCTGGGGGGTTTATTTGTTTCTATAGTTTCTGCTGGCTACACGGGACCGGCATTCGCCTCTACACGTTTACGAAATGCTCAGAATAATACGCTGCGGAAGGAGGTCCGTTATCCTTGTTTCAATAACCGGGATTATCTGCAACCACGGGAATTGCACGTGTATTTGCAAAAGCTTCTGCATTGCTATCGTGCCCAAAGCGCCCCTGTCTAGCTCTGTTTGTAGTGGAATGTTAAGTCCATTGTTTGTGGAGTGTCTTTCAAGCATACTGAGGGAAGGCGGCCGATCATGTAGATTCTAGGGAATTGGAATCTTAGACCTATCACCGGCAAGGAACGCCTGTTTAAGTAAAAAAGCTCTAACAAACACTCACGCCCACGACGTCTCAGTACATATAAAGCTAGCTTAAACGCCAGGTGTACTTGCTTTTCAGTGACAACCCGGCAAAACTAGGAACTACCAGTATCGTCGAAATCAGCAGTCATGGCTTCAAATCAAGCAGGAAACTCCAAGAAGGCGCGAAAGAAGTTTCTGGTCTTTGTTGATTGTCCCGACCCTGACAACTGGTTTATGGTTCTCTCCATCATTCGGCGCAACCCACGTCGACGTGTTTGTGTCATTCTCTCGCCTCGGCCTGTCGACCTAACTGTTAAGAACTATGGTACTCATTTTCCTGAAGTGTACGATGCCGTTTCGGAGTACACTAGGCGACCGAACGGAAAGGTCGATAACGACGAAGTAATAAGACGCATGATGACACCGTTCACAGAAAAGCCGAAATGGGTTACGGAAATCAAGCAAAACATCGCGGAGGAGTGGTTCAGCAAGCCAGACCGACATTTTGAGGCCAGTGGGAGCTATTTCAAGTCCATTGCAAGTACTTATATCAAGGTCATTGCGCACTATTGGACGACCCTTCTGGATGGTCTTAACATCCCTCGAGATCGCTACCAGTTCTATACGGACGAGGATTCAATGCAGAAGATATCACCAGGACTGAGACACCAGGGCCACAGTCCCGATTATATATGGGTATTTCGAGAAGAAGAGGAGAAAGTTGAGGATCTGAAAGAGCGGCTCGACGCAGCCTTGAAGTCGAACGATGGCGAAGTGCGCGAAAGGCTCATACTCCAGGTGTGGAACGACTATATTCAGGTGAAAGATGCCAAACGACGAGCTTCAAATCTGGCCGACATCGTCCTCCCATTTGATCAGCTCATAGAGGAGGAAAAGGCCCTGCGTGAAGAGAAACGAACTGCAGCCGAGAAAAGTGAGCTGAAGAAAGCTCTCCCACTATTCTATGGTCTGCTTCATAAAAAGGATACAGGCCCGCGAGTGGCCATAGGCGGACCCTTCACTGAAGCTCTCAAGTGGGTTGAGAACGATCTGCCCATGGAGAGCGCCACAGCTATGGCTTGCTATATTTCCGGCAATCTCAACATCTTGACCAATCAGTTCAACGTTGCTGTCGACATGTATCCGGCATGGACATTCCTGAAGCTTGTTGAAGAGAAACAAATACACACCGTCCTGGTGCCGACGGAAGTCATCAAGGAGAAAGAATGGCGAAACAACAAACTTGCCAAAGTCTTCGAGAACTATCCAAGACTCTATGAACTAGTGCGTGGCTTCACGAGGAGCGGCAAACTGCAGGATGCCACCATGTTCGACTGGAACACAGCACTCATCGATAGCTGTCCCGAGCTCTTGAAGACCAAGCGTGTACGCCCCGTTCTGAAAATTCTGCGAGAGGTTGGGACAGAGAAAGATCCAGAGGAGGTCGATTTCCATGGAAGCTTGGAGGCAAGCCCGAAACCCCCAGCCATAATGTTGAGGGTTGAAGTAGTGAGATCCAAGGGGCAACACTACCTGACAATGTGTTGGACTGAGAAGGGTTTCAATGGAAGGATCTTGAAGAAGTACCACGATAAGATCCCGAAGATGATGATCGAAGATCTGACAGGTAGGAAGACATCATTCTGGGGTAGCATTATGCGATTCGCGCTCCCTTAATAGCAATCTAGACCACGACCGCGTGGTACAGTAATGCGCCGCGGTATACTAACTTAGTCTGTACACATGGGTCTAATGGAGGCTTTCCAGGTCTGGTGCTGAAGTGTCTGGTGATGTCGGATGACTAAGCACGTGGCAAAAGGTCCGGGTTCAGAGTTCCACCTCGGCCCGACACATGCGCCCGTCGGCCGCCACCGTCCAGGCCTCGCTGCCAGGCACCTGGAGCCCCCAGAAGAGCGAGTCTGGATCCCACGTCGTCTTGATAGCCGCCAGCGCGTCGTAGTTGTCGCCAAAGAAGGCCTCTGCGCTCCGTCGGCCTCGTTTATGTATGTCCCACTCCCCGGCGTCACCTCCTCGATCCGCGGCCGCATCTCGTCGCCCAGCCACCGCTGCCGGCCCCGCATGTGGGCCCAGTCGGCTGGCGCGTCGCTCCACGGCGTCAGCAGGCCCAGCAGTGCCACGCCGTCCCGCCACGCCGGCAGCACCGCGTTGGCCGCGCCCGTCCGCTTCACCGCGCCGACCACTGTGCCCCCGATGGTCACGCCCCCGGCGTCCACCATGTGCTGCAGCGCGGCCATGAGCTTGCTCAGGTAGGCCGCGTCCTCGACGACGCCGCGGGGCACGATGCGCGCACTGCTCTGCCAGAACGACTCCACCGGCCCCGGCGCGACAAACGTCGTCCAGTGCGCGTGGTAGCCCGGCGATGCCAGCCACTGCGCCGTGCTCGCGATGCCGGCACGGTCGAGCGCGTCGACCAGACGCCGCACCAGCGCCTGGGCAGCCGCCAGCGTCAGGCCGTGCGCCGTCAGCGGGGTCAGGTAGAACACGTCGGCGCCCAGGCTGAACGTCGCTCCGACCCCGCGGTCGACAATGGCCGGCATCAGCTCGAAGAAGACCCGCATGGCCGCCCAGAACGCGAGGGGCGATGCGGTCTTCCGGTCAATCATCAGAAACAGGCCGGCGACGGGCGCGTCCGGGTACACTCGGACCGTCACGCTTGTCACCACGCCGTAGTTGCCGGGCCCGCCGCCGCTCAATGCCCAGTACAGATCTGGGTTGACCACTGGAGAAGCCGTGACCGCCACGCCCTCGGCCGTGACTACTTCGAACTCGAGTGTCTGGTCCGCGCCCGTGCCAAACTTGGACCCCAGCGGCGAGTGGCCACCTCCGGCGGTAAAGCCTCCGGCGACACCCACCGATGGACACCAGCCGCCGACGGCCACGAACCCGAGCGGCGCAAGGAACGCTGCAGCCTCAAAGCCTTGCACGCCCGCGCCCATCTTCAGGGCTGGCCCAGTGTACAGTGCCGACTGGTAGGCCGCCACGAACTCCGTCGACTTGAGGTGATGCGTCCACACCGCCAGCGCCCCGCGCGCCGTCGACCTCCCGACAAAGTCGTGCCCGGTGTTTCGGATCACGATCCGAATATTCTCAGACTTGGCAAAGCCTATCGCCGCGGCGATGTCCGACGGCCCGCTCACGTTGACGGCGTAGCTCACGAGATTGCCGAGGTCGGCACAGGACGTCTCCCGCGGCGCAAACGGGTTGCAGGACTGGTTGGCCCAGAATCGCTCCATCATGGACGAGGACGAGCTGTAGTGTGTCTCTGGCTCGCTATACGACGCGCGGAGGGCTGTACATGCCTGCTCGTCGTAGGTCGGGTCATGGCAGACTGAGCCGATGGGGACTGTCGCCACCAGTCTGCCCGAGACAGTTGCGTTGAGCTCGTCCCACCTCGCCTGGGAGGGCCAGCATGAATCTCCCGACAGGCAGCGGCAGCCATTCGCGCTCATCAGGCTCCGCCGGCTGGCTGGGCGCGGCCATGGGACGGCGGCGAGTTGAGCAAGCACATGCGGCTGGTGGTGGTGGTCGTGGTGGATGAGGGCTTGTTGGCTGCCGACATAGTCGGAGCTCTGGCTGGCCGCCAGAGCTCCGAATGTGAGGAGGTGGCGCAGATTCATTGCGAGAATGCCCTGGGACGGGAACTGTCCGTTGTCCTGAGATGAGCACTCCAAGGCGGCTGCCTGCTGATAATTGACTTTGTTATAGCTATTCGGCCTTGCAGTACGTAAACCTCACCGGGAAAGCTTGAGCAGACTGCGTGAATTTCTGCGCGCCCCAAAAAGAGACCAGGTGGTTTCCCTCGGCTGACTCGTCTGGGGGGTTGCGGAGACCCGTGTTAGTGGATCTGATGGTGGCTGTTGACGAGAACCAACAACGGCCCTCTCCCCCTCGCAGCACAACGACCGGGGTAGGACAAATCGTCCATTTTGGGATGGGACTCGGGGTTGGCTTGACATCCCAGTACAGCGCAGTAAACCGCCACTTCCTGCCAAGTCTTCAAATCATACATGACCAACCTGACTGCCCAAATTTGTGATTATGCCACATATCGCCGGCGTATGCCCTCCAGGGCCCCGTGCTCGGTCGGGAAGCAGCACGACCCCGGCCCGGTGCGCCGGCTGGCAGAGCCCCGTCCGTTCATGCATGACGGCCGAGTCTACTGCGGCACTAGCAGGGATGCAGGCCTCATAAGCTTGCAGCACAAAGCATGGGCACCCAGAAGTGTGTGGATCTGACAACCCCCTGCTGGCTCTCATTGGACTCACACTTGCAGTTGTGTGTTTGTTCGGGTTTGTGTCAGTTTGTGTCAGTTTGTGGAGCTCATCAGCTGCAACCAATCAGATTAATGCTCTGCTCCACCTAATTTACTAAGGTTCCACGTCCAAACAAACCTCCTCACCCACAAACATACCAGGCATTCGCGAACAAACCCCCACGGGACATACTCGAGTCCCACAAACATGGATGCACAAACATACACACACAAGCCCGCCCACCTTGGTGCCCAGCGTCTTTCACCCCAGACGAGCTTAGAACACGCCACGGATCGTTTGGCAGCTGTGAGCAGTAGCATACACGTAGAATATGAATACTTCACGGCAAGACTCAGAGGGCTTTTCGATAAAGCGAAGAGTTTGCTCAATAATACAGTGGTCAAGCGATGAAATTACGTCACCATCTCTGCCGGCTCAGCCTGCCCAACCCGACATAGCGAAAGTGTTCACCGGGCCTCACTATGGCGACGGAGGGTTTGTGCAGTGGGTCACCGTTTCCTCTCACGCGGCTGCCCCCCGAGCTGCTCGTTTATGTGCTCGAGAACCTCAACGCCAAGTCACTGTGGTATGCCGAGAGAGTATGCCAGGCTTTACGACATGCAGCACATAGTGCTTTCCGGGGAGTATACGGCCCTGGTGTCCGACACCGAGTGGCTCTATCGCCTTCACCATTGCGGGAGCTCGCAATCGAGGAGTACAAACTAGACTGCAACCCTTTCCATTACACGTGGGAGATTACGGCCCTCTTGTACGCCATATATGAGCACGTCCACTCTCCCATAGACAGTGGCAACCAGTCGTTTGCGGTCTTCAGCCTGCTCAGCCTGCGACGTAGTGATGCTGCACACAGTCCAGTCTGGCTAGAAACCGTGGCGCTGGCCCTCATGATACAGGGCCGCCTGAGGGAAGCCGACAAGTACTACGCTCAGCTCGCCGCCATCGGGCCGCCGTCAGAAGGAATGGTCATAGCTCAGGCGCGCTACGGCTCGCACAAGCGCTTCGTCGAGGCTCTCCAGCGCCTTGGCGCCGAACCAAGCTCCGCAATGCTGGACAAACTCGTCATCGGGGCCGCCGCTCGCGGTGACGTCGACCTGCTCGAGTACCTGTGCGCCAAGTATGTGATCAATCTCTGCTGCATAGTCGATCGTCACAGCGTGGCGTCGGCGGCCGCCTCTGGGGGGCAGAACACGGTGCTGGAGTTCCTGCAGGGTCGTGGTGTAGACATTACCGGCCACCACCTATGGCCGTCGCCCATACTCGCGGCAGTCAATCACGGCCACTACGAAACTGTCAGCTACCTGCTGGCCAAGGGAGCTCCCACCAAAATCGACGGGGAATTTCTCGCCGTACATGCCATCTGGAGAGGGCGCCTGAGTGTGCTCCGGCTCTTGAGCTAGCACTCGGCACTGCTGACGACTAACTCCATCGGCATGTTGAGTATCGGGTTCGCCGTGGAATTGCGCGACAAGGATCGAGGGAGAGAGATTGTGGAGTTCCTCGTCAAGGAAGCCAAGCTGGACATCAATGCCCTGGGCATCAATGGGACGGCACTGCACTTGGCAATCAGATCCGGAGACGTGGAGACGGTATCGCTGCTGATCAGCCTGGGCGCCGATATACATGCCACAGACCTCCTTGGCCAGGATGCCTTTGAGCACGCCATTTCTCACAGTGGAGCCGTCGCCGAGTGGATGGCGGAGCAGTATGGGGACCGCATCTCGGAGCTCCTCATCACAAAGAGACAGATGGTCACGCGCATTATCGACTCATCTGCCACCCTCAGAGTGCGGCAGCTGGCTGCTTGGATCAGCCTCGGCTCATGCGAGGTCACGCCGCAGCAGAAGGAGGAGATTGTTCTACGTGCATGGACGACCCAGCAGATGGACGACAAGCTGTGCGAAATCTGGATGCACAACTTCTCCCTGGCTGCGCTGCAGTGGTTTGTTGTCCACTTCCAGAACAGAGGTATCACAGGGTATATTGATGATGCAGCGGCAGTGTCTTCAGACCTCGCGCGGGCTATAGAACGTGGGTCTGGCGCCAGGGTGGGTCACTACACTCCCGCAGACAAACCCATCGACGGTGAACTGCGGACGGCGGCTCGGTATGTTGCAGACGTCCTGCAGCCCCTCGATTGGTGCATTCGCAGGAAATTAGTGATCGAGCTGTGCCGCAAATTGCCTCACGACGAGCTGTGCACACTTGGCGTGGCTCTCGCCACTCCTGACGCTCAACCGTTTTTGATGGGACACAAGGCCAACACGTTGGAGGAACATGGCTTATTCCGTTCTTTTGCCGAGAAGCAGAGTTGGAGATTTATTGGCAAAGCCTAGCATTCACTACTGAATAGGCGATAGTCAGGGGCTATAATCAGTAAAACTAAATGATCTTGCTCCTCCACAAATCTGCGGCCACGCTTTCTATCAAAAGTGGGAAATAATAATAGTGCAGTACTTACATAGCTGCCTGAGGACGGAAGGAACATTGGCACCCGCCACCTGATTGCATACATGCGCACGACATGCATGCTCATGGAAGGAAATATGTCATTTGATCTGTAGGAAAGTTTACGGTACTGCCTTCGCCGGCTGCCTGCTCCGTACTCGCCGTACTCTATCCCGTCACGGAGCGGAGTTATATACCTGCCGCTGACAATTTGCGAGCTACGGCCGTCGCGCACAGCACAAAGTGAGCTTGTGGTCCTAACGGATCGCGACGCTTTGAGAGCTGCGCCCCACTACAATCACAAACCATGTCACATGCTCTATCGCTGTCACACCTTATTCCAGCTACATCGAACGGACTTTTTCACGCAGCTGTAGTTGTCTCGATATAGCTTCCGTAGTCTCCGTTATTAGCGGTGGGTGATCCTTCTTTCCTCTACTACCAGCGCTAACAATCAACTAAACACCCCAGTTTGAGACCTCAATTGAGTGCAAGCCATGCAGCAAACCACCAGCTTCGGCACCAAACATGATCTTGTCCTTGACGTAGGCCACGCAGGCGTGGCTCAGAGGTTCTGGGTAGAGTCGTCACGCCTCATCCGTCATTCGCCGTAGTTTCAGGCCCTTCTCAACAGTCCATGGCTTGAGCAACGGCCAAACTTCGGCTCCTGGACGGTCAGCTTGGCTGAGCACGATCCAGGGGCCACCGCTATCATTCCCGCGTTTCTACACAGGTCTGGGCCTGCAGTCTAGCAAGCAGCAAGCCCCCATCTGGTGGAGCGAGTAGTCGTAGCACTCGACCGGTACGCCATATTACACGCCGTCTAGAGCGTTAGGACAGCCTGGCTAGAAGCTACACAGTCACGCCCGGTACACGATCTCATAGTTCTGGACCAAATGGTGATATTAGACGCAGAAACGAAGACGATATAGAGCTGGGTTGACAAATTATACCTTTGAATTCTCGATATCGCGGAGGATGCTTCGACAGGGCCGATCGGGGCAGATAACTATCTCGTTATGCTCGCCTCGGGGAGAAAACGCGCTCCGCATCGCCAGCAGGCTAACGGCGTGGCGGACTCATACCACGACGCTGGGAGATGGTATCCCGACCTTCTTTCTACATCATTTGGATCTGCAGAAGAGCCCACCAGAGACTGCAGGGCTAGGCCATACAGCCGGCTTTGTCACGAGGAGCAGGCTTCCGTCATCAAGCTCGAGCTTAACAGCAGAGGTGGTCTGAACAGGCGAGACCTCTTCGATCCTGCGCAGCGAGATGTGATGAACATAGAGGCCTGCGTTAACGAGCTGTAAGCATGTGACCCGATCTGCATCAGGGTAGGCAGGGAAGACAGCCCTTGCGAGATCAAGCACAATGTACACGGTGCACTCAGTTCTTTTCGGTCAAAGTGGTCGGTTCAGGACCAGAGCGGCGCACTCTCGGACTATATGCTGTGGCGCCAGCCTCACACACAGCTACCTTGCAGGGACCGATGCCACATGGATCTCCGCACTGAGTCGAGCAGACTCGGACTCGGACGATGAAGTCTGATGACTCCGATCAGGGTCGCAACAAGGGCAGATCGTAGTGGCGTACATATAATACTCTATTGCGCTATGGGAGCGTAAGATAGTTTATCAAACAACTGAATCTTTGAGGTCAAATTCGGGAAAGCTGATATATCCGTCGTGCTGATAGTCACCCCTCTAGTCTGTCATGACAAGATCGCCGCGAGCTTGGCGGGTGATCTTGTGTCTAGCCTTGGCCGTATGTACAGATGCATCGTGTCTGTTGGCTTCCTAGGTACCAGCGATTACGAACGATAGGACCATACTGTCGCTCCGTATGCATAAGCGATCAAGTCGTCTGCTCAATCTTGTCGATGATTTCCCAGCACGCGGTGATGCCGGCGTGCCTGCGCTCGTCGACGAGGGCGGTGAACTCGCGGGTGTCGGCGCTCTCGAGGGTGATGAGGATCTCGTCCGGGCTGAGCTTGCCGTCGATGCGGGTCGACGGCTGCACGAGGCCGTACGAGGCGCCGCCGTAGCCCGGGGCGACCTTGCGGATGCAGTCGGGCACCCGGGGCGTGGCGAAGCAGGGGAACTCCCAGCGGATAGGGGTCGTCCGGTCCCCGCACTTGCCCATAAAGCGCCGGGTGTTGAAGATGAAGACGTATGGGTCGGCCTGGTCGGCGTTGACCTGGATGTGCGACGGGTCGCCGCCTTCGCGGAAGTAGTTCTCGAAGGTCTCCTCGTACGCGCGGCGAAAGCCGGGCAGCCGGGCTGTCTCGACAGCCTTGCTGATGTGGATCTCGAGCTTGCGGACCTCGGCCGGATCGTCAAAGGCCGAGCCAGATTGCCACCGTCGCCACGATCGCAGATCAATGCAGCGCTCAGACGCGACACGAAACACTGACACTTCATACTGGAGCACCTCGAGACCATCGAGGCGACCCTGCTTGCTTTTAAATTGACGAGTATGTTTCTCCGATGCGTGGAGTGTACGGGATATTCCGCGCGGTAGGAAGTGGAGCGAGAAGAGAGAGACACTGGCCACGCAACTTCCGGCAACCACATGTCTGGCATATATCACGCTAGAGGACTGGGAACGACTGACAGCATGCGGCCTACTACAAGTTCGGAAGTTTAGATGAACGCATCTTCGAGGGTAAAGCCCGCCGCAGCAGCAAGCCTGCCGCGGTGTCCCTGATGCCGAGTTGTTCGGTGAACTCTGCAACCGACCTGCGCTAGGTCATACGGCTCATGGAGCCAGGACCGCAGCAGTTGCTGAGGTATAAGTGTCACTTAACCAGTCCATCGAGAGAAAGCGCCGTGCTCTAGCCCAGGTTAACTTGTCATATCTCAAGGTTGACTCTACACCCGATGACTACGGTGTCGAAAACATTGTGCTTTCGTCCAGTCCATGATAATCACGTAAGTTTTCTGCGTTCAATTCACAGGTCCTATCTCCTATTACAACACGGTTAACGTAATCCACAAGTGAGCGGGCCACTTTCCCACCATATTCGTATAGGCCATGTTATTTCCCCTTTTTCTCCACCAGTAATTATGGTACGACCATTAATTGAAGCCGATTTGATTCTAGCGCTTCAGGCGCTCCAGTCTGACCCAGAATTAACCGTACGAAAGGCTGCACTGTTGTATAATGTGCCTCGTACGACCCTCCAACGAAGACGAGCCGGCCGACCTGCGAAACGCGATACCCGACCACCCTGCCAGAATTTGGCCTCGTACGAAGAGGATAGTATTATTCGATACATAATCGACCTAGATTCGCGATCGTTTCCACCGCGGTTAAGTTGTGTTCGAGAAATGGCGGATCGACTCCTCCGCGAACGCGACGCGCCACGCGTCGGAACGAACTGGGCTGCGAACTTCGTACGACGACGACCTGAGCTCCGTACGCGTTTTAATCGAAGAATCGACTACCAGAGAGTCCTCTGCGAGGATCCGGACGCGTATCGCGCGTGGTTTAAGCTCGTACGAAATATAATCGCGAAATATGGGATCCACGATGACGATATTTACAACTTCGACGAAACAGGCTTCGCGATGGGTAGAATCTCCGCCGAAACTGTCGTTACAACCTCTGATCGACGCGGCAGGCCAAGAGCTGTACAACAAGGCAATCAGGAATGGGTTACAGTAATCCAGGGTATCGCGTCGTACGGCTATTCAATCCCACCATATATCATCTTCGCGGGGAAGGTCCACCTCGACTCCTGGACCGCGAATAGCCCTCTACCGCCCGACTGGGTAATTGCGCTTTCAGAGAACGGTTGGACGACGAACGAGAGAGGTCTAGAATGGGTAAAACACTTCGATTTCCATACGAAGAGTCGTACGAAGGGTACCCACCGCCTCCTCATCCTCGACGGCCACGAGAGCCACCATTCCGTCGATTTCGAGCTCTACTGTAAGGAACAGAACATTGTGACGCTCTGTATGCCTGCTCATTCGTCACATAAGCTCCAGCCTCTCGATGTTGGGTGCTTTAGCCCTCTAAAACGGGCGTACGGCAAAGAAATTGAGGGTCTTATGCGGGCGCATATTACCCACATCTCAAAGGAGGACTTCCTCCCAGCCTTTTATAAGGCGTACGACGCTGCGATGACAAAGTCAAACATCCAGGCAGGCTTTAGAGCAACTGGCCTAGTGCCGTACGACCCGAATTATGTGATTTCGCAGCTAGATATGAAGTTTCGTACGCCGACACCGCCAGGTTCCTCTGCTGGACTGCCACCCCCTTGGGTTTCGAAGACGCCGAATAACCCAATTGAGGCCGAATCGCAGAGGGAGTATATTAAAAATCGCATCGTACGACACCAGAATAGCTCTCCGTCGTCTATTATTGAGAGCCTACGGCAGCTCAATAAAGGAATCACAATGATGGTACACGAGCAGACCCTTATGCGCCATGACCTCGCCGAACTTCGAGATGCAAACGACCGCCTTAGCCGCCGTCGTCGTACGAAAAGAAAGCAGCTACAGAAAGGAGGGTCCCTAACAATTGATCAGGCAAAAGATTTAAAGGCTCAAATCGACGCGACGGAGCAGTTAAGGGCGGAAACGAGTCAGAATACTGGTCGTACGAGGAGGCCAGAAACGCGCGCGCGACGATGTGGCGTCTGCGGCGAACCCGGCCATAATGCTCGCACATGTCAGAAAGTTGTATCTGCCTCTGAAGAAGAGGATTCCTCATAGTTTCAATTGATTTAAGGCGTTATGGTTGAATTATCTTACACATTGTCGTACGAGTGCCTGGAGGGTGGCCCGCTTGCTTGTGTGGCCCGCTTGCTTGTGGATTACGTTACGGCTTTTTTATGGGGCTACATTAAATAACACTGAAGAGGCGGTCTCGATGCGCCATGCTCCCGAGGTCTATTTTCACGCGCCGACATGGATGCCAAGCAGCATAGCTCCCGATCTGCTTTGCCACACTTCGCAGGACGAGATCCTACATGACCGCGACACAATCAGGGTGCACACTGACTCCAGCCCCCCGGGCCGCTCAGATATGACAGCGCGCCAGAGGCGTGCCAGCATTGCCTACACGCCCTCTTGGCTAGTGCAGACTGCAACAAACACGATTCAGCGCCACCCGTTGTACTCATCGAACTCACAGCTACCACCTGTAGTCGTAAAGGCGATGCTGCAACGATAATCTATTGCACTGAAAAAAGCGCATTTCTTCCCTCGTACCAGGCTCGGGCCAGATCACCCTCCTCACACCTCTAAGCGGCTACCCGCGACCGACCTGTGGCCCTGTACCGACGGACGCTTTCGTTGAATGCGCCACGCATGACTGGACAGTACCCACTTTAACCATTGCCTCTATGTTCCGCTCATGGTCTTGAACAGAAGCTTTCTTATTCTCTCGTAGCGCGCCGCATGCGTCGCTGCTCGGACGAGAAGATGGTCGGTGAGGTGAGAGCGCGCAAGCCTGAGCATCCTCAAACAGCTCTCCGTTGTCGTGAATCGTAATTACGTGCTGGCTCACTGTGTTGATGGACTTCCCCGAGCTGTAGAATAGAACCTCTTGCTCGCCTTTGCCCTCAGCAAAATCTTTGAGGTTGTTCAAAATATGTGTGACTTCACGCTCCACTGCTTCTATCTGCTCCGCTGCAACTTGTCTAGGCGAGTCGGTAACGAGCGGCAACCCATCGAATCCCCTGTCAACAGAGACGTAGGCCAGGTCACAAACGACACTGCCAGTGATCTGGCTACAGACACCACAGCTGGACAGCCGCTGCTCCGCTCAGCGACAGACGGGAGCAGAGTACTGCCTGGTTATGATCCAGGGGGATTTGCCCCCGTGGCTTTATCTAGCATCGATGCGCCTGAGACTTCGATCAACAGCAGTCGCGATTGCCAGAACGACACTGCGATTGGCGAGTATGCCCAGAAGTACTCTACGCCCCCGACTGTTCCCCATGAAGTTCAGACAGATCGTGGTCACCACGTGCAGAGCCTCGGTGACGAGTGTCATGTGGGTGGCAGAGAACACGAGAACACGGGAGCGAATCACATCGCCAATGGTACAAGCAACACCATGGCTGACCGTACAAATGGGGATGCCGATGTTGAAGTAGGGATCGAGGATCGCGCGGCGAGCACCGCCCTCGGCAAGACTACCGCGCCCAGCAGCCTCGTCAACGGGGAGCTTGCGACCACAATGGACGTCGATAACAACCATGCAGCTGGGTTGGGCCTCCTGCTTGAGAGCTGCTGGGATAGTTCAAGGCAGGACGATCCCCGAGGTGATTCGCACGAGGCTACTGGCGACGGTCGCGGTAGTCCTTGCGACTAGAACAGCCGGGAACGCGCGATATACGATAACAGATGTGCCGGCATCTGAGTGTTTCCGCCGGCCGCCAAGCCATCAGTACTTGCGACTTGCACCGAGTGGGTACGAGAAAGGTGGAGTACAGTACGAATGCCTTATGTATCATCGTCTCCTCTCAGCGAGTCTGTCCTATTCGTGATTACACAGTACTTGACGTTGTTACACCTGCCGGGGCATTAATGCACACGACCTGGCTACGCTTGGATAGACGGAATAGCGCTTGCTCTACAGATTATGGATGCCAATGGGAATTTCCGAAAGATGAAAGAAGCCCAACAAAGGAAGCAGCCTCGTAGGGTACGCCCCGTTCATGATGACTGCTATACAGGACAAATCTGTGTGGTCAATTGCAAGGACATCACACTGTGCCAACCTGTTTGGTGTTTCCGAAGCGATCGACACCGTTGGGGCTGATGCGACTGTGCATACCCATGGAGTCGATATGCAGATGGCCCTGGAAAGCCACTGCATGCTTGGGGTCGATAGTCTTTTTCCGTCCTATAGGAACACGATGATCCTTCCAGTATTGCTGGAGAAAGGAAAGATCGAAGTTAGGCGCCTTAAGCAAGCTGGTCTCGGCCACGTATGCATTCCGAGTTCGCTCGCCGCGGACTTCTTGCAGTTCTACAAAGTACCAGATCTGCTGCCGACTGTTGCCCAGCTCATAATCCGTGATGCGAGAGGGTTGTCGGCGTGAAGGCCACTGGCCGTGATCGCAGTCAGACTGCCTCCGTGTCAGACGGCATCGCCCGCACGGAAGCATAGGTCGCTCCTCAGCATACCCTAGGTCCTCGTCAGAGGCCCCCAGCTGGAGTAAAAACTGCGTGATGCTGTCTGAGGCATCGTGCCGAGCCAGCTCCATCGGTGACAAGTCGTTGACTCCGCTCGCATCCAAAGAAAACCCATACCTGTGTAGCTCCCTGATGTAACTCAAACGGTCAGTCTCCTCGTCGTACTCCAGGAGGTCGACCTGATGTCGGGTGTTCAAGAACCTGCTGAAGGTCCGCGGCAGACATGCTGCTGCCAAGGGGCGGATACCAAGCGGATTATGCACACCACCCCAATGACAGATAGTGTCCATCGCTAGCTGGTTCGAAATATGGGGAAGCAGCACCTTTCCCACACGAAATTGGCCATATATCCCTGAGATGTGAAGGATATTCCATGGAGCAGGAGCCTGTGCATCTATAGTGACACCTGCGTCGACAAGCATTTCAGCGATCTCGTCTGCTCCGTCAGAATGTCCTACAACGCAGTAGAACAAGGCTTCTCGCCCAAGTTGAGGCGTCAACTCGACTTCCTGCAGTAACACCTCTATGATCGAGAATTGCCGGTGTGCCACGGCGGACAGGAATGAGCGTTCGAGGATATACTGTGCCGCCTTCACCTTCTTGACGTGGGGCAGCAGAATCTCCACAGCCTGTACTGAGCCGCCACATACTGCTATCTCAAGTGCGGTCCAAGCAGAGTCGACTCTCAAGGTCGACCCTTGTGGCCGTGACTCAATGAGCCACGGCATGCCATCCGCGAGTTCCGCCGGACTGGACCAGGGTAAATCGTGGTTGCACACGAACTTATGGTTGAGATCAACCTGAGCGCCGCAACTGAGGATAACTTCGATGCCCTCGGTACTGTTATGGAAGCTTGCGATAGCTAGTGGCGAGAGCGGAGCGGAAGCCCAGAAATATTTGTCCAGGTGAGGGTGGTCGTACATAAAGTCTGGGTCGATGAAGTCGTATTCAGCGTCCAGGTCCATGAGGTCATACTTGCGCGTATAATCGTAGTCTTTGGGCTGGTTGACCTCGTCCTTGCGCGTACTCCATTTGAAGAGCTCTGTGGCGGATAGTGGTCCGAGTCTTGCAGCGTGTACAAATGCAAGTGGGTTCCGGCGAATCTTGTACAGTTGGAGTGCTCCGGCCAGCGTTCGACAGGTACGGCCTAACACCAGCCGGGCGATGTCATCTAAGTCATCTGTTATTATGTCGAAAACTTTGGCAGGTAAGCTGAGTATTGGTGTCGGCATTGTCGCAGCAGTATGCTTTGGCCTGCAAGCAGCTGGATGTTGATTCGGAGGCGGGTTATTTGCGTGTGGGAGGATGTGAAAAGAAGATATCACTTCAAGTACTTTCCGTACCGGGTGTGCCGATATCGTTAGGCTCGATGAGGACTGATACTATGTCTGAGTCGTGCGCATAGCCACGAACGCATTCGCTGTGCCACTGTAAGCGGGACTCACTGCCGAAACTCCTGCTGGATGCGCTAATGTGGTAGGGGCTCACGCCGACGGTGAATCCAGAGATCCTGGGTGATCCTGCGGCCGTTGCCGGCCGTGTCTGGGTTTGTACGAAGACCACATCTGTGTTTGTGTGCCGAGCTCATCGATTTGTCGTGTAACGATCCAAGGGCACTTTCCTCGTCGATGAAAGAGTCGAAGCAGACTATCGTTTGTGGTGGAACGCGTAGTAACAGATCACAAGCGACGATCTGAGGGTGTTCTTTGTGACGATCCAGGCAGCACTGGTCTCTTTATTTTTGTACTCGAGATTGCAAGAGTGACAAAGCGCAGGTGTCTGTCTTGCAATTTGTGCATGTGGTCAAGGCGTTTCCCATCGTGACAATTGCCTCCCTGCTGTCGATTGTGCGCTCCACGAAAGTCTCTGGCCAGCAATCACCGACTGCACTGCGTGAACCATTGACGTGAGTCAACACAGCCCCCCGAATGCCAGTAAAGGTTGCAGTTGGTGGCGAGGCGTTCAGGTATAGATTGAGAGACCGAATGTTGTGAAAAGAAACACAGCCCAGAATTGGAAGAGGCCCCTCGTGCTTGTGATCAAATGTTTTGCTTGATATGAGATCCATCCATTCCACGCGTCCTGCCGGATTCGTATAGAAGACCATCGTCGGCTTAGCGCTGGAGTTTGCAGCCAGTCCTCCCTCTCCGGGCTGGATGCCCACCCGAGGACGACCAACAGATATAGAACCGAGGCTGTAATGAAACTGGGGCAGTCAGTTAGAGGATCCTCATAGCTGATTCGCACACTGGTTGTAACCTACTGAGAACCCGCCTTTTCTCCACTTGACAACCATGAAGTCATCTCTGAGTGGCTTTAAAGGAACAAACACCCGCCCTAATATGCAGCCGTATAACGCCTGCAGACGTGTGCGGGTTCTGTCGACGTACGGCTCGCGCTCCGTGTGACGATGGACGCCCACGATCTTGCCAGACTCCAGCAGATAAAAGAACGTGATGCTAATGCAATCCCACAGTGGGATCCCATGCGCCACCAGAACAGGACTTGAGCCATCTGCGGGTGGCATTCCACTTGGGACGCTTGATGTGTTTGAGAGTAGTATGTGTCCGCTGAAGTTACACGGTGGCTCGATGAGGCACAAGCCCGACTGACTTGTTAATGATATGTACCGTCTGAAGGCCTTCGCGGGTACTCTCATACCTGGAAGGTTGCTTTGCATTCCTGGAGCGGGTCTGCAGCCTTGACGAGGCAGAAGAGGAAATGCTCATTCCAGCCGAAGTCGTCTGCGGCGGTTGGTTCGCAAATCTCAACGAGCCCAGCCCAATCGAACTTGAGTAAGACGTCATGTTTGACCACAGTCTCATGAGATAGTGGTTCTGTACCACGTCCCCATGAGCTGACTTGCCGAAGGCGCAACCTTTTGCCTTCCTTCTTTAGATTCAGCGATGGTATCGAAGAGCCAATGTGAAGCCAGCGGCGCTCCATCCGACCAGTAGTATTGGCAATCTGCTGCATTAATTCAGGCGGTAAACGGCCGCCCGGCAAGTAAATCTGCCCGCCTAGAAATCTCGGTGGTAAAAGTGGAAAAGCCCAGCATTGTGCCCAAGGAGACCGCGTGCGCAGCGCGAAGCGTATACGTGTGGCAAGGTCGATAACATCGATACTTTCCTTAAGGCCAGGGAGCATCTGCAGCAGGTTCTCGAAACAAGCTTGGTGGGTGCTCACGCCGTGGCAGCGAGGGGAGCACTTATAACATATTGCATGTGAGCAATACGACGTTCGCGCGCCACAGCGAGGTTCGCAGGGGTCGAATGCGCCAGAGGCTGCCCTCGGTGGCTCAATCGCGTACGTCTTGAAATTGATCGGGCCCTCACTGCTGGCGCTGACATCGACTGTTAAATAGTATCAATAAGTCGCCTTCTCACAGACCGTCCTTGTACTTACTGATGACCACGGTTTCACCTTCATCGTAAGTTTCATTGCACAGGCTGCAGATGAGGTGGAGATGGTTTGGAAAGCGTCGCGCACTGCTGACAGTGGCGATGTCCTTGAGGTTGCGAAGCATAATGTGTTGTTGAGTCAGATAGAAATGAGTTGTCCGCCGTCGTGAAATTGTTCCGGAATATTGGAGTGTATGGAGGCGAGCCGTGGCCACGGAAAGCTCATGTTAAGCCCTCTTATATTTGTGCCTGAATGCGGCTAATGGCTCCTATTCCTCTGAAAGCTTTGACCACAGGCACGCACAGAAACTCGTGGAGCTTGGACAGCCTTAAGCTCTGCACATCAAGCGTGTGAGAAGACCACTTCAGTTCAGCCACCAGATATCAGAGGCTGAGCTTCCACAGAGGGTCATGGGCTGGGTTTGCATCGTGTTGTTGTAGTTGCCCGTCGTGCAATGCAGATTGGGGTCGATGAAGGTTGACCAAAGCGGCCGTGCGCTTGATCTCCCGCATACACATGCTGCTTGGGTGTGTGACATTTCTGGTCAAGGTTGATCGGAACGATCGACAACTGGGAGACTTGGATTGTATGTAGGACGATTGAGACCCTGGTCCACTGACAGACGTGACGCTACCCTATGGCGCATCATGATTTAACAGACTTCGTGCTGCTGAAAAGTCTTTGCGGCGTCTCAATGGTATGTGCATTGTTTTCTTTTACATGATGCAAGAAGAAAGTCGTGAATGTGGCTGCGATACTTCCCCGCGACGACAACAACAATCGCCTGTCGCGACATGTTCTTCCACGTAAGCGCAAGACCGGTCTTCTCAATCCTGTCCTCCTGTGAACCTCGGCAACTCTGTCATGCCCGCCCAGTAGAAGCGCGCGGTGTGCCCCTTGTTGATTCATTCCATCCTTCTTCTCCCCCACTCCAGGACTACAATCCATGTCTAAGAAGACCCAAAGATGCTGTGCACCGCGTGCGATAAAAGGGTGGCGTTCTCGTTGTCGAAGTCCTCGCTAGGGGTTACGAAGAAGGCGAGCGCAATGATAATGTAGAGCGCCATCAACTACGCGGCGTGTCAGCACATGATACAGCTTCCGACTCTCCAGACCTGCAAGACATACCATGGCACCCTCGAGGTAATTCGACTTTCCATCCATGACGGTGTAGATGACGACAAGCACGGACTGCGCGAAAGAGACAGTCTCGACTGCGGGGGTGTTAGCAACTGGGTGCACATCAATAAGCAGTCTGCAACTTACAAGTCTCAAAGTGCAGGTCCATGTCGCGGTCCATGATCCAGCCGAGAATGACGAGTAACGGCGTGACAAACAGGGCGATCTGGATGCTGGAGCCAATAGCAACTCCCATGGCCTGGAGTGGACGATGTCAGTAGCCCTGACTGACAAATGGGCCAGAAGGAGCTCACGAGGTCCATCTTATTCTTGACAGCGACCACAACAGCCGTAATGTGCTCAGCCGCGTTGCCGACGATAGGAATCAGGATCAGGCCGATAAAGTTACGGCTGATGTGGGTGCGCTCTACTAGAGGGTCAATGCTGTCGACAAGGTAGTCCGATGGAGACCAGAACAGTCGTCACAATAAGAACGAGACCAGCCGACCACGGGCTCATGTGCTCCTCCTTCTCCTCTTCTTCGTCGTCCTCCTGGTGCTGGTTCGCGTTGTTGCTCTCCACGTCGGAAGCATCCTGCGAGTCGGGCGGGGTCGTCGCGGACTCGAGGCTGAAGAGGTTGTGGTGCGTCTTAAGCTGGAAAAATTACATGACGTAAAGAAGGAGAAGGATGATTGCGGTGCCACGAGACAGGGCGAGGATCGGTCGGCGAGTCGACTCTTCGTCGTCGGCAGGGTTGATGATCATGAAGAGCTGTGCCACCATGTACAGTCAGCATGAATAAAAAGAGGCTGGTGCGATGTGCAGCCGGTGTTCCTCACAGTGCCAGGCAAGATCATAGAAGCGGCCGAGAGTGTCATCAGTGATGAGGTCGTCTGCGCAGTGATCGAGGCAAACGACTGCTCTGTGCCGCTACCATTGCCGTCGCGCATGTTGACAATGCCGCCGAAGAAGAAGCACATGCCCTTGACGAGGAGGATGTTGGAAAGGATCGACCCAATCATGGAAGACTTGACGACCTGGAGCTGGTTGTTCTGGAGCGCAATGATGCTCACAATCAGCTCGACCGCATTGCCGAACGTCGCGTTGAGCAGTCCGCCGAGCGACTCGCCGAGCTTGTCAGAGATCTCCTCGGTCGCGAACGACAGGACGGCCGCCAGGGGAATGATGGCGAAAAAGTTGATGGTGAAGACGGCGATCGGGTCCCAGTCGCCCTGGCCGGCAATGATACCAATGGGTACGCAGACGAGGAGGATGTTGATCGGGTCTGTGGACATCCGCGGTCAGCTATGTGCGGACCGGCATCCCATGCCTGACATTGGGGACCGCAACTCACTGCTCAGCAGGGTCATCTTTGTGATGTGCCGGACGTGGGCGGGATGCTTGACCCATGGCTTGTCGCTCTCGAGGTCGATCTGGACGTTCGAGAGACCCCAGAAAGCGTAGGAGGCGTGTCTACGGTGGTCAGGTTTTGTCGGCACATCCGTAACTGGGACACAATGCCCCCAGGGGCACAGCCGAGAGCGCCAGATAGCCTTATTGACAGGCTACTCCAAGGCTGGCCTCAGTCCTTCCCTCGACCACCAACACGGCCCTCGCCCGAAATCACCCCTCTCAACCATCACGAGCTTCCTACCAACCTGGGCCCGTCGCTCACGCGCATCTGCCACAGACTATCGTCCTCGCGCCACCGCAGCCCCGGTGGCTTCGTCCCGAGCAGTTACGCGAGACGTTCAAGATTACCCACACGATCACCATGTAGTCGTCACACAGTCTTCAACCTCGCATTCGTGTGCTAAGCTCCTGCGGTCTCCTTTCAGCGTCGCTTCTCTGGCGGTCATCAGCTTCAGACTACCCTCACTCGACTCAGACTGCCAGCGGTGGCCGGGAAACTCGCCAGGCATCAAAGACTCCACGGGACCAGGACGCTCGCAAGCCGACATTGACTGAGACAACTTCCCCGCCAACCAGCTCCTTGAGAGATCGTCAGCCACTGCTTGTGGAATCCGACAACTACCTGTGCTCGCCAGCACGTAACAGTGCAATTGTAATATCATTGGCACTTTCTAGGTCTCCACTGACTGCAGCTATGTTCACAGCTCCCCCTTCTGACAAGCTGCGCAACCTGATCGGTGCTTGGCTGCCAGACACCACACGTGTGCTGGGAGGGACTTCTATCCTGCCTTTTCCGACCATGATCCTGCCGACCCTTGACGAAACCGCTTCACGAGAAGCCAGCGTCGACCTTTGAGGCAGTACGTGCCAGAGACCAACAGGGCTCCAACGAACCCCGACCAGACCCAACCCCTCGCTACTAGCGCAACCACGCGCGTCTCAGGAATCTCAAACATTGACGGCAAGATCTTACACGACATGTAGGCGCAGGAAACGAGCTTGACTTGCGCGAGTGTCGTGATCGCGACCTACAAGCCGAACAAATGTCAGCAGCTGGGTCATGCTTTTGTCACTCGGGCGACTACGTGCAATCGACTCTCAAGCAGGCTCAAGTAGCTGCTCACAGACACACCAGCTCCCGGGTGTCGTTACTCCCTCAACTCTGCGAACGGACAGCTTTGTAGCCTCCAAGTCACCTCTCTCCCAGGCAAAGGCGTCCACTTCCCACTCACTTGGCCTCACAACTGTCCGGCTCCTTCGCGGGAGGGACAGCCCAGAAGAACGACACATATTTTTCTCTCCCGCATTCAATCGGCCACGACAACGGGCATCCTCGAAATACAACTCCTCACCGCACAACACAAACCCCAACAGGCGATAGTTCTTCGCGGCCGGATCTTCGCATTTTCAACCTGTAGCATGAACTCCTCCACGAAGTCTGACTTTCATCATTACTCGATTGTTCTTCTACATCTAAGGTGAGCCAAGCTGTCTATCAAATGGCATCTGCCCACACTAACGGGCGGCACCATCGACAGGAGGCCCCATATCACGATACACTCGAGACACGGTAGAGCCCAAATAACATTCATTCTTGTTCCTTCATAAGCATCACTAGTGGCGCATTGCAGAAGACTTCTGCTTTCAATGGAGTCGTAACGTGCAGCCGCAGTGCCGCCGCTGATGTTCTACAACCCGTACTGCCCCGATGCCATTCTAGTAAATGTGCGGGCAGGCCGTCTAGTCAAACACAAGATCCAAAAGGTGGCACATAGATAGACAAAGATTTGAGGAATGTACAGGCCATATCCACAGCTTCCTTAAAATTCCAGCTTCGGCCTCTGAAATGTCCACCGAGTAATTTCACTCCAGCCAGCCCAGTCCGCAAGGCAGACGGGCAGGCTTGGCTCACTAACATGGTCCTCCACAGCAACCGCCTTAAAAAATCAAAAGAGTCGGACCCTCGAGCTTGTTATGATATGCTGAACAACTGAGCTTTTGGGAGGAGATCCACCATGATGTGTGACCATGATCTGCGATGCGTTGCAGGGCCCTCAGAAGGGGTTCAGAAATTGTTTCAAAGGAGAACACCGGGCTATGCAAGAGTGGGAAGTAAATGAGTGCGAGAAAAGAGCATCATAACCTCTCCAATGCAGAGCTCATGGGATCAAAGTCCCAGAATCATGATGCCAATATATTTGGGACAAGCGCAAGGAGAACATGACCGCTGAGTGCACCGCCGTGACTTCTCACGGCCGAGAAGAATGTGCGTGATGGGACGCAAAGATCGATGATCCCGTGGGTGGGCATATGTTCCCATAATGACTTGTAGGAGGATGGCTCGCCGCTGAGGTAGCCACCGGCGTCGTGCCGCTAGTCATACTGGAAAAACTTGAGCTGGTTGGTGGATCCTCGCGCAGCAGACTTAGATCACTCGCCAGTCCAAATAGGATGTTGCGCTCCGACTTCAAGGGGCTTGATCGGTGCGCGATGACGTCAAAGAACTCAATTGTCCGCCTGAACAGCCCAGACAGCACTTCGGAATCAACAAATCTCGTAAGAAGTGGGTCGGTGTAGCAAGCGGCAAGGGTGAGGAGGTTGCCCCATTGACTGCAAGTCGAAGGAGTCAGATATCAATGCAAGTGTTAAAGAGTGACCGGCAGTGTTACTTACGCGTGGGCAGTACCGAAAATGTTGGTTACAATAATGCGCTGCTTGCGCGGCATGCCATGGAATGCACTGGTGCTCTGGATCAACGCCTCGATGCCGAGCCGGGCATAGTTAAGCGTGCGGGGGTCGACCCCCTCGGGAACCGACTTGTCGCCGATATTGATTGCCAATTCATGGAAGCTTTCTGGTCGGGGAAGTCGAGGATCTTTGTAAGCGCCATATGGGATAGGCTCCTTCTCGAGCAAATGTCGTACGAAGGGGCGATAGATAATGACCTGTGATCCCCAGTACTTGGCACGCAGGCGAGCAGAGAGGATATCGCCAGCAGGCGGCTCATCATCATGCCATCTGAATGCGGCAGGAACCCAGATATCACGAGATGTCTTCAGTTGGGTTTGGAGACCATGAATGCCTTCGTCGATCGTCTCCGGGGACGAGGGTCGATGTATCTTGTCCGGATTATATAAGTGGCTGTGGATCTCATTGAGCTGGCGCCGGAGATGAAGCTGGGCGAAATAGCTACCGCACTCTTCGGCAGTGTAGCCATAGATTTTCACAAAGGTCGTGTTCGGATAAGGCATGTTGTCTTCGTACTGCAGAATAGGACTCTGGGACAGCGGAAGCTCCGCAAGGATGTCACTGAGCACAAAGAAGTCAGCAGGCGGCCAGCAGCAGCGAGTTGGGCCTATGTCTTACCTTTCTAGCTGCAAGCAGGTCCAGTACGCCAGGAGTACCTGGTTGTCTCTCCTGGACTCCTGAGGCACATATCCATCGCCCATCTTGATCTCGTGGAATCGGTATATGCTCCTGCTTCGAACTTAGCGCTGCTCAGTACCAGCCATGGTAGTTTTGACTTACGTCCTCATGACCTCCTGCAGAACAGTACAGCCCTGTTTTATGTATGCCCAGCTTTCCACAGCCCTCGTGAGTTGCCCATGGTACAGACCAGCAAGGACCCAAGCATAAACATGCTTGAGATCAATCCCGCCCAGATGGCTGCCCAGAATGTCCGTTGCCAGTGCGAAGTACTCAAGTCCAGGAATTCCGTCGTAGTTTCGCTTGATCGGTGTCGGACGCACTCCTGTACTATTACCCTGCATGGGAGCACGGCGACTGGGCATGGTACGGTCGTACGGGTCTTGTGGCGAAGGCAGTCCAGAAGACTGAGAGTGCGAGTTGAGTCCGGGCGGAGAGCCGTGGATCGGAGACATTGCGCCACCATTTCGCATGGAGGGCGATCGATGTGGCTGGGCCTCACCTTGCTCCGTGACTATGTCAGGAATCCTCTGCTTGTGGAGGCAAATCTTGCCCAGCGCACAAACGAGCAGAACGATAGCGCTCTTTATGCTGCGGAAAGGATGGCCGGGTTTAAAGATGTTGAAGGATGGTGCCGGATCATCGCCACCAAGGGGGCGTTTCCTCTTCGCACCAACAGCCTCGGGCAGTGATGGAGCGGCAGATGTTGGCTGGCCGACAAATTTGGGGTTGCTGCTGGACCGCACACTTGACTGCTGCTTATGCTGGGGGATCTCCTTGAGAAACAGCACAACCAGCGCATCCAGCTCTTCCAGTATCATGATCGGATGCATGTTCAAGATGTTGTCCTTGAAGCTGGTGACATATTTCCACACCGTCGAATGCGAGAAGTTTGGATTACCGTCCGTGCCAATGACTCCGCCTCTGAATGTCATGGCTTGGGCCGGGGAAAGCCCCATATTCTCTGCTCGTTGATCCGAGTGGTCTACCGGCGCATGTTCTCGTCCAGAACCTTCTCCGGTCCCGCACACATGCAGCACGCCGCGAGCCTTTTCCTGTTGAATCGGGAACTCGTCGACATAGCCAATGTGCTCTGCAGCGAGATGGGGAGCGACCAGCCGGCGTATCGACTTCCATTTCAATAGCAGTCCGGCCGAAGTAGTGTGATTCGCGGGCAACTTCGTCTTCCCTGCGGCCGGCGGCCCCGGCTTTTCGTCGCCGTCATTGTGTGCCCAGAATCGGATCGTTTTTTCTGCCTTGTCCTGATCCATAACACCATTCTTTGCCGCAAATTCGTCCTCGGCACCTCGGCCATCAGGCGGTGGGTGGTCGTGTGGGCCTGTATCATCTTGATACTCGTTACCCTCATTCGACTCCATCTTGAAGTTTGCAGCGCTGTTCCGGGGGCCGGCGTGGATGAGACTGTCCAACTGATCAACGCGTTGACCAATCTTTTCCAATTTTTTCCTCGTATCATCGCTGAACTCAATCACGGCATCCAGTATGATGGCTTTTTTGGACCTGCAACACCCTAGATTGGCACTCTGCACGTGGACACCTTGTTCCATTCCACGACTTACAGCTTGGGTTGTGAGTCGAGGTCATCGCATTTGGTATCTCGTCGTCTGCAAGCATCGCAAGGTCGCCACTCATTACACTTGGTTTTGAGGTCGCGACACGGCTTACAAGCCTAGGTATGCATGAGGTCAGTACTGTTTAGCTGCACAGCGCGCAGGAAGGCTCCATACCTGAGATGCTCTCGTCGCCTTCCGTTGATTACTTTCGGCTTGGGCAATCTCGAGTGGTATGTGGGATGTGGGCGGTGGTGCCTGGCTTGGGTGACCCCCATGACCATTTGGGGCACCATCGTACGGGTTGCGATGAGGCACTGACATCTTGGGGACCGAACCTGAAGCTGGGTGATGCCTGACGGTCGCCAATGAATGCGCTATGGTCCGGTCGTCGTGAATGGTCTGTCCATAATGTTGCTGAAGTCCGTGATAAGCCTTTTGAGGAGCCGGAGAATGGCTGTCGATTGGGTGGCCCGGGTTTGGCTTCCCTATGGGAGGGCGAAATGTCCCGGGCCTATTGAAAACGCTCGCCATGACCCAGCGGCGCAGGGACTCTGCTAGGCGTGCGAAGTGCGCGCAGAACCTGGTTTGAGAAGAATGAGAAGCGCGGTGATTCTGCGGCGGCGAGCTCGGGCGAGGTTGCGTCTGTCTGTCCAGACCCGGGAGGCGGGAATGAATTGGGCAGTACGGATTCCATGCTCGAACTTATGTATGAAGTAATGCAAGCCGGCTGCCAGGATGAGGAGCATCAGGAGACAGCATATGACGGCTCCATCCCTGTTATGTGATGTACATGTGTCCGGGTTTCACCCACGGAATCCACCAGCTGGGTACGTGCACAGAGACCGCTCCCTGCTGCTGCGATGCGCTAGCGTCAGACCAGGAACTGCAAAGTGTCTGCGATATCTTTTCTTCTTCTACACTACTCATATCTATTCTGCGCCACAGTACCTCTACGCTGTACTCTCGCTCGCTGACCGACCCTGGCATGATACCGCTGTATCAGCCCCGTTCGTGTACTTTTACGGTGGCTGTGCGAGTGCGGGGTCGGAGAACTCTTAAGTGTGGTAGTGCCCCCAGGTAGCGATTAATCGACTACCGTTACATAGACCGTTCTTTAAGTCTCCCGCGAGAGAGGGCGCGTAGCGCCCTGTCGAAGTCTCGTATATTTCCCAACTGTTTTCTTTTCTCCTAACTACGCAGATATGGGGACCGGGGCGTGGGGGGGAATGGGGGACAGATAAGGCCACCCCGGGACGTTGGGAGGGTCTCCAGTACGGGTGAGGCGCGTGCATGTATGCTTGCGCTGACGATGGTGATGCTGCGGGTGACGAATGATGCTGGATGTCCCGAAGGCGTGGGATGAGAGGGAGGAGTGTTCGGACAAAGTGCCTTGACGGCGGAGCGCGTGATTGGTCGATGAGTCCGCGAGCTGAACCAAAAATCTGGAGGCAAGGGGGGCCCCATGTTGTGCTCCAGTACGTACTGTACCCTTTCCCAGATCGTGCTTGTGTTGCTGAGGGCAGGGCCTGCCTGCGGGGGAATGCGATAGAGGGGGAAGAAGAAAAATGAAACAGCAGGGCCCAGCCCAGCCCAGCCTAGCCCAAGGACCCGGAAGAAGGGGTGTGGGAAGCGGCGCAATTGCCGCTGCAGCTTCTGACAGATACGGCAGATGATGTGCATCAGGGAACAAAGGGCACAGAGGAGGCTACTGTGCGTTCGGAGGCACGCCCGGGCATGTGGGCGAATCGGATCGCCTGGCGGCGAGGCCGCTGCTGCTTTTCCAACGGCTGTTAGGGCGCCCCATGGCCATGGCCATGCCCGAGCCTCTGCACTGTCACGTCCGGACCGGCGTGGGCCCCGTCCCGGGGCCGGGGCCTGAGATGGGGGATTGTCGGGGCTGGTCTTTGCTGCGCTGGGTTCGGATCGCTGGCGACGCGTCCCGCGGCCTTGAAGGGTGCGCCCGGCAGACACCTTTATCCAATTAGGTTCGAGGTAGTACAGGAGGACGACCAGCGTCTGCGCAGCTGCACCGAGTGGGACTCGCTGCATCCTGAAAGCGTGGGGTGCCGACCACCACGCGACAAGCCGGTCCGCTCGGCTGCCATCCATGGAGCACGCCAGGCACGACATTGTGGTGGGTCGGTTTCGGGTTTAGGGTCTGGTCTAAACCAAGACCGACCGATGCGACCCCGCCCCTCCTGTCCCCTGGGACCTGGTGCTCTCGACGACCCCATGTCATCTTTTTGAGTTATATCTATCGCCAACGGCGAGATCACAGCCCTCGGAACGTCATTGTATCCCGCCTGCCACGTGCTTAGGTTCAGACCAGCCGCCACCCTGTGCGGCGAAACATCACCACGGAGCAATAGCAAGTTGGATGCGGCTGACCTTGCCGGGTTGTGACGGGCAGGAACCTCGTGCCAACCATCACGCCATCGCGAATGGCCGCGAAGAAGCTCGCCGCCCGCCGACGCAACGTATTCTAAGGCGACGCAGACATCCAGGTCGCCGCCGTATTCCGGCTGCATGTCCTCCCGAGGGGTCCTTCTGTGCCCATTGGCCGCAGCTAGTCAGTCATACAAGGCTGCATATTTGGCAGTCGACACACTTTGCAGCGACAACGGACGCGCAACATGTGATTACGAGCAAGCACCGCATCTTACATGCCATGCGCACGAAACAGTGAGGCTCGGCTATACAGAGCCGGGTTCATGAGTTGCAAGTGCTAATAACTGACAACATCGGACTTGAATTATGAATAACTGCCATCGCGCCTACCAAACAATATCCCACCATGGAGAACAATGCCCAAGTCAGCTCCCATTTGGCGTGCCCGGCCTCTTCCGTGCCGCTTCCGCCTCGGCCACGTTTCTTTTGACCGCCACAAAGCTATCTGGGCTCCGGAAATGGAATCGATCCCCAAAACTGACGAGGAACCTTGCAAAGGTAGGGTCGTCACTGGGTGCTTGACCACAAAAGCCGATCTTTGTTTCCGTCGCACTGGCGGCCGTGATCACCCGCTCGATCATCCATTTGACGGCCGGGTCCTGCTCGTCGAAAAGGGCCGCTAGCTCGCTGGAGTCGCGGTCAACTCCTAGCGTAAGTTGGGTTAGATCATTGGACCCAATCGAGAACCCATCAAAGATGGCCGCGAAGTCGTTGGCGAGGATCACATTGGACGGAACCTCACACATGACGTAGACCTGCAGGCGCTCTTGGTTGTTGACGCCGTGATCCCTCCCGAGCCCATGGCCAGCCATGATTTCGAGGACTTTCTGCGCCTCGTCCACCGTGCGGCAAAACGGGATCATGGCAATGGCATTTGTGAAGCCCATATGGTCCCTGAGTTGCTGGATGGCACGACACTCTAGTCCAAAGCTGTCCCTGTACCGGGGCGAGTAGTAGCGCGCCGCGCCGCGGAGACCGAGCATGGGGTTTTCCTCGGCAGGCTCGAAGATGGCGCCCCCGAGCAGGCGTGCATACTCGTTGGTCTTGAAGTCGCTCATGCGAATGATGGCAGGCCTGGGGTACGCCACGGCGCACAGGCGGCCAGCGCTCGCGACAGCTTGTCCACGAAATAGTCCTCCTTGGACGTGTACGCAGCAGTCAGGCGGGCGATTTGTCGCTTGTCGTCGCCATCGGGGAGCTCATCGTAGTGAAGTAGGGCCATGGGGTGCACCTGGATAACGCTGCTGATGACAAACTCCATGCGTGCGAGGCCCACGCCGTCATGGGGCAGCCGCCACCAGCGGTACGCCGCGGCAGGGTCCGCCAGGTTGAGCATGACTTTTGTGTGGGCCGGACCGAGGGCCGCAAGATCCAGGATTTCCGTCACGACCTGGGACTGCCCGGCGTGGATGTAACCGGTGGTGCCCCGCGAGCAATCCACCGTCACGTCCTGGCCGGGGTGCAGCACGCGGGTGGCATTGCCGCAGCCAACAATGGCGGGAACGCCAAGCTCGCGGCTTACAATGGCAGCGTGGGAGGTGCGCCCCCATGGTCTGTGACAACAGCCACGGCGCGGCGCATGAGGGGAACCCAGTCCGGGTCTGTGAACTCGGTGACGAGTATGGAGCCATCGACGAAGCGGTCCATGTGGCGAGCCGACGCAATATGGCAGACCCGACCTGCTACTGCGGCGGTCCCGATTGCATGTCCAGTGGCCAGGACCGGTCCTGGCTCACGGACAACATATGTCTGAGCCACTTCGCCAGAAGAGCCAGGCCGCCCCATCTGCGAGTGCACCGTCTCGGGTCGCGCCTGGACCACGAAGAGGTCGCCCGAAACTCCATCTCTCGCCCATTCGATATCCATGGCGCAGCCGTAGTGCCTCTCAATCGCGCATGCCCATCGTCCAAGCTGCAAGATTTCATGATCGCTGAGCACGAAGCTTGCACGCTCGGCCGCGGTCGTCGGCACACTAGTCGTTGGGGCGTCCGTCTCTGCCTCGCCTCCATACACCATCTTGATGGCCTTGCTTCCACACGTCTTGTTCACCACGGGGAAAACACCGGCCCCACGACCAATCAGTGGTTTGAACACCTCGTACTCGTCTGGATCGACAGTGCCCTGCACGACAGTCTCGCCTAGTCCCCAAGACGCGTTGATCAGAACCACTTGGTCGTAGCCACTCTCGGGGTCGATCGTGAACATGACGCCCGCCCCGCCCCCTGCCCGGTTCGCGCGGACCATATGCTGCACACCAACCGAGAGCGCCACGCTCGTGTGGTGGCTTCGCGGTAGCTAATGGCCCGGTCCGTGAAGAGCGACGCATAGCATCGCCGGCAAGCGGCCAGCACTTCCTCGGCGCCGCGTATGTTCAGGTACGACTCTTGCTGCCCCGCAAAGCTTGCGGTGGGGAGATCCTCTGCTGTGGCGCTTGACCTGACTGCAACGCTCGGACCATCCATCCCCGCCTTGGCCCCGAGGTCATGATAAGCAGCCTCGATCGCAGCCGCGACCGGGCCTGGCCAGGAACCCCCGAGGAACAAGGATCGGATGGTGTGGCCCGTATCAACCAGGTTTGTCTTGCCCTGGCGCCAGTGGTCAATGGCAGCTTCAAGCCTGCTGCGGATGCCATTGACCTCAACAAATTGCCAGTATGCGTGGGATGTTGTGGCAAAGCCATGTGGCACGGCAATTTCTTCGCTATCAAGAGCGCTAATCATCTCACCCAGCGACGCGTTCTTGCCGCCAACTAAGGCTACATCCATGCGAGACAAGGAGCGAAAGGTCCGGACAAACTCGCTCGATTTTTCCATCTTAGATTGTAGGTCTGGTGGTTCCTGTGGTGGCGATCAGTTAGAGGAACGATTTGTCATGGAAGAGGGCAAGCTGATGTGGTCCAAAAAAAAAAAAGAAAGAAAAACAACAAAATGGCTCCGGACCAGACCCAAGGTCTTGGACGGGATGATATAGTCCCTCACCAGGTCAGCAATTGAAGTGTGTGTTCCAGGGGGTGGGCAGTTCTTGATGGCACTGTCTGACCCCGCATGGTTTGTCAACATGATGCGGCATTGGCGCATCTCGCTCTCGGGTCGGCGTGTGGCTGTAGTCCGTAGGCAGCTTGCGGCTGAACCGTGCAGCCTGCAGGTCAGTCGTGCAGCTTCGTGCAGTCACGCCACTGCAGTGGGCACAGGGGTGCATCGCATGTCAGGCCACCGGACCCTGGCATGCAGTCAGACATGTGACTTGTGGTGGTGCCTTTGTCAAATGGTGATTCCGGGAAGTATGCTCACTCAGCACATTCTCAGCTCGACACGTCCCTTCCACCTTGTCTGGCGAGTGCAGATCATTGTCATTTTTTTTTTCAATCGCTTTCCGATGTATGTCTCGTCAGCCAGGGATTGGTCAACTCGAAAATCGAAGTGATGTGATCAATTTCTCATTCAAGTTATCTCCTAACGATTACAACTTGCGAACAAATGGTCTCTTTGCTTGCCCCCCCCCCCCCTTTTTTTTTTTTCCACCTTTTAGCATTGAATCTTTTGATTCCTCCAAATTCGACGGCAGTCCAAGAATCCATAAGCTGAACAGCCCGCCCTCTGACCAAATTTAGATCAGCAACCATACCCTTTTGAACTCGTGCGCAAAGGAAAATCAATACACTTGTGCAAAATCCTCCAACCATATGGCGTTCATGGTATCGAGCTCTTGTTGGAATTTATTGAAACTCGCGCGCACATTGTACCATTGCATCTCGAGCGCCCGGGTCTTCTTCTCAAGCGCCAGGACCTTGCTCTCGAGCACCTCGTTTTCCAGCCTTTTCTTTGCGCGACTTTTACGTGCCGCTACGACGTTGCGCTGGCGCCGTGCGTCCGTGCCGTCGGCCAGAACTCGCATGTGTAGTCTCTGCTCGTGCACGTGCGTGACTGGCGTGATGTCGTGCTGCTCTGGACATGCGGGAATGATGCGTGGTTTGTTCTGCTCGGGACCGTCCTCACTTTTCGACTGCGGCGAGACGGTGTCGCTGTCCATAGAGTGTAGCTCCACGGTGTCGTTGCTGCTGTTGTTTCCGCTGTCTCCATGTCTAGCCCGAATACCTGCTGCATTGCTCTTATTCTGCTTTGCGAGGCCTGGACTGAGCTCTGTGCAGGTCGGACCGAAGTCTTCTCGAAAAGGCAGACAAGGGATTTCTAAGACGTGTAACTAGGCTGCCTCTGATGTTACAATCCCCTCCGTGTCTTCGTCGTGACTGCTAATAGTTGATACGAGACTTAGTAAGTCCGTCTAGACGCAATCCGGGATGATGAAGTTGAAGCAATGCTCCGGGGCCCATCTAGGGAGTCGCGGGTATAGGACCAGGGATGTCTCCCACTCCATAGCGCTCTCCGGTCCGCCAGGGAAATGCTTATCCTTAATAGATATCTGGAGTGCAAGACTAACTCTACACAATAAAAGTTGTCAAGCAGCTTAATGTGCTAAGCCGCTGGCAAAGATATGTGGAGAAACGTCAGACGACTTATATGCACACAGGGTGTCGGGCTGAATCCCTGCTTTCGCAATGACCCAATGGCGTGGCACGGCCACTTAGATAACCATTGTGCCTTACGCATGCATGCTCGCGACTAAGATCGACCACGACTAATTGCCGAAACGCCCGCAGGTTTGAGCTGCAACTAGTCGCAAAAGGGCATATGCTTGTGCCCTTGCTCTGCATAATCAAGCATTGCAGGGAAGAGGGGGGGATGGGGACATCACGCCACGATATGTAGGGTATCGGAGTGACATGCCTAGAAACCCTGAAAGTAGTCCAGACCGGCAAGCCACACGTACTCGGGTTCTTCGGTCCGATGAATGGGATGCATCATCGGGATGCATCATCGGTCTACTGGCACCCGCCGGAAGGTGCCGTATGTAATTTATCGGAGATTGGCTTCCCAAGGGGGCTGCGGCACGTCTTTTGCATGCATATAAACTATCTCCCTGGCAGACGAATTTCGTCTCAAACTTCAAGTCACCCTCGTCAGCTTGCCGAAATCAAGATGTCTAGTCAATCAACATTCTTCCCCCACCCTTCGGGGACCGCACCCGAGAACCATGGCAGCCTTCCGGCAGCAGTCGTCCCTGCTGTCATCCCTGCTGTCGTGGTTGCAGCATCGGTGCTGCTTTTTTTTTCTGGTAATGTATGCTAAGGCCGAAGCTCCGCAGATCTGCATACAGGATCCTCTGGGCAGACCACTGAACCAGTAAAGCATGTTCAATCGACATGAACTACCCGATGCTCCGATGGAAAGGAGCCAACAAATAGCCAATTAGCGGCTCAGACTTTTGGACAAGCAGCTCCAAGCCGAGCCGTTCAGCAAGTGGCGGGGCAGGCAGCAGAGAGACTCGGCCTGGCCATCCCTGCCAGCTGCCGTCCCTGCTGCGGAATCCAGCTTCGAGAGTCAACTTTGGTAAGTCTGTCTGTCGTGTGTATGGATCCTTCGCAACGAATAAAGATTTACGAGACCTTTCCGGACATGAGATTTGTTCTCTAACGAGCATTGCCAATTGGCTCCTGGAAAAGTATCATCTGTCTGGATGCGATACAAGATATGACTCTGATTAGAGCTCTAACATGTCAGCATATTTACCACAAGGCGTGTTTTGACAAGTAGTTCGAGCGGGATCATAACGTGTGTCCTCTATGCCAGAGAAGAGTACTGTACGATAAAGCCCCCGAAGTCACCGTTTAGCAGGACTAGCATAAGAAATCCTTGTAACGTACAATATAGTTGCGCTGTTATGTGTGAGGAATGAATTTTGGGGATATGACCCCTGTGTGTCCGCCATGGCAAAGTGATGCGTTACAAGAGCCCCTGTCTGAATTATCAAGGGGGCCTTTCTTGGCAAAACTCTAGGTCGTGTAACGGGCGCGTTTTGGTCCGATTGGCCACCGCCCATTGTGCTACTGTCAGCCCCTCACCACGCCAGTCCTTTTCGTCTGGTAATAGAATGGTTCCAAGACGTGCTTGACCTCAGCCCAGGACCTTCCAGTCTTCAGGAGACAGCAAATCTGCGTCGGGAATCCGTTTTGTAGCGTCCTCTTCGTCTTGGAGGCTGAGGATAAAGGCCTGCAGTTCGGCCTTCTTTTCCACTGCCCGGTTGATCATGAGATAGGTCGAATTCCACCGGGTATCGTTATTGATGATGAGATTGACTTCCCGGGCGGAATTGCCGAAGAGATGATAGTCTGAATTACCGTCAACTTCGCGGGCTGCCTTCCTGAAGCGCTCTCTTCGTTGTGGTGATGCCCTGATGAATTTGACGATATTCCGAAGCCGGCCCACAGCTCCAGTCTTACGCCAAAGCGCCAGATCGTCTTCGTGCCGGTTAACAGTCTGATAGAACTGCGATTCGGCTTCCAGAGTCTCTAAGTAGGTCCCGAAAAGAAAGGCCCTGGCCACAAGGTTGAGTATATGCCCGTAGCATCGCATCTGACGAGACTTGCAGTCCTTTTGTTGCATTGAAGGGTCGAGGCGCGGAAAGAAGTGCTCGAGGCACTTATCGTTGCTGCCGGCGTTGTCCGATATCGTGACTCCGACCCTGGATTCGATTCCCCAGTCCTCGACGAGCCGTAGAAGTATATCCGATATGTTGAGACCACTGTGGTCGCCGTGCTGCTGTTCGAAGCCGATGAGGCGCGATTGCTGCTTGCCTTGGGCATGCAGCCAATGACCCGTAGTAGCTAGGAAGCATGGCCATCCCTATTGCCGGTCTCCTTGGCGGTTGCCTCATGGGTCTGGCCCTGAACACTCCTCACTACGCTTAAGGTTTTGCGCAAGCTCGAGCGGTGTCTCCTGTACAGAACGAGCACGATTGTGCTTTGGTAGATCACAGCAATAATAAGAATAGATTGTAATCATACCCAAACTGATCTTATCAGCTGTGCTCTATGTGTGTGGGATTTTGAATGGCGGAGAGCTCTCCTCGTGTGACATCCGAACCACGACCCTAGTTTCGGTTCACGGCATGCGGATGTGACGCGGACGCGGAGGGCTGACGTGCAATCGGCAGTTTCAGTGGGGTTTGAACGACTGCCCAAGTCGCTGCCTCCAACCCTCAACTCTTGCCCTCAGCACTCCTGTCTACACAGCAAACAATCCATTGGATTGAATAAATCCAGAGGGGGATTACATTGATCTTATTGTCGTTCATCGACAGCTGGACGGCAGGGCATTCGAAGCAAGCAGCATAAGGAGGAGGGTCCCCAGCATCAACAAGAGTCTCAAGCCTCACGGAGCGTAGTGGCCCGAAAAAAGTAGATGCTGCTGCGAACGTTCCCAGGATGCCACGTCAGCACTGATATCGTCAATGCCGTGCACATGAGAAGTAGAATTTGATCTTGCAACCATGTCAGTGTTAGCATGAATTACAGACGATAGTGCAGGATGCTCGAAAAGACGAAAAAAAAAAGGGGGGGGGGGGAGGGAGAGAAAATTTACGCTCGGGGATTCCTCAGCAAGCCTAAGTTGACTGAAACCAGCCAACAATGACCGCTTGGACTCTCGTCGCGACATACATTGTCCAGAGGGAGAGGGGCCAGGCGCGAGGAGATTGCCGATGCTCAAAAATTGGTGAAGCTTCTTCCTCAGGTGTCACTCAACACCTACACCTCTTCCAGACTTGCCTCCTTCGTTGCGCGATCGGTTGTGCTTCTTAGTGGCCGTTCGTCAAAGGCGACACAGAGTCAGGTCAGTTAGGATGTGAGGCGGAGTGCTGTGTCAAGTCCTTTCAGTGGCATTCCAGTCTTGTCCTAAATAGGGAAACTAGAACCCGTAGCCAGTAAGATAGATCCCAAAACTAGCCAGCCGGTTGCCCTGCCAATCCTCAAGCCTAAGTTGGGAGTTCATCTTGGGTCTCCTAAGAAGCCCAATGTTGCATTCCACTCAGGCTTATCTCTCCCCATCATTAACTAATCAGACCTCAACTTATCCACACCACCCCGAAAAGTGATCTGAATACGCCCAACGATAACGGTGTTCACGGCAGAGATTCGGAACAGCCCGCCCACCTCAATTAAAGCATTATCGTTGTCGAACTTGGCCCGGAAGGTCGGCCAAGGGACCGAGTCCGTCCAGCTCTCCCATGCGACTTCGGTCCAAATGCGGCGGCTTGTTGGCGCACTTGGATTATTTTTGACGGGCGCCTTGGTCCGCCATGCGGGCAGATTACTTAGACCTGAGGGTGTGGATTAGGCTTCGCCATGCGCAATAGACAATAGCAGAGCGGCCATTCATGCGAGTGGAATGGGGCGGGGACTTTACAGACAGCCCGCACAAGGACTTTTCCCGCTCACCTTCACGAAGCTTTTCCCCTAGGGAAGAAGGGACGCAGACTTCAGCCAGGAGCCGCTGAATTAGTGAGTGGAGATGTTGTATTCAAAACACTGTTTGCTGTGCCCAGCTGCCCCTCTTCATGGATTCACATACACCGGCTGCAGATCGAGCCCGGCGGTCAGCCTCATGATCTTGAGCTTCTTCAGATCAATGCCCTCTAAGACGCGAACGTTTACTGGATGCATCAACTTAATCATTGCATACCCCTTCTGGTCTTCGTCCGACAATGCCTGCCGTTCCTCCTCTGGCAACTCGACCGGCATATTGGTCAGTGGGACTCCACATGTCTTGCAGAAAGTCTTGGCCATCACCCTGCGGCTGCAAAGGTATCGGCCGATGTCCTCCCCATTTCCATGTAGGATAACATGTACACCAAGCGGTGAGACCCAAATGTATGCATTCTGCAGCAAGTCAGTCAATTTCTCCAGTGATTTCAGATGAAAGGATGTCTTGCCCTCTCGCAGATGCTGCATTTGCATTCAACGACTGGCTCTGGAAATGTTTCGTCGATAGGTTTGCTAGACAGTGCCACCTGGACACGGCCACAATGGCAACTTCCACTATGGATCCTGCTGCCACCGATTTCTTCAGCCGGGAGAGACCCGGTGTACCTCGGATGCTCGTAGTTCGAGCCCATTGCTGCTCCATCGAAGCTAATCAATGGTCAGTATGAATCCTCGATGTTGTCTTACAGTTCCAAGACATACGGCTGCCGCTCCACCGACCAGGTATCCAGTTCCTGAATGGCATGTGCCTACGCAGATTCGACTAGTCAACTCAACCTTTAATAACATTTGCATGAACTCGCCGTACTCACGTTGATACCAATAGCGAGATGTGGTGGAGCGGTAGGTGTCCTAGATAAGACGCCTGTGCCGCAGTGTGGGCAAAATTTGTAATGTGTCGAGCTGAATGCGTAGCTAGTCAGGGCGTCCTCATCGCCCTTGACAACTCGGAACTGCCCAGGACTAGAAGGGTAGACCCAGAGATAACCCCTCTTAGAGCAGAGGCTGCAGTTGCATTCGCTCACGCTACTGATCCCAGGGAGATCGACTTCATAGACGAACATGCCACAATGGCAGTTGCCACGGTATGTGTTGAGGGGTTGTTCAGCCATATCGGCCACGGTTTGTGAGCTGGCTTGTGGGATCTTTCAGAGGGATTGAGCGATGGGATGGTGAAGAGAAAGCAAGGGAAGCTGGGTTAAGGAGCAGTGGGTAGGATGAAGAAACTCGGGTGGGACCATGCTGGGCCTGCGTTTTACGTTGGTGAACGACGACAGTAGGGAAATGGAAAGACAACAATGATTCATTGGGCGAGGGTCAGCGTCGGGACAATGTCCCACCTTCTCCCTCCTCCCACGGGGCCTGACATCCGACCCCCATGAAGGAATCTGAGCATTTTTACATGGGGAGGAGCTCCGACACCTGGGCCCCGGAAGCACGAGGTCTTACTCGATAAGTAATATGAGATATACTGTCTTGCAGTCGTTGAACTTGCGTGACTTGTATGCTTACATGTTCTGGTGAGATAGTTGGAAAGAGCCCATCACGGTGCGGCGGACGCAGACGACCACGCCGCTGATTGCTGATGCACGGGCGGCCGGAACCCCCAAAGTCCCCGTCTCCCCGTTGCGGATTCCGCCCTGATTCCGATAAAAAATGTCAGCCTGTGGAAGCCTGCTGGCTCGGAATGGTGTCATATTGCCCATTTCGGGTGATCGATGGAGAGAGGATACGAGCTACTAACTGGGCAAGCATCAGTTTTCATGACAGGCCCCTAGGGTTTTCCGCACTCTGAGAGAAGATTGCTATCAATTAATTGATTGATTGAGCAAGTGTTCATGATTTTTTCCTCCGCAGTTTCCACGAGCTTGAGTACACGTGATGGTGAAAGCGTAAGGTACTCCCCAGATCGCCACCGAACCGCCAAAAATTGTCGGAAAGCGTCGAACAGGATTGGAAGGGCGTGGAGGTGAATACTCATGGCAGAGGGGAAGGGAATTGCAAAAGGCCGTCTTACGAAGGGCGGGGATCTTTACCAATCCCCGATCCTTGCTCACATACCACCAATTCGACGCTACTCCCGACGAATCAAGAGGTGGACTACTGGTTTTTCGCACAGCAATCCCGGAATCATTGGAAGAGGGCAATGGGGGACCAACTTTGCTCTGGAGGATGGCTTACGGCGTCTGCGAGGAGATAGCATGGCCCATCGGAGGACCCTCACTATCGACGTCGTTGCACCCTTCCGACCTGCTCTATGGCATTATTGCTGCGGACTTGCGAATCGCTCATGCAGTTCGCTGCATCCTCCGTGAAGGAAAAGGGGTCGCACAACACTTTGCTGGTGTCGCGATAGGGTACCTTTCGGTCGTCGAGGTTACCGTGAAGCATGGAACTATGCTGCCCTGGACGACAGGGTACGCAACGTTTGCCTCCATCATCATTCGGCTCATGTCATTCGGACGGACATCGAAATGCCAGCTGCTATTCGCGCGGCGAGTCCTCAGCTCGGCTGACATTCTGGGGCCGCTGGACATACTCCAAGCAATTGGCCGCAGCTTCGGAAGCCTGGAGTGTCTATTCGACTTTCTCAACTCTCTTAATCAAGCCAACAAGGTATTTCCTTCGGTATTTGTAACCTTTCCACTGGAGTTTGACTGGTATTGACCCATCAAAGGGCTCGACTGAGACAAAGATCGGAATACCACGACACTCTAGCATCTTCACTATTACGTGTTGGGCCTTGGAGTCCTTCGGTATCCAGGATGCTATCACAGGGCGCTGACATTACCCAATCACGGCGACTGAAGCCGGCGGCTACTGATGGCATATCTATCGTAGGTCTTGACGGACAAACGTTCGCCCGAACACACACTCTCTTGAACCCCCCCCGGGAGCCATGCTTCGTATTTGTGCAAGAATGGGATTCGTGGTTATATTAAACACCCTGAGTAACCTGGGACGCATGCAGTACTCCTCGGCGCATTGCATAGGAAGCGCCGATACACCCTTCAACTGTACTAGGTCGCCGAACCTCCATAGACGGCGCAGTATTGCGAGGAAACATAGTACCCATTCTTAAGGTGGTACCAGGCGCTATACGAAGATTAGCTTTGAGTCGCAATGCAAGCGGGCGGGCCAGAATGATACGTACGGAATCTCGTTTCGCAGGACCTTGTGGACTGGAAGGACTTTGCCCTTAGTGTACTGCCCTACTGCGGGACAGGTCGAGCTTCCACAGGTCCGGTATTTCAAGGCGCTAGCGGTCACCTGGCAAGAGATAACGTAGTAGGTTGGTTGGTACGCCCTGTCCTCGAGGGCAAGCGGAGAGGGATCTTGAATGTCATCCTGGGGCTCGGCGACGGGACTTGCCAATGCCAGAGCAGAGAGGCCGACGGCGAAAAGGGTGGTGAAGCGCATGGTAACTGATGGTCTGTTTGACAGAAGATGATCGTCCCCCCAATGTTGAAAATGAGGTCTGTCTTGCTCTATAAGTACCCCTAAAATTTCTCCCAAGCATTAAATTGGATGGATTCTATTTAGCATGGTGGCATAGAGGTAGCCGGGTAATCAATCAGTCCGCGAATTACCTTTTGATGTGGAAAATAGGACTAAGGACCCTGCGCAATCTCGGGCGGTTCAGTGGACCTGCAGGGTCATGGGTGGGGTTCTCATCCCCGGTCCCAGGGTTAGTCTGACTGGAGTGGTGAGACCCGTCTGCCGAGTGCTTACGCAGTGCTGGCCAATGTACAACAAGTTCTCACAATGTAGACCGACATTGGTCCCTCACGCGAAATTCTTTGACTTATTAATTAATCGAGAGATTTGACGCTAGGAAGAAGCTCCTGTGGACGCCCCGAAACACTAAGGTCCGGCGGCTCGGAGCTTAGGAGAGAACGTGTTAAGAGGGCTTCTCACACCGCTTTTGCGAAAAAGTATCTGTGGGGTTTATCGGAGATCAGCCAATGATGTATCATAAAAAGTCATGCCCGTGTAAGATGACGCCCGTGTATCAATTCCCTTGCAATATATCCCTTATCGCCAGCCCTATCCACTTCGAAAAGCGGACAGGGGAAGATGTTTGGAACAAAACAGCACCAGGAGACCGACGGAATTTAAAAGTCGTCCCACAGGCAACGACCAAGGGCCACTAGTCAAAGATGGATTAGTCCAAGACGCAAGCTATTAGCGTGGAGAAACAGAAACATACCCGAAGTGCACTCGCTATCGGTATAGTGACCATTGACAAAGCAACCATAGAGTGGCAAATATTGCCAGCTCCTGCGAAGATGTTAGTTTCGGCGCCTGCACCAATACAGCCAGTTAATAACTCCACATACGAGTTGGGGACACCATCAATGATGACACTGTCCCCTTTATGGAAGCAGTCGAAGGTGTAAATGGAGTTCCTCTTCAGCTTGCGTACAACCTTGGTGGATAGGTAGTAGCCTTTCCTGCAATTAACCTCGTCGGCGCCCACAATCTTGCAACGCAAATCTCTCTTATCGAGGATATTGGCATCCTCACGGGGTGTGACAGGCGCGCCGAGATTCTTCGCATCCTCAACAGGGGCGGCAGTGATGCCGAGAGAAAGGAGAGGAATAAGCGCAAGGGAGAGTTTCATCGCGGGAATGGGCAAGGCGATGGTCGCTAAGCCTGGGTTTGAGAGGATAGAGAAGTACAGACTTGCCAGTAGGGCTTTATCATGATGGGATTAAGGAAAGAAAGGCCTCATTATATAGTAGGAGCATGCCGCATTGCACAAGGACTCTTTAGTTTTATCATCGTCTGCGGATACCTACCTTCCTTGTTCGGATGATTACGCCCCGTTTTGCAAGTCGGACTCAATGTTGAGCCGGGATAATTCCTCTCTTATCAGACAGCTTTGCATATCCATAACCGCATGGAAACCAGACTGTGCTTCTCGATGCTGGTCTTCGAACGGCTCCTAGCGGTCCAGCTAAATGCCAGCCATGCGGATGGTAGGAAGAAGGCGATGCATTCTTTCTCTCGGTTGCCATACAGCTTTCTCTCTTCGCCAGCATGGTTTATAAGTGATGGTTAGGCTTCGGTCTCTCGGGAACTTCTGTCTCCGTTAGGGAAAATATAGATGCTGTTAGTTTATAACAGCGGTGGCGCACATCATGGGGCGGCGGAACGTTAGAAGGAGGTTATCTCCTTCCCTTTTCGGACAGATTACAAATACTAAACTCAGCACCCCTGTAGTGGGTGCGGCAAGATTCTTAGCACCGGTCTTATGTGCTTACTTTTTCTCGGCATTGCTTATTTTTTCCAGCTTGATCAATGTCATACGTCGTACCCGCGCAGTTATCTTGCTGATTCTCCACGTTCTCGGCTTCCGTCCAAGTGCTCGATATCTCGTATCTGGCTGCCTCAGGCCACAAAGTGGCACATATAGGGGCGTTCTGACAGTGGTCTCGAAGAGTGGGCAATAAGGGGACAAAAGGGGGTACACGAAAAGACCCCCGGTATAGGTCCCGGTTTGTTAGCTCTAGCGGTTGCTTGGCATAAAGCGCAAGACTCGAGCTGACCAAACGGCCAAGGCCTGCACTTCCGGCTACGGTGCCTTTGGTCCTTTAGCATCGCCATAGGCAGGAACCACAGTCGAGAGAGACCCTGACTACGCGATGGACACTCGGAAGGTAGTTGGAAGTCGAAGGTTCTCATTCTTTGAACAGGACAAATGTACCGCCCCCGCCTATTCTCTTGGAAACCCTGCCCCGCTGCTCCCCCGCTGCCATCGCTCCGTTGTAACCATTCGTTCGAATGCTGATCACAAGGCAGTGCCTGCAAGTGCCATTGCGTGATGGGGCAGTGTAGTTGGAAAACACCTGTTTCACCATTTTGCTGAAGTTGAAGCCAAGCCCGATCCAAAGGTTCTGGGTTTTACCACGGCCAGTGCAAGGAACCAATTAGGACTAGCGTTCTTGTCGCTCTCGCTCAGGTTCGGCTCAGTCAAGCTCAGCCAACGCCTCACTTAGGCGGATAGGGAGAGGAATTATGCGCTTCATGCACAACGGGGGGAGGCGAAAACGGATGTGCCGAAACGGTTTAAAACTAGTGCCGTTAGGTGACGGACAGGACAATTTCCTGTACACTGTCGATTGACTACTCTTATTTTACTTCGAAGTTCACTTTATTAAGGATTCAAAGGTCAATTTATACTCCTCCATTACTTGGCCACCGCTCTGTGAGTTCCCGCCGTGGCCATGACGCTGTCCTCCGTGATCATGACCTGGTCTCCCTTTCCGTCGAGAAGGACCTTCATTACCTTGGCCCCGCTGACCCAATTCCCCGCCGCGGCCTTGACGATATCACCCTATCTTAGATACCCGCCAAACTCACCCAGAGGCCGTTCGGATGAAGGTATCAGAAGCCGATTCAGAAGACAGAAGGGGTAGCGCATGAGAAGGATCCGGGCACCTAATACCTCTGTCGAAGCACTCCGCGCACAAGCAGAAGCCCCCACCTAAACAAATTCTGCATGAATAGCCACAGCTCTCCGGGATGCTCAGCGTGCAAGCGTCGCACCAAGCAGATTGATAAATAAATGGAGCAGAGATGGTCTCCGGAGGAGCAGCGTTGTCATGGATAGGGCTGCTGGTGCGTTCGGCTTGCTGCACCAAGAGTTGAAGAACCCGGGAGTTGCCAGTACGTCGCGCCCACCATATCAATGTGCGGCCGAAGCCATCTTGATCCTCTATAGCCGTACCGGCAGCGGGGAGCAAAAGCTGTGCGACCTCAGCGTGGCCATTCCTCACTGCGGCGAACAATGGTGTTGAGCCGCGCCAATCCTTGGCCTCCCGGAGGGTCCGACCATCCGCAAGCAAGACTCTAACCACGTTATGGTGCCCCATTCTGGAAGCCAAGAACAATGCGGTTCTGCCGAGACGATCCGTCCTCGTGGGTTGGACACCAGCGTTTCCCAGGAGCATCTTGACCACGACCTCGTGTCCGTACGCGGCGGCCCCCGATAGAGGTGTCAGGCCATTCTTATCTTTCGCGTCGACATCGACCTTGCCCGTGTCGAGGAGCAGACATGATAGCAGCTTGGTCAAGCCGTGTCTCGCTACGATGTGTACAGCGCTACTCCCGCTTGACGGGCAATCACCTGCGTATGGAGTGGTAATGATGAGGGTCCCGAACCCGGCTCCCGGTAGCCACAGCCACATGCTGACAAGACGGGATCGGGGCGAAGGTCCACCGATATACGGGGCTATGGGTGCTCGCATCCCGGGCCACGGACTCCCGGGTTGTGACGGGAGCAGCATATTCTTCCGCATCGCCGGCCTTGCTTTACTTTTGCAATGTGCTGTGGCTCAAACCCAGACCATTACCGTCGCGCCTACAATCCCCAGCGAAGCGCCGCAATTCGTGTCACGGGATCTCTTCACATCAGCCATCCTCAACAGCACCAACTTCTTCCGCAAAGAGCACAGCGCCCCGCCCGTCCCGTGACGTGGAACGACACGCTGGAGACATACGCGGAGACATGGCTCAAGGGCAACACGGCCTGCGAGTTTGAACACTCGGGCGGCCCGTACGGCGAGAACCTGGCGTTGGGATGCTCAGACGCTCAATCCTGCGTCGACGCATGGGGCAATGAGCGATCGATGTACCCGTTCGACAAGCCGGGCTTCTACATGGACACGGGTGACTTCACGCAGCTGGTGTGGAAGAACACTACGACGGTGGGGTGCGGGAAGAAACTGTGTGAGCAGGGCTGGTTCCTCGCTTGCGAGTACTGGCCTCGAGGCAACTTTGCGGGAGCATATGCCGACCAGGTGGCCAGGCAGCCAGGTGCGGCTTCAGGTCTGCGGCCGTCTGTAGTCGCAGTGCTATCAGGAGTGGTAGTTTTGGGGCTCTGGTTGTCATGATGTGCACATGAAAAGTGGCCATGAGATAATGACTGGCATGGGAAATTGATAGCGGACTTGTTAGGATAACGTAAATGCATAGCGAGTGGGCCAGCATAGCGAGCGGGCCACCTCCATCACTTCACTAGAATTCCATCTTCTAACACATCTTACTCAACAACCAGCCATGGAGACCCCTTCTAAAGATAACCAATTGAATCTCGCTCTTCAAGCTATGGACCGTGATCCTTCCCTTTCTATACGCCGCGCAGCTGCAATCTACAACGTCTCTCGAACAACGCTTACCCGCCGCTATAAGGGGACGCCTTCTCGACGCGATAGCCTACCAAATTCGATGAAATTAACAGAGCTAGAGGAGCAGACGATTGTCGACTATATTCTCGACTTGGATGCGCGAGCATATCCTCCTCGGCTAAGTGAGGTTGGAGAAATGGCGAATCGACTGCTCGATAAGCGGGCTGCGCCACGCGTCGGTCCACGATGGGCGTCAAACTTCGTTAAGCGACAACCACAGCTCCAGACGCGTTTCTTTCGCAAGTACGACTACAAGAGAGCCCAATGCGAGGATCCCGACGCGATAAACGCGTGGTTTCGGCTTGTGCGGAACGTAGTCGCGAAAAACGGCGTAGCGGACTCCGATATCTACAACTTCGACGAGACAGGCTTTCAGATGGGCGTTATCGCGACCGGGATGGTCGTTACAAACGCGCGAAATACGGTCGAACGTTAAGATGAAGCAACCAGGTAATCGGGAATGGGTTACGGTAATCCAGGGCGTTAGCGCGACTGGATTCTACGTCCCGCCGTTCGTAGTATTTGCCGGCAAATATCACCTCTCGACCTGGTACCAAGATAACGCGATTCCTCGCGACTGGAGAATCGTAACATCCGCAAACGGCTGGACTACAAACGAAATTGGTCTAGATTGGATTCGACATTTCGATCAGCACACAAAGTCGCGAACAAAAGGCGGTTATCGCCTCCTCGTCCTCGACGGCCACGAAAGTCACCACTCGGTCGAATTCGAGCCCTACTGTAAGGACAACAACATTATTACGCTCTGTATGCCTCCTCACTCGTCTCATATACTCCAGCCTCTCGATGTTGGCTGTTTTGGTCCGCTGAAGAAAGCATACGGTCGGCAAATTGAGCTTAAGATGAAGGCGGGTACAACGCATATCAGCAAGGAGGACTTCCTCCCCTCGTTTTTAGCGGCATTCCAGCAGACAATGACGGAAAAAAACATCCAGGGAGGCTTCAGAGGGGCGGGACTTGTACCCTATGACCCTGAAGCCGTTTTATCCAAGCTCGATGTGAAGTTCAAGACGCCAACACCCTCGAGGACGCCTCGGACGTCACCGGAGCCATGGACTTCCCGAACGCCCACCACCGCTATGGAAGCCCGTTCACAGTCTAATTTCATCAAACGTCGGATCTCTCGTCAGCAGGGAAGCTCTCCAACGTCAATTATTGAAGCAGTTGAGCAGTTCACGAAGGGAGCAAAGGGGATCATGCACCGGTTCGCCCTAATGGAGGCAAGGATGAAGATGCTTGAAGACGAGAATGCAGTACTTAGTAAGCGCCGGAGAGCTAAGAAAACACGTCTCCGGAAAGGCCAGAGCATGACTCTAGGCGAGGGACAGGACCTTATAGCCCAGAGAGAGGTGAACACTCAAATAACACAGGAAACGCAAGAAAATCGAGGTCATGCAGGCGGCACTACGCCAACGCAGCGCCGCTGTGGTACCTGCGGGATGACTGGCCATAATGCGAGAACTTGCCAAATAGTTACTCTAGGGTCTGAACTCGAAGATAGCAATTAGTTTATATCAATTCAAGACGTTTTGGTTTTGCTGACGAGGTTTTGATTCTCGAGATGTGGTGGGGGTGGCCCACTCGCTATGCTGGCCCACTCGCTATGCATTTACGTTACTGAAAACAAAACTGAAGACTTTTGAGTGGTTGTCCAAGGCCGAAACTCAAGACCACAAGTCTTGCTGATTCATGCCCGGCTGCCGTATGCTCCTTATGCCCAGGTCAGAAAGTGATGGGTCCGAGTTCGACTGCTGGCGAGATGGCACCCTCTCTTCGCTTGCGCTCATCTTCAGCTCTGATGACTCTCGCTATCTCCTCAGCTTGAACGGCATCTACGGGTCCATGAGCAGAGAGATAGCCATCGGACCCTCCGAGTTCCATGGGTGTGACTGGCCCAGGACTTCCGAGAGGCTCTAATCGAGGCTTGGAAGGATTCGAGTTGGATATGCTTTCGAAACCAATGGACCTCAACGACTGCAATGCAGCTGGACTCAGGCTCCCGTTGTTGAGTGCCAACGTCGCTTGAGCAATCATATCCGGCTGGTACTGCTGGATCCTCCGTTTCGCATCTGACTCGTGCCGGGGTTGTCCTGGACCGATGTGCTCACGGCCGGATGAGCCAGTAGCTGAAGGAGATCTCGCATGTTTGGACGAAGACGAAGACGACAACTGCCGGCCATGTTTATCGGCCTTTCGTTGCTCATAGTTTGAAGGATAGTATTTGCCCATGGGCAGCGGGTTCTCGGAGTATGGTCCTGGGTTGTAAGCCGCTACCGGGGTAGTGGTTCTGGACGATGTTGGCGAGGCCGCCGAGGCGCGGATACGGCTACTGCTGGACTCTGGAGCCTTGAGATTGGACGACCGAGCCATGGTGGGCGATGCTGATGCGGGCGCAGTTGCGGCGAAATAGCTGGAGTCTGCAGTCTTTGAAGAAGTTGGGAGGGTGGTGGGTGACTGGGACTCTTTGTGAGCGATCTGGATGGATCGCTTGCGTGCTTTTGTGGCATCCAGGTGGAAAGGATGAGGTTGGTAGGTCCTGGTCTGCTCCTCGTGAAGTGGAAAGTAGCCTCTACCAAATAGGAAAACAGGGTGTTAGTCAGGCGTGGGCTCTTTGTCAGATGCTGCGGAGAGTGGGGACGAGTGCACTCAAACAGGAGGAACAGTAAAAGTGCCGGGGAGGTCATGTTTATCTCGGCGGCGAAACGTACCCAGGGAGATCGCCACGGGCGGAGAGTGGTGCAGGCGGGGTGCGGACAGGCGTGCCGTCTGCAGCGGTGGACTTCGCTGGTGGGAGCTGGATTGCGATAGGCCGGCTGCTTGCTGACAAGGGAGTCGGGGATGTCTCGAGAAGAGGAGAGTCGTTGGTGTGCCAGTGTGGATGAGAAGTGGCTCGGCCTGGAAGATGCAGAGACCGAAGCACCGGGGAATTGGTTAGTTTTTGATTTCTTTGTCCGGACAACAGTTCCAGCCCGAGCCAGTCAGCTCGTGGCCGCGGATATGGCGGGTTCACGATGTGCTCGGCGGGCAGGGGCAGTGGGGACCACTATGACGCAAGGACGACGGCCAGCGACAGGCAGAAAAAAACACCACCTCGCACCCCATCCCCATCCAGACAGGCGCCCAGCGCCGGCTGGGCCCGTCGACAGCTTGGGTGCTCCGGTGGCGAGCATGCCAGCGGTGCCTTTGTCCCGGGGGGCGGAGCCCGAGTCGCACGCCCTCGAGATGAAGCGATGAATGGCCAGCAACCAGGCTGCGTGGGTTCCAAGGTTTCGCTTGGGGTCAGGGTCTCTGGGGGGGAGGCCAGTACTCTCATCACAAAAGGTGTACGCAAGTGGCATCTGTATACGTCGTCCGCACAAGCTGGTGCTCGACAACCCAAGGCTCTTGGCCACTGGCGTCACAGCCTTCGGGACCGAAATCGCAGCAGCCCAGCAACTGCTGTTTTTGCTCTCAGCAACTCCGAGTGAAGTTTCTTCGTCTTTATCGAAAGGTGATTTCGAGCAGAAGACAACAAATCATAAAGTAGGACACCAGTCTGCAATAAGTAAGGGAAATTGTGCCTGGTGTGCATCTTCTGTAGAGGTTGCGTTCAGGGGAAATGGGTAGCACCCTCTTTAGGGCATGGGGTTGTTTCCAGACTAAGCTTTTGGCAGATGCTTGGAGTCTGTCGCGATTGGCCACCATTGTTCGAACTTTATGCTGACAATGCGGGAGGCCGACAGGTTGTGAGGATTGTCCTACCCCTCAGCTTCCATACCCCATTGTCTTCATTGCAGCCACTTCAGTACACCGCGGAGATATTTATTGATGGAGAGAAGCCCTGGTGGTAATCATCTCCGCCTGTCGTCTCCCAAGACAATGGTCAACATCTCCCAGTACCAGAGATACGCCTACACCAAGATGAAGTCGGACAACCACTTGATCGACACTGATACTCTCCACAGAGTTGCCTCTTCAGGGCAGCATGAGGCTGTCCCAGAGTCGGCCCGCGACCGATCCGACAACGATCATGTCAAGACGAACGGCAATCTCCGCTTTCGTCGCAACACCTACCTCGGCGCCCTCCTGTTCAACATAGCCTCATTCTTGCTCCCGGCCTTGTACGGGACACTGTCGAAACTTTGGGTTGCAAACATCGATGCCTCCCTCGTCGTCACGACCGACAGCTACACATACATCGGTGTCTTCGCCGAAGTGCTCAACGAGGGCCTTCCACGCGCTGCATGGGTCATCATCGGTGACAAAGCCTCTCGGAACCTGGCCGAGCGACTGCGCCTTACGCATACCCTCATCGCATTTCAAGCCCTGCTAGGCTTGATCATGAGCATCGTGTTCGCTGCCGCCGCAGAACAGTTCGCTCAGAGCTTCGTACCTGTAGAGGCCAGGGCACAGAGCATCACGTATATCCGCCTGTCCGCCTTCTCGGCGCTCAGCTCGACGATCGAGACAGCTGTCGCGGCCGGCACTAGGGCGCTGGACAAGCCTGATGTCCCGCTTGTCATCAGCTCTATCAAATTTGCGGTCAACATCCTGCTCGACATGCTGCTCATCTCGACCTTCCATGTCCCATCCGTGACACCAAGTGTCAATCTTCAGGCTGGAATCCAGCTGGCGTGCAATCTGTCCTCTGCATTCTCTGGACTAGGATACTTCCTGTTGTTCCATACAAAACCGGCGATGAGGAGACTCAGCACAGAGCATGACCTCTCGGATATGAATGTTGCTGGGCCACTTCCAAGCACCAACCCAAGTGACAGAAACAGCAATAGGAGCGTGGTACCCACCTGGACTGCGCTCCTCGTCCTCGCTCGCGCTGGTATATTGACGTTCCTCGAGTCACTGATCCGCAACGTCCTGTACCTCTGGCTGGTCACTACTATCGTGGCTCTGGGCAGCACATATGCCACGGCGTGGGGCATCTTCAACACCATCCGCTGGGGTCTCGTCATGGTCCCCGTGCAGGCTCTCGAGGCGACGTCGCTCACCTTCATCGGCCACCGCTGGGGCAACTGGCGACAAAGCATTAGCAGCAACATGTCCACATCATCCGCCTCCACAAGGACATCAGCCAGACCCGCAGACATCTTCCGCATCACCAAGCCCGCTCTCATCTCCGTGGGCTGCGCACTCACAGTCGAGGTGCCCCTGTGCATCTTCCTCTCCATCTTCGGCGCCCGCCCTTTTGCCATGTATCTCAGCGGCGGCGCGGCGCCCGTCGCCGACGTCACGGCGCAGATGTGGCGCACGATTGACTGGTGCTACATCTTCTACGCGGTGTCGACGCAGCTCGCGACGGTCCTGCTCGCGACGAGACCCAAGTGGTATCTCTGGCAGAGCCTGGCGAGCAACCTACTGTACGTGCTGCCGTGGGCGATCGCGTGCCAGGTAGTGGATCTCGTCGAGGCCGATGCGTGGAAGTATCACTCCCTGGTGTTTGGGGGCAGTCTGGTGTTCAGCTTTGTGGATATCCTGGTGGTGGATGGTCTGTGGGCTTGGACTCTGTGGAAGGGGCGGGCCAGGTTGGAGAAATTTCACCAGTCTTGATAATCAGATACTAGTATAGTACAGCATGTAGGATTCACATACCTCTGCGTAGCGTGGCGGAGGTTTGGGGTGGTCACAGGTCCATTTGCCTTCCCTGAGCGCTGGGGTGATGATGGCTTCTTTTAAAGAGCTATTTCGAAAATAGAACTGACATAAGAAGGCAGAAGTGTGGCCTCGATCCTGAAAGACCACCAACTTCGCGGCAGAGCCTCGTGATCTTAGCAGCGATACGGAAGAAAGAGCTCTGGTATATCCCAGCATAGAAGCGCGAACCTTTAACCGCTACCCTGCTCCGCTGATTTCGTATTGCCAACCATGTAGGGGACAGCCGGCAGTACTGTACAGTATCTGTCTATGAAGTTGAAACTTTCTTGGAGAATGTTGGTTGGAGGATGGCAGGGAGATGGTCGAGCTTCGGCAGCACCCGAGAGCGGGGTTTACTGGGCTGTTCAACGGCGACCCCGCCTTCATCTGATGATTACGTATCCACAACCGGCCCCCCCCTGTATGCTGCAAGCCGTTTCTGACACTGTACATGCCACAATACGCCACGATAACTGGTCTGTGCGGAAATCGCGACTAATATGGGCAAAGTGGACACTCATTGTGGTCACTACCGTACATTACTGTAGCTGTAGCAGCCTAACAAAAGGATCGACAGGTGAAATGGAACACACGGCCAAAGTACCCATGCGGGGTCGCGCCGAGAAGATCAGGACCGAAGATTACATAAGGCTGCGGGTACGGCTGACAACATCCAAGGATATTTTGATCTTCATAAAGCAGCTCATCTCTCCCAGCGCCAACAATCACTACACGTGCATTCGAATACTGAGCATATAGCGGGAAACTGTTATGTCGCTCCTTGTCGAGGACAAATGTTACGAGAACGGGTCGTGACTCAAGCAGAGGACCATATTGTGGAAAGGCGATCGAAAGCCGGGTTAGCGAGGAGAAGAGTGTGGAGGCGTAGATTTGGAGCACGCCGCCCCACGTTTGTCGACCCAAATTTTGAGTTACCCAGCTTCACGCATCACCTTTTCGCTTCTTGCCGTGATGGATAGAAATCGGAGTGGCACATTCTTCTCTCACAAGAACTGACACCTAGACTCCGCACCTTGCATGTCGACGGATGGTAGCAGAGCAGACACTTGGCGCACTTCCATGGAGTGCCCTGTCTGCTGGCAATGGATGCTGTGGCACACTGACCCACAGGGCCATCAGCGTTGTGAGGCCCGCTTGGTTCGTGTCAGGAACAACGGTGAGGACAGGCACGAATAAGTTACAGTACAACAAATGCCTGCACAGCTTGGGCACTGGGACTGGGCAGTTGTGTCATTAACAAACACGGCTGGATGCGTCAAGTCAAGGGGGTAGGGGGTGGGGGGGTGGGGTCCAGCCAAAAACTGGCGCATTTGTGTGATCCTCGTGGTGGATATGCGCCAGTTTTACCTTGGGGCGCCTCGGCAGTGTCACTGTGCACTGCTCCCCTGCCGCCCGCGGCTGTATATCTTCTCCTGCACCACGTCAACCAGTGCCGTTGCTCCCCGCCGCGTTGTGGACTAGCTCTAGCGGCCCCCGCCCTATGATAAGGAGCAGGGATCGCGGCTCTTCCGGACAGCCGTAGCAACCAACAGAGTGTTCGAGCCCCTCTGTTGCAGCCAGTCATAGCGAGTGGAAGGGATGGGTCTCAGAGCCGGGGTAAGTCTGGGGTGACTGCGCACCCCTTCTTTCGGCCGACGGAGTACATCGACCTTAGCCTACCATCTCACCGGGGTTGCAGTGGTTGGGAGGACGAAATGCAGTTGACGACTCTCCGCTCCATCCGCTATATCGCGATTGATAGCGTAGAAAGAGCCACAGGTCTGTGCATCTTCTTGGACAAGAACAACAGCTATCATTGCCGTACAATAATTTACTGACACTGGACTTCTGTGTCACAGGGAGGCCAAGCAACGGCAGCTAATCCGGGAGCCTCAACAATATGGGAGGTTTTCGTCTTTACCAAAGCAATACGGACGTGCATGCGTTTTACCTGTTGGAGGCCAACCACTACACACGCCACCAACTGCACTGTAACATTGACCCCAGGCTTATATCGGATAATAATTCAGACACAGGAGTCTGTCCGCAAAAGCGAGGATTCCGCACTCTGGGGCCCGCGATACCGGGAGTTTATAGTAGGTCGCTACGAAGCACTGCCTGACTGGACAAGGATGGTGGCCAGCGTCCCTGTTCGAGCTCGATCGCATTCCACGCTTTGTGCCCCGGCCTTCGGCCTCCCTGAGGAGGCGCGTTTCCCCGGTGTGCACCCTGCTCCGAGTACAGGGCGGCTCAGGACTCAACTTGATTGGTCTCCTGAAGGGTATTGGTGATGTGTGTGTCGCCACAAACACACCTGCTGTACGCGCCCTGCTGGTTTGCCTCAGAGCATGTGATGGTGGCTCTGATTGGCCCTGCCTCCCGATTGTTTGCGCGGCTGTCTGACGCGCTGATGAAGGAGGTGTGGGGCCAACACCCCCATTTGCGAAACAGGAGACGCAAACCGCTTCTCGCGCGTTGGTCAAAACAGTGTGTATGGTGTCTCGGAGCTGAGGCAAAGGCTCAAGCGGTGTTCGGTCTGCATACGGTCTCAGCCAAATCCTGTGTGCATTGTCCATGCGCAACTAGTTGAACACAGTCGAGAAGGGTCTTTGAGACACGTTGGGGGAGGTCCTGTTAGGCCTCCCGCATGAGCTAGCTTACTCCGCCGCCGGTAGCACAACGACGCATCACAGGGTATGACGCACTCGCATGCCTGGACACATGCCAGGTCGTACTGTAGGGGGGTCCAGGTGATTCAGTTTTCGCCTTGAGGGCTTGTCAGAGAACTCGGGACTTGTCTGTGAATGGGTGGTGGCCCACATTCGCTGGTGGGTTTTCCACCACTAAGTGTGGGCCTTAGAGGGGCGATGTCATTGGCTCTCGCAGACGAAACAGGGGACGCAAACCGCAGGCGGTTTGCCGAGGGAGCCTTGAGGAACGAAGCCGGACAATACGGGTAATCCTCAACTTGGAAACTATTTAATTAGTGTACGGATTAGTCTAATTCAAGAGAATGTGGAGGCCAGGGGTTTCATCAGTTGCACCACGTATGGCGCAGGAACCTAAACTAAAACCGAGGGTACGGGAAGCGACGGGTGCATCAGCCCTATGGGCCATACCGTGGATCTATTATGTTCGCATCCTTGTTGCAGATCAATAGCCAGAGCATCGCAGTGCCCTGAGGAGTGGCTCAATCCAATTCGTGGCTGCTTGGCCTGGGAGGTGGGGATTGAGCGCTAAGTCTTTTGAGGAAGACGGTAAGAGTTGGGCGGGGGGGCTATTCTGCCACTTAGCTTTTCTATGGGCACAACCCCGCTTTGCTTTGCGTCTCCTTGTTTCCTCCTAATAATGATGATGCCCAACTATACCTCGCAATTATCGAGGGTTTAAATTCCCACCGGATTCCCCGTTGCTAGGTACCCGGTCTAAAATGGCCGGCCGCGGAACGCCATGGATAGACTAAGCCCGCTAATGACATGCCACTTTTGTACTTTGCTGTAAGCCACTCTATAACGAATTGTACTCTGTGTAAATCGTGGACGAGCCGCCTTCCACTTGGAGTGAAGTTGCAGTCGCACAAAGCTCGAAACAGGGCAGCCTATCGCGAAGCCCCTGACGGTCCAATGACCTATCATATGCGTGATCTAGCTCTATCGAATTCGATGAGGTTCCATGAGCGTTGGCGTCCAGTTCGGAAACGCGGTGTGCAAGATGAGAGCGATCAAGGACGTTTCTCTAAGCGACCACCCATCATCCTGTCTCGGAAAGCACACTTGCTACACCATGGCGGAAGAAATCGACCGTGTTCTTGCCTCAATCCAAGGATTGAGCCTCGCCAATGGCACGACTGACTTGCCTAGTTTGCGATCTCGTCGCGCAGCAAACCCAAAACAGAATCTTGTGGGCGCAACTAAAGCGTTAATACTTGCTACCGAAGCCACCACCTCACACGCGCAACGACTTCTCTCAGCGGCCGACAAAATTTCTGGACCCGGCCATGATTTTACGCACCTCGTTTCCCTCAGAAGAAGAGCCAAAGCTCTTGCCGACATCACGGTGACCTTTGGCGATGCATTCGACTGCTACATCCTATCGCAAATCAAATCGTTGGCTGGTCCAGGGACAACAGCAGAGAAACTGCTCTCCCATTTCGATGCCCATTTGCGGGGCATCACCCAAGATGTCGTCAGCAGCACCACCGACGAGGGCAGCGTCCTGCGCGAGATACTGGAGCGTTGTTACAGCGAGTCTCTTCAAAGATCCGGCACCCTAAACTTTGACAACTACGCCGACTCCCTAGATGAAACCTGCCTCGAATCGCCCTACGATCCCGACTTTGAGAGTGAGGAGTATTACGAGCACGAGAATCGTCTGGAAGTTGACGAGGCTTACGCCAATGCCTTTCGCTACAACCGCAGACTTAAGGCCGAGAGAAAGGAGCAGGAACACAAAAAGAAGAAGGAGAACTGGATCGGCTTTTGGGTTAAAGCGCTTCAAAGATGTCACAATGGGCCCACGCTATTCTATCCTCCGGCGAGTCATCTTTCTCAATGCCATTTGACAGACGTTCCGCGATACCTCTTCCGAACCTTTGACCAAGCGAGCTCTGTGCGGAGTAATGAAGATGTTGTCGCTTCCGTGGAGAGCATCTCCGACGAATCGAACAGCAGAGTCGATATCCTTTCGAAGCCAACAGAAGTGTCTATAAGGATGCTGCATGGGCATTTGACCAAGTTGTGTTTTGGAGGTGGAGACAAGAGCGATAACTTGATGTCATGGAGCAGCTCTCTGTTGTTTGTCATCCAGTACGCTGTCTGGCGATGCCATCATCGTCGCTGCGGGGAAGATGAGGTCAAGATCTGCGCAATCGACACGAGGAAGTTTCCCCGTGGCCAGTTCGCCCGCGACATGACGTTGCTGCGTGCTTATCGCCAAACCGCGAAACATGACGAGGGAATGAATGAATTCTTCGACTTCCGTCTCAATCGCGAAGACTACGACAACGGGGAGTTTCTTTCGCAGGGACAAGTACATCACAAGGGGCAGTCCTCTATAGTTTCTCTTGACCAACTCATCAAAGCCGGGCTGCATGACCTGTATCCCGAGTTTAAGGAAGAATCTGAAAAGAGCTCATGGACAAACCGGGTGCGAAGTCTTCGATCGAGGTGGTCCGCCGAGCAATTAACAACCAAGCTGGACATACAAGCAGCCCTCAGTGTCGCCGGAGTGTGCTTCAAGACATTTGAAGCACCCGATATAGCGATGCTGCTTTTGTTGTTCAAGAACCGCCAGCTCCGACCAACAACCACAACCACAACGCGCCCACCCCCATTCCACAGCGTCACGGAAAAGTGTCAGGGAGTCCTCAAGGACTACGGACCAGAGGAGGTACAGCGATATATGAAGATTTTGGAAACGACAGCTTTTACGGATCGAGACAACAAGGCCGGCGATTCAGTCCGCAAGCTTCTCTCGTTTGCTCAAGGCCCACAGCTCCTCGAAGACGTCTTTGACTGTAGTTGAACCGTTCGACATGCGTCTATGCTTGGCAGGCTTACGGGCGGCTTCATGGCGGGCGTGAGGCCTGGCCGTCTTGCTCCATCTCTCAATACCCTGCCGCCTCTCTAGTCTCAGTACCGCCACGATAAGATCTAGGCGAGGATCGAGGCTGGCCGATACAAGGATGGAGGCTTGGCTCGGCGACGATTTCAGGATCAGTTGGCATAGTAGTGGTACATGCTCTCGGGTGTAGACAAGATGAATATATCAAAAGATATAAAACAGTACAAAACTGAGCAAGGCAGAGTTCACTTGACAGGGCAAGTGGCAAATGTCACTCTTGGTAGACGGATGATGTTAGGATACCGTGCCGTGGATCTGAAGCGCATGACGTTGGAGATGCATCTTATGGTCTAGTGGCATGCAGCAAGCTCCGCACTCTTTATCGTCCCCCTCTCGGATGTTTTTCAGTGCTTCCGTCGGAAGTGCTTACTTACGTCGCCGGCACTGTAGAATTCGTGCGTGAGTTCTTCGATGCAAGGGTCATCCGGTTCCAAGCGGAGCGCTAGGCCTACGCAAAGGAAGCATCTCCTCGGCCTCTCCTCCTTACTTGCTATGAAGACAGACAACACAGCCGCATGACGCCCGTCTTCTGCATAACGACCGTCTTCTCGAGGCTCATTCTTGACGGAAGACCGCTGCATCGTCCCCGCCCCGGAAGTGTTGGGGCGCCGTACAGCCGGCCCTTCCACCACGACGCAATAGGCCATCACGGCGTAGATGGCAACATCTCTTCGCCGGTGTTGGCCCTCGACTGTGTTTTCGACCGGAGCCGTGAGTGCGTCCATTAGCCGTTTCTGGGCTGGGCGTCTCGGACGGTTAGACTTCCGGATGGCCCGTTCCTCAACGAAGCCAAGCCCGGCAAGCTGGTTCTCAATGTCGATCACTGCCTGTTTGTTGGTCCACTGTTCTCTAATCTAGTCCTGGAGTGCCCTTCTCTGCGTCTGCTGAGCGCTCCGGAGCTTGTCATGCGCCTTTTTGTATTTCTGCATGGCTTTACGTGAGATTTTTGCTTGTTGGCGTAACTCCTTGACCTTGCAGGCTAGCTTCTTGATACCAGGGTGGGAATTGACGGATGCTGCCTGATCTATCGTCAGATTCACGGGGCGTCGTTTGCTGATGGAATGGCCGATACTACAGGACTTTTGCACAGGGCATTCTGCGGCTCTAGCCCGCGGATGAGTGCGTACGGGTCGACCGCAAGTTGGTGCCCGAGGTAGTGCCTCTGGAACGGATTCGAGTTCGCGTGGTCCAGCATGAGATTTCTGGTTGCGTCGCTCACATTACCTATCTAGTTGTTAGTGAGGATAACTCGTCACGTAGTTATAATCAGAAACATACTGCTTCTATCAAACACATTGGCAGCATTATATCGTAGGTTGTATGGAATCGTCGGGACCTCGAACCCTGTGACCTCGCCAACTCTTCTTACCCACCCAGCGATCGTTGCAGGACTGATGGGCTCGGTTGGGGACATGTCGTATCCGACCAGCGTCTTGACGGCTCGACGGAAGATATAGACATCATCCATGCTTGCTTTGAGCGGCAAAGGTAACTCCCACTCGCCCGGGTGGATGTTGAGCCTGCTTACTGCATCAGGGCGGGTCAGACTCGGTGCTTCGAAGGCCCGATGCCTAAAGAGGATACCTTCGAGGAAGACGTGGGGGCTGAGCATAAGGGAGTCGTCGAACATGACTTCAGGGAGGGTCACGGTCTTCCTAACATGGCGTCAGCACACGTAGACCTACGAAGCGCCAGTCGCCCCGGCACACCCCGGCTAGGGCTAGGCACATACGCATCTTTAGTACCAAGATAAGTCTTGGTGAACTCCAGCGTGAACGTAATTAGGACTTTATGCGGACCGCCCTCTAGGTCTCGGGCCAGTACGACTCGGATATCTCGGTAGTGGAGTTTGAGCACCGAGGCAGGGCGAGCGCCGGTAGCAGCGAGCAGTAGGAGGAACAGGACGCAGAGAATTCGGAGCTCTCCCAGGGAGAAGGACTTCTCCGTCGTGCCCAGCGTCGTCTCGACTTGTTGCTTAAGGTCCTCGACCGTCATGCACCTGTTCTCGCGCTTCTGGTCGCTCAGCCCATGCTTTTTGGCGAGCTTTTTGAGCACCCTGTGCATGTTCCGATTCAGTTTCGCATCGAGCTTCGCGCCGGTGGCCTTCTCGTAGACGAGCCGGTACACCTTCCAGTTCGTCCCGAGTGAGCTGCTCTTCTTCGTTCCCCGCTTCTTCCTGCCATTCTTGCCGGCCTTCTGGCCCAGCAGCCAGTCGAAGAAGTTCTAGAGGGACCCGAGCGAGACGGACTCGAAGGATTCCTGCGGGTCGTACTCGAACCACGCGCAATACCTACGTTACAGATTGTCAGCATGAACCAAGCAGTCGAAGCACGACCGTTCAGGCCACCTACTTATTCCACAGCTCTTCTATTCCATCGAGAAGTATGGTACTCCCCTCACTGTAATCTTCATCATCGAAGGCGGCCTTGTTGAACTCTTTCAGTTGCTTGAGGTAGTACTCTCGAGGATGTAGATTTCCGTCGAACGGCTGCACCTGGTCTTCTATATCAAAGTCGTCACAATCGTCGCCAAGGTCACCGGTATCGTTGCTTTCTTCGTCGTCAATGTCTGTCGGGCTGGTCTCATAACCGGCATCATCGACCTCGACATCGAACCCCTCATCCTCGTCCGACAAGGACACGTCGTCTGGAGAGTCCGAGTTCGAACCGTCCGAATCGTCGTCAGGTCTGCGGCGGGTGACGCGCCATCTTCGTGCGATGACGACCGGTGCAGTCGGTAAGTTGAGCGTAGGAGGGCAGAGAAGGGAGACAATTCCGGTCGTCGGAGCAGGATAGGCTGGTAGGCGATAGATTCGCAATCCTTTCGACAAACGGAATGTATCGCTGGAGATGCGCAGGCCCGGCCTCTTAAGCATTGGGTTGGGAGCCATTTTTGGTGGCCCTCCAGCATCCAGGAAGGTGGTGAGCAGGAGCCACCGAAATCAACGGCTAACTCGCCGTCACATTCTTTAAAGAAGTATAAATAGGATTAGGTAACGTAGTCCACATGTGAACGGGTCACACGGGTGAACGGGTCATTTCTTATCGCCGCTTATATAGAGATTTTTAAACCTCTGTAACTTCTTTATTTTAAGAGATATAAAGGCCTAGTTAAGTCTATTTGTAAACGATAAGAATAATCTATTTAGAACTAGAATAACGTACAGTAGAAACCACAATCAGTGTCCACTTTACCCATATTAGTTGCGATTTCCGCACAGACTAACCATTGTGGCGCATTGTGGCGTGTACAGTGCCAGCTGCCGCACAATAAGTCCTCGCCAGAAATGGCTTGCAGCATATCGCGGCAGTGTAAGCCGTTGAGGCACGCTTCTCTGTTCCCGTATTAGCAAACTGAATACAGCGCCACGACTCAGTGCAACCATGCCCCAAGCCAGGCAAGCGTATGTAGTACGATACATAGCAATCCACTTGCCCCGCACCTTCGCAGCAGGGAATGATCCTAAAGTCACGGTACCAAATAGCTGGCCATCAGATAGTGCGAATTTCCTGAGACATATTGCTGCACTACAGTATTCGCACAGTAATAAGTTCCGGGTACAGGTGGCCAGGCGCTGGATAAGCAGCAGTTTCTGGCCCCGCCAGCTGGGCCAGAATCCGGGATGCTGCGATGGGTCTCGTCCTGATGTGCTTACATAACCCGAGTTTGCGATGGTCTGTGCAAAGGTTCACCTGTGATTCGTTCTGCTGACAGAATGTCGGCTGGTCAATCGTCGCGACACGGACGCGACTAACCCAAGTCAACCTTCGCTTTGCAACCTCACCATCTTGCCAGGCATGGTAGACCAACGGGCCAAGATCATCGAGGTCACCCCTATTGGGAAAGGCCTCGATGCGTTCAGGGCATCATTTCGTTCGATTTGCGAAAGCGCCGGCATCTCCTGCACCCCTGAAGCAGTAGATGAGTTGGGGCCACAGGGTAAGAAAGCCGTCCAGGCGGATCTCAACATGTACTCTAACTATCTGACAGATCTTCAAATGCTCCTCCTCCTCCTCCTTCCGACCCTACAAATTCTTCCAGCCACCCGTCAACTCCATTCACGCAGCGGAAGAACTCTCTTCATCGAACTACCAAGACTCAGTGTCGCGATCGGGTCTGATGACTTCACCCTTTCCCGCCTTACGCCTCTCCTAAAAGCTGCCGTCGCCGACAAACCTGATGACTCCGAGATTTGGGAAGAAGTGTCCGAGGCCGTTGCCGAATCTACACCGCCTCCCCGACCGATCGCCTCCTCCCTCCAACAAACCCCGTGGCTGCACAACACAAGCGGCTTTGCGAACTCGTCCGAATACCGACGCGACATAGATAGGGTGCTCAAGCAGGAGCTCGGTCCTCTCTATGTTGGGCTTCGTCGACTTCCAGAAGTTTTCTTTGGACGGGTACCCGGGCTGGACGCTGCGTCCCACGTCGTCTTCACCAAGTGCACGAAAGGCAACGACCCCCTCTTCTGTGGAGGATGGGCTGGCTGGCCAAAGGACGCACACCAAGATTGTGTCCTGGAGTGGTTCTCGGACATAAGCCAGAAGCTGGCAATCTTCGCCGAGGAAACATTGCCGCTTCCAACGCATGGAAGGCGGCCTCTGGCGCAACCCAACCAACCGATCCTCGATTCTACGGCAGAACGAAAGTTGGATATCGGTTTCGTGGACGACCCCAAAGCGTTGAAAGACACCCAACTACATTGGTCGCACATTCTCGTTCCAGGAGAGTTGAAGAGCAACCCGTTGGCGGACACAAAGTCTAAAGCATGGCTCGACCTGGGGAGGTATGCCAGGGAAGTTCTTGCGGCTCAAGACACGCGTCGGTTTGTCCTGGGCTTCACTCTCTGCGGATCCTTTATGAGAATATGGGAGTTTGATCGCTTGGGAGGAATCGCATCCGACAAGTTCGACATCAACGAAGACGGGCTGCGCTTCGTCTTCACGGTTCTAGGCTTCCTCTGGATGGACCGTGAGGCCCTCGGTTTCGACCCTACAATCACTACAGAGGGCAGTCGACGCTTTATTTCGATCATCCGAAACGGCCAGGCAGAGCGACTCGTCATTGACAAACGGATGAAGAGGGCACCCTGCATTGCCGGTCGCGCCACAACTTGCTGGAGCGTCCACCGAGAGGACCACCCTCAGACCTCGTTGGTGGTCAAAGATTCGTGGCAATACACTCAACGGGACGAAGAAGGCGAGTTGCTCAAGACGGCGACCGAAAGAGGTGTGGTCAACGTGGCCCGCTACTACCACCACGAGACTGTTCATGTCCGTGGCGAGGTCGACGACGTTTTGAGCAATATTCGAGGGAACATCAACATCCGAGAAGCGAGCAATTATCGAGCAGATCAGTTGATTCAACCAGGGAGCTCGAGTGCGGTCGATGTTCCCCAGAAAGGTCGGAGTAGTCTTGCTGCTGGCAAGAAACGCTCCTCCAGTCAGACGGAGGCCCCTCTACCACCGAGCAAGCGATCTTGCTCTGCGTCACCAACCATGGCTAGCGGTCCTGCACTGCCGAACCGGGTGCATCGTCGCGTCATCGTTCAGGATTGTGGGACGCCGATCTACAAAGCCAAGTCGCCTTCGGTGCTGCTCTCAGTGCTGAGCGACTGCATTGAAGGTCACAAATCATTGCGACAACAAGCCGGTCTCCTCCACAGAGACATCTCTGTAAACAACCTGATGATTCGTGGAGAGAAAGGGTTTTTGATTGACCTCGACCTTGCCGTCACGGAGCAACGCGAGGAGGCCTCGGGAGCACATGGGAAAACCGGGACAAGAGCCTTCATGGCGATCGGTGCCCTTCTGGGCGAGAAGCACTCGTTCATGCACGACCTCGAGTCCTTCTTCTGGGTCCTGTTTTGGATATGCATTCACAATAACGGACCGGAGCGAAGCGAAATCATTCCCCAATTCGACAAGTGGAATTATGCGGATGTGGAGGAATTAGCAAAGCTTAAGATGGGCACGGTATCTGACGAGGATATTTTTGCGAAGACTACGACGGAATTCTTCACCAACTACTTCAAAGCTTTGATTCCTTGGGTCGGTCGATTACGAAGAGTGGTATTCCCCGGTGGTGGTAGATGGAAGAAAGAAGTCAGCGGGTTGTATGCCTCCATGCAGGAGGTCCTTCGTGAGGCCCGGAGACACCTCGATGCCGTAGCTAATTGACAAATACTTGATGCGATGGAAGTGACTGCTAAGATCCCAATCGCATTTCAATGCCGTGGAGCGTTGCTGCCTCCGTTCAGGAGCCCCTTGAGCGATGATGCACATTTCTGGGGTCGACCCGGAGCAGTTCAGTCGGTCCAGTGCAAGGCTCCAAAATGGTGTTTCAGGGCCGGCCAGAATTGTCGGGGCTATTTTTACAGCTGACCGAATCTGCCAGGGCCCAGTTTCGGGCCCTCAGACCGCCCTTAAATCCGTGGCATCTGCTGTCGTATCCTTGAGCAGCTATTTCCCCCAACCACTGCTCATCACCATGGCTAATCTATCCCCCAAGAAACGTGACCGAACCAAGGAGAACCTCGACAGATCATGCAAGGGAGCCGCGGAGCGATTTAACAAGATAAGCAAGAAGTATGGCGCTCGCGCCTACGTACAGGTGTGCTGGAAGGGGCGGCACTACGAGTACACATCCCACGACGAGACTCGCTGGCCGAGAACAAGGGATGACCTAGAAATCATCTACCCCTTGATCACTCAATGGACTCCAGCAACATTCGTGAAACGACCGCCATCAAGCTCTAACTTGGAAGCCACGCCGGCGTCGCCAGGGAAGCCGCTCGAATCAGCGGGAGAGCAGCCAATGGAGCCAAAACTAGCCAAGGATGGATGGACTGCGAGGGATTGATAGCATGAGAGGGGGACTTGGAGACGGCGTTTGGATGGGCGAAGGAAGTGGCAGGGCCGCGGGGCATGTACTACGAATATTCCTGCTGTGCTCCTTGCAGTCCCGGTTCAACATCGCTCGGGCTGGCCGGCTTTGAACCACTGCTCCACAGTTGTCCGTGGCTACTGGTTCGCACGACAACTGGTTTGTTGGTTTGTTTACATACAACCGTATGGAGATTAGCGTGAGCCAATCCACAGCACCATCGAGCCGCCTCGTCAAGTACTACCAAGCTGTGGTACTTCTCTGTGTTCCGCCTCCAGCGATCACCAGGGCTCATCGTGTCACATACTTTTTGTGCTCGTCTGTGCCCTGCACAAATACGCGTCGCGCACTTCTGGGAACACATGCAAGCTCAATGCGCCCTTGTAGCTGTTTGCATGCACAATGCGCCCTCACGCATGCATCGAAGCCAAATTTAGCACAAATCACAAAGGCCGCCAGCCATTCACTTCAGTACAATGCAGATGTTGCAAGACAGGCACCATTATCAGCGCCTTGGCCGTGCATCTCGTCCGTTCACAACAGACCATCGTATTGCTGGTGCGAAGCATGATTGGTTCAGTGGTGATCCTGCTCATGTGGGACGGGATCCCCTGTGCCTGGCAGCTCTTGTCCTGTATGTAGAGCAAGGTTCTCATGCTTCTGTGTGATGCATCACTGACAGCAAACACGCGAAAGCCCATGAAGTTGAAGATCAACGGAATTTTCTTGGCACACTCCTCAGGGCAATGTCACATCTGCAGCTTCCAGCCATGCCTAGCGGGAGCACAGTATCATGTGTGGACATGAACAGTACAATACACGGGTGGAAAAATCGAATTCAGGCCATCCCATCCATAGCAAACGGGGCGCCGCACTCACCCGGCAGCTCGCGTTTGTCATCGGACGCACCAGCACCAACTGTCGAAGCATCATCACTGGTTGTGTGCTTTGATCTGTCTGCTAAAGCCCGCCCCTTGACTCGCAGCCTTCGCGGGGACATGCATGCCCAGCGCTGCATAACAGATTGCTGTGCCGTGCAATCGAGGCAGACATTGTGGTCTCCACCTGGGAGACCACTGTTGCAAGGGCGCCGTCCAATGATGATGTTCTCGCGACCAGGGAGTTCAAAAAGCCCGCTTTGCTCAGTATAAATAAGGGCGAATGCAGCCCAGTAGAGGTCCTCGAAAGATGGCACTGACTCGAGTCCTGGTATTGTCCAAAGGTTCGGCTTGGTGCTCACAAGTACGGACTATTGACATTCGCAACAAATAAGCACATCACTCTTCCCTCACTTCATTTCCAGTCTCACCAAGGTGCTGAGTAATTACTACCTTTGTCCTGTTGCGCGCATTGCCGTTTGCCCGTCCCTGCAGCTGACGCTTGCAGCTGATGGTTGCTCAGCCATGATCTGCTTGCGACAAGAGCGACCTTCGAAGAGAAAGCGGATCATCGCATGCTGCGCTTGCTATGCTCGCAAAGTCAGGGTAAGTGTGCTCTGCGATAAAATTAAGTGTCTAGTTACAGTAGGCCGTCATGATTATCGAGCTAAGATGATGTTGTGACGTGGTGTTCTTGTGGGATCTCGTATCCGTCGTCAAATCCGAATCTTGGGATGACTGTTGCGCAGGTGCGCAGGAATCGCCGAAGCCCCTCTGGGTCGCCTACTATTTGTTCGACGTTGCTGGCTGCAAAGCTCAGCAGTTCGTACACGTCGAAAGGCGACTGAGGTTGTGGTTGGTTGATTGGTGACTTCGATAAATCCATGCAGGACCAAGTACTTCTTGGTCGGGATCCTGTCTAAATGTCCTTTTGCCTTCTTTTGTTGTGGCGACTCAAGGCTCAGACACCCCAAACACTCTCCTTCTCCCACGATGGTGGCCTAGTCGCGCGAGGAATCTTCTCGCTTAGGTGTGGCTGGAGGTGCGAACCGTCTTGGGGTCGTGGGCGATCTGGTCGAGGGCCCGAAGCTCGTGCCGTTTGGTCCGATGGCGGTGAATTGGCGGCCCACGCAGGTGCGGTTGTGGCGTGTGAAGGTCGGAGAAAGGCAGCTGTTGCACACGTCACGCCCTTCCTCGTGCGGGTGTTCTGCACAGCGTCCAAGCAGGACTGCGGGCCGAGTGCAGTTCTGGTTGCAAACCTGAGGACTGGCCGTCCTGGTGTCTTGCCGTTGTGTCGCTAGGTCCTGGAGGTAGTCCGCAAGAGCGTCAAAGAAGGAGGCGGCAGTTGCTAGGAGTGATGTCGGCACAGCATCCCATGTGTTCAACCTGCTCGCTCTGGTCCGCACACCCACTCGGCTTTTACAGCAGAAAGCTCAACCAGGCCGAGCAGAACTACACAGTGCACGACAAGGAGCTGATGGCCATGGTCAAAACATTCGAACATTTCAGGCACTGGCTGCACGGCAGCCCAGACCCGGTGAAAGTATGGAGCGACCACGGGGCACTCAAACACTTCATGACCACGACACGCCTCACACAACGACACGCACGATGGGCAGAGAAACTCGGAGAATTCCGATTCAAGATCTTCCACATTCCAGGACGAAGCAACAAAGGGGCGGATCCGCTCAGCAGAGCCAACACACATGGCATGCCTGCCTCGGAAGGTGACGCCCCGCTAAAAGCGGAGCACTTTGCAGGGGACCCTGAAACACGTCAGGCCTAGCGGCAGATGATAGGCGCACCACCACAGGGGTGGTGCGGGGTTTTGCATTCAGGCGCCAACGCCACAGCGCTTAGGCATGTGATGGTGCCCGAAGCTTCCACCGCTTCGCTAAGTGTTTCTCGGGTATGGCTAGGTACTTACGATACAGGAGATACATTTCAAAAACATTTGAATCCATCAGACAAGCCTTCCCTTTCACCACGATTGACGTGACTTTTTGAAGTCTTTTGCGCTGTCAAGGCCCCAGACAGCGTATCATATTTTCCACATATTTCTTTACAGTAGTGACCACAATCAGTGTCCACAAAACAACTCGATTGAGACGATTCGCGCACGGGCCACATCGACCCACTTGTGGCTTAGAACTGTGTGAATATTGTTAAGCACTATGTAGCGTCGATAAAAGCTCCACTTCCCCTCCATTTCTGGCTTTCGTTGCTCGAGACCCAAAGCGGCAGAATGCCCATATTGGTCTCGACGGCGAGGTTATGCAAGCTCTCGTCGCATACTCTGAAGAGGGCAATCAATTTGAGGACCAAAATGAGGTCCCGAACTTCATCCGTGATATGATCTACAAGAAGGACCTGGATAATCTTCGACGAAAAGATGATAGCCGCAAGCGCAAGGGACGGGGGTCTTCCCCAAGCTACCCAATTCTGATCAACAACATGTGGCCTGGATCATCAGAGCAAACCCTTGCTCTAGCCTCAAGTACTGGAGGTCCTCACAAGGACGCATGGCGTGTCCCTGAGCCTAGAGATGGGGCGATAATGCGATACTGCACTTGGCACTGCGCCCGTGTAAGTTGCGAGGCCTGGAGGGCCAGCTTCAAGAAGGTCGCTATGGTCACACTACGGCTGGGCCTTGATCTGAAGCATGTACATGAGCAGGAAACTGTTGAAGGTCTACGAGAAGGCGATGCTGGAATCTTGCGAGGCATCGCAACGTCGTGGATTCGAGACGTGAAGGAATGGATAGAAACACTTCAGCAAAGGGAGGCGCCCAGAAAGATTTCTACCAAATACGATTTAGCTCATCCTAGTCCTCAACTTCCTTCACAATCAGCCCAGCATGTCTGAAGTGACCTCGCGCACTGGCTTCTCGAGAGCCAACAGCCTTGACACAAAGCCTTAAAAACGTGCTGAAGTCTGCCCTAATTAAGCCCAGATATTCATTCCAATGCTTCTTGATGTAAGCCTTTAACTCCGAGAAAAATTCCTCGATCGGGTTAAAATCAGGAGAGTATGGAGGCAAAACGAGAACCTTGACGCCTCTTGCTGCACAGACTTCTTCAATCCTGTCTTTGTTATGCCAACTCGCATTGTCCATCACGAGAACCGACCTAGGTTCTGGCCATGGACGACAGTGCTGAAGCAATTGGTGGACAAAATCTTCAAACCAAGCGGCGTCGGTTGAGCCCGCGTAGATACGCGAGAGGAGTACACCTTTGACGGTGTATGCTGGCAGTATCTGGTACCGAACATCACAATTCAGCTCATCAACCTTTACTGGCGTAGATCCTAGGGGAGACCACCCTATTCGTCTTTGTCCAGCTTTCTTGTCACAACCTGACTCATCGACAAAGATGAGTTGTTCCGCTTCGAGAAATGAGACGCGATGCAAGTATAAGTTTCGAAGCTCTTGATTACGCTGCTGAGCAATACGTCGACAGGTCTTTCTCGACTATCCGATGGCCTTGAGTGTCCGACTAATGGCTGAAAGAGATACGTACACTCCCGTCTTCTCATGAAGCCAATCCCGCATTTCGCTTCGAAACATATCAGCTTGTAGTAAAAGTTTCTTACGTAACATATCCTGCATATACGGTGTGATGCGGCTCCCTCGTCCTACGCGCAAGAGAGGGTTGGATGGAATCGCGGATGTGGAGGCGGTGGTTATCGGAGGGTTCTTTCGTTTTCGGCGGAGTCTACGAACGGTTCGGGCGGAACAACCGACGGACTGAACAATCTCGGGGCCTGGCAAGTCTCGGCTTAGCATCGCATCGATCTGACAATGTTTCGATATACTTAGTCGTGGCGCCATATTCATCGTTGTTGGCACGAACAATGTGAGGCTGAGGGTGAAAGTTGTACGTAAGGTATCATCTTTCAAATGAAGGCCAAGGTTGACTCATGATTCGTGGCTGCTGATGCGTTAGGCGGTCGACCTACCATAGTAGATAATTTGCGCCACAATGCGCCACAGCCTCTTAGTTAGGTGCGATCAGCCATAGTGCTAGTACAGTAGTCGCTTGGGGCGGCCCCCTGGCTTTACCCCGCACCTAGGGTGTTTTCGTGCCCACTTGTGACACGAAGCTTGCTGTTCAATCCACTACATATCCACAGCCGACCGACACAGCCCATTACCGTCCGAATGATCCACTCTAATGGGAATGGCGTACTTGCGACCGTGCTTTCGTGGATGACGACGGGCTACGCCAGCACACTCGAAGCAAGCATCCCAACTCGTTTTGTACTCGATGCGATCGTGCCTTTCGCTCCTGCCAGGCTAGGCAGCAACACTTCTACGCTTCAAGTCAACACCACATCTGTGTCAAATGTCCCCGAAAGCCTGATTTCTTGTTGCTGCAGGGTCTTGACAGCCATTTAACCAAGGTTCACCACTATTGTCGACCTTGCGAAAGGGGTTTCGACAAAGCAGGTGACCTGGTAAAACACGATGTTGCAGTACATAACCTATGTACGAGTTGTGGAAATTATTACGATTCGCCCAACAATCTGAAGAATGTGAGATCCTGGCTCTATTTTCTCCTCCTATTTCCGATGATGTACTGAGCTGATACGTATAGCATCAATTAACTCATCTCGAGAGGACTGTCGAATGCGCAGGATGTGCGGGCAAGTTCGTCCGGTCCTCAGCTATGGTCCTACACCTCGAAGCAGGAACTTGCCCCTCAGGTTGCGATAGCGATAGAGTGGATCAAGTCGCCTTCGATTGTTATCAATCCCGGCACTACGTAGCTGACGAGGATTCGGACTTCGAATACCGTTGTCGGGGCTGTGATGCTGAGTTTTATTACATCAGTGGTCTGTTGCAGCATGCTGAAAGCGATGCTTGTGGCGAGGGTCTTCACCCAAGTCAACCCCTGGGCAAGTTCCTCCAGTACCTAAGAAGCCGAATCTGAGAGAAACGGCAGGTTTATGCTGCGAGAGAGCCTCCGACTGTTCGCAATGAAGGACTCTTCACTAGCATACGCAGCCCAGATTGGGAGGAGTTATGGTAGTGCGGGCGATCTCGAATCGTCGTCAGATTTTAAATCACTTCTATCATGATTGAGTCTTCATATATACTGGTCGGTTAGCCGCCTGAGTCTTTGGAAACCGCGTCAGTATGATGTGCAATATACCGGCCATGTTCTAGAGCGATGTTAACCTTGATGAATGTCAAGCTTTGGGGAAGGGGCCTCTTCGTTGGTGCTTTGCCCGGAATTTCATACAAAACCCACGGCAATACGCTATAATGCGTTGGAAGAAGAACAGAGGCGTAGCCGCAGCACCATGGTCCTGGTTTGTGCCTGCACTCGAGATACCTACAAAGCCGCCACGTGATTAGACGGCGGAGTCGAGCTGTTGCGTATAGATTAGCTTTGACTGATGGTCAGGGCTAGCCTGAGATAGCATTCTGGAACATTTGACCTGTGTGAAGCTGCACCTCTTAACTGAAAAATGGCATCCAGCTACTTAGTCTTAGAAATCTTCCACGAAAAGATTGACCACAACCTACAACTAAGCTGCTTGCTTGATATATTCATTACTTTCCAGAGTAAGCATTATGATGGAGATCGATGCTTTGGTCCCTTCGTGCTAGAAGTATCAGCTTGCCACAGTCGTCTTCTATATATCCTCCAAAGACACTGCTGCAGCCCTCTTCATGATGGCTATCTCGCCTTTCGGGGCCTCGTTTTGTTGCGGCGCATGCGGTTGACACCCTCTGTGACACTTACTTGACTTCGACAAATTACCGAGCGGTATCTTTTCAAGTCTGTCGATAATCTGACTCAATGGTGTTTTCAGCAAGTCAAGCGGCCCATATCTACCCTTGAGCTCTTCACGACCCTATGCATGCTCCTTCCCCCAGCCACAAGAACAATCTGGACCTCGTGATCCGAGAATGCGCAAGATATCTGCTCGCATATGGTTTCGTCTCTCTTCAAGAAAGTCTTTGACATTAGTACTTCATCTTACAGACTGCCAGACAAAACTCACAAACTACTTTTCCCGGTGTCTCTGCGCTAAGCACTTCGCTGATCATTTCATGCTCAGAAAGACACCAATATGAAGCGTCACAACGTAATATCAGAGCTAACGTGGTTTCCACGTAGTTTCCTTCATCGCGAAGTCGATATGCAGCGGCCATAATGTAGCCGAGCTGTATCATATTCATGTCGTCTCGAAGCTTAAGCCATTGCGCGAGGGCAAACTTCATAGCCACACTGAGATCGTACTTGTCAACCACGATAGCGACTCGGAGAACGTCTGCAGGATCGAGACTTGGCGTCCATAGATCGTTTCGATGATGGATTACACAGCAGACAGTGTGCATCGCGCCAAAATCGTCATCGCCAAGTTCGACCGATTTGGGCCTGTCTTGGGAGAGATTTTGGCCTTCGTTCCAATTCGGTCCAAACATAGCGTCGAAGACCTTCGATGCGGTTCGAAGACATCTTGACTGCACCTTCAATGGCGCTTGGTGTGGACCAATAAGGAGAATGACATCACCTCTGCCACAGATCTGTTCGTACTGGTCGGACTGCTGACTCATGTCAAACGTAGTCGTTGTAGAGTCTGGTTCAATTGTTGATGACATGGTTGACAGCATCGTCCCGAGCTTTCGACTAGCATCATGCGGATGGCTCGGAGTCGATCGTTTCGCTTGGATGCGGCACTTTCACTCGTGAGACGGCGGAAGGTCACGGCCGTGGGCGCATGAGTAGAAGGAGCAAGAGGATGAGGAAAGAGGTGTTTGTTTCGAGGGAGGAGTACCGAACATGTAGGGGACAGCCGGCAGTACAGTAACGCATGTTATCAGTGAGTGGCCCATATCAGCGAGTGGCCCACCCTCATACTACCCTAGAACAACCCGCCTCAATTGCAACACATCAACACTAACAACCAACTATTATTACATCGGAAGCAGCTGACTCTGATGCTTCTACAGCCTCCTGGCAAGTGCGTACATTATGGCCAGGCTTGCCGCACACACCACAGCAGCGAACCCTCGAAGGGCCCCCCGTTGTACCACTACCATCCAGCTGCGTTTCTTTTACTCCCTCCCCACCCACGGCCCCCTGGCCTAGTGCCTCCTGTGCACCCTGTATAGTAAGTGATCCTCTAAGCTGCACACGTGTTCTTTTGGCTCTCCGGCGCTTGCTTAGTGCCTCGTTGGCCTTGCGGAGTGAAGCGTTCTCTGACTCGAGGATGGCCACCCGGTGCATCACAGCCATTGTACCCTTGGTAAGCTGGTCAACAGCAGCTAACATCGAAGTCGGGGAGCTGTTTTGATGGCTGGTAATACGAGTCTTGATGAGCGTTGACTGCGAGTTGGCTTCTCGGGGGTTATGGGGTGTCTGGAAGACCCAAGGTTGTATAGTGCTAGGCCGTGAGGTCGGGGGTGTCGGTGTACGAAGCTTAACATCTAGCTTAGAGAGCACCCTGTCTGGGTCGTACGGTACAAGGCCAGCACCTGCAAAGCCACCCTGTATATGCTTCTCTGTTATAGAGGCAAAGAAGGCCTCGCGAAAGGAACATAGAAACTCGAGCTTGCTCATATGGTTGATGTGCATGCGCATTAAGTCCTCGACTTGGCGACCGTACGCCAGCTTCAGTGGCCCAAAGCAGCCAATATCGAGTGGCTGGAGGAGGTGGGATGAATGTGGAGGCATGCAGAGCGTGATGATATTGTTCTGCTGGCAATGGAGCTCGAATTCGGTCGAGTGGTGGCTCTCGTGGCCGTCGAGGATCAATAACCGGTATTTGCCTTTCGTACGAGGTGCTGTATGGAAGTCGAAGTGCTTGATCCAATCTAGGCCTACCGCATTGGTAGTCCAACCATTATCGGTGGTTGCGATGCGCCAGTCGGCCGGGAGGTTGCACTCGGTATACCAGTTGGCGAGGTGGTACTGTGCGGCCAAGATGATGAAGGGGGGGATGGCCCAGCCGAGGGCATTGACTCCCTGGATCACCGTTGCCCATTCGCGGTTGCCAGGCTGGGCCAGCTTTGCCTTGCTACGGCCATCCGAGGTCGTGACTACCATACCCGCGAAGATGATGCCCATCATGAACCCAGTCTCGTCGAAGTTGTAGATACCGTCATCCACAATACCGTACTTGGCTTGACGTTCCGAACAAGGGCAAACCACTCGCCAATGACCTTTGGATCCTCACACTTGGCCCTCTGGTAGTCGTATCTACGCGTATAACGCGTACGGAGCTCTGGCTGGCGTTTGACAAATCGATGGGCCCAGAGTTGACCGACAGGAGGCGCGTCGCGTACGCGTAGCAGTTGGTTGGCCATATCTTCCACACCACAAAATCTAGGTGGAAAAGCTCGCGTGGATAGCTCAACAATATATTGAACAATAGCTTCTTCTTCTGACTGAGTAAGCTTCTTCGACTTGGGCGTACTGTCGCATCGTGCAGGCTTGCCGTCGCGTCGGCGCCCTAGAGTCTTACGGGCGACCCCGTAAATCTCAGCAGCGGCTCGCACGCTTAGAAGCCCCGAGGGCCAAGATTATCTGGGCTTCCTTTGAAGTAGATGGCATATTGGGTGACTGAGAAAATTAGGTGTTGAGAGCGAAGGTGTCGCGTCGCGTAGAAAGTGGGCCACTCGCTGATATGGGCCACTCACTGATAATGTACGTCATCTGTCTTTGAAGTTGAACCTTCCTTGGAGAATGTTGGTTGGAGGATGGCAGGAAGATGGTGGAGCTTCGGTAGCACCCGAGAGCGGGGTTTACTAGGCTGTTCAACGGCGACCCCACCTTCATCTGGATGATTACGTATCTACAGCCGGGGCTCGGGATTCGCAGGAATTTCTTGTTTGAAAGCTCCGCCACGCAGCCCCGTAGGTGGCGTATGACTGATCTCATAGGCTGAGGACTTCGATGGCGCCTGCATCACGACATGTCCTTCTGCTATTCGACAAATGGAATGTGGTGTATCCTACTCCAGTGAGTCACACAAGGTTTGCGGGGCAGAGAGATTTAGTCGAAATTTGCATTCCTTTCGCCGATATCCACATTTGTTCCCCTGCGCCTTCACCTAAGTGTGCGTTGTTTGTCGTTGAGTCTCGTATGCGGAAAGGAGAGATGCCGGATATCCAAGCGAAGTTGGAGCGTTTGAAGGCGGGTTGGAATTCGTGCAAGGCCCAGGACGATCAGAAGCATTCACTGATCTCGGTATGGCAAACCGACGTGCCACCAGCCGGCTCTACCTGCTAACTTCGCCTCAGGATCTGTTTGCGTGCATCGATGACCTATCTGGCAAGCTTTCGGAGGCCGAATCCGAGCTCCGAGACAAGAAAAGATGTGATCAAATTAAGCCGCAATCGTGTTGAAGCAGGCGAAAAGGAGATTCAAGCTTTACAGCTCGAAATGGTAAGATGAATTTCTCCCCCGTCTGTTCATGTGGAAACGGACATCCGCAGGCCCGGCTTGTTTGTGTTTGCGTCGTGATTGACGGCGACAGTATGCCGGTAATTCCGCGCAGCCGCGTCACGCAAATGCTGGTCGCTGCTAACCCGTTCTAGTTCAAGGATGAGCTTGTTAAGCAGGGTCTAGACGGTGGCAAGAAAACTGCCTGCCTGCTCAAACAAGCTGTCATAGAGGAGCTCAGGTCCTCGGCTCCTGCCGCAGCTCACCACCTGAAGGTGGTTGTTCGCGTGTACGCGAATGTGAAAGGACTGGCTAAGACATACAAGGTGGTGGAGGTTCTCTCCGAAGCCACATTTGATGACTTCGTCCGCGGGTTCAACATGGGCGACCCCCTGTGCGATTACATCGATGCCGGTAATGGTAAAGAATGTGCAGATGCGAAGGTCAGAGGTAGGCCACGCCATTCTGGACAGAAACTTGACTGTGCTGACCTCCCAAAGCATATTTCGAACTTTGCTTAGCCGACATCCACTGTCAGCAGATCATCTTTGGCGGCACAGCCGACGACGGGTATGCTCGCCTGCTGGGGCCGCACGCTGAGGACGATGCAGTGCGTGGGCGGGTCACCTTGCTCGAAGGGCCTCCTTTTGCCTACGAACTGGCCGGCATCAAGGACAAATACCGCCCCATCTCATTGGAGAATGTCTTTAGGAGCCAGAAGCTTGTCAAGGAAGGTTTTACCGCGCCCAACGCGCCCGTACCGTCCGAGGTTTTGCGGGAACAGACGGGGCCAGCGTGTAGATCCGCCGCTCAACTATTCGCACCAGGACTTCCTGAGCCTACAAAGCCGCAAGCTCTGCAACAGTTTTCAGCTTCTCGGGAAGTGTCCCTTTCTCGACACCTACGGTAACTGTCAGCACGGTCACATCGAGGGGCTAAGCCCAAAGCAGATAGCAGCATTGCGCGCCGTGGCCCGCCAGTCTCCATGCAAGTCGGGCTTGAGTTGCAGCGATCCCGGTTGTATTTATGGTCACCGATGCACTCGAGACAATTGTGCGCTCTCAACCTGCCGGTTCTCCCCAGGAATGCACTATGTCGAAACAACGATTGTTGGTAAATCCGGTTGAAGTGTGTCAAACAACATCTCAGTGTTATTTTTGTGTTGTCGATGTTGTATTGCCGTCTAGCCTCCCCCTGGACCTGTTCTGGGTTGTCTTTTTCGTTTTCTGAGACACTTGGCGGCTTGAAAGAATGTAGGCGTGCCCGTGTACTTTCAGCACTCGGTTGGAGATGGCCTATTACATTGGGGAGCAGTGAAGCGTACGACGTCTCATTCTTCATTCTCCATGCTACTTTCACAAGAGCCAGTAATGCCACCCAGCTACGACTGGCGTCTCGCATCACTGTCAAGGCAACCAACCGCAGAGGAGGCGGAGAGCTGAACTTTCGCTCTTTTCGGCCTTCTCTCGTTCCATCCTCTCCGTAGTTCTAAAGTCGCCGGGTGTTGGGGCCCACCACCGGCGCAGTATATCGAAACCGCAACAGGTGAAGTTTGAAACGCGAAAGACAGATAACAGACGGGCTTTGGTGCAATTTTGCTGTGCATGGGGATCTTGGCGGTTTGCCAGATCTGATAGGGCTGTTTGAGACTTCTGAGCAGGTCTGTCAGCAACTGATCTCACGAGCTTCTGTGATTTATATACTCGCCATCATAGCCGAAACTTCTGAACTACCATGGACCTGGTATTCTCAAGACCAGTCAGAGTCCCACAAGTAGTCGTCTGCCTCCTCTTCGGTCGTTCCCTCGGTGTCTTGCCCTCCGTCCTGTTGTGAGCTGGTGATCGGCCACTTGTCCAAGCCCATTCGCTGTTTGTGTGTCACAACAAACCTCGCCTCGAAGGCCTCTCGAACCATCTTACGAGTCCTGTATTTGAATTTTCGACCATGGGATACAATGTAGAGCACCGCATTGTACGCCACAGTACCGTCTCGAGCAGGTGATAGGGACTCGTCGACGAGAAATAGATAGAGCATTGTGAATGCCGCATTTCGGGCGCCTGCTTTCGAGCCCTTAATTGCCCTCCGTTCTAATGGATCGTAATCGTCGTCTCTCGTCTTCAGTTCCCTCACGACGTCTTGGAGCCTTTGCTGCTTGACGACATCGACAGCAAGGGTGTTGAGGGAATTGCACAAGACACGGTAGTCGGCCAGTTGGCATGGCATGCGACGAAAGAAATGGCGGAATCCGTGCTCTACGCTGTAGGTAATGACATCGAAGAAGGGAACGTCGGCGCGTTTCTTTGATGATTCCGCTGTGCTCTGGTCCGAGGAGCCGACAAGTCCAGTCGATGCTCCGGCGACGGGGGCTGCGCTGGCGCCAGCAAGGGGTTCACTGTCTGCGACTTCGACAGCAGTTGTTGATGACTCTCCAGGTATCGCCTGTACTTTGTTAGCGAAGTTTCAGGGATCCGAGGCTGTCTACTCACTGCCGTCTCAACTGACGCATCGTCCCATTTGGAATACAGGTCGTCTGGTAACATCTTCTTCCCAGCGACCTTGGAAACTACCAATTTGTCTCCCATCGTATCATATCTCATGACCATACTTCCACCGAGTTCCTTTGCTACACTGAGGATCTTGTTGATCAGTGCGGCCAATTTCCTCAAATCCCCGTGGTTGTCTTGCTCCCACTTCCTGATGGCGTCCGCAACATCTTCCACCTCCGGCTCTTGAAATGTACCGTTACGGTGGTAGGCGCGCACGAGCTTGGGAGTCTGAGACACCCAGAGCTGCGGTGCGACGTCTCGGATCTCAAGACGCTTATGGAAGACCCGAGTTTTGACTTCAAGGGTTGAATGGAGTGGTACCACCTCGCCTTCTTTGCGAATTCTCAACTTAGATTCGGCACTGGTAGCGACTGAAAGGCCGGTGTTCGGGGATAGAGACAAAGACGCGAGCATGCCAGAGAGACCGTCATATTCTGGCCCTTTGCTACTGGAAGCCTGCAACGTTGTGGCCACGTATCCGTCGGTTTCGTGGCGGACAATGAAGTTCAAATCTCCGAAGCGGTACGCAATAATTCTGTGATGTCCAGTATCGCCAGTGACCCGGCTTTTGGTGTATGCCTTTTCGAATTCGTGGCCGAAACCCTTAAATTCATGCAGTCCAATGAACTCGTGGGTCTTTGTTTCCTCTCGACAGAATATTGCAGTGTTTTTGATGACCTCGATGCCGATGGTGAATGGTTCAAGTCCGTTGCTGCTTAAGCCTGGGTTCACAAACGAGAGAAGCTTGCGGATATTGTTCCGGTCGGTCACAACATCTATTGATCTGAGGTCGAACGAAGGATTCGTAATGTGCAACGCGCGAAATAGAGGTTCGAGGGGACTGTCCGGATGGCGAGCTGCGTTTTGAGCGATGTAGATAAGGCCGGAGTCCTTCTTCAGCTGTCGAGGTCCTCCTGGAGCGGACCACAGAGCTGGACTGCCCGGGACAGCGATGGTGGGCGTGGGCGCCTCAATCCAATTATAGGACGACAGGTGCCTGACGTCGGTGATGGACGCTACGTATGACGGTTGTGTGGGAAGGTCTTCAAGATCTCGGCGAGTGATCTCGGCCGTAAGGACGGGTGCCATCATGTGGGAGCTGCAAGGCGTCAACTTACGCGATGAACTGGCCTTCAAGCTTGCATGGGGTTTCTCTCCCTGGGTCCGCGAGCAGTGCATATTTATGCGCCTGGCCTATTTTCTATTGCTATCTGTTGGTGCCCAACAGGTGCCCGTGTTAGGCATCAAGTTTTAGAAATGTCAGCCACATCTAGCCACACCAGTCGCCAACCTCGCCCGTTATCTTAAGCCTTTCCCTTGTCAGTCAGTGTTATGCAGCCACAGCGGCCGACGCGGGCTGTTCTTCGGGTAGGCATATCGAACTGTACCTCTCGAGGTCGTTGTCTGATTCGTGCTTGGCCAGTGCCGAATGCCAAGCCTCCTGTCAAGCCTCCTGCCAAATAGGTCAGGCATGTCTCCCAGCACCACCTCGACCGCGCTCATCTGTATCGACGTGCGATGATGGCAGTGCTTGCCTGTGGCCAATTATCTCACATCAGCCCACCGCCCGGGTGTCTCACTAGTTGTGTTTGCTCGTCATAATGACGACACTAGTGCAGATCTTTCGTAGACTTGTCGTAAGCACACCGAGCCATGGCGTGAAAAGCTTCATCACAACCACACCACCCCATTCAGACCCAGCTATCAATGCACAATGAAACCCGTAGCTCAACGGAAATCATTACGACGGCACCATACTGTAACACTTTCCCGCCTTGTCCCTCGGCGTCTGGTTTACCCTTCGCGGCCCAAGTACCATTCTCGTTAACACCGTGGCTCCAGGACTGCCCGAACATTCGCCACTCGCAAGTTCAGGAGCTCAGCAGGCTCGGCTCCGGGGTAGCCCTTTGCTCATACCACGCCGACCAGACCCTGCCGGATGGCTTCTGCAGAGTCGCCTTCAAATTCGAGCCACTCGCCGACTTCCGGAGACAAGGTAGGGCATGGAACGGCGCTACCTCCACACCCCAACCTCGTGTCTCTCGACCGCATCGTCGTCGAGGACGTCGAGTCCCGTATCGTCGGCTTCACCACGAAATTCGTCCCAGGTGGCACGACGAGCAGAACACTACGCGCCCGTTCCAGCTGGAGTGGCTGCGGCAGCGGCATCGACTACTGTCTCGTGGCGCCCAACAGATCATCATGGCTAGAGCGGCCCACTGTGGAGGACTACCGCGTGGAATATCCGGCAGGAGTATTGAAGACAAGAGAGACGTGCTACTGTAACATTTGTGGTGGTTGTCAACATGATCACCTGGTCGATAATTAAACTAGTACTTGTTTGTTCAACACACTGCATGTTGCGAATGTCTTCAGAACTACAGTACTGTACTGTACAGTACAATACTGTGCACTTTGTACTTATTTTGCTGCTCTTTGCCGCTACTCTCGTCGCTGTTTGCCGCTGTTTATCGCGTTTTGTCTTTATTGTTTGTCGCGTTTCGTCACGACCCACTCTACGGTGTACGGTAAGGTCGAGTGAGATGCAGTCCACAGAGACTTCCAAGTCTAGCTATTCGCAGTTACTTCTACCAACCAGGTAGGCGGCGCCTTGGTCTCTCTTCGAATTCCTGAGCCGATTAGCCTTTATCTCCGAATGTCCGCGGGAGCCCTACCTTCACGGATGCGAAGAACTGCGTGACCGCAGCTCCGCCCCCGAGCTGTTCCACCTCATCTTCCTCTGCCCTAGCTTTGACGAGCTTCGCCACAGCGAGGACGTATTTCGGCGCGCTCCGCCTCATGTCTTCGTTGGTAATGGCCGAGTTCGTTATCTGAGCAAGCATGACTTGCATCCAGCGCCTGATGTCTGTCCACTGAAGGACGTGGCCACCAAGCGCCAACGTCTGATGCTGGCGCACCCGGAACACAAAATGAATCGTCCCCGGCATGAAGAAAACAGACTGGCCAGGCTTTAGGATAATATATCTCCAGCGGCCACCTGTATGTTGGTGGGGATCGGCGGTCCACGAATTTCGCTCCTCCTCCGTCGGACAAGACATCCAGCCGAAGCCGATCGACCCTTCCTGGGCAGTGATCCACGTGGCAAAGCCGTGACTGTCCATATGCGGCGCCGTGTTGTGGCCCCCTTCCGACAATAGGACCCAGTCGAGAACGTTCTTCCACTCGTTCCACTCCTGCGTTGATGCTACTACCCTTTCAGCGCTATCCTCCATCAGCACCGCATTGCGGACTTGAAGGAGAAGCTGACAGTTCTCGCCCGTCAAGAAGTTTGGCATGGAATGAGGCAGGGGGCTCTGCAAATCGAGAATGTTCCACGGGTCGTCGGTGCTGTCCTGGGTAAGGAACCGTTTCCGGACTTCACCGAGTTTCCGGACTTCATATGACGGCTTAGTAGAACTGCGAGATGGTATTTGCACCGAGACCGACTTGTCGAGGAAGCCCATTCGCCGGAAAAGCTGAGCAATGGGTCTGTCGCCCTTGCTCCATCGGAATTGCTGTTGGCCTTCCGTGATTATCGGAGCGTCGTGAGGAGATCCGGACTCAGCCAGGCTTGCCGCTTCATCGCCGGTGCAAAACAGCGCCTCAACTACGCCCTTGCTACTGTCTGTGTTCGGCTGCTCGGCCTTCTCTAGCAACTTGTAGATAAGTTCGTCGGTTCCCTTGCCGTGGGAGTCTTGCGATGACATATGCTGGCTAGATTTCTCCCGCAGCTCAGCAACGACTCGTCTCCGGTAGGTATCATCTGCCATCCGATCGTGCATCGGTCGGTCTCGGGCAACATCTGGTCTCGCCATAGGTGTAGGAAGGAACGGTGGAGGCGCGTCAACCCGGGCCCGTTTTGATACAGGCTGAGTGATGTCTGGCACTGAAGCGGCACGTCGACGGACCGGGCGATCGGCACCAAAGGATGTTACCGCGCTCGAGACATATTGGTTCCCCGGCAGGGCCGCTTTTTGGGCGAATGCAATGGCCGACGCCCGCGTCGCGAGAAGCTGGAGATGTGAGCGGCAGAGTTGCGAGAGAAAAGGGGAGAGTTGCTCTGCTGCCTCTGGCCCGAACATAGACGGGTTGTCCAGGGCCAACAGGAGTGTTGATGGAACCTCGGCCGGACAGCATCGTGGAGGGATCTTTGGGGCCTTGACTGAGGCAGTAAGTCGAGCTTGTTTCGATTTAGAGGCTCCCCCGCTCTTGGTGGGCTCGTGGTAGGACAACTCCTTGCGTGCACGGAGTGACATTCCAGAAGGCTTGTTAGGAGTGGTATTTGTATCGTTAGAGCTATCCAGGAAGTGAGGAGCCTCTGGAGTCGTTGCGGCCGTGTCCTCTGCTGAAGTAGTACTGGATTGGTCATGGCTGGTGGGTGTTGTGGCATCAGCAGCCCCAGCAAGGAAGGCATCAATGGCTTCAGAGGCAATGTCGTTCCTATTTGAATCCGTATCACCGGGTTGCGATGCCGCGAATGCCAGCATGTCTAGGCCCGCAGTACCGTTCTTCCCTGACGGCTCTGCGATGTCGGCGCTGTTGGCTTCCGGTACCGCCGCCGCCTCCGTAGTACCGCCGCCGTTGGTCTCAGGTAAGTCGACAGCAAACTGCTTATGGACCATGAGACCATACTTGTCGAACCCGAAGGCATCTGGTAAGTCTTTCGCAGCCGATTTTTGACAGGGAAACGGATGTTCGCGCGACCAAATCCTGACGTTCTCTAGATCGGCCTGCTCAATTGGGTTGACTAAAGCCTGGACCGGGCGTCGCCCTACAGTCTTAGACCGTTGGAGCATTGACCGGTTCAGACCGATCACGGCTTCCTCCCACGCAGGGACTCTCCGTGCCGTGGTGCGAAGCTGGTTCCAGTATTTCTCTGTCCTGGAGGACCACTGGTAGTGCTGGACAACATCTCGACCCCAGCAGCGCACCACCTCTTTCAGGGGAGTGAGGCGTTTGGATCCGTCTGTGGCTACCCCAAAAAACCGATCCCACTGCGCTGCATCGTCCTCCTGATTTACCGGCGATGGCTGGGTCGAGTCTCGGTTCTTGGTCTGCTTCCGCCGTCTGTACTCGGGGCACTCGGCCGACATGACATGCTCGCAGGCGGCGACCAAGATCTGCACTCCGGCATGCCGATCGAGCAACTCGTCTCGTTTCTGCACGCACAGTTCGTATCGCTGCGCATCGGTCTCGCAGATGCGGAGTTCTTCGCGGAAGCGGTCGACTTGCGTCGCTTGGTCGGGCGCTAAAATAATCGCGTCATCGTCGGGTTCGTTGTTCGGGCGCATTTCGGCGGGCCGGGACGGTTCGGCATCGTCCAGACGCGGAACAGATGAGTGCGCCATATCGGACCCCGTCATGGTAGAGTGCGCGGCGGTGGTTTGTTGTTGTGGACACGTAAGGTTCGCAAATGGCGGTGGCGACCAGAATTGCCGGTCAGTTTCGGACCAGGCAGTGTGGGCCGTCGACGGGCGTTGTCATTGGCTCTTTCGCGGACGAAACCAGCCATCACGTTCACGTGGCCAAACACGGCGCGTCGCGAATTCCCCGCCAATCTCACGCCACGTCTTCAACCTCGCGATTGCGTGTCGCTCTAGCACAGTGCGCCTCGGTATCATCTGTGCGAACACTAACTGCTATTCGCAATCAACCCGTAAGTGACTCACGGGACTCCTTCGAAACGCACCGATAGCCTTCACGGCCTCTTCCCGTCCACTCCGTGGTACGTTGTGAAGAAGTGGATGCTGTTGAATGGACCGTTCCCATGACGTCTGGTACCTAATGGGATACCTATACATTCAGTCATCAGACCCCAGGGTTTTTCGTCTTTCCTTCTTTTTGATCCAATGTCCGAACTTATTGCGTGTCCGCACAGAAGAAAATGGCAATCTGCTTTGAACCCTTTTAGAGGACCAGAAAAGAGAGAGCGTAATAAACCCCCAAGATGTGCTCCGGCCAAACCCACCGCCCGAGAAAACTAACGCCTGCCACTGTCCGGTCACATGTAAGAATTCCGATTCTCCACCGCGCCAGCCCCATGATAGTCCAAGTGGACATCTTGCTTCGCCGTAATGGAAGCCTTCAGGTGTTTTTCGCTCATCACTTCCCCCTTATACTCGGCCATGGACTGAGCGAGGAATACAATATTTCTTATCTATGCGGACTGTTAGCGCGGCTCAAGCACCAAAAGCGGGCCTCTTACCTCTCGGCCATTGATCTCCTGTTTCGCCAAAGGCTGGCCATCACATCGCTCCTGAAAGCTGGATGTCCGTCTTTGACCCGGACTTGGTCGAGAAAGTACTTCCAAACAGCCATACGTGCCTCTTGCTTCAGCGGTTCGTACCTCAGGGCCAGATGCACCCGGCTGAGCACCGCCTCGTCAAACGCCTGCAGTCGGTTGGTGGTGAGAAACAGGATGCCATCGTAGTGTTCCAGCTCCCGCAAGAACACCGAGACCAGGGCATTGAGTTGCACGTTCTCTGAGCGCTGAGCCAGGAACACATCCGCTTCGTCGAGGAGCAAGAGGGCTTTCCAGCGGCTGGCGATCTTGAAGATGGTTTTCAAGATCGGTTCCACCTTCACCGGATCCACTCCAATCTGGCCAGCAGGGACCTATTTGGTCAGCAAGAAACAGAAGCACGGCCGGGGAATACATACTGTGTATAGCGGAATTCGAGAGCTCTCTGCCAGCGTCTCTGCCGTCAGGGTCTTGCCCACTCCCGGCGGCCCACTATCACATGTCAGCAGTGGCTCTCGTTGGCTGGGGCGAGACAACGCACTGGAGCAGGAAGTTGATCCCGCGTCCTTTCCCTTGGACGAGGTCCTTAAAGCCATCTTCCGGAGTGCGCTGCAGATACGTCTTGGTGAGGGCTAGAATGGGCATCTTCTGGCTCTCCGGAATTCTCACGTCGTCAATCGAAGACGGGTTCCATTCGACGTCGCAGATGTTCGTAACGGCAAACTCAACTACGCCCAGTAAGCCCTTCTCAGCGGGCCAGTATTGGATATGTTTTGAGATGATTGCTGAAGACGGCAGCCTAGTTATCGCTAGAGTTCGCTTGCCGCGACACCCCGATGCCCCGCCTACGATTAGTGAGGAAGACGAACAGTACTCCATCGCATGCGAGGTCGCTACTATGGCCTTTGTGAGCCAGAACGTACCCGCCATTACTCTCCCCCAGATATACGCCTATGAAGGCCCCGGGTCCCAGCTTGCTGCCGATGCCGGTGCCATTTACATGCTTTTGGAAGGCTTCTATGGAAATACCCTACAGGATGTCGAACCTGACCTGTGCAATCTATCGTAGGGTTTCTTTCATTGCTTCGATTCCGCCCTACTAACCGGATCTAGATTGCAATCCAGGAGCACATCATATCCCAATGGACGCGGGTACAGGTAGAACTAGCAACTCTAGCATATCCGCGGATTGGTTCCATCTCTTCCGTATCGACAACAGGAGAGCCTGTTATTGGCAGGTTGGCCAGCGCCTCAGCAGAAGGGTTGAGGTGCCACGGCCCTTTCTCTCGTACGGCTGAGTACTTCACTACCGTTGCAGATGCTCCAATTAGCAAACTGGATCTGACGGATACGGATTCGAATGGTGTTTTGTCCTTCACCGTACTTGGCGCCTTTGTCTTTCGCGACATCGTGCAAAACACTACCCTATTCGAGGACAGTGACGCTGAGGGGCGGTTCCCTCTGAACCACATGGACCTTGGTACGCAGAACATCCTTGTTGACGACAGATTCAACTTCCGGGCAATCATCGACTGGGAGTTTGCCCAAACTGCGCCCTGGCAGGTCAATCACTACCCAATGCCATTTCTGCTACTGGAGTCGGACACGGAGATCCAAGGCATCCTTCAGAATCCCAATCACCCTGCGCATGGGAACGTGTCGCGGCAAGAGTTTGCTCGAAGGTTATACACCAAGAAGTTTCGAGACGCCGAGGTAGAACAGGGGAAGACAGGGCGATCCCTCGGAAGCTCATTCGCCGAGGTGTTAAACAGCCCTGCATCGAGGATATATGCTTGCTTCACAAAACTTGGCCGCTTGCCAATGGCAGATGCAGGCCTCGTCCACGAGATGGTGCGGCTCGCCTTTGATTTGGATGCTGAAGGGACAGAATAGTATCTCTATGTTATAGGGGATCGGCTGAAACGAGCAGACAATAAAGCAAGGTAGTTACACAAATACTAGGTTGCCTGGCTCTTGCTTAGGTAGTCGGATCCTTTTGGGCTTCCTGAAGGATCTGCCGCATCCGAATATATAGCCCTCCGTCCTCTCTCTCCCACCTCCCACCATTTGGAAATACAGCTTTCCGTAACCGGTTGACCCAAGGTATCAATGGTTGATAATAAGGAGTAAAATTCTCCTTAGCGGTCCTGATGAAGTCCCCCTCATGAGATACTTGCCCTTTCTTCTGCTCCGCCAACTCCTCTGTGTCGATGTAATTCCACTTGTCGAACCGTGCGACGACCCTGTGCTCGTCCGGCCCTTTACAATGGATGCATATCCAGAACAACACCCAAAAGAATGACTCGAGATCGTGCATGAAGGAATGCTGCTCGCCTAGAAGCGCCCCGATTGCCATGAATGCCCTCGTGCCAGTCTTCCCTTTGGCTCCCGACACGCCCTCTCGTTGCTCTTTGATGGCGAGATCCAGGTCAATCAAAAGGGAAGGCCAGGAGGGATTATTGACGTCCTCGTTGATCAAGAGGTTATTGATAGAGATGTCTCTGTGCAGGATGCCGGCCTTGCGTAGGGATTCATGCCCTTCAATGCAGCCGTCAAGCGCGGCAAGCAGAGACGTTCGGGAGCTGGCCTTGTAGATAGGAGTTCCATAGTCGCGAAGAATGACACGACGATGCACCCGATTTGACAGATTGCCGCTGGCTTGAGATGTCGAGCAAGACCGCTTGCTGTGTGGCAGAGGGGCGCCGGCTTGACTGGACGATCGTTTCTTGCCAGCAGCTACACTGCTGCTGCGGCCTTTTCGCGAAACTGAGGCCATCGTACTCGACGGGGGGGCTGACCGTTCCGGCCGGTAGTTCGTGGCACTGGTGACGTCTAGTCCTCCTCGGACGTTTCGGACGTCGTCATCCGTTCCATATATCTGAACCGTTTCGTGGTAATAGTGTCTGGCGATGTTGATGACGCCTTTGCTGGTCACCTCGCGCAATAATGCGCCTTCCTCACCGCGTTCCGGATACTGCCATGAATCTTTGATGACGAGCGGTATCTGTGGCTGCCCTTCGCGATGAGCTTTTCAGCATGTCGTAGCCCGACCGGCAACGCAACGTGCACGTTGCATCACCTCGTCAATGATGAGGCGTTCCTTCGAGCCGTTCCGCTCGATCTCGATGAACCGCTGGCCGTTGGCCGCTGTAAATGTTGGATCGAAGCCGAGCTCCTCTTCATTCATCCAGAGAAACCCGAGGACCGTAGACACAAACCGCAGCCCATCTTCGTTGATGTCGAACCGCTCGGATGCGAGGCCCCCAAGCCTATCAAACTCCCATATCCTCATGAAAGATCCGCAGATGGTGAAGCCCAAAACAAAGCGACGAATGTCTTGAGCGGCGAGGACTTCCCTCGCGTACGTGCCAAGGTCTAGCCACGCCTTCGCCGCCGTGTCGGCGGCTGGGTTGCTTTTTAGCTCGCCTGGTACCAGGATTTGTGACCAGTGGCATCGTGAGTCCTTCCCGGCCTTTGGGTTGTCCACGAAGCCGACGTCCAACTTGCGTTCCGCGGTGGAGCCCTGGATTGGCTTGTTGGGCTGTGCTAGTGGCCTTCGTCGATGTGTCGGGATAGACTTGTAATCTTCTGCAAGCGTCGCCAGCTTCTCGCTCAGCTCTGCAAACCAGCTCAATACGTCGTCCTGGTTTGCATCTTTTGGCCATCCGCTCCACCCATTACTGAAGAGTGGTTCGCCGCCCCCCATGCGCTTCTTGAAGACAGCCTCGGATGCTGTCGTGAGATCTGCCACCCGCCCGAAAAATGTCTCGTGGAATCGAGGGAGCCCGACGTACATAACGCCCAATTCATCCCTGAGGACTCTGTCCACATCCTTACGGTATTCGGAGGAGTTCGCGAAGCTGCTCGTATTGTGAAGCCACGGGGTTTGCTGAAGGGAGGAGGCTATGGGCTGGGGCGGTGGGGTAGGTTCGGTGACCGCGTTGTAGACTTCTTTCCAGATGAGGGCATCGTTATCGTCGGCAATGGCCGACCTGAGGAGGGGTTTGATGCTATCGAGGTCGAAGTTGTCGGAGTTGACGGCGGAGTTGAGTCTCGATAGATCGCTGAAGAGGTTCTTGCCACTGCCGCTGGAACGGAGCAGGCGAGATGCCGGAAGGATCTGTAGAGTCGAGAGAAGGATAAGGGTAAGGTTTTGGAGGTCTACATGGCGGTCAGACGAAAGTAACCAGAAAAGAAGCTTGTTTCCTTACCTTCTCGGCTGAGCTGCAGCAGCGCGTCTGGACAGTAGGGAGGCTTGCGCCTTCGCAGACCGAATGGAAGGAGGCGCGGAAGGCATCAAGGCCTTTACCAATAGGATTCTCCTTAATGATCTTCGACTGCGGCGGATTTGTCATGGTGACGGATGCTTGAGGATGAGAAACCGAAAGAAAGTCGCAATCGTGCCCGTTTCCGTAGGATTCGCGCCCGACACCAGCCACCGGCAGAAATTCGGGATTAGTCAGCCACACCACCCAAAATCCGCCTCCACAGCAGGATCCACCAATCCACTCGGCCTACCAAACAGACCAACAATATTTCCTAGCAATGACCCACATCTGCTAGTTATTTTTCAACCACCAAATGCGGGGCTCATCCTCACACGACGCAAACAGCAAGCGGTTTGACTGAAGACCCTTGAGGAACCAAGCTGGACGCTGTGGTTGCAGTCAAAGTCAACTGCAGCGTCCACACATGGGAATCCAGACTCTTGCGGACCTTTACCACTTCGCTCTCCTCTATCATCCATCGGAATCTCATCTTGATTGCTTTGATGTTCACTACAGCCGCCGCCCCTTCGATATTTTTCGGATAATGTTCAAACTTGTCCAGGATTGTCTTCAAGCTTGCAAGAACAAGTTCGCAATTCTCGAGGATATTTTGCAGATTGCTTCTCGCTTCCAGAGACAATTCCAGGCCATTCGAACTTCCGTCTTTCAGCGCATCCTGGAGTTGCTGCAGCACCGATACTAGTGAGGAGACGCCTCTTTTCATTAGGGACATGGCATCGGGTGCGGCGCTACAACAGTCTAAAAGGTCCTGCACAGCCGCCCTCGAATGAGTTTGATAAAGCACCTGAGGTGTCATTACATCTGCAGGTGCTTGCATGTGATAAATGCATCTATCCCCATTGGGTCGTTGACAACTGGTCGAAGACCATCAATTCTAACGTGGGGCACGCTACTGTAGTGATACAGCCACGGAGCAGAGATCTCTGGACGCTGCCGGCCGTTTTGAGTCCGAGAATGTGATGGAACTTGTCGACAGTCGCCACAGTGGTAAATCCAGAGCCAGTCATTGTTTGGGGCTTTGTGGCAAAATTGTGGACTCCCTTGGTTAGTGCTCCTAGAAGCCCCAAACTTCTTAGGGGGAGCAGCACTGTACGCAGAATCAACATTCACTTGCTCCTCATCTACCTGATCAGCGCAATATCCGTACAGCGTGAATTAACGAGCGATATATTCTCCTTGGCAGACCCTGTTCGGCGCTATCTGTGTTTACATGAATTTTTTCTGTGTTTCACAAGCCCATCTTGTCTAGCGAAGCTTTTACTGCATTTGTCGCAGGTACTCCGGAGGGCGGGGTAGCCAGTCCTCCGTGCCCAAGGTGCGTGTGCTGTCCACACGTGACGTTGCACACTATTACCCCAGTCCTTCCTCACGAGGCATCCTGGCTTAGGGCATTCATGGGCCCCGTGTGCGTTCTAGTGTGGCGGCTGAATCGTGTCAACTGGTGGCAACATCGACACCTTGGTGCAGACACTTACGTGAGTTTCGTCTTGCTGGAGAAGGTTTTGGCACAAGAAAGACATTGGAACGTGGATGATGCGCTTGGGGGGTTGGCCTGAATTGCTGCACCTGGCTGAATGGGTCGGTATGTAAGAGGAGAATGAAGTGGGATATGGCTAAAGGATGACGTGGGGAAGGCAGGAGTGACGCTGCGGTGCATGCCCACATCTGTCTGGCTCGTATTCCCAAACTGCTGGACCAACCGAGTAGAACACGGCGGCATAGATCCAGGCAGTGAACCATGAGGCGCTCAGCCCCTCAAAGCATGGGTTCCAAGCGGCTTGTAAGTTCCTTCAGCCGATTGTGTCTGTGGACGGAGAAGCAGCCGAGGGTCAATGTAATTGTGCTTCGGCGTACTCGGGCGCTGGATGCCATGATAACGATAAACAGAATTTGTTTCTGATATGTCTGGTCCAGAATCGTGGTCCTCTGTATTGGAATAGGCTTCAATCATGATGATCAATCGTGCAAAATGTGGAAGTTGTAGGCCTGGGTGCAAACTCTCGCCATTTTGCCCATGTCAGGATTCTGCCTTGATATACACAGCATGAGCACCAAGAGCTGCCGGCGGCAGACTACGAATTCGACGTCTCATTGGTTGTCGCAATGATGGGCTCCTCCGCCAAGAGGGCCAGACCTGCACTAGCGTACCTGCGCGACATGTGGCTTGCAGGGACAAGCCTCAAACTGCAGGTTGCCCAATGTGGTGCTAACATTGGGTGGTCTTGGTCAACCACCTACACCACATTTTTCTGGTGTGGAACACCATCAACGTTCAGACCAATGACATGCAATGAGTGGGCAGCTGTAAAAAGAACCTTGCGCCAGGATGTCACCGACAAAGAGCCAGGAAATAGCCGTGGCGTGCTACTTCCCCGTTGACGGAAACCTAGTCAGCACATCTCACCCAAGCGCTACTAAGTCACTGATGCACATAGATTTCGGTCATTAGTCAAGCGTCCCCCGTTCGTGCGCCTTTGTGTAATGACACACGGAAGGGATCTCTATGCTTCCAGTGCCGAGGCTCACTCTAGGCTTCGCTGCGCACAATCTGCCAAGTAATGCCCTAGCTCAACGTTTGTTCTCATTGTTCAGTCTGAAATAATGGTCTCTCATGGATAAACTCGTTTGTGATGCCAACTGCTTGAGGTCACAAGTAACGCCGCTCTTACAGATATTCAGTCAATGATCGCATGTCCCAGGCGCCATTTGATGACGAAGGCGACGTAGGTCTTGGTATGTCTTCGACCGGCGGGTCGGTCGTCGTGTGCCCAATCGAGTCTCGAGATCGCGCGCCGTCGTTTGTTCCAGATATCGGCTGAATTCCCATAGGAGAACTTTGTGCTTTTTCCTGACGCTGGAAGAACAGGGGGGCCAGCGTCCAGCCTCGGTACAGTTTTTGATGGCTTGCCGACACTCCGATCGCGAGAGGTTGGCGGGACATGAACTCGTAACATAGATAACATGCCTTCTTGCTGGTGCCCATGAACAGTAGTCGCGGTGTGCGTTCGGGATTATGATCGTAGAAGCTCAAGAGCTGCATTTCGGCATGTACGGTTAAAGTCATCCTGCATGCTCGCCGTAATCTGGCTTCGGGATCATGAGTGAGCCAGACTTCTGTCCCGAAGGCCTTCTGGATCCTTGGTGATCTTGGACAGAACAGTCAACAGCGGTCGCGATCCGTTTTCCAGTGAAAAGTCTTCCTGCGGTGGGTTCGGTACAGCTTCGACGTGGATATTGTCGAAGATTCTCGGTTGCTTGACAGCAATCTTAAGCATCGCCTTGGCCGCTGCATAGTAACGTCCGAGCTTATATATATGTTTTAGCCACAAAGGCAACTCTCCTTCATCCGAGCTCAGTAAAGCTTCGATTTCATCCGGATAAACCCACTTCGCCTGGGAAGCCCATTCGATATTGCTTATGAGGACGTCAGACGTTACTTCAGGAGGTGAGGATGCCACCGAAGGAAGCCCGTGCACCCATGTGCAGAATTCTTCGGAATACTGCGAGATCGAGTTGCCAGACTTCAATTTGACCGTAGCATTCTGGATGTCTTCATGTGTAGCTGGACGATTCAACCGCTCCAGAATTGACAGGATCTTGTCTTTCGTCAAGACTGTAATTTTGGCCATGAGCTCATGTTGTACACTACCAGCACTTCTTTCTTTCAGATAAGTACCATTAGCTTCTTTCATCGACCTGCGAACTCGGCGTGACTGAGCATGATACCTCTAGAAGCGACCGAATTCAGGGCATTCAAGACCTCTTGCAGCATTTCAAGAGTGTCTCCTTTGACTCCTTGATTGCTTGCAAGTCGAAGGACAGTACCTCCTGGGTGGCCTTGCTCGAGACAGACCGCCGAGGCAGTTTCGCCACCAACGCGTGAAGTGGAGGCTATGAGGGCGAATGAGTCGAGGAACTTTTTTTGAAGCTGTTCAGGTTTCCACAAATCATCATGAGCGTGCCTGTCAAGGCTGTGTGTCGTGGGTTCTCCTCGAACCGGATCGATCAACGAAAGTAATGTCGTGACCATCACAAAGCGCTTATGTGATTCCCCGGAAAGGGTGGTAAGATTGGTCCCCGCTGCGCTTTGGACCATTGTCGACGTCATCATGAGCAGTAAGTGGTCGGAAGCTTTCTGCGTGGGTAAAAGGGTTAAAGCTTCGAACAGGTTGTTGCTTATTCTGCTGCATTCATGAAGGAGACCTGTCCACATGCTGTTAGAATATATCACAGAAGTGGTGCAAGCCCATGGAGCCGGTATTTGAGCGCGAGCCGATAAACCCGTAGTGCCCAAACCCCAATAGGCTCTGTTGCAGCCTGCCCCCAAGGTTGTGGATCGATCGGCCGAGTACTAATCCACTCGCGAAGAAAGTGTATGCATGGGTGGTTGGTCGCGGTGCGTGAGGGGTAAAGTTGCTCTTGCCTGCACCACCAGCTGAGCGACTACAGGATATGGGATCCACCAAAGCCACCTTGGTGGTCGGCCGCCTGCATGAAAGAGTCTCATGCTCATTAGTTCCATGTACATGCAAAGGCATCCACTGCAAGTGTGCAATATGCCCACCTTTCTCGTGATGGTGCTTTCGAGGGGACCACCATTCAAACCTAGGCAGACCTCGACAACATATGTAATCTGACTTCTTGCATGAAATGAAGGCTCTCTCGCTCAAGGCGCGAGGGGTTCTTGTTGCACCAATGTCATCCTCGCGCTGGAAGCTTGCTGGCGTCAGCTTGCTATACGAGTATCACATCCACAATCCGCGAGTCCCAAGAATTAGCTTCGGCCATAATGGATGACTGATGGATATATCAAACTTTTCGCGCCAGCATAATAAAAGGCTGGTTAAAGATACCCGAGTATGCTTGCTAGCTTGTCACATGCCGCAGCACCATGTGGTGCGGGGTACTCACCAAACGCATTGGCGCCTTGCAACGATTCACAGAAGACCCAAGGAATGAGGCTGTAACGGATACAATTTCTCCTGTGCTACGATTCCATGCTACAAGTCGAAACAACGCGTGATCAAGATCTCGCTTCTCACTTTTGCGTCGTCGAAGATCCGACCTCCCGCTCGATCCGAACTTGTGGAGGATGACCCAAGTCGACCGAGCAGGCGTCCAGTGGTGGAATGCAACGTCTGAGGCGGCTAGTGATCATACGGGGCGGTCTACACGAGTCGTTATCACCGACGACAGACTAGGTCCAAGGGCCCCCTGCTTTTCTTGATTGAACATCGTGTGGAATGCACACGGCGACGCTACCGCGGAGGCGTCCACACTACTACCGCACGCAGTTCTCGTGCGGGATAAGAGGCTGATTACCCGATGCCGTTGATAAATAAGGACCACCTAAATTCATTCAAGAAATCGGAAGATGTGGATGACTGGAGGTCGTCGCTAGCAGTAATGACCGGCGACCCTAGCTACCCCGCAATCCGTCGGTCCCACCAAACAGTGGCATCCTCTAACTCCTACGAACAGAACCCTACTTCTGTGAAAAGAAGGACATTGGACAGCCGACCCGAAACCAGTCTATGTGACTTTCGAGTTCGAGGACCTTGGAAGGACTATTATCGCACCTTCGTTGTCGCTGGGCACCAGCTGTCTCCCAGGTCGACTGGATTGACGAATTACGGAGGGGATTTCGGCGACGATTGCTCTGTTTAAAGAAGCACGCTGTGAAGGCGGTGGGCGGGGCAAGTGAGGAGCCTCTTGGACAAACACCATGAACAAGCCAACTGGGGTTGTCATGACCCATGAGCTGCAACCTGGCGAGAGAGGTACAGGGTTGCTTCAGCATTGGCACCATAAATCCCTGATCACATGGAAACTCGTGCATGATTCTGCGTTGCGACTCGAAGACCATTTCACCGGGCGACGGAGCATCTCCCTGGGGTAGTCACATGGGGTAGAAGTAGATCAAGCAAACCTGCGCGCCTGACCTGTGCTAGATCTCCCGTAGCTCCTGGGAGCCCCTTCTCGCTACTCGCCCACAAGCAAGAGCGGGCGGCTCTACTCTGAAATCGGGCATCACCAAAAATAGGCATTGCTAAGAATAGGCATTGCCCATGGGACATATATCAATCCTAGATCGTGCCAAAGAGGAGCCTAGTGAAACCTCAACGTCAATGGCACTGTTTATTTATGGAATGCGGTGTCAAATAGTTCTCTACACTGGCCAGTGTGAAAGAGGCAGCATTAGTGACCATCAATACCAAGTTACAGGCATTTCGGGGGCCAGTGCCCGGTGGACCGACGGTCGCGGCAGCCGCCTCTTCGCGCCCCCTTGGTGCCGTGGGTGGCTGGACGCCTAACAATTAGCTCACGAGTGCCCTGAAGTGTACTAAATGCAAATGCCACGTTAGCCAGACTCGCATTGAGACGCCTGCTGCAGGTAGGATCGTTCTTAGGTAGTAGTAATAAGCGGATCGTGCTGACTCCGGATACGATGATATAGGATAACGTTTTCCCGCAGCCATGTTCTAGCGCTTGCTAGTCAAATCTCCAATATACTTCTGCAGCAACTTGTTGCTGCAGTCTAGCTTCTCATGTCCCTGCTTAACTGCCTCGACGCGGTTAAAGATGAGGAGTAGCGAGTCCTGCAATGCCTTCGCATGCCTAGATCCGCAGGAACAAACGTCAGCGAGCAGTTCCCAAGATGGCCACCCTCGGACACATCCAACGTTCACGGCAGATCCCATAGTCTTCACTAACCGGCGCAGTTCAGTATGCATTTCACGCTCCAACGCTTCAACATCCTCGCTTGTCATCCGCGGGCTCATGGCCCGCAAGTCATCCGGTTCAATTGTTGTCTCGACAGGCTCGCTGGTGTCTTGGCTAGGAGCACGAATGGACGAATGTGGCTGGCGCCCTCGCCAGCCAACCGACCCGATCATGGCTGGAGGTGGATCGAAGGAACCGAATCTAGGGAAGGGATGCTGCCCGTCCATCTTCGTCACGTTAAATGTATAGGATAGCTGGGACCGATTCTGTGGAGGGAAACTCGTATGATCGTGTGTGGCTCGAAGATGGAGTCGCTAAATGAGCTTCATATTTCGTGAGCCTCGCGGAAGTAGGGCGGAGAAGAGACGACCTGGGGGAAGTGACGCGCGGTGGTGTACGTGACTCCAGCCAGCTTCTTCGCAGAGGTTTGTTGGGCCAAGGCGGTCCTGCCGGCCTAGCAATTCGAGAACGATGAGGGCCATCATGCCCGTCTTCACCGATTTGGAAATGTCGTCATAGTTGGTGAATTTTGGGGTCAGAATGACATCAACTCTCTGCAATTGGTCGGATGGATTGGTCGCAGAAACTTTGGCCCTCTTCATTGGTCGCTCGGACTTGGAAATATTCCATCCCTAATACAACGCGCAACGCCCCACACAATTCTTGATGGTCTTATTTTCAACGCACCTTGGTGTTGCACAGGGGTGAGTGGCGCCCGATTACTGTGGAAGCACATCGGCAGCACAGAGACCAAGGGAAGCTCTTTTAGTCGGCCAGATATACTTCAGCGAAGCAATCCAATCGAGCGCGCACACCAAGTAGGATTTAAGCATAAAATTTATGAGGGTGCGGCTCTCGTAATGATCTGGCTTGGGGGAGGGGGAGGAGGTGAGGTCTTTAGCCTCCGTTTCCTCCAGAAATATTAAGACACGAATGAGATTGCAGGGACGTCCAAGCCAGGTGAAAATGTTGAACCTCCTCGCTCTTCACTTTTCAGGCGCTTGACATATAATGTCCACGATGTAATTTAACACTGCAGCGACCGCGAGGTTTCCAAAGTGATGTGGCCATTTGGCCTGCAGCCCCTTTACAATATCGTCCAGCCATATGTGGTGGTCCCATTCTGGGCTATTAGGAATGCCCCGAACAGCCTCGAGCAGCTTAAAATCCTGCTCGGACGTTGCAGGTACGGTCGCCACCTCGATTAAACCTGAGAAAATGTGGTCTGTCATTTGGGGTCCTGTGGTCTTCTATCTCGACCATGCCGAGCTGTGGATAGCGACCGCATAGGTGGAAAATGTGGTTCACTGCGCTTGATGCATAGCTGCGTAGTTCGATTGCACCGGATGTCGCGCGGATGCCCCTTGAAGATTAAGATGGAGATTGTGCTCGTGTATCTGGCCTCCATTGCATCGCCCTTGTCATCATCCTGCTTCGTTACCTCTTTCGAATCTCCCTTTCCTCCCAATCTCCCGGGTCTTGCTTGGGTAGTCGAGCTGATATTCATCTGTTCGAGAGATTTAAATAGGCTCGAGGCCCTGCCGCGAGTGAGTGGCAAGTCTCCTGGATACTTTAGCCAGCGGGCACAAAGGCCTCCTTACGGCTGTCTTTGGCGTTGCTCATCCGAACCGCAAAATAGAAAGGAAGTGACGCTTTGACTCGGAAAGCGGTTGATAACTCGTCCACGTTTGCGGGGTTACTCGTTGAGGTTGTAACTGAGGGGTAACTCCATACTCTCAGGTGATGCAGAGACATATATACCATCATCCGTGTGGTACAATGCATCTACCTACAGTGACAGGGAATAGCCTAGGGCGCATCTAACAAATTGACGTTATAATGGAAGGGTTGCCCGACAATCGATGTATAATAATCGATTCCATCCTTCATAATTGCTTAGTGCCACTGCTACACACCGCACGGACTAGGCGCCACTGCGCCTAGTACAAACGGAGGTTGGTGACAAATATGACAGGTATAAATATTACGTGAACAAGGTAGCGCTTAATGATCCACGAAACTATTCCGGTTTTGATTATATGCTTGTCGCCGCCATGTGCAGCCACTAGATAAACATAAAACGAGTGAGAAGAAGAGAGTCTTGAATTAAGGATGCCGGAGTATGATTAAGCACCAGCGAGACGCCGTTCACGTTCCTCGACGCCGCCGCGTTTCAGACTCTCTCCACTTACCGTCAACACTCGTGTAGCTAGTGTGTGGCGTAGAGTCTGTGCTGGATCAACCGATGGGAAAGCATATATATGGTGTAGCTGCAGGCTGATCGATCAGAAGCTTAATTTTAAGTGATGGAGATGAAGGATTGGACTACTGCACGCCACGCTCCCTTTGCTAATGTTCAATCTTGTCACACTGAAGTGAATAATCGTACGGCACGTTCACGAGGTAGATTTCTCCCGTTAAATACTTCGAATCTAAGTAGTAAGCCGACAAATCAAGGTTTGGGCCAGGAGAGCGAATCCATGTCCTTTTTGGCTTGGCAAGTGTGGCTGTGGTTCGAGAAAGTTGCGACACAGTAGTCGGCGTTGCAAGACTTGGCGACGGGAGGGTAGGGGTGGGAAGAGGGAGGGTTTACAGCAACCATGGCGTCCCCACTTCGAGACCACTCTTACCGAATTCCCCCCCAACAGCACCCCATGCTCGGCCTCCTCAGGGACGTTCCTTATATGCGCAACGAGGCCGAGGTGAACCCATCACCCTCGGGGGCGACAACCACTCCTTACCCCCCCCCCCCCCCCCCCCCCAACCCAACCACCCGTCCCGCCCTTCTCCCTCGCACCAACACTTGCAACACCAGCCAGACACCAGACCTTGTTGAGCGCGCTCCTTAACGCGTCCAAGGCGCTGTCAACAACGTTACACGCTCCCTAATTGGCCGCACCAACCGCCTCGAGCACCAACAGCTGCGGCACCACGGAGACTTGAAGGATTGAATCAAGATGGACAACAATTCGACCAATATCCAGTCGAATCTGTTGGACCGCCTTCCACGCTCCCGCCAGCGTTTGATGCTGGCTGCCGATGCGTACTAAACGCACCTCCTCGCATCGAGCCCGGACTGAGGCCGACCTGTATGACCTGCCACCTCAGCGTGTCTCGTCTCGTCAGGCTCGCGACGCTTCCCTAATGCCTTGGTCCAACACTCAGACAGCACCATCGACCTGACCGCGTCGTCTCCTTCGCGCTTACCCCGCGCCAACAACTCGTGCATCTGGACCCTCGGCTCGGCCCCATCGACGGCCAGGATTGTGGCAGTGAGGTGGACCTCTACAGCCAGGAGAAGTCGCTTAAGGGTGACTTCTCGGAGGATGAAGCCGTGTCGGCCTCTTTCGTGGTCGTGGGAGTTGGGGAAAGTGAAGCCTGGTCCACCGTCTGGACCCGTGTTAGGCGCTGGATACTTCATTGTCCCCGTAAATAGACTAGGCATCGTGCATGATTCTCAGCCGTAGACTTACCTCGCTAGCTGCAACAATGAACTTGTCAAGCATCATCGACATCGCTATCCAAGGCAGTTCAGATGTGTTCTTTTATCCCTCATTTTCCCGGCAATGCTACGTCAGGCATCATCTGATCAGAAAATTCTCTTGAACTTCTTCTTCGATTTCGACACGGGCTCGTCGCCATCACCGACTACTTCTCCACCATCGTGCGTTTGAAGTGGAGCGAAGTCGATCACTTCAGGGCTGTCTTCATGCTCCTGAGGTGCTGGTGATGGGGAGCGGACGAGTTCGTTGTTATCGATCTCTGGGGCAACCCGATCCGCTGTTAGGGCAGCGCAGTCATGCTCATCATCAACTCTTGCATTTCTCTCAATGCCTACATGCGACTCGTTAGCAGTGTTTGCGCTCAGCTTATTGGGGAATCCTTACTGCCCATCCCGTCAACAGGAAACTGGCGGCAGATCTGGGCGCTCCTATCCAGCACCTCTAGCTGCCGGACGGCCTGCTCCCTGCCCACGCGATTCTCCTCGGTCTCACCCCCCAGGCTGGCCACGAGCTCCGCGTCCATCTTGTACACTTCGGCTGGGGATAGCATCTTGTGCAGAGCGAGAACAAGCCCTGTCTCGATGACGGACACGGCGATGTCGTCGACGAAGCGCTTCATGGCTACCTGGGCAGCGACAGGGGTTGTCAGTCGTGATTTATCATGAGACGAATCTTTGGAGGGTTCAAAAGGTATCGGGGAGGAGGTCACCTTGTAGTATGCCATCATCATATCCCGGGCTTCTGACGCTGCGAACTTGTTCATGTCAGGCTCGGTGGTGCCCATTGTGATCTTATTCACCAAGGTTGCAAGATCCTGTTCACCATGCGAAACGATAGTCAAGCTTTTTGTACGGAAGTGTTTCATGATCACGGAAACGACCTTGGCGCGGCTGCTGTCGGCCCGGATCTTTCGCAGCGTCTCGGTGAAGTAGTGGTTGTACGTGATCGGCTGCAGCTGCTGGTGCTGCTTGAGGATCTGGCTCGTCCTGTCTCGAAGGTCTGCCAGTATGGCGTCCATCGCTGGCCCAATGATCCTTTGCAGAACCGTCGATGACGTATTGGTATCTGCAACGTGGTCGATGACCTGTCTGAGGAAGACCTTGCAAGCATCCCACGTGCGCTGGACGTGGGATGCCGCGAGGGCCTCCCAGGGGCTAGCCTGCTCGCGGAACAGCTCGGCGATGATCATGGGGTCGAAGGATCCCGGAAGTTCTCTGCCGCGGGAACGGGACATCTTTGCCACGATTCTCTCAATGAAGTCATCTCGTGAGATAGATGTGGCATCTGTGGGGGTGCTGCTGGCCTCTTCCCCCTCTTCCTTGATGTGGTGACGCTGACCATTCTTTAGGACGTTTGCAGCAAAGTCTTCGTTGTAGTTCTGGACGAAGGCGCGGAGGCGGCGCTTGTAGCCATTGTCAGTCTCGACGTCTTTGAAGAAGGAATCCGTCCAGTTGCCATCCGCAGCATTTCGCACGAGGCGCTGGAACGACTCCGAGATTGTGATCATGTGCTGCTGCTGTTCGTAGTGCGTATTTCTGGGCCGGCCAAGTTTCTCCATCTGACTACGGCACGCTTGACACTTCACATCGATCTCGGCGACGAGACTGGGAAGCTCCGCTGTGATGTGTTTCAAGAGGACTTTGCTTAGTCGGCTTCGAAGATGAGCGACACCAAGAATGGTGCTTGGAAGAGTAGTCCACACCCCATGAGCGAAGAATTCTGCCTCGAGGGTATTACGTCGATGGAACGAACCAGTCTCCTTCTCCGAGTCCATGTTCTTGACAACATGCCAGCCGAGGCGGAAGTTGACCTCCTGGTTCCGGGCGAGCGAGATGTACAGAGCTTCGCTATCGGACCCTGGGTTCAACATGTCGGGTTTCGTGACGACACCGAGGGTCCGTTCCCCGCTGGGATCGACCGTTCTTGCGAGCTTCAGGACGATCTGGTTCGCGAAGTCGTTCTTCGCCGACACGACTGCCAGGATGATGCTTCGTGGCTCGTACATGTACGACTCGACCGTCTCCTGTATCAATTCGACGTCAGAGGGCTTCTGATGCTTGGTCTCGGAGTGGATCAAGCCAGGCAGGTCGACGATGGTCAGATGTGGGCGGTCGGGGCCTGAGATCTCCACGCGCAGCAGGTCTCGAGCAAATGCCCTCCCGTGGACCGATATCCCCATGGCGGATTTCGCCTCGTCGATGACCCGGGCAAGGTCTTCGAAAGTGTCCAACTTCTCGTCGAAGCTGGACAATGAGGCTTTCTCCGAGTCGTCTCTCGACATGTGCGGGACGATTGAGACACGCGCGCTGACCTGGGAGGTTCGCCGCAGCACGACCTCGGTGGGGAACCGGGTGCAGAGGCTGCTTCGGGCTGGAAAGGGGACGCCGGAGATGGCTTCTAGAACAGAGCTCTTGCCAGATGACTGGTCACCGACCACGATGATCTGGGGCAGCGAGATGAGATGGTCGATGCCCTCGGAGCGTAGGCGGTCGATCGCGTCCATCAGATCAAGGCGATCTTTGGAGCAAAGACCTTGCAGCGCCTCCTTCTGCACGATCGTGATCACCATCTTCACAACAGAAAGGGTCGGTCCGTGGGTGTATGTTGCAACAGTGGCAAACTTCACAGCGTTGAAGCGGAGCTGTCGGAGTACAGTGAGGGACAAACTGGCTTCAGCTGCTTTCGGGGTTCATCTGTGAGGTCAAGAGGAAGTGGATATCACCATGTGCAGTTTAGGCGTTATATATATCACTCGGCGACCTTGCAAAGGAGCTGCTGTGGTACTGGCATCCTTAGTACTCTTTCGCTCCCGCCTGGCACTCGCCTAATACATTGAGGAGAAACAACGCCACAATAAGCGGAAGCAGGAACGGGCTAAGATGACACAGTACGGATTTCTGAGCGATTCAACACACGTCAACACGGCGAATAAGCGAGATTCTGGCCAGTCAACAAGGGAGAGGGCGAGTCTTGGTCTCAGCCACTCAGCTGTCGAGGCTGTCAGCTTCTCCTGTGGCTTGCAGCGCGTGCGTTCGGCCTCAGCGAGACACTGCTAGGCCGGCACTGGCTGCCTCCAAGCACTGGCACGCCGACCTACCCGTCTCGCCCCTGGACCTGCCAAGCACAGAGCACAGAGCACAGAGTGCAGAGTGCAGAGTGCAGAGTGCAGAGTGCAGAGTACAGAGTACAGAGTACCTATCCGCCAGTCGGACTCTAGCCATTAGCAGTCTCGGCCAGCACGAAGGTAGAGTTCCGCCCAAGCCAACTCAACTCCGCGCCAGATGCTGGTCAAGACCGGGCCGGACTAGCAAAGTACGGGAACGGAATAGTATCCGACCAGAGACTTGCTAGACTGGCTAGACACTCTTCCGATGGGCATCTGGTCCTCAAGACTGGGAACACGGCCGCAAGCCAGAGCTCATACGCTGGTGAGATCAGCAGCCGTCATTTGCCGAGACGGAGACATGCACGCACATTTCACTACTACTGTGCATCAGAAGCCGGCATTGCATTGTCTTGGGAGTACATGTCCCCCTCCGTCGCGCTGTGCGATCGGCGGCTCTCCTGGCGTCCCCTCACGGCCGAGACCCTTCCCCAGGCCCCAGCTGACCCGGACGTCAGGGCACCAGGTGGCATGAGCTCCACGGGCTGATCACTAACCCCAAGCTGAGATGAGCCCCATGCTTACTTATCGCTGACTGAGAGCGCGACTGCTCGAAATGCACCGCGCTCGTGCTCACGGGACAGGTGAGGATAGCCTCATCCAAGGTGGCGTGAAAAGCAGCCGTCTCATATGCCCCCCATTCGCTTTTCCACACGTTGCTTTTTCCACGCCTGATTGCTCAGGATGATGACAGCCGCAACATATCTCAGACGACTACCCTCCAGCGTCCGCACTCACGGGTGCCCTCCAACGACAAGATCGCCGCCTCGCTTGTCCGGTGTGGTTGCTCCAACCTGTGGATTCTCTGCAGAATTTGTCGCTGGATTACAGATCCTCCCGGTCCGATGCCTCGAAAGTTGAACTTTGTTCATCGTCTTCGCGGCTGTGTACCACAGCAAAGTTTCCGACTGGTCGCTAGCACAGGATGGATGACCAAGTCGGAGGGGGAACTCATGTCGCGATTTGTGACGGATCACTTCCGCGTCTTCGACCCGCGTAAAAGCAACGTTGAACTCGAAGCACGTGGAGCCCTTGGACATTGCGATATCGCCAGGGTTTGCTCTTACCAAAAAAGCTTTGAGACCTGGGGTTCGGATCACACATTCACATGCTGAGAGCCGCTCAGTCATCCGCTCCGACGTGGCGCGTGGTCCTTGTCTCCCATGGCAGAAGCCTCAGTCCGGAAGGAGTCATATCGTGTTCCGCACCCTACAATTTTCAGGGATCAACGAAGTTACCCCCCCCCCCCCCCCTTTCCCTCTCCCCACCCGGCGCCGATCCGGATAGCTAGCTATGTTATTCGACTATCGCCTGCCGCGTCTCTGTTAGGCCAGATTATCGTGGCGAGGTACTTCAATGGCAATAGCGCTTCATAGTAGTGTATATTGTAACTCGATCATCGTGACAACAGCCTCATTTGGCCCGTCCCTCCCCTGCAGTTATCGCAGGGGACTTATTTGATCCAAGATTCAATCATCCCGTGTGCCAGACAATTGAGATTCCAAAGACCACAGCCATCACAGCAACCAGCGCACTCCCTGCCACTCGTTGTCGCCACCTGGCAACGTCAGACTAGAGGACAGCACCGAGAGCACCAGCCAGCGCCCACCTGCGCCCTCATAGCATCCAGCCAGTTGTGACGCTAGGCGGTCCTGCCATGCGTAGATGCCTCTGACTGCTCACCGGCGTACGGCGTCGCTGAACACCTGACCCCAGCCAGGCGGACCATGGCCAAATTTTCCGAGACTGCTCGCGAGCGTGAGCTCTTCAGGTGCGTGATCTGATTCTGGGCACCTCCGCAGCGACCGTTCCATCTCAAAGCGGCAGGGGTGTTTTTGGAGCTGCTTGCGAGCCGTCCAGCAGTTCATGGGCAATCCATCGAGATACCGGATGATTAACCCTGAACTTCTGCAGATACGAAGCGTCGGCGATATCTGGCACGGTCCCTACCCGTCTTGGTGCCCCGCCAATTGCTTCTCTGACGCAAAACGCGCCGTTCCAGCAGGATCCGATCCTCACAGCACTGGCACAGCTGTGTGCTTTGCGCCTCGAAGCCGCCTGTGCCTACATTTCCTTCTTCGACACCCAATCACAACATGTCGTAGCCTGTGCGAGCTCGACCTCGAGCATTTTCGGCGCGACTCCAGACACGGATCTTCTCGACTTATGTGGCAAGGCATTCCCACGGCAGTCCTCCATAAGTGAGCATGTTCTCCAGCTCGACGACATCCTGACCGAGGTGGACGCGCCAAAGGCATACCGAGGCCAACATCTTCCGGTCTCCCACATATCAGACCTCGCAGCACATCCGCAATTTTCACAACATGTGTTCGTAGTGGGAAAGAACGGCATGCGCTGGCATGCAGCGGTGCCCATCCAGTCGCCAAGGGGAGCCAATATCGGAGTCATCATCGTCTACGACCCACAGCCGAGATCCGATGCCGAAGCGCTGCCAGAGAACGCTGCCAGGGCTCTGCGGGAAGCGTCATGCGCAATCACGCAGAATATGAAGCTGCAGTGGGCGAATGACGCCCTGCGCCGCAATGAGAGGATGGTGCGAGGCTTGGGCAGTTTTGTGGAGGGTAGCGCTGGCATAGCGTTCTCGGAGAAGGCGGACAATATGGCCTCCTTTGAGAATGCCCGGGACGAGGGATCTTTAAACATCCGCCAACAATTCCTCCAGAGACCAGCTACGGACGAGGGACTCCCCGCACGTGAGTTCTGGAACAAAACGAAAGAAGCAGAATCACCAACACAAGCTTCGTACTTTTCGCCGCGACCTCGCGCTCTCAGTGTGGCGGGGTCGCCGACTACAAGTGATAGCTCGGCGCACCCCTTCATGCCTAGCATTAGCGTGTCTCCTCACTGTAATACCCTGCAGCGGGCTACACTATTATTGATCTCTTTCACGGCATTAGAAATCCCTTGTCCTAGAAGAATACCACTTGCATGTAGTCCTCACGAAGGCGTGTGATGCTGTCGGTCTCTTGAGCTCAACGCAGCCAACATCAGAAGCAAATTTCTTCTGCTTGCAGAATCACCAGGTGCCTCAAGCACCAAACTGCGATGTCATGTCTTGTGCTTGCCGACTCAGGTGGGCTCCGGCCAAGACATGATCTGACAGTTGTAGCCCTCCGGCGGCATGTGACCCCCTGATTTGAACGCGCCTACCTTAAGGTAAGGAGCCCCAGGACGAGCTCGCAGTGCAAAGTATTCCCAGAAACTACGAATCTAGTATGTGTTTGAAGAACACGTCTAGTGCGGCTAAGTTGGCTTTGATGCGTTCCAGCCTGCCTGCGTGCCCTTGCCCATTTGTTCAAAGATTCCACTTATGTGCTTCACGTGGCAGTCATGCTGGATGTTGCCGAAAGACAGGCCGGGAGTTGTGCTGCCCCGTACGTCAGTGCTCCGCACTTCGCAGGCTTCGGTGACACTGCAGAAACCTAGTCCAGATATACAGTGGGCGCGCAAAAAAAACGCTAATTTCCCCACCTCGCGTCATGACGCGTTATTCCTCCAACAACACCACCAACTTCAATCGACGATGGCGACACCAACACGGCCTTTGAAGCCAAAAGGAAAGCATTCCACACCTCGTACGAGGAATCGCGTGTGGGCAGCAATTTGTGCAGGCAAAAAGGCCGCCGATATCGCGAGTGACGAGGGGATTGAGGTGCACCTTGTGTATGGTATCAAACGCAGGTTTACCTCGCAGGATTGGGGTGTATCTCCTCCTGGCCGTGGCCGCCGGCCACTCCTCACTGAACGCGATAAAAGGCATCTCAAGAAGGCAATAAATGACGACGTTTTCATCTCACTTAGAGAGCTCAAGAGACAGGTCACTCCTCACGTCTCTGTCGATACAATAAGGCGATACCTTCAGGCGGACGGTATCATGCACCGTAAGGCTGCACAGCGCCCATTCCTTACAGAAGAACATGCTCAAAAAAGACTCCGTTTTGCGCAGAGGTATCGTGATAAACCAGCTACGTGGTTTCGTCGGATTCTGTTCAGTGACGAGTGCTCTGTCCAGCGCGGCGATGGACAGAGCCAGAAGTGGGTTTGGCGGCCAAAAGGTATGTAACTTCAACCCGCCAGAACTCTATCAATAATCGTCTAATTTGAACGATTCCAGGCTCCAAAGCAATCGATGTGAAGTACGTACAAGGCAAAACAAAGAAAACGCGACATTCCCTCATGTTCTGGGGCGGTATCCGGCACGGCAATCGAGGCCCATTGGTAGTCCTCCCAGGGGACCCTGATGCCAAAAAAGGCGGTGTGACGGGCGCAGTTTACCGGGATCATATTGAAGAATACCTGCCGACAATGCTGGACCACGATACTGTCTTTATGCACGATAATGCGCCTGTTCATACAGCAAAGGTGGTGAAGGAATGGCTCGACAGTTCAGGTATCCCATTGCTGGATTGGCCGCCATACAGCCCAGATCTCAACCCTATTGAAAATCTGTGGTGGTGCCTCAAAGACCGCATTTATAAGGCAGACCCTCAAATGGCATATATGACGAAGTGCAAGGCTTCATTAGACCACCTCGAAGCAGTTGCAATGGATGTATGGGAGCAAATCGAAGTCGAACTCGTCAACCGCGTGATCGACAGTATGCCTAAAAGGCTAACTGCGGTGATAGCCTCAAATGGCTGGTACACCAAATATTGATTATGTCAGCATGTAGAGCAGTCTCACCGCTTCATAAAACTTCAAAAACGACCATTACAGCTGTCGGAATGACTTCAGTATCTGTAAGTGAAGTTTGGCGGTGATGGCTCGTGTAAGAAACCGTGCGAGTCTGAATGACGACTCTTCGGACCTCACATCTTGTCCTTGCAGGGGCCATATTGCGGACTGCAGCCCAGGCCGTGACTACCAGTGAAAGACTTTCGCACGCCAAAGTGCTTTGGTGACTGGGCTTTGTCGATCACCTAAATTGCAAAAGCGTCCGAGGAGAACGCTATATCACTAGCGAGCATACAGTAAGTGTCGGGTCATCGTCACATCTGACAGATGTCTCGCCATATTTGTAACTAGGGTGAAGTCCATTTGCTACACCTCCGGGCCTTGTCCGAAAGCAAATAGACTTATGCGGGCGGCGGCCCGGGGATCGCAATAGCCCCAATCTGAGCAAACATGCCAAAGATATCCGGAAGCCCGCGCTCCTCGACAATCTTGCCGTTGGCAAACCTGTAGATGTTGAAGGCCTGCGAGCTGATCTGCTTGCCCGTCGCCGGGGTGCCGAGAAAGTTGCCCTGGTGCGTGCCCGAGATGGCGAACCGCGCAACGACCTTGTCGCCCTCGACAATGGCCTCCTGCAGGGACCACTGGATGTCCGGGTAGGCTCCGCGCATCATGCCGAGGATCTGCATGTAGCCGCCGAGGCCCTTGAGCGGGGGCCCGCCAAAGGGGACGTGGAACTCGGCCGACTCGAAGACGACCTCCTTGCCGATGGTCTCGTCGCCCGAGTTGATAAACTCGAGGAACCGGCCCATGCGAGCGCACAAGTGCTGGGACGTAGTCAGTATTGTAGATTTCAGACTTCGGGCCGTGGAGAGGGAGAACGAACCTCGCGGTTGCTGGCGGCGAAATCGGAGCCAGTACAATGTTAGCAAGTGAGGCTGTAGTGGATTTGACGTCTGGGTGTGGTAGGGAACTCACTTGGACATGGTTGTGGCGGGCAGTGGAAGAATAGGTGTCAAGATGGGTGGTTTGTTCGGTGGTTTTCGACAGGCTGGGAACACGAGGAAATTCAGAAATGCAGACAGGAGAGCTGAGAGCCGGACCAGTAGTTGGGTCGGTGACGACCAGCGAATCCCCGGTGTTGTACGTTCTTTCTTTTTCCTTTTTGGGACAGGTCATTGCAATTTTGGAGGCCCTTGGTGCTATAATTTGCTTGTTTCGCTCCCAGGTCTGAACTTTCAGAAACACAGGCCACTGTTATCAAATGCAACTGCAATCCAAAATGAAGAAATATAGAAATGTCGAGCACCTCGACGTCACTGTCTAAATCCAAACTGACGGGCCGCCTGCCTGCGAAGCATTTCTGCTCGGGCCCCAACTGCTTCCCGCAAGAGCAGGATTCCACTGCAGCAGTGAAGATGGAAGGACGCCGAACGGCTTGGATGTTTGCTGCTGCGGATGCTGCTGCATCACGGCCCGTAGCTCGACGTCCACATCGAAACCTGCATGAGCGAGACAGTCAGCACGCAAAGCTACGAGGCAGTGGTTCTGTAAAAGAGAGAAGAGGGAGAGGTCACCTTTACTCTGTAGGATCTTCTCCATGAACAGAGCCCTCTGCCACGACAGCAGACGTGATGGACCTGGCTGCTGCGGGGGTGGCGGACTAGGTAGTTGATCTTGATGCTACGAGCGCCTGTCAGAGCGACAGCTGGTCATGCATGAATGCCGCGTACAATGTCCAGACGGTTTCAGCTGTGGCTGAACGCGCAGAGGGACACGCAGTGTGAGCTTCCAGGTGGTCTGCGGCCTTTGGTCAGGTGCTGCCATGAAGAGAGTAGATGCTCGCGCATTTTGAGCTTGCAGTTGTGTCAGCAAGGCAGGCTCGAGATGCGCATCTGTGTGTCGATATAGTATTCAATAGTACTTGGGGTGGGACAGGCCTGTTTGCTTTGCAAGGAGCTTTCTCGCCGCGGAAGAGCCCCGCCTCCACGGATGACAAGATACAATCTTCGCGATACGCTACCGATGCGTCAAGATACTCCTCCAGCAGCGACAGCAGTGCAGACAGCCCCAAGGAGCGCTTCATGGAGGAGACACAGAAGCTCTGCAATGTATTTGGATTCTCAACAAGTGATCACTCGAGTATTGATAGTGATCTCGCTTCCCCATTTCATACTAATGTTCCGGAACGGCTGCTGAGCACTCTTCTGAGGCGCCATCCTCGCGGCCAAATATTCCACTTCGGTCCTGACGGAAGTGTCAGTTCCGGGGATTCAGAGGAAGAGAAGCTTCGCAACATCGACGTAGAGGATTTCGCAACCAAGGCAGATGGCCAGACTACAGCGCAAGATAGCTCTGCCCGCCGCAAGAAGTCCTCAAGTCCTTGGTCGAGACGCAATGAGGGGGAGTCGGTTCTGCTACAGTTCTTAGGGGTTGGCAATCTGCACCTCAGCCCCGCGGACCTGGCCTCGCTTGGCGTGCAGCGGCATCCGGCCCGTGGACATTGCTGTAAGCGTACAGCAAGACTGCCTTGCTTGTTAATAGAGGGTGCCTTGGTTCGAACTTGCCAAGCTGGCTGCAGAAGTCCCCGAGGCAATCTTCAAAGCTGAGAACACATCATCATACACTCGGGTGATGATACCGCAGCGACTCTACGGATTCGAAGACGGGTGACAGGACAGGATAGAACCCTGAGACAGATGATTGCTGGTCAGCCTTGACACTGCGGGCCCGTCCGCTGGGCTCCAGAATTGATGACGGGTGCCGTGCGAAGCGAGCTGGGCGGCAGCAGAGGGCTTGGCGGGGGTGCCCATGTGAGCTTGAGCGCCGCCACTGCCGGCTACCGATGGAGCGGGATGGGATGGGATGCTGGGCTGGAATGCGCCAAAGGCACATGCGGAGGCCTCAAAGTCCCATCAGAAGAACCCCGCCGTGGAGGAGCTCTCTGGGCTGATGCAGTCTCAAGCGCAGATCTCCAGGGGTGCGATCTGGGCCAAGCAAGCCGTGACTGACACCGGCAAGAGCCCGGCGAGGGCACGAGGCAGAGTTACGAATCACAAGGGTCCTTGCATGGGCCCAAACCATCGCGTGGTGGCCGCATACGACAGACAAGGACAGGCCGAGCGCGTGCAAGTGCTCGAGCTGCTGAGCAGCATGTCGAGCCCTGGACGCTTTGCTAGCGTGCAGCGCAGAGCGCAGGGCTTGACCGGGGGGGGGGGGCCGACGCTGCCAACCGCTCGTCCCTAGATGCCGATATACCCGTCAGGCCTGGCTGGTGGAGCTGCGCTGGCGCTGCCGACCTGCCGTGCCCGTCGGCCTTGCAACATTCCCATGGATCCCATCCAATCCACCACAACCGCCGCCGACACCACACTCTCTCTCTCCCTCCAGCTGTCTGTCTGTCTGCTCGCGGTGCCGGCAGTCGCCCGCCCGGGGCCACACGCGCGGCACTCTCCATGCCATGTGGGTTTCCAGGCGAACCCTTTGGCTGCCACCGTCCGCCCCTGGGCCTCACGTAACCATGGTCCTTCTTCCTTTCCCTGTCGCGGTCCAAATCATGCCGTCGCTGCCCACCCCTCGTTGACACCATTGCTGCTGCTCGTCGCTGCCAACGGTGCCGGTCTCCGCCGCCTGGCTATATCTACCATCCATGCCCGCCTCTCCTCCGTGTCGATCGCCAGCCTCGACCCCTGCCGCCTCTGCTGCCACACCCGCCTGACCTTCCTACTGTTCGACCACGGCTTCGACGTCTCTCTGGCTTTCACCTCCGACTTTGGCCAAGGCTGGCATTCGGCTCTCGTCGCCAGCGATAAGCACTCTCAAGTGTACCCAGAACCTCGCCTCTCCGACAACACTAGTGTCAAGACTCGTGGCAACGACGACTGGCTTCAACATTCGCTCTTCGCTCGCAAGTGCGCATGACTGCCGTCTCGGAAAATCACCAAGAGCATTTCGACAACAAGACCCCGACCATAGCCAGCCGAGGCCATGGCCGCCCTGGAAGGTGGCGACGACGCTCGTGGCACACTTTTCGATGTGCACCCCATGGCATGGTTCATTGTGCCCGCAGCCATCTTCCTCGCCTCCATGGTAGTGCTCATGCTCGTCCGCTACCGACGACGCCGTAGAGCAGCCATGAAGGCACAATGGGGCACAACGAACATCGCAACCAACACCAGTCAGCGATACCCGCCGACCAGTACGAGGCCGTGGCCATATACCTCGACTACACCTTCCTGGTCCCAGAGGGCGAGGAATCTGGCCGGCTTCAAGCGCGGCGACAACGGGCTAAACGAGTTTGGTGAGGCACCGCCAGCCTACACGGGCCCAACTTCCAACTACAAAACCGCTCGAGCGTCCATGTCAACCTCGAGCTCCAGCGTCCCCCAAATGCGCTTCTACGGCATGCCGGCCACCAACCCAGCCCCAATGGGAAGCGTGTCGATTCCGATGCCTGGCGGTCCCCCGACCTACCACGCCATGTCAGGTGCTGGCGGCTACCGGATACCAACTTCGCCGACTTCAGCCACGAGACCGCCGGTGAATGCTGGCCTCTCCCAGCCACAAGCTGCCGTCATTCGGTAACGAGAGTTGCGGTCACCTCGCTCCATAGCCAGTCGAGGGAACAGGCCTCGGTCTCGTTAGCCTGTGCCGAGCATACTGCCTGTCAACGGCTGCGACCTCGCAAATAAAACCAGGGATCGAAAAAGATCATACTTGCACGACTGTTGGGAATAATTCCTCGCACTGATACCATTTGAAGGATGATCCGAGTTGGATATCCTTTCTTTGTTTACTGGCCAGCATATTTTGCATTTCATCAGCATAGGTCCGGCGTCAACACTGCTTTCACTGCTTACACACGTTCGCTACGCCGTGGGATACAAGGGTTTCGGCTCAAAACTGGGCATCAGGAAGCTGGTCCTGGAGTTTCGAGGTAGGATGATTTATTTGAACATCACGATATTGCCACTCTACCAAATCAAACAAGACTCAATGCATGAAGCACTCCCGAATAGACGACCTGACGCAGTAGGCTGGGTCCTTCTGTTCAATGTTATGTCATCGCAGATCCGAGTTGGCAGGCTGCAGGGCTGAACTTCAAAAGCCTAGCCTCGTAATATAGTGAGATGCCATGCCTCCGCACATTCCCTATTTTTGTGCCTGCCAAGACAAAGCGGCCTCTTCAGACGTCTTCACGAATTGCCACAGAGCTGAACACGCTACTTTTGTAATATCAACTAACGCAGCACGTCATCTCCAAAACTCCATTGGGAAATGCCTTCCACCACCCATGCCGAGCAGGGAACCACACGCCGCACTGATTCAGACCGTGCGCGGACACAGTCTGAGCACCCAGCAGAACCATTGCATGCTTCCCTATCGAGTGCAGGGCAGTGGACCGAAAGATGTTGACTTGACCAGCTGAAACAAGACGCCAACAAAAAGACTAACAGCTATATATACACACTTTGTAATCTAGATCTGCAAAGGTCGCAGCACACCTGGACCGCACGGTTGTCGGGAAATTTGTAACAAACAAGCACACGCTTCCGGGCGGGTGGGCTCCCGCACCTCCAGCCGCACCCCCCTTCACCTCACACATCAGAAGTGGGCGGAGCTTATGGCCCGCTCTTCGATGTCACTCACGATCGATGATGATGATTGATGATGATGGTCGCCGGTCCTCCCCCCCCCCCCCCGGGGGGGTTTTCGGCGTCTCGCTTGGGCACACGACGCGGGGTGGTCGCTAACGAGCTGCCGCTGCCAATCATAACCCCGCTACGGGCCGGGCATCTGGAAGAATGCTGATGAAAATTGCTGGTGTGGAATGGAATGGGCAGATCCCGGAGTTGCATCCCTTTGTCTTGGAGCTGTTCACCGTTTCGTCCGAGCGATTTCTTTGGCTAGGAATCTTGCGATGGCGATCTGACGCCGGGCTATTTGGCAGTCATGGCTCCATATTATTCAACGTGGGAGAGTTCCATCGAATCTAACAGGCACTTGCATTTAGAGGTGGGACATAAGTTTTACGTCATGCTACGCTGCCTCGAGGAAGACTGGCTTCTTCAGGGGTCCAGGGTGTTTAACGTGTTGTTCAGCTTACAATCTTTTTTTATTGTTCTCGGGGTTCTATTTGAGAATTGGCAGTGTGGTACGTTTTCCTCCTCAGCCTCGTTTTGACACGCCAGCCCATACCAAGTTTGGCACCTAGAACCGCGGTGTGACAGCAGGAGGCTTGTTCTCGAGGATCTTGTCAATCTTGTCCATAATCTCGGGGGCGAGCTTGTCAATAACCTCGATGGCCTTGACGTTCTCAAGGACCTGCGCGGGAGAGCTGGCGCCCGTGATGGCGGTGCTGACGTTGTGGTTCTTGAGCACCCAGGCGAGCGCGAGCGCGCTCAACTTGACGCCCAGCTCGTCGGCGATGGGCTGGAGCTTGTTGACGCGCTGGACGACCTGGTCCCAGTCTGATTTGCCTGTGCGTTTCCAGTAGCCGGCGATGAACTCGACCTGGTTCTGCGCGAACCGCGAGTCGTCGGGGATGCCATCCTTGTATTTGCCAGTCAGGATACCCTGGGCTAAGGGGGACCAGACGGTCAGACCCATGCCGTTCTCGCGGAACAGGTGAGCGTACTCGAGCTCGACCTTCTCCCGGTCCAGCGCGTTGTACTTGGGCTGCTCCATCACGGGGCCAATGAGACCGACTGGGTTGTTGTACGAGGCTGCGACAGTCAGTAGCTGAACTCATTTGCCGTCATGGCACCAGCTCCTGGTTGCAATGTCGTCGAACTTGGCAGTGTCTCAAGCAATGATCAGGAAGCGATAACAGCCTAGCAGGAAAGTCCGCCATGTTTTGATCATTTGGTCTTCGGTATCCGATGGACGTCTTTAGGCTCGTAGACTCTGCGATATCGCCAAGGGAAAGGTGAGGGCGCTACGGCAGCATTGAAAGCGACAGCGCTGTGGCTTGCCGACTGCCGGTTGGCGAGACATGTCATGTTGTTGTCAGCACTGCAGCCAAGGCACTTGGCACGGCTGAGTCCAGCCCGCACAGTCGAGGTCGCGTAGACACCAAGGCTAGTGCCTGGTGGTGGCAGACAGGTCGCATGACAGGCACTGGCGGCGCAAACACCGGTGGCGGCATTTGAATGTGCATGCCGGGACCGGATGGGGATTAGGGGTCCAAACGCGGAAATCAGACATCCCGGTCCGAGTCAGAGTCGTTGCCAACGACAGGGACCGTTTCGGCGAGGCGCTGTACGAGGAAGCCGTGTGAGCCGCGCGGTGATTCCGGGCCTTGAGGGTATCTATTTGCAGTGGAGACATGATGGGGCCACGCGACGTGCAGAATGGATGGCAGGGCTTGACGTACCTCCTCTAGCTTCTTCTTGAGTTGGGGGACCATGCGCTCCTGTATGACGAGATGGGACTCGTCGAGATCCTCGATGATGTACTCGTTACGCTCAGCATCGATGGCGATGATGATGGACTTGATCGATGGGTCACACTCGACCAGTACGCCTGGAGGCTGCAGTGTGAGCATGGCAAGGTGGTTGGCAACTCGGAGTAGCGAACCAGGGACGCGGTCCGGGGGGAAGGGAGATCGAGGTCATGGCCCGGATTACGCGGCATGCAACGTGGACATACCTCGAATAGCGCGAACCATGATGGCTAAACGGGCAGGACGGATGAGTGGAAGGCTTCAGGCAGGATGGTTAGGCATGGAGCTTTGCAAGTGCAGGGCTCTTGAGAAGTGTTTGCCGACGCCGTCTTATTGTGCAGGGTACTGAGCAGCAGGTGATGAGCAAGGCAAGTCGGTGGCAGGAAGGAGAGAAAGAAAGCTCCTGTGGGCTAGGGTGACGAGGTTGAGGCAGCAGTGCGAGCATGGGATGATGCAAGTGGTGATGGAGTTGGGCAGGAGAGGACGCGCGGTGCTGTGGTGTAGCTTGGCGCTAGCCTGGGTTAGTCAGCAGGCTCTCCCAGCATCCGATGGAATTGACAGCGGCAGGCACACACACACGCAGGGCACATTCCAAGTCTGCAAGTGACGGGGGTCAGGACAAGGAGAGACAGCCTAGAGGGCTCAAGGTTCTGCTACAGTTCTTAGGGGTCTTGGCAATCTGCACCTCAGCCCCGCGGACCTTGGCCTCGCTTGGCGTGCAGCGGCATCCGGCCAGTGGACATTGCTGTAAGCGTACAGCAAGACTCCAGCTTGTTAATAGAGGGTGGCGCGCGCTACTTCTTATGTCGCTTCACTTCTTTTAGAGCTACTATAATTATCCTGATTCCGGTAATGAAGTATTTTCAACCGTGGTTGCTGATGATGAATGGACTTGTCGCAGATTTACCGCGGTACCAGCAGCCGAGCAGTGTCCATTTCTCTCAGAATGTCGTGCACAGTGCCGACGATATTACCGATCCCCAGCGACCCAGCGGCTAGTATGATCACTGGGGCTGAGGAGCAGAGCCTTAGGCTTTCTTTTAGTCTGCAGCGAGTGAGGTCGTGTATAGGCTCTCTGAACCGCGGCCGGACCAACGGGGCTATGACTGTAGCACCATGTCCATAGCTCCGACAAGCCAGGGCTGCTATACTGGCAGGTACGAGATTCAGGCTGACAGAGTGGTGCAGCTGTAGCGGATGTATTCCTGCGTCACAGTGATACGACGCGATCGGTACGTCGTGCTTGGCTCGGTCTTTGAGTCTGCCAACAATCTGGGTCGCAATGGCGTGCGTCGTGACAATGGCCTGCTTGTCTTGTATCCACGCCAGCACTCGACGATCTGAAGCGGTCCATAGTCCTACCTGTATCATCCACGAGGACTCGATCTCCCAGGCTACCATAAGCCAGCTAAAGAGTAAAGGGGCGAAGGTGACTAGAGGCGCATAAAGTTCTCTAAGCATGATTCTGATCAAGATAGGTAGAGCGTCGAGGATGTCATGGTATTCGGTGTTGACACCATCGTTTTCAAGGCGTCGTTGGAGCTCCAAGGCTGCAGAGGTGTGGCCCGATCCAATGCTTGCCCCGATCACCACGACCTGAATGGGGAGGAAGGGTTTAGCCTCGATATCGTGGTCCCCACTGAGGCGACTAGAAATCATTTTGAGTTGGGTCGTGGGAAGGTACGAACGGCGTGAGACAAGTGACGGAAGCATAGATGTCGTAAAGGGATCCGAAACAACATGACATTGGCATTGATCAAAGGGTTCTATTTGTTCTATAAGGGAGGCTGGGAACTAATACTGGCTCTATTGCATAACACAAGCAAAAGAAACGCGTTTTAAAACAAACAAAGTCTTATTCGTTTGCTTGGTAGCGGCGCTGCTCTTCCTTTCAGAGAACTGTATCGGGAGTGATCACGAAGACTGCATGGAGTACCCTAACATGGCCCCTTACATGGCCCCTCACACGGCCCCTCACAGAGCCCCTCACACAGCCCCTCACACAGCCCCTCAGCGGCCCCTCAGCGGCCCCTCACATGGCCCCTAACACGGCACCTCCGATCCCCCAGTAGCTTGCTCCACAGGGCCCCTTGCAGCCCCGACAGCAACTTTCTGGAAACTTAGTGGGCCACATGCACCGTCTGATACAGTATCCGCCATCGAAATCTGAACCTTAGTCTCCTTTTGTCTCTTATTGTCTTCTATAGTATCGGACATATATGAGGACGATACGCCGCTGGTATATCGCAATGCTACACAGGCTTTAGACAACCAGAATCCTTTAAACCCTACCCCTGTCACAAACCAGAAGTCCTCATCATATTTGAACGATTTTGTACCAGGACAGTCAGTCGCTGTAGGTCTTCCGTACTCGGCGACATGCGCCTCTCAAGTTCTACTATACTTGTGCTACCTCTGCACCTTCTCGCCTCTTTGGCTTTCCCTGCTGGGTCTGGGCTGAATCTCCTGTACCTTCCGGTTATCAAGAAGGATGGAGAAGGGGTAGCCCACCTCGAAGGAAATCCCGTGGTCAAGAGAGGCGAGGAGGCCCCCCGCCTCGAAGGTCGACCCGTGCTCAAGAGAGGCGAGGAGGTTGCCTACGTCGGGGGTGGGCCAATCGATAAACGCTCCATCCAGCATGTGCACCAGATTATTCCCCCCGGAGAGATTGGCAGAGATTATTAAGCCAAGGCTGGTGATCATGATGCGCTGGATCAATAGCGCCGCCATTCTCTCGAGCATCAGAGGAAGGGAGTCTGCCTAAACCTCCAAGTCTTGAAGACTGGGTTGTAAGGGTTAGACTACGACAAAACCCACAGTGCAACTAAATCTCCTTAACAGCAGGGCATGATTGTGACGACCCGGACCAACAGGGGATTGTTTGGGCTAACGAACAGGCCAAACAAGGCCGCAGCATCAGGCCAAGGACAAGGGCGGGGGCTGCGAAGGCAGGTCACGGGCGACACCAGGCTTTATGTAATCAGGTTTCCTTGATCAGAAAACGGGATCGCCGAATCACCAAGTGAGCCAGCGAGCCAGCACACGGGCTCACGACGTGAGCCCGTGAGCCGACATCCACGCGTTGAAGGATGAAGGGTATATAGGAGACAGAGATCCCATCAGTGGGATCAGGAACCTTCATACTTCAGCTATCAATATAAGTATCATTCTCACCCATCACTTGGTCCAGTCACCCAATTGATCGAGAGTGGTATCTCTTCCAAGAGACACGGCAACGCCGCACAGAGAGAAAGATACTCGAGAGTCAGTATTGCACAAGGCTTGACCTATCTTGTGCAAGAACAGCAACCCCCAATGCGCAGTCACTGGTTGACCCCGGAGGCTGGATCGTGACAATGATCTGCCATTTCTTATCTTGAGCGCTTACTTATGCTTCGCCTTCTCATTCGTGTAGCTAGATTTCACATACTAGAGAAGACCTTATTGTAACCTCAATCGACGATCGCTACCATAGAGTCAATAGCGGGATCACACTTCAAAGACCCAGTTCAAGTGCGATAACTGAACACATACAAATGTTAAGGAGGGGCATATTTGGCAGCCGTTTCCCGGCACGCCAAGTAGTCGTTTATGCATTGTCTCGTATCTTTTATGTAATCGATGGGCCCGCTGCCGTTAATGTACGGGCACCTGTATAAACCCTTTCAAGCAGCCATGACGACATCGACGCCTGCATGGGTAATCTGGACGTGTCTTCTGGATCGCATCCCGGCAGCTTCTGACGTGCAATCGTCTGTCTGAACAGAACTTGAGGTTTAAGTGTTGCAGCACATGCGGAGACATTGGAAATAACTCCATCAGTGATACCATCCTGGCTCGTCGCAAGCCTCCACGGCGGCCGTGGTGATGGCGCCATCTCGAATCTGAACGGGTGCTGCCCAATGTCGTTCATGAACTGCTGCGGCCAATACAGCGCACCTGGGATCCGGGCAGGACGAGCTGCAGATATGGCTGCGCCACAGCAGAACATTGCATTGCATTGTTGGCCGCTGCAGTAATCAGAGCCCGATCCGCCGCCCCAACCCAGACCGTGCATTAAAGACAGCCTTGGGCCACGATTGTCCTCTGCGATCGCTGGAACTTGCTGACAGTGGAGGCTAAGCACAACCGACCGCCCAATGAACTCCACCACTATGCTCCATAATGTCTACCAGGCAGCCACTTTATCCATCTAACTAGCTTTCGTCTTGCCCGCGTCCGCACCTTCACCAAAGACAGCGACCTGCCTGGACGAAGCCCTCGAGAGAGTCATTGACGGGCGTAGCCTGCTACGCGTGGCGCCGCTGTCCTCGTAATTCCCGCCACCGGGGGCCGCTTCGCCGGGCAGCATGATGGCGCGGTCGAGCGTGTATGGCAGACAGCGATGCCTGCCGCGGATCATCATGGCGCAGATGACGACTTTGCCGAAGATGCCGAAGAGCCCACATAGCGAGGTCGAGACGGTGGGGTGCCCGAGGGAGAGGCCGACGTTGCCACTGTTAGGAGTCGGGGTCAGTATGTTGGTTTGACTGGATTATGGGAGCTAAGGAATGAGTGAGGGAGTGAATGACATACTATGCTGAGACGACTTCGAAGAAGACAGAGAAGACGGAGAAGGCCTATTGGAGAAAAGTTCGAGGTTAGCGAGCTTCCTTACGAGATTAGACACGCAGCGGCGGCTGGTCAGAAAAGAAAGGAAGTACTCACAGGCTCGTTGTTGTCGGCGATCCTTTCAGACTCCGCGACACAGAGACAGAATGTGCCCAGGAAGATGTACCACAGATCGAAGCTGAGCTGGTTCCGCATGTGCATCATAAAGTAACTCGACGCGCGAGACTCGTCCAGGGCCTGGTGCTCCTGGCTGTAGATACCCAGGGCCTGCTCCTCGTAGATGTTGGACGTGCGAATGCTGATTGCGATAGGGAGAATAGCAATGTACATCATGACGAGCAGAGAGAATTGGACAGCCGGGTTGATCTCGGCGAGGTTCATTGTCGCTGTTCCCGTATGGCGCGATGACGCGGCTTGGAACAGCGCGGCGAGGATCCGCGGACCCATGGGCAGATCTGTGATGGTTGGGTTGTAGAGGTCGAGCACGAGGATGAGGATCACATCGACGATGTTAAGAGCCGCGATGAGGCCGAAGAGAATCCAGGTTGGTCGGCTGGGGAAGAGAAGGGTGTAGCAGCGGCGCGGGTGGTCGAGGAGGAACTTCAGAGTCATCTTGTTGGGGGAGTGAGTAGGTGTGGCTCTGTACACAATCCAGATCACTAGTCGGAGCACGACTGGATAAAGCGTGTTGCCGGCAAACGCGAGGAAGGTCATAAGCAGCATCGGCCAGGTGGCGTCGCGGAACGAAATCATCGAGTCAGGAGTGAGGGTGAAGCCCAGGTTGTTTATCATCGTCTGGGTTGAATAGATAGCCCTACAGACAATGGTTTCGTATTAGACTAAGTGTCAGAAAAGATGAGTTCGATGATCGACTTCGACATACCACCACGAGAAGTCGTTGCCACACTCAATCAAGTACTCTCTGTACTTTGATGGAGCTGTATGGATCCAGGGTATCAGCCCAATGATTCCAAGCAGGTGCAAGCCTACGTAATATCCTTTTCATCCTATTAGCTCTACAAGTCCATCTATGACCAGACGACATGCCGACTTACCAATAACAATCTTGAGCAGCAGCTTGAGCGCAGCATATTCGATGCCACCAAGCTTCTCCTCGTCCTCCTCGCTGAGGTCGTAGAATTGCGAGTTGCGGCCAATGGTCACCTGCTTAGACAAGCCAGGAAGGTCGTTTGGTCGCGGAAGTTGCGAGACGTCAGAGCGTCTGCCGTTGTCATTCGCACGTGCACCCAAGATGAACATGGAGCCCGCGGCATTCCCGATAGACTTAGCGGCGGACAAGCGCATATCGTCGTTATTGCCGGCGCGCGAGCGATAGGTTAACATGGACAGTCTCCGGTTGTTGTTGGCATGGGGTACAGGCTTGATTTGGTCGTCTTCGTCGTCCTTATTTTCTAGACGGATTGTTGTATTGTCAGTATATAGAGGTAGAGCCAGTAAACAGCATGATCTTTGGAACAATTTTGCTACTCACGACCAGAGAAGTCATTCCCTGCTGCGATTTCTTTCTCGATGAAGGACTTTCCTGTCATGGTGAAATCGAGCATCAGCCATCCATATCCTCGACACTATGATCTGGATATCCCTGACAAAAGCCGACCAAAGTGTGAAGCCGTGCTCAAGGGTAGAACATACCATCATCACGGTCTCGAGGGCCCGGAATGTAAAGTGCACGGTCTGTATTGCTGGTCTTCTCTGAGGTCTCCGCCGTGTTGGCAATCTTCCCAGTCCCGGTCGAGGTCTCCGTACGGCTTGTCAAATCGGAAGGTGCCTCTATATCTGCGGCAACTGAGTCGGTCGGAGCACAGAGCGGACGAGGATGGGCTTCAACATCGTCCTCTCCGCGTCTACGCAGGGAGAAGACGACACCTTTAGGTTCAGGACGGACGAGGGTGGATGCTACGTGAAAAGAGATGCAAGGTGAGCAACATGCAGATAACAAGGAAATCCGTCGCAAATATGATTCGTGGGAGCTGGGGACCGGCGTATTATGACTCACAGACAGCCCTAAATCTCCTCTTGAACCACAGAATGCGCACCACGACAACAATGATGTTAATGACGCCAAGATTTGTGATGATGGGAATCACGTAGAGGAAGATCTGCTGATACGTGCGAAGCTCCTTGACGTCTACACTATAGTAGCGCCGTCCAATTCGTTAGTATCCTTTTCGTCTCTGTGGTTGTTCTCTTCGCACTGCTCGCCCGAGACGCGAATTCCATGATTGGTCTTGTTGGTGGAGGCAAACTCACGTATTGAGACCAGACTCGGTTGAAGCGCTGGCGCCAAAGAAGTACGCATCGACGGCCGCAACGTTGCCCTCGGGCGCGAGCACAATGAGGCCTAATAGGCCGCAGAAGATGATCCAGGCATCTGTGCATCACACAAAATTGTCAATTTCTACTTGAAGAGTTTTTTGAGGTACTGGCTGTGATGCGCTGCGAAGTGTCACAATCGCCGATCATGGCGTGTGGGGGAGGCGTATGGACGTGTACCCATGGTGAAAGATCGTTGTCAGACAAACTCACAGTGGATGGTGATGAAGTTGAGGTGCTTCAGCACCGACTGCTTTGAGAAAACCATGAGAAAGAGGCTGATAGGAAGTGAGGACGCTGTCGACATGCAACTTGCAATGAAACGACCAATCAAGGTAAGAAGTGAAGCACCTGTAATGGCCGCTAATAGCCGAGTTGCTGCTACAAGGCGGTGAACAAGCAAGGGAAACGACCAAGTCGACACACGAGATGTAGGACGAGATCACAAGGTAGTAGTTCTGCAGTGTCTGCGAGAGGATCCCCAGCTGAGTGTGGCCGACTTGTACTTGCTCTCTTGCTCGGCTCGTGGGCATAATGAGACTGAGACAGCGGGCAGGAAAGGCCCCCGCTTGGACCCCTGGCCAAGTCCTTTTCTGCCACCCTACAGTGGGCATTGCAAAATAAGCTTGCTAGCGTCGGTGGAATGGCCTTATTTTTCTGCTTCCCGCCCCACAAGGCAAGGGGTTGGCTGATCTCGAGGCTCCCGGAGATCCCGTGGTGAGCCAATTAGAAACGCTCCCGCCGGGACTCTGTTTCCGTAAAGGGTTCGTCCCCAGCAGCCACTGCAGCGAACCTGTGAGGCCATAACGTGCTCAACCAATACCGCGCCATCGCGACGGAAGAGCCACAAGAATCGCCAAGTCCCGTCGCCGCTCAGCCTGGGCTTGCTGGTCCCTCGTCACATTCCAAGCACGATCAGGAGCTACGACATGGCTGACCTCGCTAGCACGGGAGCTGCTGCAGGTGCTGCATCGTGGCATCGATACTACGTGGCGGGCATGCGTGACGGGATGACGGCGGCCAGGACTGCCTTCGGAGTGGATCCGTCCTGCCGCCAAGCTCAAGCATTCGTAAGGCAGCGTCAACAAGCCAGTCCAGTGCAATTGAAGCGCTTGAGGGTCGCCCTGCCCTGGTATCTCAGGATGCTGAGACCGTTCTGTGAAGGATAGATAAGTCACAAGGAGGATGCAGCAATCCCTTCGGCATCGATAGCGTCTTGCCTTTGCGTTGTCGGCAGCCACAGTCCTTCAATCCGGAATCCCTCATGACTCTCGCGCCACGTTCAAAGCGGGCGATTCCGTTCGTGCTCAGTCCTGATTTACCAGGGGGCCATCGTCACAACTACCACGCGTTCGTGTCGAGTTCCAAGGGCGAGAGTCCGCCATCGAGCGTGCAGGTCAAAGGCCGTTTCGACAATGTTCGCAAGCTGATTCTCAGAGCGACGCAAAAGCTGCAGAGCCTCCAGCCCGAGCACCACCATTTCGAAACAGAGGACGACCTCTACGAGCCCTCGCTCGACAAGTTTTCGCCGACAGACGGAGTCGATGAGGATGATCGTGTTGTGATAGGTCAAGGGGCCTATGGCACCGTCAGTGTTGTCAATCGGAATCCAAATCATCAAGGCAAGCAATCACTTATCGACGACAAGACAAAGGTGTGGCCACTGTTGTCGTCGCCCACTTCTCCGCTGGGTACAGAAGTCGGAGAAGAGGAACTCTGGCGCGTAGATGATGGCTGTAGCAATAAGCCTCTGATGGTTGCCGTTAAACATTTTCGGCGCCGGCCCAGCCAGGATTCCTCGTCTTACAGCCGCCGCGTTCAACGAGAGTTTGACATGGCCAAGAAACTACAGCACCCAAATGTGATTGAGACGTTTGAACTTGTGGGTACTGGCAGTGGTGACGACCACCAAGGAAGTCAGTCCGGCACCACCGACAACAGTCTACTCAGCCAGGTCATGGAGTACTGCGATGCTGGGGATCTACACCGGCTGATTCGCTCTCGCGCGCCCGCCGTGCTAGAGATTGCAGAAGCCGATTGTCTGTTCGTGCAGCTCATGGCTGGAGTCAAGTATCTGCACGAGACGGCTGGAATCGCGCACTGCGACATCAAGCCCGAGAACCTGCTGCTCACGCGGGATGGGCGTCTCAAGATTGCCGACTTTGGCTGCAGCCAGCGGTGCCGGGCTGAAGCAGATGGTGCTGTCCTTCCTGTCTCGGCCGCTGGTGGATCCGAACGGTATCGGACACCAGAGCAGCATGTCGGAGGCGAGCTCAACGGCCCAGCGATCGACGTGTGGGCGTGCGGCGTGACGTACATGGTGATGAGGCTGGGGCGGCGGCTCTGGCCAGCAGCCAAGGCGGACGACGAGTACTATCTCATGTATCTTCAGGGGCGTCGCGAGGCAGCTGGATATCTACCCATTGAGGTTCTCAAACCGGTAAGTGCGACGAGGAGGAAGCGCTGTTATGCGCGAGCGGCACACTCAGGATTGACTATGAGAGCATATCATTGACAAGATGAACAGGTAGAATGTCGTAACATCGTGTATTGTATGCTGGATCCTGTCGCAAAACGACGCATCAAAGCATCGCAGCTGTTGAGGACGGAGTGGGCGAGGACGATTCAGGTCTGTGGTGTGGGTGACACAAAGGTTCACTAATAAAGAACTTGGTGGAGCAGCAGAACAAAGAGCGAACTGCAAAGTCGGCAATGTTGAAGCAAACATGGAGCTGCCTGGCCGGAGCATTGGTTGCAGCGGGCTGGCGGTACGTCAAGCGTGCTGTACTGAATCGTCAATAAATCTCGCCAGTCGTGTGGGAACGCTGACGCAGCTCAATCTCGACTGCCTTTAGGTCGCTATTACCTGTCGTCATCTCAACTTGCTCCTGCTCAGCCATGGAAAGCCCTCGGAAAAGGGGCATGAAGAACGCCGTAAGCAGTCGCGGCCCCTGACGGGCTTCCACAGCTTCCCACGCGAGCTTTTTACGTCAATCATATCTCTTTGGACGTTCAAGATCTCAACGCACTACGAGTCGCTTCCATCGGGTCACAACGACCGCAGCGGGAATGCCGAGAACCCTACTCTGATGCATGGAACGGCCAGGCTATTGTCTCCTAGCTATTTTCCTCTGTCCGCCTATCGAGACTCCACGTCGATCGTTGCAGACTCTTGAGGGTTGCTTCACGTCCACATTTCGCAGCAGCCATCACTACTCTAATGTGGCACGAGGTTCCGTATGCCGTCGAAGACTACCACAACTGGAATCCTGTAGGGCCTGACCCAAGAAGAGAAGACACGAGGAGACTTGAGCTGTTCGACAAATGGAATAGGAAATAGTGTTGGATCAGACCATGCCCGCATCTGGACTGCGAGATCACCACAACTAACGGTGCACGTTACGTCAACGTGCTCCGCCATTCCCACCCTTTCCTTGCGAAAGCTGTTAGGGGCATGCCCAACCTTCACAGTTTCGTTATGCAAGCACCTCGTTACGATCAAGTCTTGGGCTAGCGCGGCAAGGGGAGTGGCGTTGTCTTGGTGGAAGACATCGTTTCCGATCCTGGCTACCTAACCTCCTTCTACCGGTCCTTCGCAAGAGTGTACAAAGATCCTAGGTTCATAAGGGTATTAATCGCTAGCCGGTATATCGTAACGTTATCAAGTCCCACAGTGTCACGACCCGGCTAGGGGAGGCACTATAAGGTACTGGAAGCACCTGGATAATCGCCAACCTCTGCGATTATTGCCTGATCTTTTGCCCTAGGGGTATAACGTTCTGTCACAGGTGCCAGATCGTAACATAATAATCGCAAAACGGCCTGTGGATTCGAGAGGGTTGTCTTTCCGTGAAGAGTGAATAATGGGGTGTTGACCAACCCAATCATGTCGCGTTAACACAGCACGGCATCATTACGTTTAGAGGCTTTGATTGGCCTTCAGCTGTGTGACGACCAGACCAACAGGGGGCGATTGTTTGGGCAAGAAAGAGCACAAACAACTTGGCCGCAGGATCAGGCCAGGGACAAGGGCGGATCATGTGGCAGCACCATCACAGGTTTCTTATGTAATCACGGACAAGGATTACGATAAGGATAAGGACCGGGTACCGTACCACTGGTCATGCATGTCTGCATGACCGTCACTCCGCCAAGCATGACGGTCACCATCAAAGACATGACCGTCGTGCAGAAAGGAATGACCACACAAGACACGATGAAGGACAAAGGTCTATATAGCTTGGAGGATTTCCTTGACCAGACAGTCACTACCTTTGCACTTCAGCGATCAATCTAAGTACCATTCTCACCCACACTTGAACTAGTCACTCAATTGCCGAGACTGGTATCTCTTCCCAGAGACACGACAACCCCAGAGAGAGAACGACATTCGATCAGTTGTGATATTGCTTGAGCTTTACCTACTTCGCAGAACAGCAACGCCGAAGCCCGGCCAGACGGTTGACCCCGGAGGTCGGATCGTGACAAGCTGCTGCTTCGGAATTGGCTCTGCATCTCAGAGGTTGTAGTCACATTAGTGGGTGCGCCACAATTAGCGTATTCCAGGGGGGTATCCTGCATTGGCGGGTTCGCTCTTGCATGGGTCTCTACTTTAGGCGTGAAAAGTGAACTCTAGGCATGCGCAGAAACAAGCGCTAGGTGACTCGTTCACTTTCCGCTATGACGAGGAATGTCACACGTGGGCCTGGGAGGACTTCCTATCACCGGGCGACAAGGATTGGGTGCACGACCAAGCAGATGAAGGAATGCAGCCATGCGGTATAGCACCGTAGGCGATCCGGCCTCGCTCCGCGGGCTGTCCGGATCGCTTAGCTCGAAGGCCTGCACTGGCTCCAACCTTGAGGCGTTGGGGACGCTCCGTGCCCGCCCGTGGCTGGGCCGTGGGCTTTCCGGTGCTGGCTAACGTTTCTATCGCTGAAGTCAAAGGCTCCAGGAAGTATAGACGCCCCGTCCCTGGTCCGTAGGCGCTCCGCGCCCTCTCCGCCATCCGTTTCCCTACATAAGACCAGCCCCGAGGGAACGGGGCTCAAGGAAAAAGGAGGGCAAGGATCAGTCTCTGGAGACATCTCACATCTCCTTCTTGTTGATACAGGTACTCTAGGTATTGGTCCTGGACCTAACTCCAGTATCCCCGTTGTGCCAAATTTCGCTCCGGGCCCTATCCGGCCCTGCTCCGACCTCTCTCCGCGTGCCTCTCTCACACCTTGTGCCTGACTGCCGTTGGGCCGCCGCCTGAGTAACTTGTGACAAGGAACCTATTGGGATACGGGAAGACGATCGGGCCCTTCTCATATGCAGGGTTAAGCTGACTTGATCGTGCTTTCGTAAAGAGAGAATAGTAGCAAGCAAGTATGATTGTGCCGAGCTTAATAATGATTCTCCAATGACGGTGTGCCAGGCCCGAGCTGTTGCTTAGGCTTTGGGCAAAGCGACAGCCCTAGTAATCGACTTCTATTATTATTGTAAAAACGTGAAGTTCAAGTTCATAGCTCTAGGTACCAGGACTATGTATCAAGCCTGCTTGTGATGCTTCTGATTATACTATATGGTATCTCGAAATGCCTGGCTTGTCTAGGCCGAATGGATACGGAGTAAGGTGGTCTAGGCTAGCCGAAGACAAGCATTTATGCACGAAGTTATGTGGAGTATTTGCATGTTAGATAGATTCTTATATTATCAGTACTCCATCATAATTTAGCATAAGAATGTGTACGTTAAGACTAGCTCCGACATCGATGGCTTAATCAGCAATGCCCTAGTCAGCGTGAGCCAAGCTCAGGCTCGCTCAGTTGGGCTCACTCGCGATGTGGGGCTAGCTCAGGTGGTACTCAGGCGTGTGGGCGAGGGAAGCATTTGGTACGATTGAGATTAGCTTGCGATTATTTCAGGGAACCAGAAGACGAGCTCGATCATGGACCCCGGGAACACGAGCCAGATCAGCTCACGGACATGACGGGCGAGATCTGGTCGCGATGCAATGCGGAAGAAAGCCTGTCTGTCTGTCGGTGTGCAGTGGAGAGAGGCGGATACTGCGGAACAGGTGTCTGACGATGGCAGGGTCATGACCTGTCTTGGCTAGCCGGAGAGACTTGAGGCACCGCCCGCCGTCCAGGTGGTAGACGATGTTGTCGAAGATTTCTGGCGGGAGTAGTGATAAGCTAGGCGTGCTTCGGGTGCGACTGGCGGACTGCGCATTGTAGCAGTGGCTCCGACACCTTGTGTCACAGTGTCCTCCGAGGGTAAGTGCAACCTCCGATCGATATTGATGAGATAATTCCGAAGCCGTGAGGGCTCCGGAAGCCTGCAGGGCCACCACACGGAGTACTGTGACCCTCATCCTCGACAAGCATCATCGTCACCGGCACCTCGACTGTCTACAGCGGCGGCACACCCACAGCCCGGCGGCACGACCACGAGCGCCCATCGTCGCGGGTCCCCGTCCCGACCCGTGCCCGGCTGCTACCAGCAGGTACAAGGCTACCCACCGCGGTTCGCTGCGGAGCAATGCATTCGTACCTGATAGTCCTAATCCTGCTCGGGTGCCATCTCCGCCAAGGAGCGGCGTGTGCATTTGTGGGCATGAGGGGCCTGGGCGGCAACTGCAGATCTCTTTGAAGGAGTGGTGGCTTGTGAGACTAGACAGAACAGCCCCCAACCCTCCAACCCCCCATCAATCACACCTGGGACTCCCCTATCGAAAGCCAGACACGGTCGCTCTTCAGGCGCTCGTGCACTTTGCGCTCCAGGCATCATTCTTCACCCTGCTAGTGACGTTCCCGTTACAACTATATTCGGAGATGTACTTGTAACTATTAAATAAGGCACCACAACTGTAAAGACACGTTGGCTGTAAACAAGTTTTCCCGCGACGTGTCTGCCTACGTTGGAACTTTTTTCGTAATTATTTGGTATATCTCTTGTTCCATCTCTCCTTCTAATAAACACTCTCTCGTCGGTTTGAACTTTGCGGCTGTTCATTATGTCACAAGTCGCGTTGCTGAGTCATTGTACACACCGTGCTCCTCAACGGCACGCCTGTGTACACTCGGGTAGTTTTTACTCCACCTCGGCCTCACCGATCGGCTGCTGTGACGACCGAGTCACTCCCAACCACCACCATAGCCACAAAAGCACGAAACCAAGCGCGGGAAAAAAAATAAAATAAAAATTTTTGACCCAATAGACCCTGCACAGCCCACGCTTACCCATATATTCAGCTCTGTCGATTATAGCAGCGAGGTGAAGCTGGGTGGAGTCGTGCCGCTCACTCGCAGCACAGAACCGCTCTTAATATGCACACAGACTGGCGGACCCCCAGACGGCTGTCGACGCTGCCACGTGTGCCCTGCCCTCCTGACAGTCTTGGCGAGGAGAAATGCTATGGCTACTCCGACGTTCGCTCCATGGTTAGCATGCAGACTACTAGAGGTGCTTTTCATTATGAAAGTATGTAACAAGCATACTCGGAGCATTCACCCGATTAACATTATCACAGAAACGGGGCCCCCCACGTCCGAATTGAAGTTGGCGCTAGCATGCGGAGTCTGGGTTGCTACGATCCGGTACGGGGTAACTTTAGGCCAGGCACTTGTTACAGTTGCAGCACATCACTTATGTAGCTATACCTAGCCTCAACTGGGGCCACCGGAGCTCTACTAAAGGTACTACAGCACAACATACAGTGAGGCACCGAAGATAGAGCAAAGAGGAATCTTCTCTCCTTAAGGATTAGTCTTAAGGTAATGCAATCCTCACTACCATCCTAAAGACCTCCCCGACTTATCTGTAACGGCCAACCAACAGGGGATGTTTGTTACGGGCACGAAGAGCCCAAACAACCAGGCCACAGGATCAGGCCAAGGACAAGGGCGGATCATGTGGCAGTGCCGTCACAGGTTTCTTATGTAAGCACGATAAAGGGCGATAAGGAAGGTACGTACCAGTCATGCATATCTGCATGACCGACACCACGCCAAGAAGGATGGTCATCAAAATATGCATGACCATCAGGATCAGATCCGTGACCTGGCCACGACCATCGGGGCCAGAGTCATGACCACGATGAAGGACAAAGGATATATAGATGCGGAGGATCTTCTAGATACACAGTCATTACCTTTGTACTTCAGCGATCAATCTAAGTATCAGTTTCACCCACACTTGAACTAGTCACTCAATTGCCGAGACTGGTATCTCTTCCAAGAGACACGAACGACAACCCAGAGAGAGAACGACAGCAGAGTGTTAGTTGTTATTGCACAGGCTTTACCTATCTGCGGAACAGCAACCCCAGCGCCCTGCCAGACGGTTGACCCCGGAGGCAGGATCGTGACACCCGATACCCTGGATTACTGTAACCTATTCTTAATTGCCTTGTTGTACGGCTCTTAGCTTACTGCGTCGATCGGAGGTCGTAACGACAGTCTCGGCGGAGATCTTACCTATCGTAAAGCCCGTCTTATCGAAGTTGTAGATATCGTTGTCGTATATCCCGTATTTCGCGATTATATTCCGTACGAGGGAAAACTACGCGCGATATGCGTCCGGATCTTCGTAGAGGACTCTCTGATAGTCGATTCTTCGACTAAAACGCGTACGGAGCTCAGGTCGTCGCTGTACGAAGGCTGAAGCCCAGTTCTTCCCAACGCGTAACACGTTACGGTCGCGTAGTAGTCGATCCGCCATTTCTCGAACACCACTAAGTCGCGGTGGAAATGATCGCGAATCTAGGTCAATTACGTATCGTACGATGCTCTCCTCTTCGTATGAGGTTAATCTCTGGGTAGGCGATCGGACATCGCGTTTCGCAGGTCGGCCGCGGTGTCGTTCTTGAAGTGTCGTACGAGGCATGTTATAGACTGATGCAGCCTTTCGAAGGCTCAATTTTGGATTAGATCGAAGCGCATTAAGCGCTAGAAGTAAGTCGCTTTCAATTGATTGTCGTACCATTATTGCTTGCAGAGAAAATGGATGAAGGCTGGGTATGTATGAAGGAGCGAGAAAAGTGGCCCGCTCGACCGGGTGGCCCGCTTGACCGGGATCTACGTTATAGATGATACTATTAGTCTACCTACTTAATAAGGCAATTGATAGGGGGGCATGACGAATTGATACGCGGGCATGACCCTTAGGGGGGCATGACTTTTCGGGCCTCTGATTCGTCAATTTCTTTTTTGTTAGTGTTGGCAGAATTCTGCCGTACCCTGTTAAGTACCTCAAGGCTATCTCCCCTAATCTCGGAGCTGACACGACGCGACGCGATCAGATCAAGCCCACCAACAGCAAGCAAATCCACCATGGTCAACCTTCGATAATTGGGAACTTCGTCATGTTCCAATCCGAGTCTCCTTCCAACTCGAGACGACGAACCCGTAGTTCTAGTCCCCACGCTCAAGATCAAGTACGGCCTCGAAAACGACAGCGGCAGAGCCGACAGGGCAAGTTCAGCCCGCCGATATTTGCGAATCGGCCATCCTCAGCGAGCAGCATAGCAACAAGTATCGGCCAATACTACGGAGTCGGCGACGAAGATGTACTCGGAAATCTCTTTGCATCTTACCCAGAAACCTTCACGACAGCTCCACAGCCGCACGGATGGCGTGGACTTCACGAGCCACCATGGGAGCTCCGTTTCGATCACGAGGTGCACCTCTCAAACGATTTCCCGTCCGGTGGAAGGCAGTCCTTACGAGTGAGGATTCCTGTCCCAGGACCAGAAACCGACCCACTGTCTTCCTTGCCACTTCAATCAGCACAACAGCAGCAATCGTCACCCACACGGGCCGAGTTTCAATCTGCCCTGAAGCTAGTACGAAAAGTGATTGGGACGGAGCGGAGGCTTACGCTCGAGCTCGCTCGGTCATACGAACGAGTACGTCAATGGCGCGAGAGATGGGGCTACTCACCACTCAGCTCAGATGCGATTGAATCGCCTCCTCCCTACTCACCGCCCCGAGAGCCGTCCGCCCAAGCTTCATCTCCTCAAGAGATGCGATCTTCTCCTCGGATGTCTTCGTCCCCCGACCCAGACCCGATCCCGAATCCGCCGATCCCAGGCGACCCAAAGCCGTCAGCCGAAGCTTTGTTCGACGTGGTAAACACCTTTGCGAAAGAGAATGGCTTTGGCATCGTCCGACGACATGCCTATTCCTACAATGGTCGGAGGATGAGGTACTCTTTCCAATGTGACCGATACGGAGAACCACGGCCGAGTAGAGGTACAGGGCTTCGGCTACGCAAGTCTCGGAAGTGTGGATGCAAGTGGATGGTCATTGCTGAAGCTCTAGAAGAGGGCAAGTGGCTCCTAAGACAACACCCAAACCCCGAACACAATCAACACAATCATGGACGTAGCATTAGGCCGTCTGCGCACCCTTCCCACCGACGACTCACTACACCCATCAGGGCTACCATCGAGTCGACGAGCCGTCGGGTCGGTATCCGGGCCCGTGACGTACGGGCTGTGGTCCAAGACCAACATCCCGAGTCAATCTTGACGCAGAGGGACATCTACAACGCCCGAGCTCTCATCAACCGAGACAAGCTGAATGGCTATACTCCCACCGCCGCGTTAATCAAGCTGTTTGACGAGATGGAGATTCCCTATCTCGTGAAGTGGGCGGACGATGAGCCAAACCGTCTCGTTGGCCTTGTCTGGACTTTTCCCTACTGCCTCCAGATGTGGAAGCGGGTTCCCGAGGTGATCAGCTTCGACAACACATACAACACCAATCGCTTCAAGCTTCCATTATTTCAGGCAACAGGACAGACCTGCCTTGGCTCTGTCTTCAATGCTGCTTTCGGCCTGATTGACAACGAGAGACGGGAGGGGTTTCAGTTCCTCTCCGAGAGTATTCGACAGCTCTCAGAGCAACACTCTATTCGCCAACCGGACGTTATCATTACCGACTTCGACGATCAGATGAAGGCAGCCCTGAATGATCAGTTCCCTGATGCACAGCAGCAGCTGTGCATCCACCATATCAATTCTAACGTCTTGCTCAAGTCAAAGCAGAAGTGGGCCAAGGGCCACAGCAGCAGCAGTTCCGACAGCAGCGACGGAGAAGACTCTGCTCCACAGGCACAGGCTGAGCTGAGCCCCAAAGACCGACAGTTGGTCCACGCCCCGACGGCGGCGGTCATCCCTCATAGCTATCGAGGGGTCCTCATGATGTGGAAGCTCGTCATGTTTGCGGAGACTGAGGAGGCTCATGAGAAGGCGTGGAGAAATCTCTGCAATGAGTTTGATGACCAGCGAGCTATCCTGCGGTATCTCCATGGAACTTATATGCCTGTACGGGCGCAGTGGGCGCGCTGTTTCATTCGCAAGTATCGCAACTTCGGCGTCCGCGTCACCTCTGGTACAGAAGCAAGCAACAACAACATCAAGAGCTATCTCCTGAATGGTATGAGCCATCTCTATCGGCTCATGGAGGCTATGCAGGACATGATGAGGGACCAGGAGCGAGATTTCAACGACGCTTGCGCAGCGGACGAGGTACTTACCGCGCGAGAGTACATTGGGCCTAGCTCGGAGCATCTCGGCGAACTCCGGACGGCGCTCTCTTCCAAGGGCCTTGGACTGATCAACAAACAATATCGGCTTGCAAGGAAAGCAATGCCGACCGGGAAGAATCCGTTCCCTGAATCCCTCGGGGATTGCGGCGAGGACTGCTCGTTGTCGATCGAGCTTGGAATTCCCTGCTGCCACAGGATCTACTCAAAGCTGAATAATGGTACGCCTTTCACGAAATGGGACGTCCATCCTCGGTGGCACCTACGAGAAGCATCCTCTCGAGATCCATACCGACGAATCCTCGACCCTAAGATCGCCACTGCTCTCCGTGGCAGACCTAAGAACGCCAAGCAGGCCGTTCCATCAGGGATAGCCATCGAGACTAGTAGTCAGCCGATTGGTCAACCGGTCGACCAGAGGGCCCCCGAGCCGTAGGCGAGGTCGTCCACAGGGCAGCTTGAACAAGTCGACTCAGGCCAGAATGGAACTTGGGACGAGCCGACAGGCCAGTGGCCAAGCTGATGTCTCGAATCAGCGCCAGTTACGCAGCCAGTCGACCCTTCTAGGGACGGGAAGAACCACAGGAGTTCGTGCCAGCGGGCGGAGAACGCAGCCCAGCATTCGGAGACGGAGGAATCAATGGGAGCTGGCTGATGGCGAAGAGGAGATTCTTCCTTCCATAGTAGTAAGGGGAGACGTAGACAGCTTTGGTTATGAAACAGCCCTTGAATACCCTGTACCTGTGAGGCGGGCCGCACCCACTCAATTAGGAAGCACTCGCTGAGTCAGCGAGCGCCCGTCTCTTACCTGTCGCTCGCCTGGCGCTCGCCAATCGAGCGACGGTAAGGCAATAGTCTTGTACGACAGCGACCTTTTGGAATACAGAGAACTTCCCATCGCGTGCCTATTCCGGATCAGTACCTTCTCCTTAACAGTACCGAAAGCAATACTTCTCTTTGACGCCTGTTCTAAAGGGTTAGTGTTGGTCGGGTGCATTTGCGGTCACGAAATCTGGGCTTGTTAAGAGGGCTGGCTTCACCGCCTTTGCTCGGAAGTATTTATGGATCTAGAAAATTTGGCCCAATCAAGTGTTACAAAAAGTCATGCCCCCCTATCAATTGCCTATTTTAATGCCTCATTTCCGCACCCCGCAGCGGAATTTAGCACAGGCTCAACAGACAGCATTTTCCACTCTGGTATGACATCGTCCGGTTTGTCATGGCATTCAACATCTTTGGCAACGCGACTGAGGAGACATCTTGGGTGCCCAACCCAACCACCCGAGGAACGTCGAATATCCTTCTGCCCTGCCTCATCACGATTTCACTCTGCGTCTGGTCGGCTCTGCATCTCAACATACAGGGGTACCGTGATGGTGAATTCATCTGGATGCTCTACCAGACGTGGAGAAAATCCGGCTGGGTCATAGTTGGTCTTCTTGCCCCGGAGTTTCTCATTTACACCGCTTGGTATCAGCGATGCGAAGCCAAGCTCTGTGCGACCGCATTCAACAACACAATTGGGATCACCCCTCCTCCCGGGACGTTTAGCATAGGAGCGAGACTCCGAGAGGGCCTGAAAAAGGCGGTTCCGGTAAGGGCTGATGATTTTCAAGACTTAAAGTGCATGGAGCACATGTAACGTAAACTTTCCTTGGCTTACATCTGGATATGCAGAAAATATGGTCAAACGATCAACGCAATGGAAATGGCTTCGATGTAGAAATGGGGCACATTGAGGACCAGCAGAATCAGCAACGCCCTTGGACGATTGCACAAGGCTTCTACATTCAGATGGGAGGGATTGCCTTTGGTACGATCGAACAGCATCCTATCTCTCTACTCCAGGGCCACGCGGTCTTGGACAGAAAAACTTTTCTCTCCGTTCTCGGTGCCATCGACCTTCCAGAAGCCAACGCGCCCGATTTCACCGCCTTCAGAAGTCAACTCGATATCTCCGAAGAAGATCTTGTGGACAAACGGAAAGGTAGCGGTATTGCCAAGGCCCTAGTCTGTCTCCAGGCCATCTGGTTCTGCCTCCAATGCTTCGCTCGCGTGCTCCAACAGTTGCCGCTCTCCCTCCTTGAACTCAACACCTTCGCTCACTCTCTCTGCGCCTTGGTGGTCTACATCCTTTGGTGGGAAAAGCCGTTGGATGTTGAGCGGCCTACCTACCTGACAGTTAGTTCAGAGCGCGAGATATATCTATGGGCCCGCGAGTTTCCCAATTTTTGTTACCAGTGCTTGGAGAGTAGCGAAAGTACTGTGCGGGAAACGTTCATTCAACCTATTCTCTCCTTCTTCAGGACTCGGCGATATGGCGTACCTACTGCGGAGCCACGACAGTGGATTGAGCTCACTGCTGTCGACGATCAAGCCATCCCTTCGAGGTATAGACTCCTCAATTTGAGAACGTCCGACTCTAGCTGATTCAGTCTCTAAGGTTCGATGCCAGGTGCTCCGGACAGACCTATTGCGGCCTCCTGGTTCGGAGGCATATTGATGCCGAACTGGGCTTCTGGATGCCACTGCGCGATCGCGAACCTCAACCTCCCCCAGAACTTCTCAGACTCAATCGGGCAGACAGCAACAACCCAAACCATCCTAACGCTTGGGGATTTGAGCTAAAAGCTCCTTGCGATCACCAAGAACTGAACCCAGAACTCAGGACCCCAGACAGAGTCACAGACTAGCCAAGTTTCGACCTTGAGGAGCCCTGGACGTTGTTTCTATTCCTAGTCACCCCTGCTATGTACGGAACACTGCATCTATTCGCCTGGAACTCTGACTTCCCGTCCTCGACACAACAAATCCTATGGCACGTGTCATCCCCTATAGTTATGGGGAGTGGCTTCGTTGTTTTGGCAGGTTTCCTTTTGCAAACCGACACAACGCTTACCCTTGATACACGTCTCAATCGCTCGGGGTTTGTACCGCAGGTCACACCGTTTGGCGGTCGTCACAAGTATTATGTTCGTGCATGGCGGGTTTATCTGTTCAGGGCCATCGCGTTCTGTTTCTGTGTTCCTCTGGAAACGGTTTGTGAGAAGATCCCCCTATGGATATTGTCTGGGGGCGACAAACTCATCAACACTGCGATCATCATGCTCGCGTTGGCATACGCTTTTGCAAGGGTCTATCTGGTTGTTGAATGTTTCATTCAGCTCTTTCACCTCCCGCCAGGGCCGATTTTTGCTCAGCCGAACTGGTCGACGTACATTCCGCACATCGGATGAGCCTTCTTTGGCAACGGAGGCGATATGCTGTACGACCAGGCAGATGAGGAAGATTGGCGTGACCTTTTGACCTCTGTTCTGGAAGAACGGCAATCTAAGCCATAACCTTCCCTGTAGTCTTCATTTGGGTAATCACTGGCCTGGGTTCCCTACTCGGCACATATTGTTAAATAGCTGTGCTATCCGTCTAGGCGCGTTGCTTGCCCCCCTCAACAGAGGAGTTGATGAACCCACACTTTGAATTGCGCATCGACATCCTTGAGGAGTGTATCCTCGCTGAGGCCACGAGCTCGGAGGATCTGCTTGATGGCGCGTTGTAGCTCGTCTGCACGGAACGTCCCCGAAGGTTGCCTCTCATATTAACTCGGTGGCTTTTCTTGTCGAAGACCTTGTTTAAGAACTGACAGGTGGATTGGATGCAATGGTGTGTCACTCGAATAGTTCTTGAGCAGGTTTTGAAGGTCCCAAGATAGTATGATGGGAAAAAGCGGCAAGATTATTGTTTGGAATGCTTGCAAGTGGAAATACTAGGTATATATCAGCGTTTTAACTCGCTCATGAACGGCAAATAACTACAGCTTGCGCAAGATATTGCTCCGTCGTTGTAACGCGAGGCTAGACTAGTAAAAGATAATAAATCAAGATTTGTGCTGGGTGTGAGCGCTCTACTGCGACATAGGAAATTGTTCTAGGCGCCAACAAAGACCCCTGACAGTAGTGGTTGTTGTAAGAACTGAGTGTTCCCCTGAACTTCAGAGTTGTAAGGCCTCAAATCCTAAAATGCCCCAAGACTGTAGGCCTCGGTGTCACATGACCCTCTGAGAATGAATATATATGTGGCCATGAGATCCAATAACAGCTGCATTTCCATCTCGTTGATGTCATGGCAGCCGAGCCTGAACATGCATTTCTGTGTCGACATGTGTCACGTCGTCATGATACTTAGCGCTGAGGATCAGTGCGGCGAGAAAGACCCGGTGGCAGCTGGAGGACGATCCTGTGCAGGACGCTAAGCGCCGCTTGAGTCTCGCCATGTAGACGAGCGTCGACATCCTTTCTTCATGGGTATCGCCCTTTGGTTTCGACATACAGAACGACAGGGAGAGACGATGGGTTTGCAAAACATGTGTATTAAAGAGGAGGATACCCATTGCAAACTATAAGGCCGAGGGCACCCAGAATATCGAACGCCACCTCGACAAATCCCATAAGATCCGTGACCCAACGGGAAACCGCAAACGACCCCTGACGAAGACATATCCATCTATTGCCGACCACTTGAGCATGGATCGAGAAAACCCTCAGCAACAAGCCATTGTGAACACTTATATTAAGCGTATCGATCGAGTCCAGTTTCAGAAGCTCGTCGTCAGCTGGGTCGTCGAAAGGCAGCAATCCTTCACAGAAGTCGAAAGCGGAAGTCTCCGAGCTATCTTCCAATATCTGAATCCGTCCATTTCGGTACAGGATGCGCACATCAGCCACGACACTGTTTCGTCACCAGATTTCAAATGCTAGCAGACGATTATCCAAGCCCTTGCTCGCGCTCCAGGTCAGATCCGTATCTCCTTCGATGGGTGGCGATCGCGCAATCGCCATGCTCTCTATGGAATCTGCGCCTTCTTTCGAGATGAGAATATTCGGCCGATGAAAGTTGTTTTAGGGATCCCTGAGATTGCAGAACGACACTTTGAGGAGACCATTGGTGCTCAGATCCTCAGCATTCTTTACGAGTTCAAGATCGAAGAGAAAGTCGGCTATTTCTGACTCGACAACGCAGCTAACAACGACACCGCCATGGAGACAATCGCCGATGAGCCTAGCTTCGAGCCCAAGGCTCGTCGTGGACGTTGCTTCGGCCATATTGTGAATCTCGTCGCTAAAACCATCCTTTTTGGCAAGGGCTGCGAAGCGTTCGAAGCTGATATCCAAGCCCAGAAGCTTGCTGAGGCTGAGCATGAACTGTGGATGAAGAAAGGCCCAGTCGGCAAGCTCCATAACCTCGTGGTCTGGATCCGTGGCAGCGACACGCTTACTCACCTGCTACGCAAAATTCAACAGTCTGCCAATGGGGCCAGTGAGAACCCAAAGATTCGGGTTCGCAAGCCTCTTGACCTCATCATGGACAACGATACGCGGTGGCTTTCGCAACTTTTTATGATGCGCCGAGCCCAACTCCTTCGACCGTCCCTCGAGACCCTCCTATTCGAGTACAAACAATTGTGGGAAAAAGAAAATCTACGCAAGGATGGTACACAGAAGAAGGGCAAGAGGTTGCCATTGTGCCTCGGAGAACAGAGCAGGTTAACGGTCGCGGACTGGAACGTGATCGACGGCTTCATTGAGCTGCTCGAGCATTTCGAAAACACGATCCTCATTCTGGAAGGCGACGGGCAAGCTCGAGAGAGAGCAAGACACCATTTCAAGGAATCGTACGGCAATATCACGGACGTCTGATGGCGTACGAGTACTTGCTCTCTAACCTTGAAGATGCAAAGGAGAAGATCGACCAGTACGCCGAACCAGAGCACTTCCGAGTGAATGTGCAACTAGCTTGGGAGAAAATCAACGAGTATTACGAAAGGCTCGACGATACCCCGATGTAGTACGCCGCCCTGGCCTTCCACCCGGCGTTTGGCTGGAAGGTGATCGAGCGCGAGCGGGATACTCGACCCGAATGGGTTCGAAAGGCGAAGGAGATTGTTAAGCAGGTGTGGGAAGATAGCTACTCGAAGCTTGAGATTGCCCATACGAGCGGTGAACCCGTTGCGAAGAGGAGAAAAACGTTCCACAACAAGTTCAGCAGGTTCAAGGAAGATAAGCGCCGGATAGCCTTTACATCGCCGTCAACCAGCTCGTTGGGAGACGAGTACGAATGCTGGCTGCTGAGCGCTTCAGAGGTTGACAGCGAGGTAAGTGATCCGTATGAATACTGGCACTCCAGGCGCAAGCAGTTCCCGAGGCTATCTGTGATGGCACTGGATTTCATATCGATCCCACCGATGTCTGCTGAGTGCGAGCGACTGTTTTCGGCCGCTGGGCGTATGGTTGCCCCGATTCGGAGCCGACTGGAAGCCAACATGATCGGGATGGCTCAGTGTCTTCGCTCCTGGCTGCGTTCGGGCCGACGTGGACGAGCTCGGGAGCAGGCTGCTTGTCACCCCTGAGGTATGCAGAGGCAGGGGGAGAGGCTATAGTGACGAGGAGGAGGCATGGTTAGCTGCAGAGCGAGTTTGACAGGGACGGGACGGGTTGCGGGTAGAAGGCGGGGTGATATATGGCATGCTGTTGGATGGCACATGATCCCCGGCGGGATGTCAATTCCACCCACTCCAACTTCACTAGAGGCGTCGGTTGATCAACCCCATGCAAGAAATCTGTTGCAAGATCCACTTCAATTTCATATGCCTCAGCGGTGGATTGGATTGAGTTGATCGCCAGCTTGATAGTGTGTGGTCTTGTGGAACACCGCCTGGCAAATCATAGGGAACCGAACAATCCCGTCGAGAGCCAGGCCTTCAACACCCCCAGGTGCTCCGCCACATATTCGGCCCGCCGAACGGCCACGAGTGTACCCATGCGCCGTCTTGAGGTGCGTCATCAAAGCTGTTCGCCCTCGACAAACATAGCGCTCTCTATCATCAGAACAGAGGAGACAACAAATTCCGTCCCGAAAAACTGGAATGTGTGGAATGGGCTCGGCATCTGGCAGGGGCTTGACGGTTTGACGAATCAGCTCTGGTGCTTGAAGAGTGGAAAGTTGAAAGAATGTGTTTTCGAGGGCTCGTATGGCCGCGGGATCGTATTGGCGGATAGGACCATGGTGCAGCTGGACATGGCGTACAGCAGAGGTGTGCAAGATGGATCTGCATTCTATACAGATAAGAATGTGCCATTTCGGCTCGTGGCAGAGCAGATCTTGTATCCTCATTGCACAGTTCGATGCAAGAGTTTTAGGGAGCTTGCAACATACAAACGAAGCCAGGTCGTCGCGTCCGCTGGTTTACTGATCGCGTCTCGACGCGTGTGGTCGGGAAGTGGGCCCATTAGACTTGAACGCCGGGGACTACCGGACAGGGGGCTCGTGACAATTCAGGGTAGGCGACAATTATAATATGAGAGTAGGGCGTCGCATATTTCGGCCTGGATGAGAGCCGGGACACCGTATAGTATTCGTGACAATGCAACAAAAAAACCGGATACCTCGACTGACCATACATTGTCCTCACGCGTCAACGATACGCAGCACTTAGTCGACGGTGAACATGGTGGATATACAGATATGCGATAAAGGGCAGCCCGGGCCTGACAAGCAGGTAATGTAGTCGAAGCCCCTGCCGTTGTCTCCGTCCATGCTAGGGCGTCTGATGCTGCAGGACCTGTTTCTGGAACGCCGACCAATATTCTTCCTCCAGCCAGGTCACAAGGCATCGTAGGGACGAAATGATCTTGCAGACGCCTCTGGCCTTGGATGTCGACCCAAGAGATATCCTTGAATAGAGTGTTGGGGTATTGACACCGACCAAGAACGGATCCCGAGACGTCGACGGTCGCGGGGGAACGGTCGCGACAAAGTACCACTCATGGCCGTGGACGATGATGCCGGGGAGGAACTCGATGGCCTGAAAGGACGCGTCGGGACATTGGTGAAGGAGACTTCGTAACTGTGCCGCATGCCAGGTTCCCATTTGGACCTCTGCCTCCGTAGTACTGCCCTCGGGACTCTTAAATTCAAGGGAAAGGCCGATTGGATACTTGCACAGAGCTCCCGAGTCTGTGTGGTTAATGGAGATGCCAGGGCGGGATGCGCGTAGCATGTCGATCTGGCGAGAGATGTCGCTACCAGCCCCAGATTTGAGGACCAAGCAATAGTCCACCATCTTCGGAGGCAGTGTGGAGGGGCTGAACGCGCGGTTGATCCTGGAGGAGGTGCTGAGCCATGATGTTAGCACAAGGAACCGCGGAAGGGAAACCAGCGCAAGCAGAGCGCACGTACCAGGCGTGGAAGTCGACGAGCCCAGAAAGGTCATCTTTTGGTCTGAGTACCCACGAGAGGATCTGACGATAGACCTGATCGCTCCAGACGCACTCTAACTCGTTGTTCTCGTCGCACTCGATAGCACGCTGGATCACGCGAGTGATGAAGGCTGCCAGTGGCACGTCAGGGCGAGAGCGCGATTGCGATTCTTGGTCAGCTTGTTTGAGAGACTGGAAGTACGTCTGGGGGATTTTGTGGTCGGAAATTGCCTGTTGTTCGTTTGGCGGTTAGCGGAATGCATCAACACACGTCGCAGCACCGTTGGTTATGAAGAGTCTTGTACCTGGTCCCACCATTCGTACGGAAGTCTAGTTTCGCCGCTATCGATTTCTTCTAATCTCTCGAGAAGGGCCTGCAAGCTTGTCGGTAGACCGCTTGTGTCGAGGGGGAAGGCACGTCGGGTGTAGCCGTTCTTGTCGAGCTCGGCAAGGCGCAGCTGCTTGGTCGGAGATGAGTTCCTCGAGACGGACGACACCGATCGCTTTGACGAGGATCTGCTTGACGACGTCCGGCTTGGAGACGGCCTGTTCGGTGCGGCCAGCGGCCAATGTTGAGACCGCGGCGGCGGTCGCGGGGTCGTCATGTTTGCTGCATCATCCCCAGCTTGGACGATGTCCTCTGCGTCGCTGGCCATAGCAGGAACTGACCGTTTCGGTGGCCGCGAGGATCGTTGCGAGGCCTCTGATTCGGTAGCAGGTGGAGAGAGAGCTTGTCTCTTGGCAGGAGTATGGTCGGTATCGGCAGGATCGCGAAATCGTTTTCTGTCGCGGGGTGACGACTTAATTAGCTGGTCACTCGCCTCGGCGGACGGTGGGCTTGAAGCCTCAATGCCCTGAAGCCAATCGAGTATGGCAGGATGGTCTTGGGTCTGGTGTGGTGACGCTTCTAGCATTTTCGACTCCGATGTGAGGTTGTTAAGCACTGCGTGCGACATTGATTCGATCCATCACGCAGGACAAGACAATGAGGAGAGGAATGTTGGTGGGATCCGATGACATAACGCCCAACCGGATTGACACTGAATTGTCCGGGCAACCGCACCGAGCGACCCCACTATCGGTTTACGTAAGCCACACCGCAAACCATTTTGATGGCAAATTGATAACGTAATCTACCCCCTTCCCGATCACACCCCCTACTCGGTCAGAAATTCCCCACAGACGCGACCCGCACCTCATGGAGAGACAAATCGAACACAACACCCGACAATTCAGCCCAAAAGAGACAAAACAAGTAAATCAGGACAATCTATCTATTACATCTACGGGAATTGTGTTCAAAGGACCTGCATTTACTACACCGTGGTGGTGCGCGCTGTCTTGGGACGCTTGCCTCCTCGTCTATCTGTCGTTGGACCCGCTCCTCGTCTTCTCGCTGTTGCTTGGCCCACTCGTGCTCCCTTTCTCTCCGTCGGTTGGCACGCTCCTCTTCCTTTTCTCTCCGCCGCTTGACACGCTCCTCTTCTTTTCTTTGCCGTCGCTCAGCCCGCTCTTGCTTCTCTCCTCGTCGCTGCGCCCGCTCCTCATCCTTCTCGCGACGTCGCTTGACCCGCTCTTCCTCCTCTTCCTTCCGTCGCTTTGTCCTAGCTGTGCCTTCTGCAACCGACAGAGTACCGCCGTCGCTAATGTATTCGCGGCGTTGCTCTCTCTTCCGCTTCCGCCTTTGGTTTTCTGAGCGAAGTAGCCTGTTCTCGTCGGAAAGCAGCACGGCGCTGTGCATGGCCATCTGACAACCTTTGATGAGCTGGCCATCAGCCCTTTGTCCTTGGCCCGATTGTGCGACTTGTTGGTCGGGTCGTCACAAGATATTACTCCCGTGCAATTCAGTGACTAGGTCAAGCGTGAGACTGGAATGGTACATATATTGATCCCTGAAGTAGAAAGGTACTTTACTGTAATGACTGTCTGTCCAGGAATTCTTCATGCCTTACACATACCTTTCTCCCTCCGCGGTCCCACAAACTGTTTGTGGTTTGTTTGTGGAGCTGTCAGTTCCAAACATGAACTGCACAGTTCCAAACATGAACTGCACAGTTCCAAACATGAACTGCACAGTTCCAATGTCTTGGCACGTTGTTCTCGCGGGGTTTCTGCCCCTCTGCCTGTCTCGCTGCGACCTGTTGGTCTGTACTGTAGTGACCGCGAGATGTGTCCGCTTTTCAGACATTACTTGACGTTCCCGCACGGACCAGCACGGACTGTGCCTTGTTGGCTCGTACTGTGCAAACCATTCCACAAAAAGCACTCTCCGTAAGTGGCGCAAACCACTTGCGGCCACATTTTTATCCAGCCCTAGTCCTAATCCATCCGTATCGCAAGGCATTTCGAAGCAGAACTTTCGGCATAATATCAACGAATTTTCAATATGGCTATCAAAGAGATCTTGTCTATAGATGTAGGCTTTCTTTCGACACTTGGATTCAGTCGGTGCACACATTCACAGCTTCCTGCTTCGATCATTCTTTTCCACATTGCAATCGTCTTCAAGAAGTCTTCTAGCACCTTGACTTTCCCACAAGCACACGCCATCTTCCTCAGAGTATTGCGGACCGATGAAGCATCCTTTGGGTGAGATTACGGCGAGGATATACGCCGCTAGCTCTACTCTATTCTTAGCCTGGCAGTGGTCTCTTTAGCATCAGGAAAGATCTTGGAAGCGGCAAAGTTAGCTGGCTGGACTTTCACTCACCGACTTTTCGATTGGACAGGCCGATCTGTGTTTAGCTCGGCACAGCTGGAGGCAGTCTTGCGTTCTGTGTTATAGAACGTCCTCTGGTGGAGGCAGCCTTGCCACAAAATCTTTCCATTTTAAGGTCTTCCCAAGATACATTGAGATCGCTTCCAATATATCCTCATCCCAATCAGGGGAAAAGAATTTGATCCGTGGAGGTTTTTCAGCCCGGTGGTCAGACAGCCGCATCACGACCTGCATCGCTGTAGTCTGCGAGTACTGAAGACCTGCAATTGCCAAGTCTTGAAGCTCGCCGGCTTGCTTTCCAAACAGATCAAGCTCATCGAGCAATAGTTTCCTGGCTAAGCCGCTTGTGTTGCTCCCAAGTTCAATTGCCAGAATGCACTGGACAGCTTTATCGATTAAATCGCGTGCGCTCTGAGTCTCGAATAACAAACGATCGTTATTTCTCGAAATGTGCCGATGGTGGAACGGCGAGGACATGATTCTGACGATGAACCTCCTCTCGCCGCTTTCGTCAGGAAGGTTGTAACTCTCAAAGGAGCCAATTGTGGCGCAGATGTCCTTAGTAACGGAGTTTTGTCCTGGGATTGTCGCGCGTCGATAGTGCATGAAGAGGTTTCCCGAGTCCGAGAGGTCTCGGAGCTCGCTGACCTCCATCCCGAACATGAAAGGGAGGATTGATTTCGTCCGTGCAAATGGGGAGAAATAGAGTAAGAAGCAAGTGGGGTTAACCGGTTTCTATAGGAGAATTAGTTGCATGTAGTGGGGCTGAAGCGGGGGAGGCATACACAGTGACAATTGGCAACTTGTTCACAGTCAGGAATTTCATGCCCAACGCACAGTACTAAGACAAATTTCCACGCGGTTTCTACTCATGCCTTAAAAGTATGGACCGTGCGGAGATCATCGTAATCAAACTGCTTGCGGAGACTGATTTCCGGTACTTCTGTACCTTATCGCCTTTATTGCTCTAAGTCCAGGCAATGCCGTACTGTACGGAATGCGCTTACGGACAAGTGTGCCTCCACAAAGCACTAGTTTGTGGTGCAGCCAGCACTGTGCATGCCACGATAACCCCGCACAGGTTGGTCCGTGCGGGGATCGCAACTAATATCGATAAAATGGACACGGATTGTGGTCACTACTGTACAGGAAATCCTTCGCTTCAATAGGTCTTTCCCCTGAATCGTGTTTGTGTCTATTGGTTCCAGTGTTTGGTCCGAATGGATCACCGTGATCTAGGTGATCCATTATTCTTGTCGGTCACATGCGCCCAGCGTGCATGACCTTCTCCTGTCCTTGGCCCAATCTTGCGACCTGTTGGTCAGGTCATCACTCATGCCCATAAAAGCGGAGCTTGCATTTCCTTGTGAGTCACCCACCGCCTATCTACAAGGTCCAGCTTTTGCATACGGGAGTAGTCCATTTGCGATTATGATCTAAAAATAAGATGACTTGTTTGATCCGGAGGTACTTCCGAGACAAGTAACCGACTGATTCGCCAGCTCGCCAATCGTTGGTCTATAAGAATCCCAGAGAATCCCATCAAAACTTCAAATCGTACGATTCCTCATACCAACCGAAGTTTCCAAGCCATATGTTGAAGCGAATATTCACTCAAATCAATCATTCATTATAGATCCGCCGATCCTCGATCCAAATGGACAAGGCAGGAATTGCATCATATGTAACTTACCCATAGATTTCTTGCCCTACGGAACCTCCTCGCCGCGGTCTGGGAAGGTGAGACATAGTGTCTGGCAGTGTAGGTGCGGGCCATTCGTAGGCGAATCGACATTTGTATCTACATAAAGCTGGTCAATGTTTCTCTCGTTTAGTTACACTTCCTGTCAAGAATTTGCCCGAACCTTGCTTGTCTCAGCCAGCAATATGTGTGACCTGATCTAGCGAGACGAAGCTTAGCTAATTGCCTCCCCTACCATCTGGCGGCAAGGAGTAAGCCGCTACCAGGCGCTCTTCCCACTTGGTATGTAATACAACTTCCTACATATTGTTGCCCCTCTGTTCATGCAAGTTTAAGTCCGCGTCGAACCACGTCCTCTCCTGCAGCAGGGACGCGGAGCGGCGTTCCGCCTGGTGCGCTGTGGCCGATGTCCCACCCCGAACAAGCCGTAGATAATTGTTTTTTTTGTTTTTCTTTTGGGCCGAAGACGACGGCCCACAAGCCCAGCCAGTCCGACGTGCTGAGCTTGTGGGATGCCCCGTGACCGAATACCGAGGGAGCTCACCGCTGTTGTGGTGGAGTCCTGTTTCAGCACTGGGGCGGGGGCGGCTCTGTCGCATGTGTACAACATCCACCATGTCCTGCCAGCTCCTCCTCCCTAAAGTGGCAAGTGGGGTGGGGCAACGCGGCTTAACATTCGTCAGGTCTTTGACAGGCCATCGCGCAGCACGCATCGTGCACAATTATGCCAAGCCCAATCGGAAGGATGATGATCATGATGGCACGTCTTTATTTCTAAGGTTTTTCGAACCTGTCTGCCATTTTTCGCGGTGCTATTACGTATCTGGCCCAGGTCCCCGTTGATCCCGTTAGAAAGCCAACGGACGCCAAGCCAATTGTTTGTTTACGTTCTGTCGGCTAGACCCCAGCATCTGACTCCACCCTTCGTCTCGCCCAGCTGGAGCGGTTTGTTTGTAGTACAGTAATCTTAAATGCGGTGTTGGGGTGGTTGGGACCGCTACTCACGCGACTTTAGGCACGGCTGTGGAAAAATTTCCACGCCCGTGGAAAAGCTTCCACGCCTGTGGAGAAATTTCCACGCCCATGGAAAAGCTTCCACGCTCGTGGAGAAATTTCCACGCCCATGGAAAAGCTTCCACGCTCGTGGAAAACTTCCCCAGCGCCCCGCATTTCGCGAACCCCCTTTTGGCCAAAGCGACGTCTCTCAATCATCTTTGCGTCTTCATTCTCCGTGTTATCACTGCCTATGGAGGCTATGAAGTATTTTGCCCCGGGCCGGGCTAAGATCGACTATAAAAGTGACGGCGCCCCACCATGCGGTTGGACATTTCCTTCATTCGAAGATTTAGAACGGATCGTGTCAGTGTTTGCCAGCCGACATGGATACAAGGCCAGAACGAAGGAGAAGAGGGAGAGGACCCGATTCTATGTCTGCGGATATAAACAATGTCCCGTTGCGTGGAGCGCACAACGAGTGGTCGACAAGTTTCCTCCGCTCTTAGATTCGCTTGAGGTGGTCCGCATACAATATTCAACCACGATCAGCCACAACCACCAGCTTACCGCTCGTCCGGAGCCAAAACCCCTTCCAGTCGATATGATCTGGCTCGGAGTCCCATTTGGCCCCCTGGTTGAGGAGGGTCGATCTGACTCCGCTATACCATTAGGTGTTCCGATGTCTCAGGAGGGGAAGAGGCTAAAGTCGTCTGCTCTCGATCTAGTAAATGTCGAGCCGCATTTCAAACACCAAGAACATGACGATGACGAGACCGTATGGGTCTATGAGCCGTTGATCATGGCGATCTCGGCAACCATCAAGAACCCGTGCCTTACGATGTCGGCGACTTTAACATGGAGTGCAGACTTGTTCCGAGACCTTCGCGAACAGCTTGCCGATGCCACATCTGAGAGGAAGAAGCTCGTTCTTCTCGGATGCATGTCAACGCCCATCCTGGTGCCGGAGGGGCCCTCTTTCGATGAATATTGCGAATATATGAAACTGTTTATGGACAACAATGCTTTTATTAAAGCATATCCTACCACGGAGGAGGCAACATTCCAGGCAAGCAAAGTTGGCGATCTTAGAATCCTCGACGAGTGGGCCGCAAAATTCGACGGCCAAGGAATGAGCTGGCTCGCATACCGACCCATAACGTGCGATGGTGGGCTATCGGCGACGTGTAACCTGCCACCTTCTCATGCTGGCCGCATGGTTATCAAGCCGACACATAGCACCAGTGGAGAGGGAGTCAAGCTTGTTAAAGTCAGCAATCGCAAGGGACTGAAGTGCCGAATCCCTGGGAACAAATGGGATGCCGATATTCAGCCCAGGAACCATCTCTTCCACCAAGAGTATGTCGACTCATTAGTCAAATTTGGCGAACTTCGGGTCTGTATGGTGCGTGATCTATCTCAAGAGGCTATAGACGGTCTCATTCCCCCAGGTAAGATCATTAGTATCACCATCACCAGACCAACCGCTTCTGCCGGCAAGGTTCAATTCTCGGATATGAATCAGAGTCCATTCAGTCACGAAATATTTGGGGAAGGAGTTGGGGATGAGCACGCTCAAAAGCGCAAGTATCATGAACTGAAGCAGTTCGCCTCTCTGTGGTTTGCCATTCTTTTTAGGCTTGCCGATTTTGAACCTGGTCTTGCCTCACTTAAGGATGGCGTACGTCTCGACATTGGCATCTCAGAAGTCGCAACCGATGGGCGATTTTTCATTAATGAAGTCACACGATTGTGGAATGCGTCAAGCTTTTCAGAGGGGAACTCTACTAACGTTCAAGAACAATGGGGCGAAGCTATTGGCCATTCGTGTACACAGCCTCGATGTTGGCAGCAATACCCCGAGCTGTTAGAGACTCTTGGGACAGAAGGAAGTGAGGTGGGCTTACCTGGACGCCCCGCGAAGCGACAGCGGCCCGGATAAAGACGTACTTTCAACATCTCGTCTTGCTGGTTATTATCAATTCTTTATTCGTCTCCATAGCTTTCCTACTATATTCAATCAATCGGGCTTATACTTGCCGCACGGAGCTAAGCCGCAATGCGAAGCTGTGCTGCTTTTTCTACTTATCCTGGCCAAGTCTATTAGCGTACGACCATCCTCGTCGCGGTTATCAATGTCGGCGCCGCTATCTAGCAGTTTCTGCATAACGTCGTCACGCCCCCAAGATGTCGCCCATGACAATGGAGTCTTCCATCAATATCTCGGCTATCCACCTGAACGCCTCTCGCTAGCAGCAGATCTATAATGCTGATGTATCCCTTTTCGGCAGCTAATGATATCGGCGTCCGACCATGAATGTCTTTACTGTCGGGCTCTGCGCCACTGTCTAGCAGCAGCCGCACGACGGCTTCGGCCCTGTTGTAGACAGCCCATGCGAGCGGTGTCCTATTATGGACGCTAGCTATCGAAAGCGGCTTACGGAGCTGAAGTGTATCTACCGGTACGGCTGTCCGGTCATCTTACTGACAGCTACACTACCGGTGCGGCTTGCTTGCAGGGGACGCCGAAATCGTCCGAGCAAGGACCGACAAGAAGAACATCAGCTATAACGTCATGCAAGTCACGGGACCAGGTCGGAGCGCAGTCGAGGACGAGGTCGTATGCCTTATTGGCGTTTCAGATTCCCAGGCGGGGTTCTGTCAGAAGTGGGGCCTATGCCTAACAAGGAAGGAATGATCACCGACAAAAATGAGTTGCCCTTCGCCGTCCGTCGACCCTACCTCACACATCTCGTAGCTGCCCCCCTCTGGGGTTCACATTCCCAACTCTCTAGTAGAACGAAGCTAAGGCTACGGTTTAAGTTTTCTGAGGTCGTCGAGCCACACTTAGACCTAGGAAGGCAATTTTATTCAGCGCACCCAAAGTGGCGTCGCCGGGCAAGCTGTGGCAGTGCGACTAACCCCTCAGCTTTCTCTTCGTTCAAGCACGGGGCATAAGTTGTCCTTCCTTCCTGATTCGGTAAGTAGTGAAGCCACCCGCACAGTCGCTGGAGGTCGTCCACGTAGCGTCCCAATCCGGCGTCCTGAGTCAACCAAATTAACCGGGTGGTTACGGGTTGAAGATGTGATAGGTACAACGCCCTAAGGAATATTACCTCCGTACATGTAGTACTCTCTCGATCGGGTGTCGTGGCTTTCACAGAAGATACCGCTCCGGTGCAATTCAGTGACTGGGTCAAGTGTACGATTAGAACCCTAGATTGAGTCTGATGAAAAGTCACGACTATCTGGCTTAGGAACCTCCATAGCAAATTGCACCTTTCCTCCATGCCAGGTTTTCATAGAAATGTCCTGGTGGTCGCTCGATCCCTGACTGGCTGTCAGTTGCTTCGCACCTAACATTGGGAACCATCAATCGGTGCCTGTTTCCTGATATGGACCCTTATCGATTACTGCTTATCTAATCTGCACATTATGTCAGCAAGAACGATAGCGATAAGGATCACCCACGAGGATCACGGCGCTCCACGAGCCGCCCCACGAGATCCAAAGATCCCTACGGAAACGCGATGAAGGGCAAAGGATATATAGTCTGGAAGAATCTCCTAAATAGACAGCCTTTGCCTTTGCACTTCAGCGATCAATCTAAGTATCAGTCTCACCATACCCTTCCACTAGTCACTCAATTGCCGAGACTAGTATCTCTTACCAGAAATACGACAACCCCCAAGAGTACACGACAGCACGGAAGTGATGTTGTTCGGACCGCTACGGACCTCTCAGAACATGAACCCCCAGCGCTCTGCCTAGTCGGCTGACCCAGGAGGCAGGATCGTGACACCCAGCCAACCTTTACCGCCTTGGCAGTCAAGTGAACTCAAAATGGCTGGCAAGATGGTTAAGTGTTACGACCGGGGTGTCCGCGCGCAGAACTCTCTGTGCAAGACTTAATCGAGCACCGATTCCGAATCTGACTGTACTTAAGACCCACTAACACTGCGGTAAAGGAGAGAAGACGTCTAATATAGCTAACTGCTAGCTAACTGGAATAGTACTGTAATACCGAAGCAAAAGATTGACTTGCGAAGCTGTATCGGATTCCCGACTTGCTAACTACGACCCTCTACATCGGCCCGGTTCTGCGTTACCTTATGTAGAGTATAGTCAATCGCATCCCCAAGCTCATTATTGCTAACAAGATCGATCCGCAATCGCAGGTCCAGCAGACAGTACTTACGCGCCGTGCGCGTGCCGTTATTATCAATATTCACTGTCTTGGTTGTCAAGTAGGCGGAGTCAGTGGGGGACATGATGAGCGGGGTGGGTTTTCCCGCAACCTCGGAGCGCGGCCAGGGGACCTTGAGGAAGAGCGGTCCACTAGGTTCGCCCTTGCCCGTCGGCGCACATACCTGGCGTCGCCAGAAGAGGTCTTGTATAAAGTCGCGCCAGCCAGTGGCGGAAGTCCCGGTACAGGCGGATATCGTGGCCAGGTTTAATGCGGCGCTCTTGCTCTACGTTGTTTATGGGCGGCGACTTGATGATGCGCCAATACTGGTACTCGTCCGAGTCTGACATTGCCGGGACAAACTCGCTCTCGGCGTTGCGGAAGACGACCATAAGGCTCGGGTTTGTTATTGGTGCATCTTTAGCGGTCGGGTCTCTGAGTGGACAGGACCGGAGGATGACTCGAGGTGCCATTCATGAGCTGGCGGGCGTGTTGGGAACTTTAGGATAAGCGTACGATAGACAAATGTGTGCGCGCGCACGCGGATTGTCAAGGACTCACCTCCTCGTCAAGGGGGCAACAATGTCCCATTGTGTCTTGACAAACTCCTCATTGTACTCGGAACCATACTTGGCTCCCTTGGCGTCGAACTTGTCGTAGCCAAGGATGGCTGGAGCACGATAGGTGGCTGGATTAAAGATAGGTACGTCGGTTACGTCTATACGCACCCAGAAGACCGCTGTCGAGCTGAGGTAGACGCCGTTCTGGCGTGGCGTTACATTACCTGCCGGGTCGTGGCCGAGATAGAAGGAGGCATTGCTGCCGGCATTCGTGATTATGAGGCTTTTCGTTAGGGACATGACGCGGAGGCGGGCCTTGCACTGATACGCGGCGTTCAGGGTCATGTACCGGCTCAGCGCGGGCACTGCCTGTACAAACTATGACTGCACCGCCTCGTAGCCGGGCATGGCAGACAAGATCTCGACGAGGGGCGAGAGACCTTCGTGCTAGTGGGGTAAAACCTTTATCAGTCGCCAAGATCGTCTCTCCTCCGACGGCTTCGAACGCACACATTTCGTCCTACGATCATTTGGTCGTGTCATTCACAGAGGCCATCCCTCCTTCTCGCTCGTGCTTGGCGCTGGCGCTGGCACTAACACCAGCGTAGCTTCCCGAGAAAGAAGCGCGAACGGAGGCCTTGAACGACTCTATGGCTTCCTTGGCCTTCTGTTCTTCAGTTGTGTGTACCACCTTTGTCGACAGCAGGCGCCCACCAATAGTGATGTTTGACAGAAGAGATTGCCGTACTCCGCGTGGAGGCGGCGCAGAGCTTGAATGCTCTTGGTGCAGCGGATGATGTTAAGCAGGTCAGCTAGCTCTGGCGTGGGCTCATCTCGTTGGGCCACAAAAGGACGTCACACCAAGGGAACATGTAGCGGGCCACGATGGTGCGGCTCCTTTTCGAGCTCTGTGAGTTTTCAGACTTTGACTCGCTCTTAGCATAGCCTGCGCTCAGACCGAGACGCCGTAGCCACTGCCACTGACGGACGCTTCAGTCGCCTGTGAGCTGAGTCGCTTCTCGCCATGGCGACGGTGAGCTCATCCTCGTGAGCAGTGATCTCGATGCGCGAATCGTCGTTGACGCGAAAGTTTGGAATGCCGTCGCTGGACCTGGGTGCGATTGCGGCGGCAGATGTGGCGGTTGTGCTCCGTTGTGGAGCACCAGCATCACCAGTCGTCGCCGCGGCGCTATGAGTGTTGTCCTCTTTAACGCCATGAGCGTTATCCTCGTTATCACTGATGAATTCTGCTGGTGCGGCGACAAAGTCGGGAATCTTGGCGACCGCCTCCTGGTCGACGTCGGAGCGAGGCTGGAACGCAGGTTTGGGGGCTCTCGTGACGCACTTGGTGCCAGAGTTGATAATCCAACCGTAGAAGACGGCACAGTTGTGTCGGTCAGCTTGCCTGCTCCTTCTGGCGATGCCTCTATCGTGACCTCAAGCTGCGAGATGTCGATTAGATCTGTGGCAGCAGTGCCTTTCTCCAATTTCGTGAAGGTTGGCGCATCAGAGGCCTTGGTGGCTGGCCCCGTACTCAGGTCGGGGGCAGCGACAGATGAGCTGGCCGGGCCATCGGGATCTTGTCCTGCCAGCGTGTCCAGTTTTGTTAAGCGAAAGTAGAGCTTCAAGCTAGGGGTGCCATAAGAAGCAGCCGTAGTTGTCTTGTCTGCCCCTTCGAAATCGAGGTACTCACTCGCGAACTGCTGACAGATGTGCCAAAGAGTCATCTTGCGACTACTATAATGTCAGCAGCCGCCCTGTAACCAGAAGCTGCAGATGTACGTCGCCGAGGACGCCCAGATATCGTCAAAGCATCACTCATAAACGGCTGTGTGAAAGGCAGATAGAGTCCCAATCCGACCCCTGTCCGCTGTAGGTGGTTGGTTATGCGCGGACGTAATTTTGATCGCGACTAAGCCTACTCTAAGGCTTGGGTACGATGGTGATGGAATTTCTGTACGAGGCTTGCGTAGGAAGGATGATAATGTGTAGATTCCAATTATAACTACTGTTTGAAGAAGATGTCGTCAAATCTGCTGTTCTGTTCTGTGTTCATGCGAAGAGAAAGTGCCGTCATGCCCATCCTTGCTTATTGCTGCCACTGTCTGTTATGCGCAGGAGAGGCAGGGGGGTCGAGCAACTCACAAGACACGAAAGGGGACCACCATTAGAAGTGTGTAGTGTCCCGCGGGGATTAAGAGTGTTGACGTCGGCACAGACAAGGGAACGACAAGGCTGCTGCCTCTCGAGGAGGTTAAACACGATGATTTGGTATGTTTCCACAATGCTTGCTTAAGTGCTGTCTAAAAGAGCCGGGATCACTTATCACAATCAATTCGGCCTCGTTCTTAGACCGCGCAAGACATCGAAAGCGCCCGCGCCGTCGGCGCAGACCCTCCTGAGTAGCTTGAGCTCATCGAAGGGGCTCATCAGAGGGTTCAAGGGCACCGACGAGCAACAGCTGCCAGCAGGCTAGCCTTCGCGAACCTCGAGGTAAGGCAAGGTATACGGACCTGGGCGACCCGCACACGGCTCGCTTATCAAGCCGCCAAACGCAGCGCTTTCGCGTGGCCAGCCCCCCAGCCAATGTGCCTGCAACGAGCAAGAGAAGGAAGGGGCGGCACCAAGTGGACAGCAGTCTGCCAGCTTCAATAAAAGTATGTAAGCCTCCCGCGGGATCTTGGGAGGACGAGGTCGAGTCTTTTAACCCGTGCCATGATGAGGACTGTGGCAGCCTAGTGGTATATCTCACCTGGAAGAACGGTCAAAAGACGCAACACGAGACGAAAGTTATATACCAGTGTTGCCCTCAGAAGGTAAGACCGTCCGCCTCGCCGGGAGAAGCCACTCCTTTTCCAGCTGTAATGCTAACGGGAACGCTATAGATGCTGGCTTTCTACGAGCGTCAATATTATGCAGTAAGGCGTTCTCAGGGCGAGCCGTCAATGTTGCTCACTTGATGCGGCGTTAGACAACGTCCTGCGCGGATTTGTCAAGAATAAGTTTCCTCGGAGGAACAAAACAAATACTGCTGGAGAATGATGATACTATGAAAATATATATCAAAGCCCGGTCCCCGTTGTCCCATTGCACTGGGCCTTCAGATCCCTTTGCCATACACTGTAGTTATGCTACCTTTCAGCAGACTTGCTTGGAGCGAAGAAGCACTGCCCTATTTGCCTCGCTTCTGCAATATGCAAGTGCACTCAAAGTGGCTAGCAATGATAGATAGGAATTCGCGAAATTGAGGATCCTATCAGAATCAAGGACATCGCCTTCCGGGCATTCAAGAACAAGAACGGGTCGACGCTAGTGATGTACTTCCGGAGGTAGCGGAGCACCTCGTTCGGCAATTCCGCTGTTGGCTCAAAAGCCTTCGCAATAAACCGTTCGAGGCTCGCCCGGAGTGGGCGGGCCACAATGGGTCAACTGGAGGACTCCTGGCCAAGTTGCTGTTCCACATCACGGGGCCATAAGCGGAAGTACTAGCGCATCCCCACGATTCTATACTTTATATTACTGGCGATTGAGGAACGATGTCCAGGGCAGGATGAGCTTTTTGGTCGCATGGAGACGCGAAGTTGTCGGTGTTTGAATCATGATGCCGTGCTCAAGACATGTCCAGACAGTATACGGAACCACACCTGCCACGCCTGCTCGTGCTTGGCAGGAAGGACAAGGCGCCAGTCCTACCTCATTCTCAATTGGACCGGAGTCATAGTCTACGGCGCAGCCGAATCTTGGGCCGTACCATCTATCCTCCGGACCTTGGCACCCTTTCACGATTGCACAGCTTCGATTAGCTTACAGCACGACAGTCAGGGCTCGCGCGTAAGACTGGAAGTATAAGAACAAAGCGTGTATATTTCTGTCTCTACCTTCGCAAATTTCAAATAATACACAGTAGAATGATTGTACATCCGGCTTTTCAGAACGTAGACAAGTACAGAGTAAATACAATCTCATAGAAGCTAAACCACACAATATGACTTTCGCCCATCCGCAAACTCAGAGTTCCACCTCTGTAGTACTGGTATATATTCCAGGGTGTGATTGTACGGCTGGCACAATCACCGCCCAGAGACGACCATGCCTGGGCGCCCCCTTAAATCAGCAGTGAAGTGGTTTTTCAACCTTCGCCTGTGATTCTGGCGTATATATCCCGAATAGCTACTGCCTATCCCTTATAAAACTCCTGCACGACCCCTTCCAGTACTGCATGCCCGTTCGTCATCCTCTCTCCGAGTACCTCTCGCGGCCGTACGACCCATTCCCGCCACTTCTCCATCTCCGGTAAGCCCCCTTCGACCTCGTCCTCTACGATCTCCCGTATTAGATCCTCCTTCCGTACGTACATTCATACCGGGAGTACCTTGCCATTCCACCGGCACTCCTCCTGGCGCCTTCTCTTCCAACCACGCTAGCCTTCGCGAATTTCCCAAGTGTTGTGCGCCATTATCCAGAATTTCTTATGGATATTGTTCCGAGCTCAGGCGAAGTTGCTCGGGGGTTCGTGCGGAAAAGACGTGCATCATCGCCTACCAATTGGTAGGCTTGGCCTTGACCCGCATAGACACTTGTGCCTTATCTTCGTCCTTATAGTTCTTTTCTCCTCCAATGATAGCCGGGTCCTGCTTAGAGTGTGTAACAACCAGCCCATATGCGCTTGGGTCCTTGGCAGCCCTCGCAGCGACGTAAGTCTGAGCTATGCCTATCCCCGAAACAGCTCCGAGATAACAGAGAGCACTGTCCTGAAGCCCAGCGGCACATATCAGCCACAACGTCCATGCCAGTATGCTAAAGATTGCGATGGCGAAGTTCTGCCCCCGTGGTTGTAAGTTGGGAGCGGTGGCTGCAGACTCCGGGTCCCAGGCCCCGGCTTTGCATTGCAGCACAAGTACGTGCTCTGCATCGCTTACTCGAGTTAGACATAACACCTTATCGCGGCTCAGCACATGGGCCGCCCACTTTTTGTCCTTCCACTGTTGCAATGCTCTGGTGCCTAGCGCAAGTGCAGTGCCGTACGCTGTAAGGTACAAGACGGATCTGTCGTGATACGTGATCCACGGAAGCGCAGCGATAACAAACTGAATGGCTATGGTGATCCAGCTTAACCACCAGACGTAGTCGCGGACAATATGAGTGTCCGGTTCGAGTTGGAATCTGTCCGTCCGGGGTGAATAGGGCAGAGTTGTTACGTCCCCGGCGTCTGTAGGGTACTTTTTCTCATGGTGACGGGGGAACCTGCCGAGACTTTCGTATTTGAATTGGAACTCGAATTCTGGCCTCAATTTCGGGGACACCAACGAAATGGCTAGACCGATGCTGCCATGATATAACCAGCCAAAGGAGAAGGCCACCGGCGCCTGTGAAAAGCTGCACCCGCGAGCCGATGGCCAAGGACCTGCGAGCTGAGCGAGTGCTTGTGGAATGATATATATCCCAACGGAGGAAAATATAAATGCCACAAATAGCGCAGGACGGACCCAGTCGGGGAGCGGAGCGGCGGAAATGATGGTTGCTGATGCCATGGTAGGGTCTTGGTGTTTTGCATATGAATAGTGTTGACTTCTGTAAGCAAGATGGGGACGTCGGAAGGGGAATAACAAGGTCTTATTTCACTTCATCTTGGAGGGTTGCGTGGCAGTGCAGTGCGTGTTTCCATTAGTCGCCCAGGTCCAATAATGTATTGCGTAGTGCCTTGTCTGGGCTCGTTGCAAGAATGCCTTGCGAGCGAGATTCCCGACATCTTGACTCGAGCGCGCTGGCTCCATCCCGTTTCTCTTCATGTACGAAAAGCTGTGCTGAGTGGGCATGAAACATGTGGGTCTTAGCATACAGGCGGTTTGTGGGTCGGTGTGTGGGTCGGTATCACGAACAAACACAAACAAACACAAAAAACACGAACAAACACGAACAAACACGAACAAACCCAGACAGCCCCGCGCTCATCTCAGGATATGGGTCCGTTACGAACGAAGTTAGGCATAAGCCGGTTCAAGTCCCACAGGGTATTAGGCGGGGCGGTTCGCTGATTTGTCAGGACTGACGTTGCAGTAGTTGCATAATCTTGAGGCTTCGCGGTGTTGTCCTCCTGCCTTGCCCAAGGGTCTAATAGGGCGATGCAGGTTCCAAGACTGCAAGGTTCTAATATATATCAACTGGAGGGTTGTCTATTTGTACGTCACTGTCCGTTCTAACTAATTAACTAAGTTCATTCCCACGTGTATAGTAGTAACTGGGGGAGGGGCACTTGTTGGACAGTTGTCGGCCCCACCCTGGTAACTGCCGGCCATCTCCCAAAATCTTGGGAGGTCGCATCTCTGTTCTGAAGCAATAGCTAGATGTCCTCAAATATAAGCCCTTTTCTCCTGAAGCCAGGTTAGGATTTACTCGTGATTGGTGCCTCGTGACAGCTTCAGGTCGTCATGAGCACAATCAGTGTGTATTAACAACTTTATTGAGATGCTTCCCGCACGGGCCATATCGACTGAATTGTGGCTTAGGACTGTGCGAGACGGTTTTAGCACCGTCCGGATAAGCTCCACCTCCCCTCCATTTCTGACTGCCCTTAACATGGCCGATGCTCCAGCAACCCTTTATTGCGAGAAATTCCGGACCAAAACATAGACTATTCAGTTGCAGATGTTTAAGAAATTGAGGTATCTGAATAGAGCCCAGACGCCATGTATAACTGGCCTGCAAAACTTCACAAAGGCTAGGTTATGGTTTCAATGTTTCATACAACTAACTTTATACGTACTATAAAGGCCCAAAATTTCAGAATACTTAGATTAACAGGCCTAGAATACGCCCTGAAATTTTCAAATACTAGTCTGATAAAGAAAAACTTCTGATAAAGAAAAACTTGGTATTCTAAGAAGGTCCCAAGTTTTCTACGTATAGTTAAGCAAAAAGAGATTGTCCAAGAACTACGTCGGGTCAACCTCAGATATCCCCTCTATCTGATCCGAGTACTATCATACTTCACCCGCCGAGCTCGGGATGTCGGGACTAGCTTCCACACACTTCATCACCGATGTGATCGGAGAGTCCGCCTCCCCCCTTCGAGGTCAGAAAAAGGCTCTATGCGAGGGTCGATACCTGAAGCGCCGGCCTTCCGGTTCCGCGATCGTGAACCTCAGACAGGAAATCTACTGGGTCCTCCACGCTCAGTCCCATAGAAAGCTCGCCATTGCCATACATGTACAACTTTGTGAGCTTCTCGGCGCATAGCAGAGCTGACATAAGCGCGGAGAGGTCCTCGGCGAGGGGTCTTTGATAGATATGGCGACAGCTGTCAAGTCCTCGAAAAGTTGTCCGCGTGGCGGATTATAGAACGTGGTGCTCCTCGTCTCGGACTCCAAGTTCTGATGATCCCGGGATATTGTAGTAGCGTGATCGCAAGAAGGCGTGCGACCGCGCCTGGGAAGCTCCAGAGCTAGCTGGAGCTGTTTCTGGTCAATGGTGATAACTCAAGAGGCCAAGCAGGTAATGTTCAAGTAAGCATAGTCGAAGGCTTGCAGATACCCTATCAGCTGGATCACGGCGGCGGAGACCACCAGGATGTGCATGAATGAGTGGGAGCTGCACATGTCGAACCACCCAGGCCACCAACGTTCGGGAAACCTCATCTTTCGAATCAGGTGTCTTAGGATTAATCTTTCTCTTGTAGGGGCAACATGGGAAACTCACTGCATAAAGCGCGGTCCCAGATAGAAGGCAGCCTATCTTTGCCACCAGAGTATAAATGAGCGCTTTTTTGCTCATCAGGTCTAGTCCAAACTTATCGAGCCCCTGAATCAAGGGCGCCACAACGGACGTGCCCGTTGCTACGAACACCAGTGTTCGCATGGAGCGATATTTGTGGCTCTGGAGCTTCGGATGGATATTCGTAATAATGGTCAATGCGCCAAAAACCACAATCCATTGACCGACGAAGATAGTGTTAGATCCCAGTCCTGGCACAGAAAAGGCCCAGCTTGGGGAGATCAACTAACCATAGACCAATAAATATTGCGTAGTGTAGTCTCACACCAAAAGATTATGTGTACTCCCAAGATAATGTCACCGACTATAAAGATCCCTATACCGAGCATATCCAGTCGGTGGCAGAGATGGTCCACCGCGTAAGAGTGATTCATGAAGGTATGATAAAGAGCCGAAAATGTAAAGCAAATGCTCGCCGTAAGCATGAAGGACGAGAAAGCAACAAGATCGGTACTAGTGAATCGGGAACTTTTACCTGCAAGGTGCCGCAAGATATAGCATTCGCCGACGAGGAAGACGACCGCCGGAACAAGATGAGAATATATATTAACTGTTTCGTTGTGGATATACCACCAACTGCGGAACGAGGCGCGAAACGAGCCCGATATTGGCCGGTAACCGTGAAGGATCCACTGATTGTTCTCATGCTGAAACCATTCTGGCATCTCGTCGAACGAGAGAAGAGCCGGGCGTGCTGTCTGACCTGGACCGGATGCGCCGTCTTCCATTCCCCGCCCTTTACGCGCCACTGACTCCTTGGAAGGTACTCGGAGACGGAGTGTAGGCGCCATTCACTCTCGCGCCTGGTGATGTGTAATGTCTGAAGGCCGGGATTTAAGAGTGGGTAGGAGTTGAAGAATTGCGTTGTCTCTTAGCCGCGTAGTCCTTTGGTGTCTTGCGAAGTTAGGCCGCGGCTCTTCTCTTCGATCGTTTAGGCCTTGTAAGCGCCAGCCTCGCTTCGCTGGTTGCATGGGATCACTCACACCTCTTCAAAAACCTGGCCGGATGGACTTTTCATTAATAAATGTCTGAAACATCCTAGTCTCCGATGCGCCCCTCGGCTCAGGCCGTTTGTCAAACAGCTGCACAAGTTGCAGTCCTCAGGAGGAGCACGGGAAGGAGAACCGCCTGAATATGCCTGCGACGGCGAGAATTATGAATGCAATGACGTTTGCCATTGCTAATATATGTGAAAAACTACGCTTCCCTTCCCAAGTGTGGGCGAGCAAGCAAGCAGACTCAATGACCAACATGGTGAGCGTGGTGGTTTGTTGTGCTACAACCTCCACTTGCGAAATAACAAACTCAATGGATGTCTTCTCTGCTAGCAAGGAAACAGTTTCGGAACCCACAGAATTGATAAATGCCCTAAGCCGGCATGCTACGTAGGAGCGTGAAGGTTGTCGAAGTGTGTACTGGCGACACTATATATGTGGCGCATATAAGACCCTGGGAGTTGAGTAGATTCCGGGGTGGAACATAACAGTAGGCCCGCCCCCCGAAGACTGTAATAGTAGGTTTCTAGTAAGTCAGAAACTAGGGCCAAAGCGCCCGATGTGCACATTCTCCATCAAACCCTTTTGGGCTGCCCTTCACATAGGCTGAGACGAGGAGGGCTGCCAGACTCAAGTATACAGCTGCATGCGCGGCAATGGGCGCCATACAACCATCGTAAAATAACAATATCCAAATGCAACCGCGTCAGTCTTCTCCAGAAGGTGTGTGGCGTCCTTGCGCCTTGCTAATCTACGGCCTTGCAGCTGCCAATGTAATATTTAATAGCTCCGTTAAAGTATATCTCCAGGGGAAGTGAAATCATAGAATATATGCTATAAAGTTATGGCATCTTTGCCGCAATGTTTGCAAGGGTGTCCTTTTGTCCTTAGCCTTCGACTGCTATTCGTTTGCAGTCTCCATTAATGCGCCAACGAATCCAGAGATCGGTAACTGCTGCTAGGACGTCGTACATCCGCGTGTCCTTAACGCTGAGTTTGGCATACTGTTTTGAAATATGCATAACGTAATCCACAAGCAAGCGGGTCACACAAGCGACCGGGTCACCCTCCCAGTACTCGTACGACAATATATAAGTCAATTCAACCACAACGCCTCAAATCAATTCAAACTACTCAGAATCCTCTTCTTCAGAGGTAGACTCAACTTTCTGACAGGTACGCGCATTATGGCCGGGCTCCCCGCAGACGCCACAGCGTCGCGCGCGCGTTTCGGGCCTCCTCGTACGACCACTATTCTGACTTGTTTCCGCTATTAACTGCTGCGTCGCATCGATTTGAGCCTTCAAATCCTTTGCCTGATCAATCGTGAGGGACCCTCCTTTCTGTAGCTGCTTTCTTTTCGTACGACGACGGCGGCTGAGGCGGTCGTTTGCATCTCGAAGTTCGGCGAGCTCTTGGCGCATAAGGTCCTGCTCGTGTACCATCATTATGACTCCTTTTCTTAGCTGCTGTACGCTCTTAACAATGGACGACGGTGAGCTATTCTGGTGTCGTACGATGCGATTTTCAATGTACTTCGTCTGCGATTCGGTCTCAATTGGGTTGTTCGGCGTCTTTGAAACCCATAGGGGTGGTAGTCCAGCAGAGGAACCTGGCGGTGTCGGCGTATGAAACTTCACATCTAGCTGCGAAATCACATAATTCGGGTCGTACGGTACTAGGCCTGTCGCTCTAAAGCCTGCCTGGATGTTTGATTTGGTCATTGCAGCGTCGTACGCCTTATAAAAGGCTGGGAGGAAGTCCTCCTTTGAAACGTGGGTTATGTGCGCCCGTATTAGACCTTCGATTTCTTTACCGTACGCCCGTTTCAGAGGTCCAAAGCACCCAACATCGAGAGGCTGGAGCTTATGCGACGAGTGAGCAGGCATACAGAGCGTTACGATATTCTGTTCCTTGCAGTAGAGCTCGAAATCGACCGAATGGTGGCTCTCGTGGCCGTCGAGGATAAGGAGGCGGTGGGTACCCTTCGTACGACTCTTCGTATGGAAATCGAAGTGTTTTACCCATTCTAGGCCTCTCTCGTTCGTCGTCCAACCGTTTTCTGAAAGCGCGATTACCCAGTCGGGCGGTAGGGGGCTATTCGCGGTCCAGGAGTCGAGGTGGACCTTCCCGGCGAAGATGATATACGGCGGGATTGAATAGCCGTACGACGCGATGCCCTGGATTACTGTAACCCATTCCTGATTCCCTTGTTGTACGGCCCTTGGCCTCCCGCGTCGATCGGAGGTCGTAACGACGGTTTCGGCGGAGATTTTACCCATCGCGAAGCCCGTTTCGTCGAAGTTATAGATGTCGTCATCGTGGATCCCGTATTTCGCGATTATGTTTCGTACGAGCTCAAACCACGCGCGATACGCGTCCGGATCCTCGTAGAGGACCCTCTGGTAGTCGATTCTTCGATTTAAACGCGTACGGAGCTCAGGTCGTCGTCGTACGAAGTTTGAGGCCCAGTTCGTTCCGACGCGTGGCGCGTCGCGTACGCGGAGGAGTCGATCCGCCATTTCTCGAACACCACTAAGCCGCGGCGGAAACGATCGCGAATCTAGGTCGATTACGTATTGTACGGTACTGTCCTCTTCGTACGAGGTCAATTTCTGGTTACGTGGTCGGGTATCGCCTTTCGCAGAGCGGCCGTGGTATCGTTGTTGTAGTGTTGTACGTGATACCTTATATATCGATGCAGCCTTTCGTACGCTTAATTTAGGGTCTGATTGAAGCGCATTTAGCGCGAGAATGATCTCTGATTCAATTGATTGTCGTGGCATACTTGTTCGTGGAGAAATTAAGGAAAGGAGAGGAGTAATTGAGAATTGCAGGAATATGACCCGGTCGCTTGTGTGACCCGCTTGCTTGTGGATTACGTTAGAACATGTTCACTATAGAGGAGATATATCGCGAAGTGACGCCGAATAATCTTTTATAATACGTATACTACAGTAACACTCTTATACCCCGAGACTCTTCAAAAGCCGGTTCATCCTCGCCTGAATATCAGACATTAGCTGGGTAACGCTTTTGTAATCCCCATTAATCGACATTTGTTCCCAACTCGCTGAGGTGTTCCTTAATGGCGAGGAGGAAAAGAACTGCCCGTCCCTCGGGGCAGCGACACCCGATAAATAGGTAGTTATAGATTGGTGCTGTTGGTTGATCAGATATGAGCAGAGCTGGACGACCATGACGAGCCGGATATTAGATAGCGGGCCGATGCCGCCACAGGGACCGCCGCAAGGATGGCCGCCGAGGCCAAAACCACCACTTGAGCTGCTCCTCGTACTGCCGAGGCTTGTGCCCAGCATTAGGTCGGCTGGAGGAGAAGATAGGGACGCGGTGTTGAGACAGCACAGATCGACGTCGCTCTCGAGTGCGATCAGCACAAAGTTGTAGATGGTCAGGAGCATGGTGTGGCATGCTAAGAGAAGGTGGCTGGTGACGGGGCTTTGAGAGATAGCCTGACTGCTCACTGATGCCGTCCGGACGCGGTGCTTCTGATGCTGATGCTGGGGTTTGGGTTGGCAAGTGGCACCATTGGGTGCCGTCGTCAGGGAGTTGAAATTGGAGTTCATGTTGCCGTGGTGAGCGGGAGCGGCGCTCCAAGGGTCGGACGGTGGCATCAGGCCTCTAAGGATCTCGAGCAGATCCCCCGATGCAGTGAAGACGCCACACAGTACGACACCAAGGACGTCTGCGCCGTCGTCGGGCGAAGTAGGCGGGTCGATGGATGTCTGAGGGGTCGCTTTCGAAGAGAGGTAGGACAACCACGCGGAGACCAGCTTAAAAACGCCGTCGTCGACCAGAGGGCTTCTGACGTGCCCGTCGTGGCCGACAGAGCCGCGTCGGTACGACATGCGCACAGTCTCATTGAGACTCTCATTTGACCGATAAAGCTGGGATAGCCTCATGGTCAACTGCGAAAGTTGGCTTATGCTTGTGACGTGGTCTGTAGAGAGATCAGGCAATGAGCTGGTGCTGCCACAAAAGGCAGAGTGACTTCGTTCCCGCCACCTTGGCGGGTGTCGTTGATGGTTGGAGTAGTCAATGTCGACATCTTGGTGGCGGATGTTTGGGTCTATCGAGTGCTCCAGCACCGAACTGAAGTCCAGTTGGGACGCTGGGCCGAGGTTCTCGAGCATCTCAGTACCGGACCAGGCGTTTGGGTCCAGCCAGGAGGCGCCGAAGGCATCAGTGTCAGGGAGAAGAGTATCATTCATGACGGCATCCTCGTCAGTCGGCTTGGCAAGGCTCGAGCCGGAGTCTGACCTGCTGGATGGCTGTGCCACATAATTACCAGTGTTGATGTTGTCGTCGTCACCGGAAGAGCTGCTGGAGCTGCTGGACCGAGCCGCGCTTCCTGGGCGTCCATTAGATGAGCCAGTACTGCTGCCGCTTGCGGTGCTCCCACTATTGTTGCTACTTGATTCTGCTTCGGGCTGGACGTCTGACGCGGCGTCTGACGACGATGCGGTCGTCTTGGTGGGTTGTGTCTCCCCAGGTCCGACTGTATCGGCCCAACGATACATGCTTGGTCGTCCTTTCGGCAAGCTGAGGCTGTACACACACTGGGCGCCCTGGCGGAGACAGCGAACGCAAGCACCGATATCACTCTTGGCGTCGCGCACGCAGCGCAGCTTCTGGCCATGGCACCTATCACACGACTGGCGTCGAGGGGTGGTACCACCGTTATTTGAAGGGGGGGCCATTCTGGCAGATCGAGATCAGTTTGAAGATATGGCTGTGAGTTCTGCATGCAATTCTTCGTCTCGTGTCGCCGTATG